AGAGGAGCGAGTGCCAACAGAGATTGAAGACCAAATTTATTTTTTGAAGAATATTGACTTAACTCTGGAAGGGGCTCACTCCTCTTGTCCAGACAAGAGGAGGGATTTTCAGCGACTAGGTCCTGGACTAAACCTGGCCGCTGGAGGCTTTTCCCGAGCCGTCAGCATGGGATGGGCCCTCGGTAAAATTGTTGAAGGCGCGACCGCCGCGCTCGTTCTCGGGACAGTTGGGTGCAATGTGTCCCACCTCGCGGCAGCGGAAACATCTATTTTCACGGATGCAACGTGTACGCTCAGCGGCGTCGAGAGGGGGCTTGTTCCGGGTGTAAGAGCCGGAACGGAACTTGTTCACGGTTTTGCGGAGCGCGTTGATCTCGAGGCGCATGTTATCAATCTCCATAGCCATGGGATCGACAGCAGGGGAGGCAAGGGTCGCAGCGAGGGCGTGTTGGGCAGCTTGGGTGGGGCGGACAGAGGTGGACGTCGAACGGGCATAGTGGAATACCGTATCAAATTGCTCCGCTGCGTGGCAGAGGTCATGGATGGTGAGGGCGTTCCGGTTGGTGATCTATAGAGACATTAATGTCTGCTTGAGTTCCAAGGGAGCTCCCTCGAGAAAGGCAGCCTTGACGGCATCCTCGAGCACCGAGCGAGCTTCCTTGTGCATGTCGTGGGTGCAAAGGATGGCCATGTACTTGCGCACGCGCGCAACGTACTCGGCCACTGTGGACGTCATCTTGATGGAGAATAGCAATGCTCGTATGTGGTCATGGAAACCAGCAGGGCGGAACTCCTCGCGGAAAGCCTTCTCGAAGTCGAGCCAGTCGGTGTCGTCCGAACGGTATTGGCCGTCCCACCACAGGAGGCCAGCTTCACCCAGGTAGGCAATAGCGGTGACAGTGCGGTTTGCATCTAAAATTTGCGCACCGCGAAAAAAACGCCGAACCTGGGTGAGCCAAGTCTCGCACGCGAAACCATCGCGCACGCCTGTGAAGGTCGGAGGGGAGGGATATCTGTAGGTGGGGAGGAGAACGGCGGTAGGGGCGACGACAGCGGTGTCGCCAGCAGCAGGGGCTTGGAAGGAGGTAGGTAAAACGGGGGTGCTCATGGTTACAAGGGAGAAGAGATCGGCGAGGGAATCAACGTCCAGATTGGGGAATAAATTTAATTGGGCAAATGGCTAAGGTTAAAATCAGGGGTACAGGGGCAATTGGTGGAAAAATAAAAATCAAAGGGCGCTTGGGACAATAGGACAATGGGTGGTGGTGGTCGAAGGAACCTTTGCTACCATGCAACAGCAGCAGAGTCAAGGGGTCAAGGGCAGTGGTCAAGTAGGAATGCGTAAAAATGAATGCTGTTTAATGATCGTAAGTAGGGTCTATATATACATGTCTGGGGCCTATTGTACAGTGTCGTAGTGGAGTTGTCATGATGCCGGGCTCCCATCCTGGCTCTGTGTGTCGTAACCGTGCAGCTTGGTAACCGAGTGGTAATCCTGTTGCATATGGTCCTGCATGTCATGGAATGGACCTGGCTATATAGCCTTGATTGATGACACCCTGGACTCAGAGCTGTATATACAGATTCTGAAAGAGGATCTACACATGTCTGTTGAAGAGTGGGGCATGGCCAAGGACGAATTCATCTTCCAACATGACAACGATCCCAAGCATACAGCCAAGGTCACCAAGGCATATTTGGAGTCAGCCGGCATTACAGAAGCCGAGGGAAGGCTTCTCTACTGGCCAGCGCAGTCCCCCGACCTCAACCCCATTGAGCACATGTGGGCGTACCTCAAGAAACAGCTTGCCAAGTGCCCAACGCCGCCAAAAAGCTGTAAAGAACTGTGGGAAAGAATATCAGTAGAGTGGCACAGGATTCCAGTCGACTATTGCCGCAATTTGATCAGGAGTATGCCAAGGAGACTCAAGGCAGTCTATAAGGCCAAGGGGAAGCAAACCAAGTATTGATCAAGCGTGCATTCCTGAAAAGAGTATTTTTTTATGTGAAAATAAAGTGAGCGGTCATAACTGGAACAGTTGGTTAGAAATATCAAGAGTGATGTTTCTCAGTATCCACCATTGCTATCGTCTTATAACTCTTTATACATATTCGTTGGTGATGCAACTACGGTTACACTTGTTTTTGTAGCGATATCATGACCAATGGAGGAGATAGGTAATTAATTGTAGAAATATAAAAAATATTGTTCCAGTTTTGGCCGGTACTGTACGTGGCTTAGGGTATAAACCAGCCAATTAGCGCTCATTATACTCCAATCTGTATACTCGTATAGGGTCGTCGAGTATACGGCAGAGTATACAATACTTCTCCAGCCAATAGTAACGAGTATACTCGTATATGTATACTACGCCGTATAGGGCCCGTTGAATATGGCTTTGTAGATTTCAAAAGCACGTTTGCGCCCAACTCGGGTGGTTCTAGGTTTTGGATGTTAGGGGATGGTAAGGGCAAGCATGATCATGCACGAGTAGCGGTCAAGAACACAAGAGGACGTTGTTTCGAAGAACTATTATATCTCCAGGAGATTCTACAAGAAGCTTGAAGCCGTAAAGGAAAGATACCGTCACGATTGCACGCTGAAATGTCCAGCCTCATACGTAAAAGGCGATTACAGAGTATAAATCCTGCATAGTATGCACCGAACTCTTTTTATTCAGGACGGCAGTGAAAGGTTCCGACCTGGAGCGTAGTCTAAAGTCTTTGTTTTAATGACCCGACAGGACATCGACTCTGTAGGCACTATAACGTTGAGCACTGCAGGTCGTACATGGAATGTATGCGCTAACGTTCCGGAGCAGAATATGGCTGCGCTGAAAGCTGCAGTCCATGCTGGACGTGGCTCAACATATACAGACAGGAAATGATAGATAGCATAAAACAGCGCCCTAGACATGGTCTCAACAGCGGCCCTGCTATGTATTAGTGCAATACAGCGGTAGATGCATAAAGCTATTCCAGAAAGCAAAATATCGAGCATGGATACCTCCGCCGTCTATACATTCACCCTTAGCTTCCAGCGGTTTTATATCGCATAAGGACATCATCCTTACCTCCGTCTTCGACTCGCATTATTTGCCCTTTCGTGGCCTTCATTTCTTCCATTTTTTTCTTTACTTTCACTTCCACCCACTCTTTAGCCAAGAAACATCACGGCACTCGACAACACGGACCAGCAACACACACACATACAGGCCCTTCGACTTGGCCATTCTCCGGATTCACCATCAGCGTTCTCAATAACTATAACCATCTCTACTCGATACGAAAGAGAACCGGCCAGTAGTCTATTTCCAGGAGAGAAACTTTTCAGTTTTCGAGGGTGTTAAGGATGTCCCTAAGGCTGGCGGAGCAGTTATATGCCTGACTGCCAACAGCGGTTCTACTCAGTGTGTTTTGAAAAGATTATATTGAGGTGGTTCGATCCATATGCTATCTACAAGAAAGATCTATTCAGGAGGGCTAATGTTAAAACGTTAGTCCAAGGTTCATTGTTGACCTTCCTGCAATGCCCTCCAGTCAGGATGTTGGCAAAGAAAAGAAGAGTCTGCCCGAATCATAATCATGAGCTCCCGAGTTGTGTCCAACAGGAGTACATCGGCCCTCGAGGTCTCAAAATGGCAGTGCCTGTGTTCAATTGCCATTGAGAACGGCATCTGTCCATAGTTGCTTGATGCTGCAGTTCTTCGTCAGTTGAATGCAAGATATGCCTGTAGAAGATTCCTCGCGTAGAAAAAGTCCGATGCGTGCAGTGAAAAATTCCAAGCCGATTGCAGCACAGCAAAAAAATAAAAATAAAAATTAGCTAGGATCTTGCTGATGAATGAGCAATAAGAAGTGATGGTGGATGTGTTCATTGCAATGCATCGCTTTCCGATCCACGTTGAGGCTTGTGATGGCAGGATGCATCTATTCCCATGTCCATAGTTATAATGAATGGTTCTTAGGAGTGAGGGTTGGTCGTTCCTGAAACCTTGACGAAGACGGCAGCGAGTTCGTGTTGTTCTACGATGGTTCAAGTGTTCAGATCCTAAAAAGAGAGCGAATGGAGGGTTTCATTGATTCACAATATATGACAAGGAGGAAAAAAAGCGAGGATTGACAAAAAAAAAAAAAAAAGCGGATAGAGACGGGCGATCGATGGGTTATGTGGACTTTGGTCTGAACCGAAAAGCTCCGTGTTTTGTGAACACTTCCAATAAAATGGACCCAACCCCTTCTAAATGCAATACCACAGCCAATTACAAACCGAGAGCCAAAGAGGACCACCAAAGGCGAAGTAGATTACACTTGCCTTACACACTATGAAAACGAAAAGGGACAGAAGCGATAGCCCAATCTGACGATATGCGGTTTGAACTGATACAGAAAAGAGTGAGGGATATTTTTTGCACTCCAGATGATTCTCAGTCTTCGAAAAAAAAGAGGGATTTTATTCTATGCTGGGCGTAGATAGCGAAAAATCGCTCACCAGAAAATTTTCTGGCGCGCTTAGTGCTTATGGGATTTATGCTTCACAATACCAGCATATTAGGTTTGAACGCAAACAATGAGGTGGAGGGACAGCAAAAATAACGCGTCCGTCATCGGAGGAATTGAGCGTGTATAGCAGCGGTCCATGGGCCCCTGAATAACAGTTGCCAGCCATGCCTTTGAGGGATTTTTTTTTCTGCAAGTAGAACAAACAAAAACAGAGAATACTGTCGCGCTGGACAGAAGAGCGATAAACGTGCTTCCTATACCGCAAATATGCATGAACAGGGACCGAGTTGAGGTTATGAAAAGGACAGCAGCCGAACTTTACAGCTTTCGGGATAGAGTCAAGCGAATATCACGAAATCAACAAGTGTGCATCTAAGTCGCGTTTAAATTATACAAATATGAATATAGAGTACAAAAGATGTGAGAAAAGTGCCATTGTGTGTTTTGAAGCCCATTGATGCGTGTAGAGTAGTCGAAGCAAAAAGTGAACTGGGGGGGGGGGAAAGAAGGGGGGATACAGCAAGAACTACGTGGACGCAAAGGATCGAGGCGATACGGGATGCCCCACGGCATTTAGAGCGTTGGGACATGCACATTGTAATCTTCTATAGCGAACAGATGACGGTTGTTGTTATGCGTAAAGTATATTTGTTTGACGAGCAAACGCCAGCAAGAGATGCGACAACGCTAGAAATGCATAAAACAAACGGTATCAAGCGACGGACAAAACTATAGATGCATAGAGAGAGTTGCGAGGATTCGTGCGGAGCGTGGTGCGAGAGCTTTGTTTGTATTGCGTTGGATGGGGTCCAGATCTTTTTATTTTACTTATTTCGGTCCGAGGTGCCGTAAGTTGCTACATAGAGAGCTGGTTCGCATAGGCAGGGGTTTCATGTTTGGAAGGAATAAACTACAGCGCGTTGCGAAATACGCACCGTAGACACTCCCTTCAAGTTCATTGAAGATGTGGAGAGCGTTTTGACGAAAGAATTGGAATCCCTAGGATTTTCTGAGAGTGGTGGGAGATGACTTCTGCTGAAGAAAGAGAAAGAGAATGTGCGGACCAAATGGTGTGGGTTGGTAAAGTGGATTATAGGAAGGAGCAACAACTAAGGATGAGACCTTCGCAGAGGATGTCCTTTATTTATACGTATCACTGACGATACCCATGCTAGCGAGAAAATATCGCATCGGTATGAGAAAGTACTCTTTTCTTGGACGACAATCGATAACCAGTTTTGTTCAACTCAAGAATGCGCATTTTTTCTTGGCCCTACAGCATCAGGGTTTGTGTTGGGAGTACGGAAGTTGACCTGCACCGAGTAACGACGAGAAAAGGAGTTCTTGGTAGTACATACGCCAGAGACGATTTCCACGCTCCATACAGTAGTAAATGAACAGGTAACTGTTTTCTGCAGGACGGCCGTACTTGTTTACAAGGCGAGGATAACAAAGACACAATTCTTTCAGCCCTCAATGATCGAGCTCGAGTAGAACACTTTCAATGCCTGACTTATAATCCTGGATATTCTTGCGCTGAAGCTTTTTTGAAGAAAAAGGAACTATCTAACACTTCTGCCTGCCCGGTCACAGTACTTTGGTGCGGTATAAAATATACAAGCATACGCGAAAACGTATTGTTGGTAAGCTACAGATAGTATGATGCGCGGTGAACCTCTGTTATTGATAAGCATACACTGGGTTGAAAGTGATCACCTATCCGCGGAGAAAGGCAGGGTGTTAGCTGTTGCTGCGATGCGAACCTGATCTGCGATGGCGCCGCTTAGCTGCACGCCATAAGCAAGGATCGTATTTTAGTTTTCAAACATACCTATATACCATTCCACAAATAAATACAGTGTTAGTGCGCTGCTCGTATGCACATCGTCGCGACTCTGCAGACATATAATGAAAGGAAAGTCTTTAGAAAACGTGTTTGCGATTGTTTGATGCGACTCAAACGAAACGCTTCCTCGGTACAAGGCACTAGTGGCTCCTTTCATCCAGACCTTGCATAATGTAAATGAGATACTGAACACGCCACCTGTAGACTCAGTTCTAGAGTCTTAGGAGTTTAGACTGTGTATATATTTCCGGAAATATAAGCTGAAGACGCGATATGCAAGGACTCCATCTATAGATCCTACATGTACCAATGTGTCCGTAATAAATTACAAAAAAGCACAGAGACCCCTTGAGACGTCTATAGTATCCTTGATTACAGGAGAGTAGGCAAATTCAAATCTATGGAAGGAATACGTATTGATACACCCAATTTTGATTGGGCGACCAGTTTGAAGTCCGGCAATCTTCGGTCCCCTGTTTGCACGTTCGACCCACCTTTTTTGTCCGAGGAATCAAACTCCTGCGCACCTTTGAGGCCATCAACACTTTACTGAAGCTGTGGCTAGCATGGCCTCGCACAAGAATATGAAATGTTTTACATCTTTGACAGCTCCTCTCCACATACATGCACTTGATTTAGTAAAATTGTCCACATGTGCCTCATAAAAAAAAAAAGAAAAGGACTTAGGCGCAGCACATCGGTTTAAGAGACCAGGGACAGGATTAGCTGCTTCGATGGGTTTCGTAGTGGCGTAAAGATAGAGCATTGGCCTGGAAAAAAATCGCGCAATGAAGTAAAGATTTCTTTCACAGTCTGCTCCAGTGAGAAATCCCTCCGGTTTAAAGTTGTAGTATCGAACTTTAGTGCACGGCTCATTGTGTGGCAGGGCGTACATATGGTTGAACACGAGGAAGAGAATAAGTTGCACAAAGGCGCATCATACATGAGCACAACTCGAAAGCATTGTAATGCTATGTTTTCTAATAATCTGTTCAGTCCAAAAAAAAAAAATCCCGCACCTTCGTTCAATCAAGTTCTTTGCAAACTAACGTAGACCTCTCTAACTCGAACTCATCAACTGAGTTGCATTCATCGATTGAAGCGGAATCATAACACTGAGAGTTTAGTAAAGATGAACACGCCCTCTGTGACCGCCAAACGCGCAAAGGTGGGACACAACCTGGGCTGTCCTTGTCCAACCAACCGCCAACATATGGTTCAAACTGGCCCTTTGGGTCTTGCTCCGCCAACTTTTCACTACCCTTTCTCATTTTCTAATAAATAGACACCCATCGTCCCCTCTATTTTTCTTCTTCTCTTCACCACACTATAGCTCGTCAGTTTGGACACTCTCTTTCTTCGACTGGGCATCTGAGGACATCTCCTACCTATCTTTTTCCTTCCTTACCGCACCACTCTGTCCTTTGTCATCCACATTTTGCAACATGTCCGACGATAAAGAAACCAAAAAGTCACCTGCTCTTGTCCGCACCCAGACCATGGAGCGAGCCCAAGGCAATGCCGTGCCCATCGAATTTCGAACCCTTTCCATCCACGTTACCGAGACCCAGCGCTCCAACAAGACCGGCGACTTCAAGGCCACCAAGGGCAAGGGTAAAGACAAGGGAAAGAGTGATGAAGGCCTCAACGCCGAGACTGACTTCTTTGCGACCGTTGATTTCCACAAGCTGACGCCCACCGAGATCGCCCTTCGCTTCAACTCGGACGAGGCCCTAGGCCTCGAGCAGGCCGAGGCCGAGCGGCGCCTTCGCACCAACGGTCCCAATACCCTCGATACCCGCAAGCCCAGCTATGTAAAGAAGGTTCTCGGTTATCTCTTTGGAGGCTTCTGTTTGGTGCTTTGGGTTGGTGTCATCACCTTCTTTGTCTGCTGGCAGCCTCCTCTGTCCAATCCTCCCAACCCCACCAACTTAGCTCTTGCTATTCTAGTTGTAAGTATCTCTCTTGCGCTTGCATCAATTACACTTGTGTTTTACTTTGGAGATAGCTGACTTGGGGTCCTTCTCTCTTGCATTGCTTGCCACAGATTTTCGTCATTTTCCTTCAAGCCTCTTTCTCTGCTTTTCAAGACTTCTCCACTGCGCGTGTCATGTCCTCGATCATGGATATGATCCCTGCCGACTGCATGGTCTTCCGCAATGGCCAACTGATCAAGATCCCCGCTGCCGAGCTTGTCATCGGCGACCGTGTTCATCTCTCGCTTGGAAACAAGGTCCCAGCTGACATGCGCCTTGTCCAGGCCTCGAACGACACTCGCTTTGACCGTGCAGTCTTGACCGGAGAGAGCGAGGCTATCGAGGCCTCCACCAGTGCGACCGACGACAATTTCCTAGAGTCCAAAAACATTGCCTTTATGGGTACTCACGTTGTCCAGGGCTCTTGTGTCGGTGTTGTTGTCTTGAAAGGCAACGATACTCTGATGGGTCGTATCAACAAACTCACCTCTGGTCGCAAGGAGAAGACGACAATCATCCACCAGGAGATCACCCGCTTTGTCCGCATCATCGTTTGCATGACGGTTCTCCTTGCCATCTTGATTCTCGCTGTCTGGGCTTCCTGGATTCACCGTTTGTATCCCGATTTCCTGCCCGTTCCCGTCCTCCTCGTCACTTTGATGGGCTGCGTTGTCGCTTTCATTCCTGAAGGTAAAAAAAATTGATGGAAGAAAACGCGTAAAAAATGGAGTGACATCAGCGACCATAGAAAACACGTGAGAAAAATGAAGATCATTGCTGATCTCTCTCCTCTCCATTTTAGGCATGCCCGTCTGTGTCTCCTTGACGCTGTTGATGATCGCCCGCAGGATGCGCGCCAACAACATCTTGCCCAAGGCCCTGACCACTGTCGAGACCCTCGGCTGTGTCAACGTCATCTGCTCCGATAAGACTGGGACTTTGACCGAGAACAAGATGTTTGTAACCAACATCGCCTTCCTTGACCACGAGTCCACCCCCGAAGAGGCTCAGGCCAGGCTCAAGAAGGAGGTCAAGCCAAATAGCTTGGTACAACTCAGTGATAGTGCCCAGACCTTGGCCCTCCGCCAGCTCCAGTTAGCCACTCTTCTCTGCAACAACGCCAAGTTTGATCAGGAGGTCATGAACCTGCCCGTCCCTGAGCGAACTGTATACGGCGATGCTACGGACAGTGCCCTCTTGCGGTTCTCAGCCCAAGTTGCGAACACGGATGTCCTTGCTCCCTGCTTTGAGCGTACCCATGAAATCCCCTTCAACTCTCGCAATAAGTGGATGATGGCTGTCTACCAGGGTTCTGCCCAACAGCCCCAGGTAATCAAGACCCTCTTTGGTCCTGACATTATCAGCTCCGTCAAGACCGCCAACGAGAAGGAATTCCAGCTCGTCTTTGTCAAGGGTGCTCCCGATGTTCTCTTGCCCTACTGCACTTCGTTCTTGTCAGGCACCTCCAACTCGTCTGAGTCCCTCACTACCGCATGGATCGACGAGCTTTCTCGCATTCAGCAATCGTGGTCTCGTCGTGGTCAGCGCGTCTTGATGCTCTGCAAGGGCCGCTTCAACCCTTACTTTGCTGGTTCTGCAAGGGAGACATCCAACAACAGTGGTTTTCAGGAGGAGTTGATACGCCAGGGCCTTCAAGAATTGTGCATCATTGGCCTTGTCGGTATCATGGATCCGCCTCGTCCTGAGATCAAAGACACCATTGCTGCCTGCCGTAGCGCCGGGGCGCGCTTCTTCATGGTCACTGGTGACTTCGGTTTGACTGCTGCCGCCATTGCAAAGCAGATTGGACTGTTCAGTTCGAACCGCGAGCCTGATACCTACGAGGACATTGTCGATCCCACCCGCAAGGGCAACAAGCTTGATTCTAAGGGATCCTTCGACGATCTTGGTGAATACGAGATCGGCCGTCCCCGCTTTCGTGAGGGCAGTTCGTTGGTCCTGACCGGGTCTGACCTTTCAAGGATGAGCCCCGGAGAGTGGGACTTGGTTTGCGCCTATGAAGAGATCGTCTTTGCCCGTACCTCACCCGAGCAGAAACTGAAGATCGTGTCCGAGTTCCAGCAGCGCGATGGTGTCGTTGCAGTGACCGGTGATGGTGTCAACGATGCTCCCGCTCTGAAGGCTGCCGATGTCGGCATTGCTGTTGTCTCTGGATCAGACGTTGCCATCGAGGCTGCAGACTTGATCTTGCTCGGTGGTTTCGACTCGATCCCTATTGCTATGCGTCTTGGTCGCATTGTCTTCCAGAACTTGCAAAAGGTCATTGGTTACTTGCTGCCCGCTGGTTCCTGGTCCGAGATCTGGCCTGTGCTGATCAATACATTCCTTGGGACGCCCCTGTCGCTGTCCTCGTTCTTGATGATCGTCATCTGCTGCTTCACCGATGGCTTCCCTTGCACTGCCCTCGTCATGGAGCAGGAAGAGTTCGATCTCTTGTCCCAGCCCCCTCGTAACGCGAAGAAGGAGCATTTGATCACCTCAAAGATCTATCTTCAGTCCTATATCTTCATCGGCAGCGTCATGACCTTCTTCAGCAACATGTTGTTCTACACGTACTTGAAGGAGTACACTGGCCTTGCATTCAAGGATCTCGTTCTCACCTTTGGAGAAATCGACTACTCGAAATTGCACCCAGGCATTACCCCAAGCGAATTTAACAACTATTATGTCAACACCGGTCAGTGCGTTACCTTCATTGCCCTGGTGATCATGCAATGGGGCAATGTCCTCTCAATCCGAAACCGTCGCATGTCGATCCTCCAGGCTGATCCCATTCGCGAGAAGCGTCGCAACTTGTGGTTGTTCTTGGGCATGTTCTGCTCGTTGGCTGTCGCCATCCTTGTTACGGAGGTTCCCGCCATCAACGAGGTCATGTTGACCAACCCCGTGCCCATCAAGTACTGGTTGCTCCCCATCCCTTGCGCCTTCGCCGTCTTGTTATTGGACGAGATGCGCAAGGCGATGCTCCGCGCCTTCCCCAGGAGCATTTTTGGCAAGCTCGCCTGGTAAACCAAACACGGCGGCTTTATTACTTCGCCCATTTCTTTTTCTTTTTTCGTCTTAACACGCGTTTATCCATACGCACCAAATACCCCTTCCCCCCTCGTATAGCCCATACACTAGTAGAACATTTTTTTCCTTTTATTCCCACGTTCATAGTTCATTGCAAACGCACCACAATTGTAATAACATACAGAAATGTCAATGCAATATGAAGTCATTAAAGTGCTTTGAAATATATCTTCACCTTGCGTGGCAACAGGTATGGGTTCATATGCTTTTTATGATGAGGAGCGAAGGGGCACAGCGTACCCCTTTGGGAAGGTTTCGTGCATGAGATGTAGTCTACAACAATGATGAAAGAATGGATCGGGATAAAAGTCATGACAGTTTTAAAAACGATAAAATAGTATGCAGCTATTTTGGCAATAATAAATCAAAAGTGAAGAGAAGAAAGAAGAAATAAAAAAAAGGCCCCTAGGCGACCTGCGCCTGCATCGCGGTCTTGGGCTCGAACGGTCTCTGCTGCTCCGGCTGCTGTTGCTTTTGTTGCTGCAACCCAATCTGGGACTCCTCCTCCTCCAACTTGTCAATGATGACCCATCCAACCGCGCCATCCTGAACGGGCTCCAGCATGACCCATCCACTGTCCTGTCCGGCCATGTGCTCGATGCACATCCAAGGGAATATCTCGTCCATCGACTCCACCGTTCTGGTCATCACATCTTGCCGCTTCACGCCATAGGGCAACAACCTTCGTTTGCGTCCACCATTGGTATTGCTTGGCAGAGTCTGGGCACTCTTCTTCATCGACTTATTCTTCTTTCCAAATAATCGACTTCCGCTCTTGATCTCGAAGGTCGAGGATCCCGAGACTACAGGCTTATCGAGACGAGGGGCTGGCGATGAGGATGAAAACAAGCCATGTCCACCACCACCAACAGCAACTGATCCAGGCTGCTTCGCGATACTGAAGCCCGACAAAGGAGCTTCCCCGCCCGGAGATGAGACTGGTGAAGATCTGTTGTACATATTCTTCTGAGCACTGTCGCGTCCTTCGCCATCCCCCGAGAGCAATTCGATTGACCGAGCCGACTTGAGACTGCCGCTCGGGCTGGGATCCGGGCTCGGGTAAGGCTGTTGTTGTTGTCGTGATGTCATATTTAGCTTGCTTGTGATCACTGGAGGGCAAATGTGAGAATCCAACTGGGGGTGAGTCGATCCCTTGGCAAACGAGCCGCTGCTGATGACCGTCGGTTGTCCTGGTCTGCTCTTGAGTGCCTCCATTGCCTTGGGATCGTTGGCCAGGGCCATAAAACTCTCCCTCGCGACCTGCATAGCTGCTGCTCTCTGCGCTGGGCTCGGTCCTTGTTCCTGAGTGGTCGTGTTCCTTGTCGCTTGACCTAGCTGTCCCCGAAGATCCACGGAGGCGTTGCGCGAGTTGACTTTCGTTGTCTGTTCGCCTTGGGGTCGAGTCACCTCTGGCCCCGTTGCTGCCGCTGCGATCGAGCTCTGCTTCCGAGGATCCACCGGGGACTTTCCAATTGAATGAATTCCGGACTTGAACTGCTCCGGTTCAGCGAAGAAATCAGATTTGAACCCTAGTTCCGAAAACTGGTCCCATTGCACCTGGTAGTAGAGCTTACCATCCTTCAGGAGAGTTGCGGTCGAGAAATGATATTCTTTCTCAGCCGCAGCGGTCTTCTTGGGGATGCTTGACTCTGATGATGGTGACAATGGTGTCTCTTGAGTAGACACGGCGTTGTTCACAACGGAAACAATGCGTGGCAATGCTTCCTGTTGCTTTTGTTGCCGTGATGTAGATCGACCTATGGGTTCCTCCGTCGTAGAGCCACTAGCATCTGTAGCAGAGTAAGAATCATTAGCAAGGAGCCCTATTTTCAGCACTAGTAGGTGATCGCTGTAGATTTTGTGGTCAACATACCGTTCTTCTTGCTAGCTGCGGTCGTCTGCAGAGGACCAATGGGAGGAGAGGCCTCCTTCTTGAGCTGTTGAAACTGTGACCTATTTAAACTATCACTCGACTTAATCATCGCCTCCGATGCACGACGCATGAGAGTCAATCCATTGGGTCGAAGGTCCTGCTGAGCTAATCCAGCCGTGCCGTTGTTGATATTGATAGGGAGAGATGCTAGCGCCTGGCGTCTCCAGCTCTCCAATACATCTGCTCCGTTTGCTCCCTGATGCATCAGTGCAGGGGCTGAGGTTGGTGGGAGATGTTCCTCAGGAACATCATCAGGGCCCAGCTCAGTCGAGGTCAGAGAATCTCCCATGAAGCTAAGTTCCAGACGAGGAGGTTCAAATGACACAGCTGGGGCCGTAGTGATAGTGCCGACAGCTTGGTTGTTGATTCGCACGGGTTTTAACTGGTCGTCGCTCTGCTTGGATCGCAGCTTGAAAGAAAGCGCTCGAATGAAACCAGTCTTTGGCCTGCCATCGCCAGTAGAGGGCTGAGAGGACGTTGTAGATGTTGCAGAGAAAGTGACATTCTGCTGAGTAGGTGCTGTATGAGGTCTGCTTGGACGAGAAGCAGATGTAGGGGAAGTTGGCGACGTGATGCTGTCCCCACTCCTAGTGCTGATTCCAGTGAGTGAACGCTTGGGCCCTCCCTGGTTATGGGTATGAGTATATCCTATTGGGGGTGAGATTGGTCGCTCTGGGAAGTTCTCATGGAATTTAGACTTGAGCCCTGGCTTGGGTGACAATGGAGCCTCCTTGGGGATCGGGGCAAAGATCACGCTGACCTCAACATCCTTAGGGCGCGAGACGACCTCGAAAGCCTTTGGAGCATTACTGGCGCTAACCTCAGGCTCGTTTATGGATGCGATGGACTGTCGTCGCTGTAGCGAAGGCTTCAACTCTGGGACGGACAGCTTATCTGACAACGACGGGAACTCAACGATGTTGTACATGGTCCGTGGCCGATCAGCCTTAGGAAAGGATACGGGGGCTGGTCGTTCTAAATCCTGAGGAGACAACTGGAGAGAGAACACGGAGCTGGCGCGAGAAGGCTCCTGGTGATCTGCATTCCTGACCTCAAGCAGTTGCATGTGAATGCCTTCGATTACGAGGTCCCTCTCTGCCTGAAGTGCGAGCTCTTGGGCCAAGAGATCAGCTTGCAGCGAATCAGACCACATATGAGCGCGTCCATTCAGGGTAGCGGGGTTGATAGAGATTGATCGACGAGAGGCGGAGTTGCGCTTTGAGTGATGAGGCCTAAATGAAGGAGAAGTTCTCGGAGGGTGATGGTAGATTGCAGGGCTAGCGCGAACTCGGAGCGGGGTGATAGTACGGGTAATGGCGCTCGGTGGTGGCGAGATGGGTGGGGGAGGGAAATTGCGCGCTGACAGGTCCTGCTGCCATGGAGCGGAAAGGGATGAAGACGACTTGGCTTGATGCTTCTCTTGGAGTTGGCGGAGACGCAGCGAGGTAAGCTGCTGCTTTGACAATTCGCGGATGTTACGGGGAGAGTCTGAGGGGGCAGGCCCATTGGGCTCAAGACCACTTGCGTCGCTACTAGCGCTGTTTGAGCGATTCATGCCATGCTTGTCGTCTGTTTCTAGCTCCGCCTGGAAGCTGGCCAGGGATGGCATTTCGGTTGAGTTCATGGCAACGTTCTTGCTGAAGTCCCAACCGAGACCGTCTGCGAAATCTGGGATTAATAAATCGTGGGAATCTTCATCCTCATGAGGATGGGACACTTCTGGGTCAGATTCGTAGCCGTCGGGGGGAGCTGCGGCATCCAATGGCAGCATGTAAAGGCTTTCCATATCGGCGACAGAAGAGCGCCGACGAAGACTTTCTGCCGGCCTCAGGAAGTTGTTGCGGTCTTGGCGGAGTTTTTGGAGATGCGATCGATCTTGCATGAGCTCCTCATACTCGGAGATATCATCCGCATTGTATGGCGAAGGCGAGGTGCGCCCTGAGACAAGGGTGCCAGACTTGGCCAGAGATTGAGATCGTGACAATGACGAGCCGTACGTTCCATCAGCCTGTGAAAGAGGTGACCCCGATCGCGGAAGGTCAAAGTATCCATTGGCGCCAGGGTAATGAGAGGCAGCACTCATGGGGCCAGGGGACGTGCCCCAGCCCGCAGAGCCCGGAAGACTTGAGCCAGCGCTGGAGGGGACAGAGATGTCGAGGCCCGATGGCAGGTTAATGTTGTGGGGGCTCCGTCCACTCTCGTTGGTACGCTGACGAGCACTCTTGAGCACACGGGTTTCGTTGCAGATGTATCTGTTCTCGTCAACTTCTTCTTCCTGATCGATCTTGGCTAGGTCGTGTGTAGTCTTAATGCGAAGAAAGGCGCGCAGGAGATCCTCGCAAGCGGCCCCCCAGAGGTTACGTTGCTGGAGCGAGGCGTCAAATGTACTGAACTCACGTTCCGGTCCGGCCATGATGCTGAGCGAGATTGCCTTGGCGACTGCAACAAGGGTCATGTTGTTAAGATGAGCTAACAATGTGACATCAGCACAGAGGGAAAATAGATCCAGGAGGATCGCGCGGTTGGTGGGTGGCAGGTCGCGAGCGAATCTTGTGAAGTTCCGGTCTATTACAAAGATGACAAACATCGGGCGTCAGGACACTGTGCTTTCTTTAGACATGTAGATGCAGATAGTTTGTTCGCGTAGTGTACCTTGTTCAATATACAACGCTTGATAGTCTTCGTAGGCGACGAGAATCTCCTCCGAGTACCGGATGGCCCACTTCATAGCATGGGCGACCAGGTGGATATCGATTTGATGCAGGGGCGAGAGTTCAGTAGAGGCATCATCGTCCAGGATCATGCGTATCGTGTCGATGATGACCCTTTGGCTCTGTGCCATCTGAACCTGACGAAGGATTCCCTTTGTTGTCAGTCCTAATGTGCGGACCAGAGAATTCATAATTAGCATACATGTCTTGACCTGAACTTTCAGCGTTTCCACGATGTACTGGAACGCGAAACTTGCCTCGTTCACGAATTTCCTTCACACAGCGCTTCACAATCAGCAATGTCATCTCCATTGATAGATCTGGCAAGGCGTCATGAGGGTCTGCGGCTTCATCTGCAAAGACCTTGGAAATGAGACCCTTCTTTTGGGTGCTCTTGGACCGACGAAGGTTACCATTGCTTGTGGAGCGCAAAAGACTACCCTGGCGCGAGAGGGATGTGATAGCTGATGGCTCAAGCGTCTTGGCTCGCGAGATGCTGCTGGACGCTGTATAGACGCTGATGCCACTGGAGGTCATGATGTTGTTGCTGGTACTGCCACTGCTGGCTGGGCCCTTGAACTGCTCGCGCAAGCTCTTGGCACTCGAGACAAGTCGAATAGACATGGCGATGTGGTATGGAGCTGTAAGTGTTCAAGCGGAGGAGCAAGAGACGACGGCGGGGAGAGTGCTAGTCGAAAGTTGGGCGAGGTCGAAGTTGTGGTTCCTGAGTGTTGCAAGGCGAAAATTGGTGGCGACAGAAAACACATTCACGTATGCAAGAGACACGATACCCCATTCATAACACAAACAGGCAGGTTAGGACAGTCAGTACACACACAAGAAAAAAGGAAGGGAGAAGAGACTATGGTTAGTGACAGATGCCAATATGGGCCAAGTTCATGGACTTAGGTGTGTTCTGAGGGTTAGTAATGGTCGAGCGGGACATTCACACACAACAGTCAGAGGGATGCGCAATGCATTTCGCAGAACGAGAAGGAGTTGGTGTGTATGAGTTGCAATGGAAGAGAAAAAAAAAAAAAAAAAGGAAAGGAGGACAAGGTGTAGTAGCTGCCTGTTTAGAGTAGCGTAATAAAGGGGAGCCAGGAAGGACGGAGAGGGAATGTATGTGCTAAATGTGTGAATGTATAAAGAGCCAAGTAATCTGCAGACGGTACACGGAGCCAGAAAAGAGTGGCATAATGTAGGGGGGGGGATGTGAGAGTTGGTGTAGCAAATCGTTATTGGCCACAAAGTGGTCAGTGCACCTGGATTTAGTAGGTTGCGTCGTACGAGCTTGGATTAAATAGGTGGGCAGCCCTGTTGATGCTAATTTCAACCAGCAAACAGCTGAGACATGCACTCACGCACGAAGCTGTTTTTATGTATCCATTGCTCTGTGGCCCTCTTTCCCACTCTCAGACCGTTAGCCGCCACCGATGGTTGTGAAGAGGAAGAAAGGAAAGAAGGGCCACGAACAAGGAAGGCAGCTGCTGCTGCTGCTGCTGCGAGCTCGAAACAAAATAGGAAATCGAAATATAAAAACAAATGAGAGCAACAATCGCTGAGCTCAAGAGGCATAAGTTAACAGACCGAAGGAACGACTATCGAAGAGAAGCGGATATAAAAAAACCGGTAGAAAAGGCTCGTGGCAAGGAAGGAGATGGCAATGATGTTTTTTTTTATATATATAAAATAACGGGCTTATTTGAGGAGTCGGGACAGAGAGCGCCATGCCGATAATGAAAACGTACTCTGCTGTGGACGCCTGTGTCCTCGGTACAGGCCAAGAAAAACAAAAAGAGAAAGCGAATTGCAGATGGTAATAGGCGGTATTGGGCAATGTGGTGGTGTTGAAGTTGATGCAACAGAAGTCAGGGAAAGAAGGCATTGCTGTAGCATCTCTTTGGATCGGTCACGGCCGAAAAACAAGTATCCCCAACCTTGTTTCCTTTAAGATGCACTCTCTCAATACATAAATAAGCTTGGCTGAATAAAGGGCAAGGGGGGCATGCAGAGGACGTAAAAAAATATGAAGAGTCATGCCATGCCTGTATGTGCAAAACATCATTGAGCAGCTCCGATATCACCCATGACGGTCCGCAACCTTTGCTTCGCTAGCTAAATAATAGTACTGCTGATAGATATTGCTCGGTCATCTTACCTTTAAATTGTGGTGTCAGAACTTGAATGTCCGTGAAATGGTTCGAGAGTAGTGTAGTGTTGTGGATAGACTAGAGGACTGAGGTCAGCAAGACGGTAAAATGGACAAGGTGTCAGAACTATCCATGTCCATGAGTACAGGTGTGAGGTGGGAAATAGAAGGGATGCAGGAGAAAAGGCAATGTACTATGCGCATTCAAAGAGCGGGTTCGCAACGGATGGTGATTGGTAAAAAAGAGCATTCGCGACGAAGGTCAAGGATAAAGGGTACAGCATGAGCAGCGCAAAAGAGAATGGGGAGACAGGGAGACAGCACAAAGGGAGCTGAAAGGAGATGGAGATAATCAAGGAGGTATCGAAAAAAAAAAAAAAAAAGCAGACTCCAGCGGCGCGTAAGAAACGTTCGGGTTAAGTCATACATAACAGAAACAGAGCGTGCGAGGAAGTGTATCTGGGGAGAAAGCGGAGAACTGACAAGAGAGATTACCACATGGCGCTGTGTAGTTGGCATTCTCGTATTAGCTGATCATCGCGTCCCGTTCGGTTCCACAGTCCCTACATCGACCAAAGAACCGACTCAACAATGGAGGGTGGGTGGGGGGGGAGGGGGGGGGACGGAACCCCTTGGTTTTGGAGCGAGGATATGTATGGTGGACTGTATATCCGCCTGCACTCACGCAGGAGTATGCAGGACAGACCAATGAAGGGAGAGTAAGGTGGGGGATGCATGGGCAGTTACAACTACAAGCGCCAATGCCAGCTCGCTCCGGCTCCATGGTGAGGGATTAAGGAGAAGGGAGCAACTGTCTCAGTTGTCGCATAACGACTGTCCATCTTCGCACCAGATATCAACTGGTGAAAACGGTAATACAATAAAAAAAAAATGGAGCTGTGCGTGGTACGAGAGCGGAACAGAAATATGAAAAGGTACAATTGTTTGGACGAACGTTGCAAAGCGCTCGTTGCTTCCAAGATTCAGGCCATCAAACCAGGGGCAAATTGGACCGATGTTGACGCAGAATTAAATTCCTGTGGTGCCGAGCGCGTGGAAATTAAGAGTGTACCACAACAGTTGGTGGAGACTATACCTGTGTGTACTAGCGGCACTTTTGTGTGTTTTTCTTTGGGAATGCTTTGAATTAAAGATAAATTTGAGTACAGCGAAAAGGTCGAGGGAGGGAGTGTGTAAAGCGAGGTGGAAGTAGTGAATGTGTATTGGTTTAATGGAATGGGGGAATGGACGTGTGTAAGGCAGTATTGATAAGAAAAAATAATGCAGAGAGACGTGCGGATAATAATGAAAAAGATATTAGGGATTATGGGTATTGAGGTAAGGGTGGTGCAGGGGAGTCCAGGTGGCAAGGATTGTATTTATACAATTATTTTTTTATTTGAAGATGTGCAGATCAGGGTTCTGTTCAGAGGGAGGATACGATATACGACAGGGTTGGATGGGGATCACTCTTGTGTTTGAGATATCGGACTTCCAGGTACCTTTGTTTGTCTCTTGTTACCATGGGTTGTTGGATGTTGTTATTAGACCATTGTTGTCTGTATTGTTTGCCGTAACATCCCTTTTGTGTCCGGGATAAATGCAATCAGCTCATCCAAAAAAAGCACCCGGAAGCCTTGTGCAGCAACACAAACAACAAGAGGCGGATTTCCTTCATCCAACAAGGGCCTGACTGTAAACAAATGAGCAAGACGAATAACTGACGACATGCCCTAGCGACTTCAACCGTATCAAAAAGTCCTGCTGCATTCTTTCAGAAGTCCTAGCATGCGATGCAGACAGAGAGCCACGCCATTCGTACGACTTTTGGACTCCCAGTAGCCCATCCAACGATGTTTCCCTGCTTTATCCGCCATAGACTACTGTATGTACCATCAAGTAAAGCCCATCCTTTAATCCATTGAGGTCTCAGTTAATAAAGTTGTATAGACCATTGTGGGCGTAAATACTACCCTAGCACCGGGTTCTCTACTCCTAGGGAGCAAGGGGCCAATGAAAATGGACCGCCAAGTAACCTGCGCTCAAATGCGTCCTGCGAGAAAGCGTCTAAGGTGTTGTCGAGGAACGTGCGTTACTGGGGAATGGGTGGCGGGACACAACAAGCCAGCAAATGGCCAGGGCATAAATGGGATGATGAAGATCTCACAGCGTGCTGCAGAAGGGAGCAGCTTTTTCAGGCTGGGTTGTCTGTGCCTGAACTCCATCTGTTCTGCTGGACAGGGATCGGAGTTGGGCCTGGGGTCGCAGGAATGAGTTTAGACAAGGTTCAGGGTGCACAAGAATAGAGGCAGTTCCTTCTATGAAGGACCATCAAAGATCCAACTGAAGGACAGCAACAAAAAAAAACAATGACGAATCCCATGGCTATAGCTACAGCAGCAAGACAAGTTCCCGATCCATTTACATCGATTGTTGATGGATGTTTACGACCCAGGTCGTGTTCGTATTCTTCATCCGACAGTAGATTCACTTGGCCCGTGGAGTATGCGCTCGTGGAATGTGGATAACTGGAGTTGTCATTAGTCTAGCATCAAACAACTCCGCGGTCCTAAAGGGGAATCATAAGCGTGCTTGATTGGTGAACGCTGCTGCCCATGAGCCTCTGTTGGCGATCTCCACGGATTTACGGCCCTGTTTATACCGCAAATCTTCCCACTTTCCCTCATATCTCCGTCCTTTGGTCCTTTTTCGCGTCTTGATGCGGATCGATGTTCTAACGGAAGCAGACGATTGTCGTTGCGCTCCAGTCTTTCACGTTCCTTTTGCTATCATAACGAGCGAGAGTAATCATCCATGCTACACTTCTCAATTTCATCATTGCCACTAATCTGGGCTCATTCCACCCAAATTCTTGTCCCACATCGGACAATCCCATGCTGTCTGTTCAACCCCAACGCAATAAATGAACATGACTTCAGCATCAGTGTGGTCCATGTCCCAGCTCGAGTTTGAGCTCTTGCCACATGGCGCTTCTTGGGGGCTCACACATCATTTCCACAGTCTTCGAGTTCAGCTCTGCTGGTATACAGATGCAGTAGAAAGCTCATGACAAAGCAAGCTGCCGTCAAAGGGAAGATAAGCCCAGTGAATCTCATGTGCTTTTATATACATATATATATATATAGGTCGCCAGATGAATTCAGCATGCCGAAAGGAAATCATGAGTGCCTCTGGTTAGAGTCAGCCCTTTGATTATACAAGACATGATGCTCTACAACGCTTGTACCGTAGCAATAATACAGCTGGGCGAGTTTCCGTAGATAACGACCTTCACTAGACCTAGCGAAGATAATCCTTGATGAACTTCACTTTAATAGATGAAGCACGAACGCAATGCTTCAGATGCATTATACTACGGTAATCTTTGCTGATGTTCCTGGGAGATTCGATCCCAAGGCAGGGAGAAGAAGAGAGATCGTGCGGTAACTCGGTATTTATGCATGGGAAGCAACACGCCCCATTACAGGCATTGCAGCACAGGCAGGGGTAAGGCATGTACACACGTGGAGGAGAGCACGAAAGGGAGAGTTCGCATTCCATTTTCGGTTTCTGGAGGAACCTTGGGAGGCCAGGTTACCGGTTTCAGTTCAATTTGCGGAAACGGCTTTTCCACGCTTCGATGGGTTTCAGGTTATTTAACATAAGGTTTCAGGTACGGAACACCATGGTACCTGACGGACTGTCTACTGCATGTGGCGTTGTGCAAGTCCTGGTGCCTGCATTCATTTCATCCTCGCTTTTACACACCCGCTCGCTACACAGGCATAAAGGCATAGGAACATGACAGTGAACGAAAAGAGCGGTGCGTTAGCCGTTTATCGATCAAATGCTTAAGTACGCATAAAGCGAACAGGCGAACGTGCTCTCACCCTTCTTTGTACTCCATAGAAACAGAGCAGATGCTGGCGCTGAGTGGTCTGACACTTGTGTTCTTATAAAACCAAAAAAGACTTTTCGGTGCTCCATCAGCCTTTTGTCCTCACTCTCCACCACCACCGCAGCGAACAAGCCAAAACCGCAGCTCCTTGACTTTGGCTCGCTTGTTGATCTCAGGAACTGATTCAGGACAGACCGAATCAACCCAATAAAGAGACATCATCTCTTTCACTCATCGCCATTACTTTCCTCCCAACATTGCATCACCATGTCGTTCACAGCAAGGACAGGTTTCCTTAAGGCAGACTTTGTCATGTCGACAATTCTCTGTATCCTCGGACTTATTGTGCTCGGTACCATGTCTAGGAACAGCTACTGGAAGTACGCCTCCTTTTCTTTTTGTATATATTCCTAAACAGAACATTTGCGCGTTAGACTTATCCTATTGACTCGTCCCATCTTTCTTTTTTAATGCTCATATTCCTTCCATCCTACCGTAGGATGCCCGGCGATACCAGCATCTGCCTGCTCCTCGGGAACCCGAGGACCCTTACTTTTCACTCGTCCGCCTGCGTCTTCACCATCTTTGTTGGGTAAGAGTTCTGCTTCTACCTGGACAGAAAGCACACAGACTTGCAAGATCGTCCCTTCAAACTTTATGTGACACTCTAGACTGACTTCAGGACTAACCGCGCGCTTTGCCTTAATCATCTCCATATATTTCCCCTCCGTAGGTTCATGATCGCTGCAGGAGGCGTAGGATTGTTTGCCATGGATTACGTCACCTGGAAGCGCTCAGAACGATTCAAGGGCAAGCGTGCATCGGTTGCCGTACGTTTTTGAAAAATCCCCCCCCCCCCCCCTCCCCTGCTTCAGTAAGGAGTCGGTGGTTGTTGTTCAAGCAGAAGCACTAATGCACACACGATCTTTTTTTTTTTTTTGTCTTTGCCTTTTTGTAGGCCCTGTTGATCTCTCCGCTCATGTCGTTCTTTGCGTTCTCGACCGCGATCGTCATCGGAGTCGGCATCAGAAACTTTTGTAACCAATACGATATCCAGGGCGTGCCTGCTCCAGAACGCTGCCACAAAGAAAGTAAGAACCGCTACTACTCACCATTCTCCTTGACTGCCATACTTTTTTTGTTTCTCTCTTTATTATTATTGTCGCAACGTGGATTAACACTAACGCTGCCTCTCCCCTTCCTCCCCTATTCTATAACCAGTTGATAACATCGCGGGATTGCAGGCGGGAGTGAGCGCAGCAACCCTTGCAGGGTTCTTGTTCGCGTTCTATGGATTCAGCGAGTATGCGCAATACCGCCGTCGACATATCCAGGGAGATAAGGTAAATAGAACTTCAGTTCACGTAAAAGAAAGTGCTGGAAAGGATTCTGTGGTATGGTGCTGGTGGTATTGTGCTAATTGCTCGCTTTTTTTTTTTTTACGTGTTTTGGAATAGTGGTAAATTCATGCTAAAAGGGCGGCGCTGGAAGTCGCCCTTTTAACACACACAAATGAATATTTAAACGTAATAATTCCCCTTTTGCAATAATAATAATAATAAAAAGTCAAGAGATTATGTATGGATCAGGGCAGTTGATGCCCGCTTGAATATATTTTCACATTTTTCTGGTATAGACTACTGGTTACTATTGGTATAGGGTGGAGAAAATATTTATAATAGTGGATGGATAGGGGTATTGGGGGGGCTATTCTTAAAATACAGGACCAACCTCTGCCTTGGGCAGGGATTGGATCGGCTCGTGGATGGGTTCTTCCATCGTCGGAGAGTTCGTTGCGGCCGTTGACGTGGTCGAGGCACTGGTCACCGAGGACGAAGAGTTCGATGACCAGTGGCGCTCTGCCGGGTCATGGCCGTCTCCGCCCTCACCCTCACCCTCACCTTCACCGTCGCCGTGCTCGCTCGCCAGGTGAATCAAACCGTCGACTGAGGGCGGATGCATCCTCGGGCCGCCCTTGCCCTGTTGCTGCAAGAGGTGATGGTTTTGGATCTGATGGAAGTTTCCGCCGCTCGTCATCATGCTCCCGCCTGCAGGAGTCGACGGCTGGGCGCTGTAGCTGTTGCTTCGCGTGGCAAGGACTCGAGCCTGGCTCGCCTGGGTGTGCACAGAGGCCAAACGCTCGTACACATTTTGGTTGTCGTCCCAGGATCCGCTGATGCGACGCGCCGCGCTGTTGTTGTGGTGATGCGTGTGGTAGGTCTCCATTGGGCCCTGATGGTGATGGGGCTGGCCATATCCATCTTGAAATCCTGCCGCGTGCGCCATGTTGGTCGCTGTCGGCGTCGTCGTTGTCATGCCGACTCGACTGAGGGGTCGGGCATTACCGCCCTGGTTTCTGATACTCTGGCTCACAAAGCCGGTATTGTCAGAGTCCGAGCGTGGCAGACGCTTGCCAACCAGTGCGGGACTGGGGGTGCTGGCGCGGCGACTGTCGTAGATCTGGCGCTGACTGTTTAGAGGTTGTTGGTGGCTCTTGGCGTGTCGAAGGGTATGTTGAGGAGGATGGCCGTTGGAGAATCCGGTCTGGATGGTCAAGGGAGTACCGCCATGTCGAGGGTGATGCTGAGCAGGCAAAGGTGGGGGTGCATCTGCGTTCGAGTTGTAGCCCGCGCTGTACCGTGGTCGAGCTGAAGACTTTGGACCGATGGCAGGGCTTGAAGCCGGGGTCGAGCTACGTCGAAGGGCAACAGCCTCCGCAGACCTTGGAGCAACGGCAGGGCCAGGCACCGGGGTTGAGCTGCGTCGAAGGGCGACTGCATCTGCGTTCGGACGAAGAGCTCCGGATGAGATGCGGTGCATGCTCGAGGAGCTGCGACTGTTGGCAATGGCCAATCCCTGGCCGCCTCCACTACCACCGCTGCTGCTTCCTCCGCGTCGGTGTCCGTACATCGAAGTGTTGCCTCGCTCCTTAGCCTCTACGCGCTCCTGCAACGCCTTGTTGCTGATCGAGCTAGTGCTGACGGAACGAGCCAAGCGATGGCGCTGCTGTTGCTGTTGCTGCAGCTGCTGGTGCTGCTCCTGCTCCTGTCCTTGAGGGCGCTGTTCCTGTTCTTGAGGAGCAGGCTCTTCCATGTCAGCGGCAGGGATGCCAGCCCAGGAAACGCGGCGCTCGTGGTTGGCAATAAGCATGCGAGAGAATTCGCCACCGGTTCCACCGACCTTGGGTGAGCTTTCGTCTGAGGTCTTGATGGCGTCCTCATAAAGCAGGTCAAAGATCGTAGAGGCGCGCTTTGCCTTGACGTCCAAGACGGCCTCTGCAGCGGATCCCGATAGAGGGAGAGCATTATCGGGCAAAGGAGTCCACGACTGGTCCTTGGACTCGTCCCTGTTCAAGATAGCCGACTGCATCTCATCTCCTCCGAAAGCAGCACGGCTCAACCTGGCGACCTCAGCGTCGTTCTCATCCTCTTCAGAGGAGCCATCGGCATGAGGTCTGGGAGACAGATCGCTGGAGGATCCTCCAAGCTGGCGCAGCTTCTGCTCAAGAACATCGCAGCGCTTCTCGTAACCGAAGGTGGCACCGACGGCCGCCTGACGCATGGCTTGGAGGGCCCGCTTCAGCTCCTCGATGACCTTTTCTTGGTTCGCGACCTGGACCAATAGCACATTCTCATGTGCGCGAACTGCCACGATATCCTCAAAAAGCATCTCAAGGAACTCTCGCGACTCGGGCAGCTCCATAGAGCGCAAGATCGAGATGGAAGAATCGAAGGCAACGGCGGCGCCGGAGCCTGGAGGAAGACCCATCGCATCGTCGGCCATACCCTTTCGGATCAACTTGGTCATCAGCTCTTCCTCGTCGTTGGTGGCCGATCCATCCTTGCCGTCCTCATCGTGGTGGACCTTCTCGATCGCTGTCACGAATCCAAGGGCGGCCGCCTCGGCCTGCAGTGCGCGGATTCTGGCATTGATGTAGGCAACCTCAGCATCGATCATGCTGAGACGGTCGTCCATGTACTGAGGCTCGCTGGCAAAGTCAAGCATGATAGTGCCGTGGGCAATCGCATCCTCCTCCTGTGCCTGAACAACTCTTTGACGTTCCTGCTCCAGCTCTTGCTTCTCGCTCCTCAATCTCTCACGCTTCTTCAACATGTCGTCCATAACGTTAATGGCATGCTGTCCAGAAATGTAACCATAGATAGCGCGATCGATGACCTGCTTCTTCTGGGTGACCTGAGCACGAAGCGAAGCCTGGCTTCTGGAGGACTTGGGCGCAGGGATAGAGGAGCCCTTGCCGTCGGTTCTTTCCGATGGTCCAAGGCGAGGTGGTCTCTTGGCCGACTTGGTGATACCCTTGGGTGTCTGGGGCTTCTTCAGGAATCCAATGACCCTGGCCTGCTGGGTATTGGATCCAGTGCTGTTGTTGCGATGGAGCATCGCCGCAGTGCGCTGCTGTTGCTGCAGCTGCAGCTCGATCTCCTTCTCGGCCTTCTTGCGTCCTTCCTGAGCCGCTTTCTCTGCGCGTCGGAGGGCCTGGATCTCGCGATCGTTGGCGGCATTCATCTCCTTGATGCGCTCCGCATCCTCCTTCATGCGTTTGATCATGCGCTGCTTCTCCGTTTTGAGGTTCTCCACGGCTACACGCAGAGTTCTCAATTGGTTCTCAGCCAAGTTGCGCTTCTCATTCGCAATCTTGGATACATCGGCGTACTTGTGCTGCAGATCCGAGAGCTCAGCCATGAGCTGCTTGATCTTGGTCTCATACTTGATCTTGACAGAGCCAGGGATCTGTTGCAGTAGAATAAAATAAGAAAAGAAAAGAAATGCCTTGTTAGTAAAGCTGCTGAAACTGCACATAAACCAAATGACATTGGGATGACAGTTTTGCAAACTTGCCTTGTTCTCATTGGCCCTTCCACGTTCACGATCCATTTCGGCCTCTCTGATCCTGTCCTCCATAATGCGGATCTCTTCTTCATACTGGTTCCTCATGTTGTGGTAGTCAGCCTCAACCCTCTCTAGCTGCATCACCAGCTCTTCCTTGTCAGCGAGACCGTTCTGGACCTCATTCAACATCGCATCGTAATTGAGTCTCTCTGCTGGTTTCTCGGATGACCTGGCGCTGGCGTTGGAGATGCTCGGGGCAATGCTCTGGTGAATGCTTGGAGGAGCGTTATGAGAGCTGTTATGGGTATAGCTCTGAGAGAGGCTGTGAGGAGCGCTCTTCATGGAGTGCCTAATAGAGCTCGAGCCCGACAAAGAGGAGGTCTCGAGAACGGACCCTGTATCGGAGTCCGGAAGTGCAATGGCGGCTGCCTTCTGTTGCTGGATGGCGGCGGCGAGGCGGGACTGCTGCTGCTGCTGACTGATCTGCTGCGTGTCGGATGCGTTCAAGGGGAAGCTGAAGCGGTGCATTGCCTTCATTGCATTGGCAAGGGTCTCGGCAGCCTTTTGCTCCGCCTCGAAGAACACCTTCTGGTCCTGTGGGCTCGAAGTTTCTTTCCAAGAAGTCTGACCAGGGGGCAGAGGGAATGGGAACGATGCACGCATGGGCGAGATGACAGCGCCGTTGGCCACATCCTCCAAGGTTGGCATGATCTGGAATCGGGAACGGGAGGATCCTGAGGACATGGAGGAAGTCATGGAATCGCGACGACGGCTTGACCCTGGGCTGGGTCGCAGCTGTGAAGAGGCAGTAGGGTCCAAGAGGTTGAGCAGGTCCATGTCCATGCCCATACCGTTCTTCTCGGCCTTGAGCAGAAGGAGTCCGCGGCGAATGTCTTCCTTGGCCTTGTCCATGGTCTCGGCAGCACCTCCTGCTCCGTGGCGGGCAGCTCGGCGTCTACGAGAAAAGTCGGACGAGTCCGAGTCGATGGGAACACGCTGGAGCAAGGAAGAAGAACCAGTGGAAGAGTAATCCAAGTGCTGAGCAGAGAGGGGCTGGCTCTCTTCCGTCTTCAAATTCTGGAACCAAGAGGAAGCGCCACCAGGAGCAAGAATTTGCTCAACTTGAGGCATAGGTGGGCTGGTTGGCAGCTTAGCGGGTTCGGCCCCAAGGCTTGCTGCGCTGGCGCCGAAATCGAACCTGGAGACAGCTCGGGACGATTGTCTGCTCCTGCGCTTTGACTGGCGGCCACGCGCTGGAGATATGTCTTTGCGGCGCTGATCCTCATCGTGCTCGCCATCGGCATCATGGTCATCGTCAGTAGGTGGCTCGACTCTCCTCCGGTAAGGCGATCCTTTGTAGGGCGAAGGCGCCTTGTGACGATTGGGTGGGGTTTGTTGTCTTCGACCAAACACGGTGCTGGGCTTCTGAGAAAGCAGAGTCTGGAGTTCTAGGGCTTGGTCTTCAGCTGCGATCAGGCGATCCTTCAGCTGCATGACTGTGCGGTGGTAGGTCTGCATAATGGGGTGCGCTTCGATATTAGCATCTCCTGTCACCTCGCGCTCAACCAAGAGAGTGTCGCGCTCTGCAAGGACATCGCAAAGCTCCGAGCTGCTCTCCTTCAGACGCTCGCGGAGCCGTGTGACCTCGCCTCGCAAAGACCTCATCTCCTCCGCTGCACGGCGCTGATCCAGCTCTGCAGCGGGTCCTGATCCCATGGCTCTGAAGGCACTGTTCTCCATCTTGAGTCGGTTAATCTCTGCCCTCAATTGGGCGATTTCTGCGTTATTCGAGTCCCTGAAGTCCTGGTTGATGACGACTCTGTTGCGAATGTTCCTGGCTCTGTTTGCATAGACGAGTGTGCTGACGGTCTCGTTGATATCGGCATCAGCTGCAGATACACAAGCCAACATCAGGGTCGCACTGTTGCCACCAAGGGAATCCTGAAGAAGTCGCGTCAACTTTGAGTCACGGTATGGGACGTGGGAGGACTTTCGGGATTCGTCACCGAGTGCGCTGATAACATTTCCGAGAGCCAACAATCCAGAGTTGATCGAGATGCCCTCTTTAGCACGGTCACCAACAGCTCTCGTTCGTTTCAACTACAAACAGATTTAGATCAAACAATATTAGGCATTTTTTGCGATCGACAATGCGCCGTTCAAATTTGCACCAAACTGAAATGGGAAGGGAGGGAGGAAGCCTACTCTTTCGGATCCAGCTAAATCAACAAAATGGAACTTGGAAGCGAGTTTCTTGAGCTTTTCAGTCTTAGTAGTTGCCACTGGACCAGCAGATGGCGACCCAGACTCTCCTTCCTCCTCAGCTTCAGGCGCGGGCTCGATTTCTTCTGACCGTTGTTGCTTCAAGATGACGGAGAAAATGGCGTGGGATCGAGAAGACGTCTGGTTCATGTCGGTCGCTGCTGTCGTTCTGCACAGTGACCCTTTTTGCAGCCAGCTATAAAACAGAATCTCCTGTTAGTAATATGAGCAGTCGTCATCTACGATACCACTATACTCGACCAAAAACGCCAAGGCTTACTCCAGAAGTTCCTGTGCTGATGAGACTTGCTGTTCCTTGACACCCTGCCATGAGATACCGCCGAATCCATCTTCGCGGACTTGAATCGAATCTTTTCGAGTGCGCGGTTGTGTCTGCAGTAGATCAATGAGCTCCTCGTTATACAACTCTAAGAAGGATACATAGACCTGGTACTCCATGTGTGGGTCTTGTTCCATCTGGGCGTCCAGCGATGAGAAGATGGCTTGGGCCGATCGTGGTACGATGGCTGGAATCGATTGGAAAACAGAATTGGTTAGAGCGATCCTAGAAAACAGAGACATCATCCAGAGCTCCTGAAGATACAGGTCGGTAGTGAAGGCGTACCTTGATCAGCTCCTTTATATTGCAATCCTGTGCCCATGCTGTATGTCTTTCCGCTTCCCGTTTGTCTGAAAGGATAAAAGGAATCAGACTGTTTAGTTGAGAATGATTCATTTCATGCAACTCGAGATACAAAAAAAAGCGATCCATATGCTTACCCATAAGCGAGGATTGTGGCGTTGAATCTGTTACACAAAGAGTAGAAAGCATTAGAATATCGACGTTTCCAACTTGCACAGAAACGCAACATATACAGTTTGGTAGCGACGCATACCCTTCAATAAAGCGATCGACGAGCTCTTTGGCACATGATTCGTAGACCTTATGCTGTGCAGTCTCCTCATCAAAGACATAGTCGAACGTGAAAGATTTGTCGGAACCGACGATACCGATTTGGGGCTCATTTGGAACATAGGAGATGGCTTCGGAGCAGTTGTTGATCTGCTCCTGGAGCGTAAGTGGTCGGACACGAAGCGCAACTCTATGGATTAATAAAATAGTTGTGTAATCGGACGGGTAAGTGAACAAATGAGCGAGGAGTAAAGTCATTGATGTGTCGATGTCGAGTAAACCGCTTTTACTTACTTGACGGCTGTGTTCATGATGTCGTTTCAGAATATCGGGGCAGAACGCGTCAAATCAACAACGCGAACTCGGCTCGGGAAGAAAATGCGTTCGAGTCAAAGGGCAGTGATAGGTAGCGATAGGAATGAATCCTTATTATGTACGTGTATAGGGTAGTAGTAGACTAGTAGAAATGATAGCAGCAACGGTATGGTTTTAGCATATAGGATTAGGATACGATAAGTAGCAGTGTCGAGGAAGACCAATCACAGCGGTCAGGATTAACAAGGGCGTCTACCCTTATTTATATAGTCTAGTAGACCCTGTGGCGCTACGGCACACTTGTTTGATACTAGGGAAAGATGGAAGAGGGGTTCCGATTGGGTGGACTACAGTGTCTATCTCTCCACAGCTTCTTCAGGGAGGGTACGATCTTGTGGAGAGGAGTGTGAAAAATCCCCCTAGGGCTGTAGAGCTGCAGGGCTGTGTCCGTGGTTCGTCCTCGCTGTGAGCTTTCACACCATTCCACACACAGACAGAAAAGGGGGAGGGAGAGATGGCAGCATCTTCCTGATGGGAGGACAATGCTGATCGTTCTTTTCCAGTCCGTGTATGTGTGTATGTGTGCTTGCGTGCGCAAGTGTATGTGGATGTGGATGTGTAAGCTGTATTGTGTCTGTACCACTATAGAATAGACACTCAATGTATGTCTCCCTTTGTCTGTCAATGTTTACCCCTACTTTTCTTTTCTTCTTTTCTCTTCCACGCAGAGATCGCATTGTGTTTTGTGGGAGATGAGGAAAAAAAAAAAAAAAAAAAGGGAGGAATGGGCTTACGGGTTTACGCCGACGGGGAGAGGGAGGGAGGGAGGGAAGAGGGGAGGGGTGGGGGAGGTGAATGAACACAACAGCACGGATGGATGGATGAATGAACAGATGAACGAGTTTTGCATAAGTGTGTTATACCGCGTCCAGCGAGCGGAACAAACAAGACAACAAACAAAACTGCATGTTACTTGCATAGTCCATACTTCTACTCTTTTCCCCCACCGATTCCTCCCCACTGTCCCCCCCAATCCTCTGATGCTCTCGCTTGGTCCGAAACGTGTCCCCCGAATTTTTTTTCTCCACATCATGTTGAGCATACACATCGTGCCCATGGAAGCATCCAAAAATGAGCTGTTACATAAACATTGCATCGGCTGAGGAGAAGGAGAGCAAGTGGGTGAATGGCTGGGGAGAGGGTGTTTATGTATGTTGAGGAATAGGGGGACGATATGACACCATGTGGTCGTCGGAGGATGGATGGAGATTGAGACTGTACCTGAACTATTGTGGGTGTGATACTTGAGATCTTTTCTTTTCTTATTGGCTTTGATTTTCTTATACTACACGGGTGTATGTTACAGAGGTGGAATAAGAAATACAAAACAACTGTTGCAAAAAGGAGGTTGACTGCTCTGTAGGACAAGAATGACAAAAACGTAAGATGGACAAACTGATGAAGGGGAGAATCAAGATGATGAACGATCAGATTCAGTTCAGAAGACAGAGACAGCAGCAAGAAGAACAACAACGGAGGTTCGTCCAGTTGGGTCCGAGGGTATTAGAAAAGGAAAGACGGATAGAGGAAGGAATGAAAGGAAGGAAGAAAAACCTTGGGGCGGGTACTATATAGGAGGGATTAGAAGCGGAAGGAGGCTAAAAGGGAAACCGGGCCAAACCCATGGACAGGGTCGTCGTTTATATACTTCTCATTGCCCAGTCTGTGTTACGAGCGAAGAAACCTTCGGTGTTCTATTCTGGTCCGGGGAAAGAGGACCGCAAGAGATGTGCTACATGTACCTTCCCGTAACCCCACCATCTCTCTCTGCATTTTTCGCTCACTCCCCTCTCTCCTCTCGCCCATTCCCTCTCTCTTCTCTCAAAACCAGGGCCCATCTCCATTTCAGGGGGGGGCAGCAGCACCGACTACATCTAGTTTGGTCCCACACTTGCCAGACCTCAATAGCCTAATTGTTGTGGGGTGTCAAAAAAAGGAGAGGGATGTGGAGAATGATTATGAACGAACTGAGGCCCTTTTCGATGCGGGTCATCAATGGCTGTGTGGGGTGGTGTGGGGTGGTGTGGGAGGGGAGGAATCCATGGCCAATGGTTGAATGCGGGGGATGGATTGAGTTGTGGAGAGAGCAACGACGACAAAAAAGTTACGCATGCAGTCTGTATGCCGCCCTTTTTTTTTTTTTTTTTTTTTGGCTCCATTCCCCTCCCCCTCCTCCTTCCCCCGCTCCCAATCCTAGTCTACACCTCATCTCATCCCACCCCATCGATTGTCCGTAGATCGTATTACATACAGTCTTTATCGCAGAACCCAATTGAATAAAACCTAGACTTTCATTGAAGGATGGCTTCAAATGGAACAACGGCTGGAGGATCTTCTTTCATTTACTCATAATTCTCATAAAAACGCGAATAGAGTGCATAGATCTTCATGAACACTACACTCCGTTTTTTATGGAGAAAAAAAAAGTGTTCGTTCTTGCTATTTTCGCATTCAATCGGGCGCAGACTGGAACTTCCTTCTTTTCTTTTTAGTTGCCTTCAGGATCGTTCTCGTCTCCACTGCACACCCTCATGTTCTCTGTAAGTATATGTGTAAATGCGAGTATGTGCTAATTCCACACGTAAACTGGACGCGGTATGGGATGCCTCTTCAATGCGGGACGATGGACATTCAGTCTCTTTGTGTAAGGTGTATGGATTGCACCGCATCACCGATGTGTCTGTCTGCTTTTGCGGACGATCATGCAGACGCATACGTTCTTCTTCGTCTTCCAAAAAAGGACTGAGACATAGTATATAACAAAGACGCTCGCATCAAGTTCCCCCATTTTTTCATAGTCGTCGGATGTGATGTGTCCAGAAGTATGTAATGGGCTATATTCTTGCCCCAACATGGATAACAACAATAACAACAGCAAACAACATCGATGCAAGGAACAATTCAGTGCCGACGACATTTCGTTGTTGTACACCCTGACGATGGTAAGTTCGCATAACGGAAAACGACCAAAGCGCTATGAGACCAAGGACAGATCTTATTCTCACAAAGAGCAGGAGTGGAGTGTCCTCTTCACTTTCCTATTTGCTTGTCAAACATGTATGAGAGACAGGGCTCATTAACCTGCCCATGCATACACGCACACGTACATGAATCATCTCTCCACAACGAGGGGAGAAGAACACTGAAGAAAAAACTTTACCCCTCATCACGAGTCCTAATAACGTGTTTAGCTGGCGCCTATTATGACATTGCTCAGATCCTCTTCTACACTTTTATTTTTTATGTTGTGGATTGTTGTTGGCTCAGACGGGGATCGAATGGAGATGCGGCGAGCAATGTGGACACGGGAAACCAGCGACCGGGAGCATGGCTGGTCGATGTTGGTCCTCGTCCATCGATCGATCCTCAGTCTATATTTTTTTAGAACTAAAACATGCTCAGAAAACACAAGGCAGGTTCAGGTTCCTTGGACTTGACTTTGCCCATTTTTTTGAGTGTTTCCCTCCCACATTCAAACAGAAGCGGGACCCTGGAAAAATCATACCGTTGAGACCAGTGTTTCTGTGGCTGCACACTGTTGGTATACTGCTACTTCAATGATGCGCCCGCAGGAATCGAACCAAGGTCTCTCACTCCTATTCCGCTTGTGTTCCTGGCCTTCCCAGCCAACCCCACAATCCTCCTAAGGATGCTGTAATCGGGTTTATGCCCTCGGATGTATTTAGCCCTGCCTGATGATTCTCCACAGTCCAGGGGGAGGGGGGACAATCCACATCCCAGTTGCTTCCACAGACCACAGGCGCATAGGAGTTGGTGCGTGTGTGCTTCCTCGTTCCTCCCTCCCCCTCTTCCGTCCCCTTTTCACTCTGCAACGTCCTTCCCTTTTTGCTTTGGAGGAATGGAAGGAATGTCACGTCCTAACAGCTCTTTCGTCGGAGGCGTTCTTTTATTTTCTTGATCTGGATCAGGTCAGCTACCGTGGCCACATTGTATTGCCCAAACAGTCAGGTGGTACGCGCTTATGCATGGATGTGCATGAGCTCTTCGAGATGGCGGTCGACCCGGCCTAAAGCCAGCCGAGGTTGTTAGTCAGAGGCTGGCTTGCGCCGGAGTGGTATGGTTGTCGATGATGCAGCGATGAGATTATTATTGTTATTATTGTTATTATTATTTATCGCCCAGGGGCTGCCCGAGGTCCTGGATGACCATTTGTTTTCCCAGTAGATTTTGACCTGATCTGGGAAGGGTCAGCAAACAGTGTCTGGTTTTGTGTAACTCATCGTTGCTCCCACACTCTAGACCCCTAATCGTAAAGAGCATATAAGGAGAAAAAAAACACGCGAGATGGAAGCTCAAAGGCTCAAAGTAAACAAAATGATATAAAAAAACCACCTCAAACAGTGCATACATATCCTTGGACGCGTGTGTCTACAGCGAATAGGAGAGCAGATAGAAACAGCTTAAAGAGACGCCCACAGGAACAAAAAAAAAGGGGGGCTACTTTGTGGACAATTGTTATTGGCGCATCTGCTTTCATGTACCACGTACGAGAGCAGCCGACGGCGAGGTCCTGTGTCAGACCCAGATATGAACGCGCTTCGTTACTCAAGCTTCATCCATTGATCTATATCTCATTGTTCGCGTGGTGCAACATGCATATTGCATCCCTCAAACATAATTGTATTTCAGGCGGGCTGCATGGCAACATCCTGTCGACCGTTGGAGGGGTACCCGATCATCAGTTTCATCCGTGTCCATGAGCAATAATAATGTGGCGATCTATGAAAGACAAGTGCATCGAAACCACATTGCGAGGTTCATTTTAGAGCCAGAGACAACAACCACCCCCTTCCCCCAATTGCACCTTCGAAATGAGAGCAAAACATTCAATGTTTGTACAACCATCGACCATGTTTTCGTCCGGAATGAGCAATCTCGATGATCATCTGAATGGGAACTCGTTTGCTCCTCATCTTCGCCAAGTCACCATCTAATTCCTTCCGGCACGGCACGACTTCAATAAATCAGATCAAATACGGAGACTCAACGCATTTCACGGTAGCCGTTGTTGGTATCAGTGGTTCAGCAACGGCTACTATGCTGAACCATGCTGGACCAGGCCGAGATCGACTTTTATACTTCCTGGAAAGAGAGCAGCGCATAGCCTCATTGGCGGTTGCCACTACGTTCCCAGTTGTCGTGTTCGAAGCGTAGGAGCAGATTGGCCTGTACCAAACAAATATGATGGAAGATGCAGGAGGGCTTGGCGTCCTATGCGGAGATTTTGCGAAGTCGTGGCACTATGGAGGTTCGTCTATGGTTTGATCTATTACCGTAGACAGCGCATACCAAGAACCTTGTGTCTAATCAGTATACGGATATTACCACAAAGTATAGCGGACGGTTGTAACTTGGAACTGACACTTTCTTTTATTAGATCCTGGCTCGTTCAGATTGGAGGCGCCGCAAAAAGATACTCACAGGAAAAAAGAGAAAAGAAAAGTTTGAGCATCCAGAAACGATTGACGACAAAACCGTTTGCCAAATATGATCTTGTGGGTTCAGTCTCTTTTTAACAACAGGTAGGGCTGACGGCATCCATGCTGAAAAGCGAGGCGGAGCGTTCCTCTCTAACTATGCCTACGGCTACTGTACTTTCTGTCCCCTTTCACTCCTGATGTAGTGAATACAAGACAAATATCTTTATCGAGTATAATGGCGCGTACTCTACGATTCGACAGGTCTACACCAGAACTTGAAAGAGGCAGGTTATTCTGTGTCCGAGTCAGATTTCGCGCCCGTTCGCTTCGACTAGCACTGCGTGAGTATATGAGGATAAGGACATAGTACATCTATATGATTGCAAATCTTCTTTCTATTTCTCTCTCTTCCTAGACTACCCGTGTGCATCATCTGGTATCAAGGCCAATGGCTTCAGAGCACAGTACGATGCCCTGAAGAAGTCATTCTGCGAATATGACGTGACGACTACTTTTAATCCGCATGGCCCATGCTATCGAACGACCCCATCTCGTTGACGATCAATCGAAAAGATTCATCCAAGCACGGACCATGAATTCGTAACCTTTCTTTGGCATGTCCATTGTTGGACCTAGAAACACTATTGCGTGCTTTTGTAACTGCATTGGCATGTGCTATGGCTTTACGGCTAGCATGTACAGTTGGTCGAGAAGCAACTCAAGCATTTCTGGGCGCTGTTGCGCTCGTTAAACTGCTTCACAATTTCACTTCAACCCCTAATCAAAGATATATCTGGATCCTTGAAGCAGTACCGCGAGAGGTGGTATGCGAGTGCAGCAGAAGCAGTGCCTGCGGCAGCTATTGTATCATGTCAAGGAGGTGGTATTTTCAGTAATCGAGGACCCATCGTGGATCCTCATCGAGCACTCAATTTCAGATACATATTCAGACGACTGGATCTGGTGACATCGGACCGTCTCCATGTCTTTCGTTTGATTCTGTTGTTTTCACTCGCTGTACCTCATTGACCGTGGAGTCAATTAGGTCTATTTAGAGAGACAAAAGACAACTACAATATTGATCAAAGGTGAATAGCGTGATGGGGCATAAGTAACGTTTTGATTTATTGCATGCATACTATGCAGCTAGTCTGAGCAGCAACGTTCAGCTGATTATAGACTTGAGAGGTCGAATCCGCTTGGCGGGATCAAGGGAGGGGATGCGATAAGATAACACGACGTTTAATCAATTGGGCGCAGTACTTAGGAGTATCAGGGACAGTGGTGTAAACTCAGATGAACTCGCTATAACTAGACAACATAAATTGAGGACACTGAGGTGGATTGTTTGGGCCGTAACGATGCCCATCGTTGTCGTGAGAATGCTTCTACGCCGAAGGGAACTGCTGAGCTGTAAAATAAGTGGCGCGGACGCTCCGCTTGCTCTCACTGAACAGAGAAAACAGGCTTAGATTTAAGGTTGTGAGACGAAAGCTGCGCATTAGGTGCCCCAGCGTGTGAAAGAACGAGCCCATAAAACGTCAAGATGACTTGGAGGATATTTCTTGAGTGGCACAGGGAATAGGGATCACGATCGGTAGTTGAGTCATAGGTACATAGGAGGATGCTACCCCTACCCAACCAGAGAAATGTCCATGTACGCGATGATGATGATGATAATGTTGATGCATGTATGTCTGGGCGTAGTAGTAAGAAACAAGGCAGGATGCTTTGGTTGGGTTGGGCGTGCTTGCACACCAAAGATGGAAGACATTTCTATTTTTTTTTGTATGTGAAAATCCAAAAATCTTATTCGGCAAAGCGCTTTTCCAGGATTTCAAACGCAGCTCACACTGTTCGCGAAGACGGGGCACTGAAACTTCACGAGGGCGGTCAGTGGGATTCATATTGGGTAGCATAGGTGACAGCATCATAAGCATAGTGGGGACCATGACTACCAGAGCATGACGTTTGCGGTTCATAATAAGAAGGCGGGGAGATAGATCGTCGAGAGGGAGAAGGAGGAAGGAGGAGAGTGGGATGAGGATGTGGCGCCATGCAGCCAGCTTGAATCGTGCCGTGCATGTGTTCCAATTTTACCCATGCATGCAGAGTGCGATTGCGACTTAAGGAGTAAGTAACGTACGATGTTATGATTGTCAGAAAAGGGACGCCCCGGCCCGCCGCTGTTCTAGTCAGCAGCAGCAGCAGCAGCAGCCCATTCCGCACCATTCGCCCACGGCAAAAAGGACTGTCGAAGTGGAGCATCACTTTGCACTCGTACCTACCTGAACGTATGTAGCTGAGTTCCGAGTGGATTAAGGTCCCCACGAATGAAAGTGCACCCAGTTTTTTTTATAGTTTTTTTTTGTGCCACGCCCCTTCGGATCCTGGGACAAGGTTGAAGGAGTATAAAACCCCGGCAAATCAGACCCTCCACCCTCTTCGTGTTACAGTAGCTTCCTGCGCTGGCGTCCTTTCGTTCTCTTCGTCCGTTCTCTTCTCCCTCTTCCTTCTTCTCATCCCTCGCCATCGTCCACTGCTCATTCCATCGGCCCTCTCCACTCCTGTCTTGCATCCCATCCCATTCCATCGCATCGCACTAGACTGTACCGAAGTGCTCATCAATAATAGCCTGTGATCAGAAATACCGCACAGACATACATACGCCACTCTGCTCTTAGCCATGGCCGACTCAAAGCATCCTCCCGCCGCAATCGAGACCGCCAATCCCCTGTCGTACTTCTCGTTCAACTGGATCCAGCCATTGCTTATTAGAGGATGGGTACGTTGATAATTCAACTTTGTACGATCTGCCCAAGGTATCCGCTAGCTACTGTTGCTACTATTATTACCACTCTTTATATTATATTAACAGGTATTCTCATTCTTTCTCTCCTCACATTCCAGAGTCAAACAATTGTCGAAACGGATCTTGACCAGCTCTCGAAGAATGACCACGTCAAGAGGATCACCGACAGGCTGCTGGAGGAATGGACAAAGGAAGTAGAAAAGTGCCAGGCCAAGGCCAGGGCAACGGGGTCTAAGCCCAGGAGACCAAACCTCTACCTGGTCCTGTGGAGATGCTTTGGGCTCTACTTCAGTATTTCCTTTTTCACAGGCATCATCGAAAGTGCCTGTAAGATCAGCGAAGCTATTCTCATGGGGTAAGTCGCCGTTCAATTGCACTCGATTGCAACAGTCGATGTTCATACGAAATAAGTCCTCAATTCACTATCAAATATTAACATAATGCCGTTTCCCACTACTTTGATTCATCATAGATACGTTATCCGTTTCTTCGACTTCCCAGACACACCGATCAGCACAGGAATGGCATATGCGGTTGGTCTCTTCCTAGTCACCCTTTTCCACGGAACCATGCACCATCACTATTTCTTCCCAACTATGCGCACTGGACTTTGGATTCGGCAGAGTTTGATCTCTCTCATGTACCGCAAATGCCTCACCCTCTCAACCTCCAGTTCGATTGCTACCGGAACCATCGTCAACCTGATTTCTAATGGTATACTAACGGCAGGCATCGTATAGCATTTGATATGATTTTGAAAGACGCCGAGCCTAATGTATTAACTATCCTGTCATACTCCATTACAATATCTCTAGACGTCCAACCATTCGAAAATGCCACGCCCTTCATGCTGTATGCAATCATCGGACCATTGGAGATGATATTTGTCATGTACTTTCTCTGGAGAGAGATCGAGGTCGCCTGTTTGTCGGGATTGCTGGTCTTTGTCATCCTGATGCCCGTCCAGACCTTCTTTTCCCGCCACTTCTCCACCATCCGTAGCAAAACAGTCAATGCCCGCGATGAACGTATCAGAACGCTTTCGGATGTCTTTCAAGGAATCGAGCTCGTCAAATTGTGCGCATGGGAGGTGCCGTTTCAGGAGAAAATTCTCATGCTCCGATCGATCGAACTCAGATATATCTGGAAGGCCAACCTCATGAGAGCCAGCAATATGGCGATCTACTTTTTCTTCCAGCCTCTGATCGCCCTGTTCGTTTTTGTCACGTTCTGGCTGCAGGGCAAGACCCTGTCGCCCGACAAAGTCTTTGTGTCGCTTACACTGTTCAATGTCATGCGCCTGACTATGACCTCGTTCTTCCCCAAGGCTTTGGAGACGATCGCAGAGACCCGTGTGTCTGTTCGCCGTATCACGGACTTTATGCTGCTACCTGAGCTGAAAGGTATCGAGAACAAGTTCAAGACAGAACAGGAGGACTCCTCAGGCAAATCCGGAGATGCAATGATGGGAAGCGTGGAGAAGACTCTGGATCCATCTCTGCTGCTCGAAATGCGCGACGCATCTTTCTCTTGGTCGCTCGCCACGGATGAAAATAACGGGGTCCCAGAGCTTTCGGCCGAGGAGAAGGCTTCTCGCCAGGCTCAGGACACAGAGGACGAAAAGGGACACGCTAGCGCGGACAACCTGACAATGAACAGCCCCAAGAAAGCCATTCTCAACAACATCACTATGACCCTTCGTCGCGATGAGTTGTTGGCTGTTGTTGGACCTGTCGGATGCGGCAAATCCAGTCTCTGTATGGCACTCCTGCAGGAGATGCCTCTAGTATCCGGATCTTTTGCGCTGGCAAAGCAGGATAAAGGCAATATCAAGATGTCTTACTCGGCCCAGTCGCCCTGGATCTTTGCAGGAACGATCAAGAGCAACATTTTATTCGGTTCTCAGTTCAACCAGGAGCGCTATAGCAAGGTCATCAAGGCATGCGAGCTCACCCGCGACCTGTCCCTGCTCCCGCAAGGAGATGAGACTATCATCGGCGAGAAGGGCGTGACCCTCAGTGGTGGTCAGCGTGCCCGTGTTTCTCTCGCGAGAGCAGCGTACAGGGAGTCGGACATTTATATCCTGGACGATCCACTTTCGGCTGTCGATCCCAAGGTCGGACGTGCGCTTTTCGACAACTGCATCAATGGGCTGCTGAAAGCCAAGGCACGAGTACTGGTGACACATCAGTTGCAGTACATCAAGGATTGTGAAAACGTTATTATTCTCGAGCAAGGACATGTGACACATACCGGACGGGTGGATGCTGTGATGCAGCAGGAGGTGGAGGTGGAAAAGGTGATCAACGATGGTGAATCAACCAGGAGTGTCAAGATGCGGGTCAAGTTCGTGGACGTTTTGCGCGAGTTCGCCAAGAAGGCACCTGAAGCAACGGAGGACGAGGAGACAGATGCCATCCTTAAAGCCGATCCCACGGGAGCCGACTCCTCAATGGATGCACTCAAGCGTGTCAAGTCGCGTGTCTCGAATGCCGGTGGTGTGGAGGAGGATAGCGATGCCCCAGAGAAGAATCTGACCGTGGAGGAAGTCCAGGAGGGCGATACACCTTTGCGAGTTTACTATGATTTCTTCCGGCTCGGATCGACACCCTTCCGTCTGGGTCTAACCATCTTCTCACTGGCAGCAGCGCAGGCGATCATGGTGGCGGGCGACTTTTTCCTTTCAAACTGGTCCGAACTATCCGCAGAGGAACAGACACATTCCTACTATCCTACGATCTTTGGTGTGTACTGTCTAGCGACCGTGATCGTGACCCTGTTTCGGTCCTTCTTATTCTTTTACTGTGTTTCGGAGAGTTCACGGAGCATCTTCAGGGCCATGCTCGACGCCCTACTCAAAACCAGCATTGACTTTTTCCACGCCAACCCTCATGGGCGTGTTCTGAACCGGTTCTCCAAGGACATGGCCAACTGCGACGAGTTGCTACCATACACCTTCTTCGACGCCACACAGATCGTATTTATGCTTTTCGGATCTGTGGTCGTCGTCTGTATTGTGAACGCATGGATTGTCATCTCGATTCCTTTCCTCTTTGGTGGTTTTATTTTCCTCCGTATGGTCTATATCAGGACAAGCCGACAGGTCAAGCGTATCGATAGTCAGACTCGGTCCCCCATCTACTCTCAGCTCTCGGAAACCCTGGATGGCCTGACCTCTGTTCGTGCCTTTGGTGTCGGCGAGCGATTCATGGGACGTTTTGTGGACGCGCAAGAAGCCAATGGACGTGCGTTCTTTGCCTATTTGATCTGCGCACGTTGGCTCGGTTTCCGTCTAGATGCCCTCTCGGCGCTTTTCCTGGGTATCACTGCTGTTGCTTGTGTTGCTGTCCGTGATTCTCAGAAGGCTGCCATGGTCGGACTGGCACTGAACTATGTCACTCAGCTGAGTGGAGAGCTGCAATGGGCTGTGAGACAAAGTGTCGAGGCTGCCATTCTCATGGTTTCTGTCGAACGTATGATGGAGTACGCGCAGGTCAAGCCCGAGGAATCAGAGCGTCGTCGATTCAACCCCGATGGTTCGAGCGTTGTCCCGAACGGATGGCCACAGGAAGCCAAGGTCACTTTCACGGACATGTCCTTGACCTACCCTCGCGGTGAAGGCCCGGTGTTGAAGAACATCTCGCTGGATTTCAAGGCTGGCGAGAAGATCGGGATCGTGGGTCGCACAGGAGCCGGCAAGTCCAGCTTGATCGGGGCACTCTTCCGACTCGTCGATACCACCACGGGCAATCCGCCTCATCATGGAGGCATCTCCATTGACGGGGTCGATATCTCCAAGATCGGGATGCATGACTTGCGCGAGAAGATGGCGATTATCCCACAGGAACCCTTCCTCTTCCGCGGCACACTGCGATTCAACCTCGACCCAACATCTCAGCATCAGGATGCGGACATCTGGGCGGCACTGGAGGCCGCGGAATTGAAGCGTCTCGTCGAGGGTCTTGAGGGAGGACTGGATGCGACTGTGGACGACAATGGAAAGAACTTTAGTATCGGCGAGCAGCAGTTGTTGTCGTTGGCGCGTGCGGTGTTGAGACGGGCCAAGATCATTGTCATGGACGAGGCCACTGCGAACGTGGACCTGCAGTCTGACCGGATGATCCAAAAGGCGATCCACTCGCAGTTCAAGGGCGCAACCGTGTTCACGATCGCACATCGATTAAATACGGTCATTGGCGACTACGATCGTATCTTGGTGCTGGATCAAGGACGCGTAATGGAGTTTGGCGAGCCATGGGAGCTGTTGAACGGCCCTGTGGTGGAGATGGGAAGTGAATCGCCTTCGACGGCAGGAGGATGGCTACGGAGGATGGTTGCGGATACTGGTGCGGAGAACGAGGTTGCACTGCGACAGGTGGCCAAGGAGCAGTGGGAGCAACGACGCGCCAAAGACGTTTGATCTTACCGATAGAATAATAATAGAGTGCCCCTATGTGCCCCGAAAATCTTCTTTTTCCTAGAGGTCATATAGGGTAAACGTGACACAACGTGACAGTATGGTAGAGGATGATACCTAGAGGCATGTCTCCAGCTGGTTTCAATGGTTTCTGAGGAAGTTTAATATCCTTAGTTATTGCAGGATGTAAAAAGATGCGTCTAAGTACTAGACATTCATTTCAATTATTGTTCTGCACCAAAACAATAAAAACGATGAAGCACGATAGAAAATCGGCAAAAATCAACAAAAGTTCTCCAGTATATGTCCTTATTTTAGAATATATGCCTTCATCTTTTGGTAGCATCCAACAGAATTCTTCTATGTGCACTATAGCGGTAGTGATTGTCGCTCTTGTACCATGTTTGTTGTTCGCGGGTTTCTTGGATGATGAAGAGAAGCGCCCCATAAATTCTGATTTTTCGACATCCCAAGTGAGCAACTTTAAACTGGAGCAAAAGTAATTGAGGAACATTGTAGATGGAATTGAAGATATGAAATGGTTGCCAACTATCTTTATTCAACGCTGCCTTGCACGCTTATGACTAAGCTTGTGAGTTGCCAGAGCAGGAATATACTTGTCGCACAGTTCTTAAGCCTTCCTCAAAGCGTCCAGAACCTCTTCGTGGTTGGAGATAGGGTATTTGTTGTCCATGATATTTAGCATGTTAGAGAGACCTTGAATATAGTAAATGGCAAGCTGTGTAGCCGTCGGCGTCGCAGGTGCAATTGATGCCGAAAAATCGGCCCGATCCAACGATGGATCCATCAAAAGAGACTGATCCCTGACCTCACAATGCCTCTCGTTGCCAGTGCTATATGCTTACAGCACATTTCAAAGATTATTATGACGTATAAGAAATTTTGTAGCATTTTCCTCAAATATTTAAGCCTACATAAGGGAACTCTGGCTTGGTACTTGTTTATGACGGGACGGCGGAGCTATTTTTGAACCGAAAAATCCAAAGTCCATGGATCTGACGACTTCAAAAAATTTTCTCTCTCCCTACGCCAATAAATATGAGAAGTCGACTCCTGCCAACTTTCTCTTCTCTTTCTCTCTCCAACACCTCCGCTCATCCCTGTTCGCACCCCCTCACATCCCCCCCCCTACTCTGCCCCTCTCCCATTCAGACGCATAACGCATTCGACACTTTTTAAGCGCAGATTCTTGCTGCTCTCTTCTCATTCTGGTTTCCGTTTACCACAGCGTTTTTCATACATCACTTGCTTAGCACACACCTTACTCAAAGCAAAAATAACCATGTCCGATTCAGACAGCTCAGAGGATATGCCTTTGGCCCAGAGGAGGAAGCAGAAGGTCGACCATCATCTTACAACGGGTAAGCCGCGTTCTGATAAAAAGTCCCCTCCCCTTCCGATCCGCCGCTAATTGTTTTGATCCACAGAGGGAAAATATGAAGCACACATTCCGTACGCGTTTATACAACCGCTGCAACGAAATGTTGTCGTGCTGGGCAATTTATTTCTATTTTGGACCCTGTTTAAAGAGGGTCGAACACTGGGAAGCAGAAAATATGCCTATACTTTTGATATGCGTGGGTGAGGTTGGGTTCAATGGGGAGAGGGGGGGAAGATCTGTACCTCAAGGAACATGAGGTTAGAGGAATAAGCGACTGAAGCCTACAAACGATAGCATAGCTTTGTAGTAATTGCTTTGGAGTGTCTGAATTAAGGCATTGGGAGTCCCTTTGGGCGTAGTTGTGTGGATTGTTGTAGAAGAGAGAACTACCGTACCACATCCCGTGGGTTATTTCATCCTCCCTCCCTTCCCTCCCCCTACCCCATCCAAGCATGCCACAGTCTCTTTTCACAGAAACCGAAAAGAAAAGACGGTGGCAAATGGTCGCGATTGTTTATTACCGGCGTCTTCTTTGATCAAGGATATGATGAGCCCTGCTATGTTTATGTGTTACAGCTGTGGTGTATATTAGGGTCCAAATAAAAGTGAGAGGTGATTCGTGCATGGATCAGTCAAGATCTCGTCAGGATCCAACCCCCTTGGATTTAATTCATCTGCGGTCTCATCATGCTAATTCGAATGAATATTTACTGATGAGGGATCTTAAATGAACAATAGATGACGACAATTACGAAGACAGCAGCAGTGATTCGGATGTGCCGCTTCGAAAGCGTAAGAGGCCAGTCTTGAAGGAAGAGTCTTCAAACAGCGAGTCAGACGCTCCTCTGGTAAGAAATGTTTTCCTGCCTCGTTCGCAGGTCGTTTATTGGAGTTATGACTACGGGCAGTTCCTAGGCAATACTCTAACAAAAATGACCATCTTCCTTTCAATCATGAACAATCGCAGGCTAAGAAGGCTGCCGCCAAAAAGACTGCGCCCGCAAAGTCCTCAGCAAAACCCTCCAAGACAGCAACCAAGGTCAAGTCAGAGCCCACCAACGGTTCATCTCGCAAAATCAAGACCTCTGATGATTCGAAGCAATCCACGGTCAAGAAGCGTGTCAAGAAGGAAGATGAGGATGACAAGTCCAAGGTCAAGAAGGTCAAAAAGGTGGATGCCGGGGATGACAAGTCCAAGGTCAAGAAAATCAAGAAAGAGGAAGAAGAGGAGGAAGAGGATGCCTGGTGGCTGAAAGAGAGGGAGAATGAAGATGATACCGTCAAGTGGACAACATTGAGCCATAACGGCGTCTACTTTGCTCCATCATATGTACCACACGGCGTCAAGATGAAATACGATGGTACGTGCCTTTTGATTTGCATGCACTCGTTCAAGTCTAGAAGCTGGTTGTGTGATCGGTGCATTGATATAGCCTTCGTTGTCTCCAACCTCAACATACATAGGCAAACCTGTCACTCTCGCCCCTGAGGTGGAGGAGGTTGCTTCTTTCTTTGGCGCATTGCTGTACACGGAGCATGCAGAGAATCCGACCTTTCAGGATAACTTCTTCAGAGACTTTTCAAAACTCGCTAAGAAACACAAAACGGTAATGAACAGACCAGTCATGGATGACTAATTGCCGCCACCGCAGATTTCTTTTGTATTAGGTGCGCAGGACTAATAATGATTCACTTGTAATAGGTCCCTGAGATTACCAGCTTCAAAAAGTGTGACTTTACGCCGATGTATGACTACTTCCAGAAGGAGAAGGAGCGGAAGAAGAGCATGACCAAGGAGGAGAAGCAGGCGATCAAGGATGAGAAGGCGACGCTTGATGAAAAGTACGGATTTTGCATGCTGGATGGTCGCAAGGAAAAGGTTGGCAACTACCGCATCGAACCGCCGGGTTTGTTCCGAGGACGAGGAAAGCACCCTAAGACAGGATGCCTCAAGGTACTACATGCATGTCCAACAAGTCGGTGCGAACCGCAATTGCTTATTTGGTAACGTTCTATTTTGGCTGATCTTTCTGTGCTTTCTTTTTAATGTGCAGCTTCGTGTCCACCCCGAGCAAGTCACCTTGAACTTGAGCAAGGATGCACCTGTTCCACCAGCCCCCGCAGGACACAAGTGGGGAAAGATTGTTCACGATGACACAAAGACGTGGCTGGCCACCTGGAAGGAGAACGTGAACGATTCGACAAAGTACGTTTTCTTGGCTGCCGGCAGTTCCCTCAAAGGACAATCTGATCTTAAGAAGTTCGAGACTGCCAGGGCACTCAAGGGCGAGGTCGAGAACATCCGTCGAGTATACATGGCGGAGCTCAAGGACAAGAAGATGTTTATTCGCCAGCGTGCCACGGCAATGTATCTTATCGATCGCCTTGCTCTCAGAGCTGGTAACGAGAAGGGAGAGGACGAGGCGGACACTGTCGGTTGTTGTTCACTTCGCTTTGAGCACGTCACTCTGGAGAAGCCCAACATCATGCACTTGGACTTTTTGGGTAAAGATTCGATCCGTTACCAAAAGTCTATGGAAGTTGATGAGCAAGTCTTTAAAAATATCCGTCTCTTCAAGCGAGAACCAGCCCAAGAGGGAGATGAGCTCTTTGATCGCCTTAAGGTAATGCCCGGTAGCTATCATTACTCCTTTGTGCCTTCATTTTCATTTTGTCCCCAAATCCTCTCGTGTTAATCTGGGCTTTTTTTTTTTTTTTTTTTTTTTTTTTTAACATTGAATAGACGTCAGAGTTGAACAAGCATTTGCAAAGCCTGATGAAGGGATTGACGGCCAAGGTGTTCCGTACATACAACGCTTCGTTCACGTTTCAGGATCAGCTACAAAAGTTGACGCCGGTGAAAGGAACTGTGGCCGAAAAACTCCTGGCCTACAACCGTGCTAATCGCGAGGTCGCCATTCTTTGTAACCATCAGCGTGCAGTCAGCAAGGGACATGCCGTTCAGATGGACAAAATCGTTGACAAGGTGCTTTTTTTTTTTTGATTGCGTTCGAATATTTGCTGACATCTGTCCAAGCTCGGTCTTACTGATTCTTTGCTGTTTGCATGGTAATGATTAGATCCGTGCACTCAAGTACCAGAAGATGAAGTTGAAGCGGACGATTGTGACATTGGAACCGAAGTTGAAGAAGAAGAGGCCAGAGCTCCTTGAGCCTGAGTCAGACCTGGAGGACGAATGGATCGAAGAATATGAGGCTCAGATCATAGCTAAGGAGCGGGAAAAGACCAAGCTTTGGTGGGAGAAGGAGAATGAGAAGAGGAAAGAGAACAAGGAGAAGCCCCTGACTGAGAAGGATCTCAAGCTGAAGTTGAAGGACGCTGATGAACACGAAAAGCAGTTGGCCAAGGAGCGTAAGAATGGCAATGTCACCGCACCCAAGGGCGCGACGGTTGAGAAGTGTGATACACAGCTTTTGAAGTTGGACGAACGCATTGCTGCCACTAGAACTGCCATGGTTGACAAGGTAATACTGATTCCCTTGTTTGTTCCTTTCCTCTAAGTATTTTATATGGCTCCCGATGATCAATCTATGTTGGACTAGTTATTAATGTGTGTGTATTTTATTTGTTATAATCTTTGGCAATAACAATAGGAGGAGAACAAACAGACGGCTTTGGGAACGTCCAAGATCAACTACATCGATCCTCGTATCTCTGCCGCATGGTGCGAGAAGTACGATGTGCCCTTGGAGAAGATCTTCACGAAGACTCTCCGTGACAAGTTCAAGTGGGCCATGACAGTCGATGCTGACTGGGAATTCTAAGGCAACTGCATATTGTGCATAATGTGCATTGAGTTGTCTCCCCCCTATTCTTTTTTTTTTTTTTTTTTTTTTTTTTTTGTTAGACGAGACTTGCAAGACTACTATCTAGTATCGAGTTAGAGGAAAAGAAAAACTTTTTTTATCTCTTCATGAGTCAATTAATCCATTGAGCGATCATTCGAACCAAGGTGTTTTTGTTATTAATGTGCCAATGACCGAGAGAGATATGGCCCCTTGCAAATAGGCGTTTTTAAAAAAGAATGATCCTGCTGACCAAATTTGTCGAGTTCGTATGTACATGATCTATCAAATGCAGACATAGGGGGGTTTTTTGTCCCCTACCATGGCGCACGCGGTTGAGAGCTAAGCATTTAAACTCCCTCGTCTTGTCTTCCCTCTCTCCTCACCAAAAAAAAAAAAAAAAAAAAAAAAAAAAAAAAAACCCCTCCGGCTCTAGGGTGGATTAGGATTGGAACAAACGAAAGAATGCGCGGAAAATGGAAGATGGAGACTTTATCGTGAATATCACAGTTACGAGAACATTGCTATACAGGAGAGTTCATCAAGGTAGGAATGGGAATGGAGTGGAGATAGGAAACGGCGCCAATTGGGAGGTAGGGAAGGGAACAAGGTGGCTCTGACACCCTGCCACGGCCGCCATTTTGCCTTCAATGAGTACCATGCTGCACTTTTTTTTTCTACTAGAAGAGGCGGAGAATGAGGATCTTGGGGACTCAAAATGGATTTTTGACGAGATCTGTCTGTTTGACAAGGAGGTTAATCTATCCTCTAAGTTTTGACGCGTGCGTTCAAGGTTCGCTGTGGTAATCGCGTTATGTGAAAATTGTTTCTTGCCACTCTGCCCTTTCCACGACTGTTCACAGTCAGCGACTAGAAAGCGTTCATATCTAAAACCACATAAAAAAAAAGGTCGGTCCAAAGTGGATTTGTTCGGACTCCATGGGCACTGGAAGGTCTCTCTCCAAACCAAAGATGGCAGTACAAGAACGATGAGGGTGAAGGGAACAATCTCAGCCAACGGCCTCATCTTTAACATCCTCAGCCACAACGCATCCACTTTACGCCCAGGAGCCGCCAAAGAGGTTGACAAGGGGATGCTGCACGATAACACTCAGGAAGGTATCGATGATGATGTTAATGATGAAGACAGGCAGGAGGACAGTCTGGATATGAGGACGGATTCGTTGATCTGGACGACGCTGACATTGACGGTGGCGATATACATTCAGATGGCGACCTAGAACAGGGCATTATTGCAGTTTGACGGCCTCCATACAAGACCTTATACATTTCAACAAACGTCATACTGTCACCATACATGGATTCCTTTACACATCCGCCACCAAGCCCCACTCGTTATGACGGGACAGGAAGCGAGATGGAGGGACGGATGAGCTGGAAAGCCGGATTCCAAGCTTCAACATGGAGATACTTGACAACTATTTCAAATATATGACCAAACCGAGCGGCCTAATTTCTAGCCACAGAGCTAACATGTCCAGCGATAATACCAGGACTAGTAGCGACGGTACCGGCAGCAGTAATCCCCTGAGCATCAGCAGCAATAACAGCTAAATCAACGTCCTGGGATATTTGCTCAGCTTTTATGGTTCCGGAAAAGACACAGAACGCTGGTTGTATATCTAGACTACACCACCAAGAGTATCTTGCGCATGACAGATGAATTGGGGGGTCGGGGGGAGGCAGCCGGGGACAACATAGCTCTTTGCTTTGGTCTGAAGTCGTTCAACGCCCGAACCGGACTAGTATCAAAACATCCCGCGCTCGAGAGACAGCTTGTCATCGAAGTAAGTCCTAATGCATGTCTCATGTCTCGCCTTGCTATTTCGAAGAGAAATGAAAAAAGAAGACCAGTGTCTAATGTATGCACCCATATTTGCCTGCAATATCTAGACAAAGAGCCTAGGGTATGTTGTGCAGGGTATACATGGGTATTATACAGACGCAAAATGTCCCTGCCCGGCCTGTAACAGTTCCTGGTCAAGTTGCCGTTTCGTTCTAAACACTGTTCTGGCTGTCGTGCGTTTTTCGATCGCGATGCAATGGGAATGAGAGCAGGGCCCGCGTATGCCAGGTGCAGTTGCAGGACCAGAAGGGTCTCGACAAATACAAGCCATTATTAAGCCCTGTAGCGATAGCAGTAGCCTCAGGTCCGTTGACATCTACAGCAGCGAGCAGGAGCGAAAAAAAAAAGAGCAGTAGATCCGGGTCCGTCAGCACCGGCAGCAGCGAGCAAGGCCGGAAGCGTCAACCCCCAGCAGACCCCGGCCCGTCAGTCACTACATGTAAACTGCAGTAGGAGCTGGAGAACAATGCGGTTTCAAAGTTCCTTTCTCAACAATTTCATACCGTTGCGTTCCCCTTCAAAAATACCCTGTTGTCCCTGGAGCACTGACCACGGAGAGCAATTGTGAGCAAAGCAGTCCGCACATTGGCAACGCGCTACGCGTCACGGCTAAGCGCTATGTGATGGTCGAAACTTATTCCTCACTCTCCTTCACCCTTCTCATCCAACCACTTTCTCATCATGGCAGCCACCAATGACATTCCTACAAAATTAAAGCTCCAAGCGACCGATGCCGAAGAGCGCGATGGTTTTGTCGAGTACTGCAAGTTGCGCACTTGCGAACGCATGGAAGTTGACCGTGTCGATGGTAACTTGCTGCAATGCTTTATGTACCTGGGTGCCAAGTGAGGGAAGGATAATATCCTCCAATGGCCCTGTAAGCGTGGCATTGTATTGACTAGTCATTATTCACCATCCATGCTAATGCTCTTCTTGCGAAATCTATTATTTTTCTTCTTTTCTTGACAGAACTGGAGGAAATCGAACCGGCAGATATGGACAGAATGCGTGTGATTGCGATCGAGGCCAAGCTGGAATGGCGCGGCTTCACGGATGAGATGAAGATGGTACAATTTTTTTTTTTTTTTTTTGATACCGCTTCAAAGAAGTACCAGTCATGCAGCCAGCCAAACTAACGACTATTCCTTGCTTTTCATATCGTCCCTTTAGTTCTGGATCAAGCGTGGCTCCATCAAATCTACCTTGGACTGTATGTTTAGTAACTCTGCCCAATACTTGATGCAATATGCGTCCTAAATACCTTCTTATGCCACTACTAATGTCGCACCTATCTTTATTTCTTTAGCATGGAATGTGTTCCTGGAGGAAAATAATGCCAATGTACCCTCTGTCCACGCAACAGGACATACGCCTACACCAGCAGCCGTTCAGCCCCACAATCACTAGAAAAAGGATACAGCTTTCATGTAACGAAGTGCAGTAATAAAAAAAAAAAAAGAAAGAACAGGAGACAACTGAACGCAAATTGTACAATTAAGACAGGAAATGGCTTGCGGACGAAAATATGAATGATTCGGATCAAAAAAATTGTTGTGCTCTGCGAGCCATCAAACCCGGATTAGACCGCTACTTTTGCTGTCCATGGATAGTCTTCTGATTTAGACGACTATAGCACCAAGGGTCTGGATCCCGATCTGCAGTGTTCACAGGAATGTTAAACAACAAGCGGCTATGCGTCAACTACCACTCTGGCCATGACCTCGACATTTTTCAGGGTGATTCCCTTGGTCAACACAAGTCCTGTTTCTAGTGACAATTTTGTCATCTGTTGTGCCCTCGCTTTTTACGGCAAATAATCCATTCAGGATTTGGCTTAAAACGCATCGAGCAGCGCCGGAGGCAGTTATCTGACGGCCAATTGGTGCATATTTGAGTCTGTCCAGAAGCTGGGCCAATGTCAGATCGAAAAGCGTGGCGAGAAGAGCCCGGGAGGCGGAAGTCATGGCGGCAGATCATCGGAAGAGTTTTTATCCCCGCTATCGGCGTCTTTCTGTGGCCAGCCCATTACAAACGTGGAGAGCGCGCGCTATTGTGCTGAGGAGGTGGCGGATCGCAGTGTGGTGAATAAGATATCAGTCCTTGAAAGCAGGCCACACCTTGGCCAAGAAGTAAAAAGGAGAGTGAATAGGACTAAGCTATGGCAAAAGTTGAATGAGTTCAGCGAGAAATGACAAGTTACTTCTGTCCCTTGTGTGGTCTGTATTATGCATAACTTTCTATTCGACTCTGTGATAGGACTATGCAGGCTTTAGAATGTATGTGAACCAATTCCTTCAAACGCAATAGATCATCATACATTCAGAGAGGGCTGGGAACGGACCTATCTGTGTCCAGCCCAAGCAAGCCAATTTGCTTTTGGCAAACCCATCAAGCACCTGATAGGAAGAAGGTTCACTATCAACTTAAAAAATCACTTAGCCTTCCATTGAAATACCTCCACTGCCCCCCTCCCCACTGCTCCACCATGTCTGAGTGCAAGGCTCTCAACAAATACTTCCCTCTGGATTCCGACCCCGCCATGATCCCCCGGCGCAAGCAGCCTCAAGGTTCTCCAACAGAAAGTTCACCTCATAATTCCGTTCTCCATGCGCTGCAACAACTGTGGCGAATACATCTACAAGGGCAAGTTCAACGCTCGCAAAGAAACCACAGATGAGACCTACACTCCATCAGCGAAAGCACAGAAAAAGACACGTCAAACAATTGGAATAAGTACACTGATGGACTGACAGAGAAACAGGGTTTATTAACTGTGCTGTAAGCGACGCTATATGTGTCATATCAAAATACGCCGGTCGACAAATAAACTGCCAGTCAACAAATAGGGAGCGCTGGACCAAATAGCCTAGAAACGAACAAATGTGTCGGATTGTCTATGTCAAGACCATTCATTCATTCTTCATCCTCAATATACTAGGTTGGGTCGTGTTTATTGAGGAAGATGTGATCATATTCCCAGGATTTGAATCTCCGCTAGCGGGGCTTTCTTTTCTAACGTGGCACATAGCGACTGTATTTCCGAAGAATGAAACTGCTGTGAGAGCATTGTTTCTTTCAAATATACATACTTTAGTACGACTTCGGAACTATTGTCAGGGATGCACTGGACCAACGTTCTGAGCTCATTGACCGAGAAATTGGTATAACGGAAATCCAGCGTTTCCAATGTGAAAACATCGAGCGCCTCGATAAGAGTCCTCCAGTCCTGAGGTTGTAATAAAAATCCAAGCAGTTTGAATTCGCGCAGTGGCTCCCATGTTGGTGATGTATCCGTAGAGGCCTTGATCGATGGCGGAGCCAATGGTACTCTCATACTCTCTGGCAGGGGCGATTTTTGGACAGATGGATTGTTCGGAGCAGAGATCATTGCAACGAGCCATGGGATGAACTCTTGTGGAAAGTGAGCCATGGCCTGATTTCTGAAATAGAGGGACTTCAGCTTTGGCACATCGCGTCTTGTCGGGAAGATCTTTGCAAGCCGTGGGATATGTGAATCGCGTGTTGTCACATTCACTGCCAACTCGGTCAACTTTTCTCTATGTCGGTGGAGCAGTCGCCTGTCTCCACGGTCGCCAAAAAGTGGGTTCTTGAGGTAGATCCGCAAATCCTGTAGTTGATCCGAACGACTCATGACTCGATCCATGGACGCCACACCTGCGGGTGATAGGCCGCTTGGGTCCAGCATGAGGGTTGCAAGCTTTGGTTCATTGTCTTCTGTTGTTTTGTCCAGTTTTAGAGCAAGATCATCGTTGAGTGTTCCAGAGATGGCTTCCAATATCTTGATGGACCATCCGTATCGACTGAATAGTTGAGGTAGGTGATCCGAGGAAGGCCTTGATGTCTGTCCCATTTTGATACGGGTAGACATATCGAACGCAGCGGAGTCATCCGCAAAGTGGACCGTCGAGGTGATTAAATCGTCGCCTAAGTCGGAATCTGCTTGGAGCTCGAGTTGTAATGGTGCACAGGTGCGTCCTTGTAATCGACCTTCCTTTCTTGTTGATAGAGTCAGATCGATGATCGGTGCAAATCGTTGGTATTCGCATCTAAGATTGACCTCTGTAAGCTTGGGGTTCCTTCGTAGCATCTCCGCCAGCGAAGCATCACCTTCTTCACGAACAGTTTCCGCTATCGACAATCGAGTGAGACGGCCATCTTGAAGAAATGCCAAATAGATTGGTTGAAGGGTCCCAATGCTAAATATCGAAGCCCAAATAATTTGAATACTGCCCTTGAGTAGGTTCACGATAATGCGCTGGTTCTTTGAGTTGACCCAAGGGTAAAGTTCCAGCATTCGGAGTTTTGATAGGAAGGCTACGCTGTCCATGATGGTCTTCAGACCCGAGCTTGGGTCTTGTGTCGAAAGCTTCAGCTCTACTAGGCTGGGACAGTTCTGGAGAAGCTTGGCGAATGCTGCATTAGCCGCGGTATCCTCGAGGTCAACGTATTTGATAGATAGTGTTCGAAGCTGAGAAGTCAACTTGATGTAAGAGCTCCTGAACCGAATGGGGACATCAGCATACAACGAAAGTAGCTCGAGAGACTGGACCCGTCCGTTGGACATGAGTTCCATAATAGGCCTAAAACGGCGGTTGCGGTTGATATAGTCCAGTGCTGGTCCTTGAAAGCTGTAGAGAAGGGATAGCCGGATAATGTTCGCCGTCGTGACAGCAGCGGTCAATTTCCGAAGATCATCCAGTGACGTGTCCCACCGTAAGCTTACTTCCAGCTCATGGACATGTCGCGACTTGACCAGCGCCTCGTAAAACTGTTTCGCGAGAGTAGGGGCCGTCAGCGAAATTTTGATCTTGCCCTGTGCCTCGGCAAACACTCCTCCGTTAGCTTCCACTATATCTCTCAATTGCTGGACCGTCGATTCTCGATAGTTCTCGCGATAGTGGTCGATGCAAACCCACTTGACATGACCCTCCGCCGTGACAATCCTGTATAGGTTGCCAAGAACGCGGCTCTCGTCCTGTACTTTCAGATACGATTCCAGCTGCCGAAGATCTGCTCCTTCCAAGACCTCGAGCTTATCCATCTGCGTCTGTCCCTCGGTCAATTCCATTCCACCGCTGGGATTCTTTTGTTGGCCTTCGATAAAATGGATTGTGTCGTCTACCAGTGGCTCAAGATTCTCCCTCACAAACTTGAGATGCCTCTCCACTTCCTCGATCCCTTCCACGACTTTGAAATGCGCCAGCGGAGGCACCACGACCCCTGCCACTGATATTCCAAATTTGATCATCTGCATCAGCGCTAGGACGTAGGAGCCGTATTTTTCAAAGAACTCTTTTGGTCGGTCCAGATCGTATCCCTCGTGTTTGGCCAGGTGGATCTCGTGTGGAATGGTGGTTCCCTCGGACATAGTATGAGCACCGCACTCACACAGGAAATACAGACGAAACTGTTCCGAAAAAGGCTTGAGCAGCTTGTCGCGACGTCGTAACGCCTTTGGGAGCACGATGAACAGGCGAGGAATGGGATACTCGTGAAGTTCGTAGGTCTGAGTGAGAACTGCTTGAACTCGGTTTTGGATGATAGCCAATCGGTCGAGGGCTTGCTGCTGCATTTTGAGCATCTGTTTCTGTTGCCCTAATAACTGCTGTTGTGCCTCGAATAGCCGATCTTGCGCCCTCCTGTCCTTTCTGTCCATCTGCCGCTGCATCTGGAGGACTTGCTCCTGAAGGGATCTATTCTTGTCCATTTCACCCTTAATGGTAGCGACGATATCCGACCGTCCGGACTGCATAGCTTCGGCTATATTCCGTTGGCCGGACTGGAGGGCCAGAAGCTGGGAGGTATAGTGGTAGAGATGGTCTTGAACAGACACTGTCGGTTCCTGAGCCATGTCTGTTGAACGTACGACGAGGTGATGATTCGGTGACCCCACGTCCTGGACGGATAGGTCGGCCGTTTGCTCCGCCAAAGAGTTGATCTCGACAATTTCCATACAGTATGGCGGATTATATCTCTGGATTTCTTTGGCGCCGTCATTTACAATAATGGCGTTTGAGTTCGTGTAGGTTGGTACGTCCGGTGAGATAGTCGGAGTGGAGACTGGTGTGATGCGCTGGAGAGACGCTTCCTCCGTTGCTGGAGCCACAACCTCCTGTCCGGTACTGCCGACAATCACATCGAGTATAACTCCTGGGTAGTGTCCAATCCTTAGGGGAGTGAGACTGCGTGTACACCAAAGGAAGAAAGAACAGGTATCAGCTGCTGTTTCTGCATATATTTTACCCTTGACCATGCATTTCTCTTCTCTTTGCTATTCACAACTTACTACTCAAAATTTTCGTCCGTGAGGTAGAGGATAACGTCCCCATCGTTCATGACACATTGGGCATCCTTGTAATAAAGCTGGATGTCCCTCCATAGAATAATTCGTTGGCCGGACTTAGGATCGAGTCGAGTGGGGATGGTAACGACCTCGGCCTCTGCTGATGAATTAGGAGGCACACGTAGTCGGAAGGCTTGTGAAGACTGTTGACCTGAATCCTTGATTGTCATGCTTTCTTTATGCTTTCAGGGAATGCGGTGAAGATAGAGAGGAAGGAGAGAGAGAAAAGAGAAGAGAGTGAAAATGAAAATGGAGAGACACGGTGAAGGTGAAAATAAAAACAGGCCATGTTTTCGTACAACTGCCACGCTTAGATAGTGCACCTAATTAAGTGCTGAAATTCGGAGCTTTATGACACCAAGCCTCTCAGGCTGAGAGTCTCAAGATGAAACGACATGTTACAACCAATTAACCGTGGCTCTCTTTTAGAGCACAGCGATAGATCCCCTGTGTGAAATTAATGGGACGTAAATGTCAGGGAATCTGGCAAATGTCATCGCCATCTTTTATCTTCGGTGTCAGTCAAATCTATCGCGTCGATTCGAAGCTGAGGGACCAACCTGAAGGAATACTAGTGCATTGGAAAAAGTCCTCAAAGCCCTTGATAGACAAGGACTAAATTCGACTATTGGACAGGGGCTGCATGGATGGGTAGAAGCGACGTTCTCGGTTGACGAAGCTCAAGGCTGGTGCCTTGGGATAGCTGCAGCGCTCGACAAGTCGCGCTATATCCTTCTTCGTGATAGCAGCGGACAATTAACGGAAATCGTGGAGTCCGACCTCTCACTCCAGCTTAACATCCAGCTCATAAACCCCTCGGATCTTGACCGGTGTCTCGTAGAGCTGCTTCGCCAAAGCGGCAGATCTACGCCTGGCCTGATCTTTGCCCTATTCCTCGATGAATCTCCTGCAATTAACCTCTACCATGTCTATCAGCTGTTTTGTCGCCGGTTCTCGATACGTCTCCTGGTAATGGTCAATGCAGACCCATTCGACATGGCCCTCCGCTGTAACAGTCCGGTAGAAGTTCTCAAGAACGCGTCCGTTGTTTTGGACGTTCAGATAAGATTCCAGCTGCTGTCGGCCTACCCTATTCAACACTTCCAGTTTGTCCATCTCCTTTTATACTTTAGCTATGTCGATTTCGCCCCTGACATTCTTTGCTGGCCTTCTTTGAAAGGAATCGTGTTTCCCACGGGAGACTCAAAGCCTTCCTTCACAAACTTGGATTATTTCTCAACTGTCTCGGTTCCATCCATGCTCTTGAAGTATCCCAGCGGTGGTACCACGAATACAGCCACTACAATTCCGAACTTGATCATCTGTATGGGTGTCAAGACGTAGGGACCGTACCTTGCAAAGTCGTCATTCGGTCGATTCGGATCGTACCCCTCGTGTTTGGCCAAATGCATCTCGCGCAGGACCCTGACTCACTTGGACTTGGTATGAGCACCGCACTCACGCATCGAATAGAGGTGAAACTAGGCCGAGAAGGGCTTGGGAAACTTGTCACGACGCCTGTGTGCTTCTAGGAGGACGTTGAACAATCGAGAAACTGGGTACTCAAAGTCGTAGGTCTAGGTGTGAACGGCTTGAACTCTGCTTAGATTTGAACCAGTCGACCGAGAGACTGCAGCTGCATCTTAAACATTTGCTCCTGCTTCTCATCCATTTGTTGTCGCATATTGATAATATACTCTTGAAGAGACCTGTTCTTGGCCATCTCTGCCTTGATGGTAGCGATGATATCCAGCTGTGCTGACTGAATGGTAGCGATGATATCCAGCTGTGCTGACTGAATGGTCTGGAGTTGCGAGTTGTAGTGATCGGGGTAGTTCTGGACAGACGTGCTCAGCTGATGTGCCATAACTTTTGAACGGACGACTAGGGTTTGGTTCGAAGGCGCCTGGTCCAGGATGGAGATGTTGACCACTTGACCTATTATTGAATCGACATTGATTATATCCAAGGCGATGGTGGAATAAAATTCCGTCAAATCGATGGTACCAGCAAAAGTAGCATTGGCGCTATCGTTCATATGAACAGGTATTTTGGCTGTGAGGGGTTGAAGCTGAGTCCGACATGGTATGCTGTCGAGGCGTGTCTTCGCCTGCATAGCTGACAACGCCTTGTCCCGTATCCCCGATGATCGCTTCGAGCACAACTCCAGGATGGTATTTGACCCTCAAAAACGCGAGACTGCAATAGAAGAAAAGTGTAATGAGCGTTACTTATTGTGCTTTAATTGTCTAGGGATGCCGGCATTGACACTTCTCGGCTTCAAAGTTGTCGTTCAGGAACAGAGTTGGATCTCTACCGTCTATGACTCCTTTGGGATTCTTGAAAACTGGCGGGTGTCCTTCCAGAGAGTGATATGTTGTCCGGTTATGTTCTCGAGTGAGTCGAGATGTCAGCAATGTCGGCCTCTATTGGTGTGCCGGCAAATAGGAGTTGAAAGAACTACAAGTATCGTTGTTGGCCCATAGCATCGTCTGTCGCGTTTTTGCTTTCCTGAAGGGGAGAGACGGAGGCGAAGAAAGAAGAGAAGAAGAGTAAACAGCAGCAGTAAAGACGAGGGCGTAAATGGCTGTGGCATGCAACGAAGAACGAACATTTGTCCCCCTGGCTACGTGCTCGACAGGCAGTGCATCCCTAGCGCCACCATAACTGCAAACGCTTAGCTCAAGGAGGAAGGCGCAATTAAACTTACATACTACGGGATAGAGCTATATTGGCGGGGGAGCTTCATTTGTAGACCATGCATCCTCAGGCCAGCATGGTATGACTACGCTGAATGCGAACTACATTACCCAAGGTCGCACAATATAATTTTTTTTTTTTCTTCTAATCCTATCCACCTCTTTTCTTTCCCTCCCCTCCCCCCTCTCTCTCTGCTCGCTTCGTTCTCGCCCGATTCAACCGACATGACGAAGTTCAATCTGTGCGAGCTACGCTCTCAGGCCTTCCAGGTCCGCTCATCCACGAGCTCACTCGCCGATTCCGAAGTCATCGATATCGAGACACTGCTGGATAATAGAACTGGACAGTATGTTGTGCGCTGGAAGGACATCCAGAGAGTCTTCGGCCATGCCAAGTACATCAAGCAAAACGGCGTTGTTATCTCGTTCATGACTGACGATAATTTGGAGGAGTAAGTTCGTCGTATTCGTACTGGCGATTGTGCGAAATTCCTCAACGAAACCATTGGTATGCACTGCTAACGATTTCTGATAAGCTAATTTCTCGACTTCTTGTTCCAGCCTGCTTCCGCTAAGAATCAGCTGTCGTCCAGGCGTAATCCTCGAGGTCGTACTGAAGAATCCTGTTCCCCTGAATTGCCCTTTCCCCGATACCCGCGCTCGCACCCCACTCAGCTTTCCGGAACAGTCCACCTTTACATCAGTTCCCAACAACGTGCAGATCCTCGATATATCCGAGTCCATCGACGCCCATATGGAGAATCAAAACAAATCCAATGAAGCATTAGAGTCGGCTGGCGATCTTCATGACTTGAAAGAGAGCCCTATTGAGCAGTACGAACAAACCTTATCCACCACGATCCATTCTGGTAGATGTTCGGAAGAGACATATGCCCCCAATGCCAGCCTCGCCACGTCCATTAAGCAAGTGGCGGTCGACCTTGTTACGTCCTCCATGGAAACGATGGTTTTGGACGGAAATCTGCCCGTTCTCTTCGATAACATAACAACCAATGACAAGAGCCTCGCTCTCCTTTCTTCGGATATGAGCGCGAAGGCACAATCGTCGCTGCGTGCCTACAACCAGCTCTATGGCTCTTACTTTCAAGCAATCCTGTCCGGCCAGGTCAACCAGGCAACGAGTATCAAAGAGGCCATGAACGAGCATTTCGGTAGTCTTCAGGCAGAGATGGACAAGAACAAGGCGATGCAGAAACAGATGCTGCGGATGCAGCAACAATCACTGGAAAAACAGCAACAGGCCTTGGATCGGCTCGCCATTATCCAGAACCGTGTCCAGACCATTATCACGCAGACGTATGAACTCCATGAGTACCCGATCCCGCGACTGTTCATCGTTTTGCCCAAGTCAACAAGGCGTCGCGACCGACTCGGCAAGGTATTTTCAAAGCAGTTCAGGCTATTTTTTCTGTGCGAGTGTGGAGCGCACACCATGGCAGAAGGGAGCAAGATTAAGCACAAGATCCATCTAGCCAAGCATGAGGGATACGATCTGGATAGGCCGACTGAGTTCTTTGAGAAGTATGGACCGTACGTGCTGGCAATGATGGAGATGGTCAAGTATGGGTTCGCGGCCACGAGCATCATTGTCCCACCATTGGCGCAGCTTGGCTTTGTAAAAGGGATTGACTCTGTGCAGCAAGGTCTCGATACGCTGAAGGATAGTATGGGATCGATGGTGGATGAAACCATCGCGTTTATTCAGGATCAGCAGAACAATGCCAGCGGAGGGATCGGCATAGCTGGGGAGCAGATGAGACTCGATAAATTGCAGGTCCTGGAAGGGGCGGACTTGAGACAGTTAGAGTCGTATCTCAAGGTGAACGACGAGGGTCGTATCCTCGGCAACCTTTATCGGACCGTAACACCGGAGGGAAACGTTAAGTGGGTGTGTATTGACCATTACCGCGAGAACTATCGGGCATCAGCAACAGAGCAGCTGAGGGATATCGTTGTTGGCAATGGTGGAAAGTTCATGGAGAATATCGGCAAGGTTTCAGTTAATGTTGCCTCCAGTACTCAGGCCAGGCAGCTTTATGAGGCAATCACTAAGGCGCGTGGAATACAGGAGCTGGAGATCGCGCTACAATGGGACGTGACGCTGGACGACCTTCGGACCTTTGAAGCGGCTATCAGTAAGGCAAATATTGTCACGCTGACCATGGATGGGGCATACTTCAAAGGCCCTGCCTTCGACATCATCAACCGAGGCCGTCGATATGATCCGATCCTGCAGCTCATGTCCAATGGGCGTATTCAGTGTCTGCGACTCAATCAGTTTGACCAGTTTTGCCTGCATGTCAACACTTCATCGATTGCCTTGGCACCGCAGCTCCGAATTCTTGTTATCGATCTAGCCATCTCACTGTACGAAAAAAACGCTCAGGCAGCATTCACCAAGATCCTAGAGAGCTGCCCCTCCCTGACGGGACTGAGAGTCAACAGCTATCACCAATACCTCGTCTATGAAATCGCGGTGGGCAAAATTGAACACTTCAGGGATCTCAGGAGACTGACTATAACATGCGGTGGACATACCTGGAAAGCAAACCTGACGCAGGGCGAGATTCATAATGCAGCCATGACGATCAACCGCCTTGAGGATGTCTCTACGGACGAAGTAAGACTATTTCAGCTTGGTCAACTGCGAACGCTGAGCATTAGACGAACCCCAACAGAAGCTGAGGCATCTCGCCTTACCGATATTTTGCGCCAGAACCCCGGACTACTGGAGCTCCATATCGGATGTCACGTCGAACGATCTCTTTCACTTATCAACTTGGTCACCGCTACGCGGCAGAGTATGATTTCCGAGGACCGACCGTGTGAATTACGCCGACTCGACTTGCGAAAAGATTCCGGGGATTCTGAAGCGGACCTTGGAAAGAACGATGTCGTGAACTCTACCGTAGAGTTCGTCGATGCATCCACCTCAACTGCACCCAGGATTTCCACCAGTGTGAGCATGAGCAGGACCACGAGGAAGGACGAATTCGGCGGCTTCGAGGACTTCTTGCGCGAATTCGCCTGGACGATCGAGAAACTGGAGACAGACTCGACGTTTGATGATCGTTTGGCGACACTTCTAGATCGCTCTACGGAAGAACTAGGCTCCAGGCTTAAATCGCTCGTGCTGCTCCCAAGAAATCTATCGTCCGAAGGACTGGATTCGGTGGACAGTGTGATCGAGCGTTCGCAGAATCTGGAAATCCTTCAGATATTGCACCATGGCATGAAGTCCGAGGAGCAACAGCAAAAGGCAGAGCGATTGATCCGTCGCCATGGACATCGATTGGACACATTGCTGCTGAGCGGATTTGCAGCGGATGTGTGGATGACACGACTCTCTGCCGCATTCCCGACAAGACGCGACCTGCCTGTGTTGACGAGCTTTCGTGTGTTCTGCTTTGGCAAGCAAAAGCTCCCACACCATTGCGCACAGTGGATCGCTGCCATGGCCTCAGGTCCATCCCAGGGAGTTTTATCAGTGCCGTCACCCTTGGACCCTTCTCCACAGGATGCCTTCATTTCAATATCTCAGCAGGTTGCTGAAGAGGTATCCGAAGCATGGACGCCGCTTAAAGAACTTATCCTGGTGTGCCTCACTATTCAGTCCGAGGATTGGAAGACCATTCTCGAAGGACTCGATTTCTCGGCATTGGAGGTACTCCATGTCACCAACAGCAACTTTTCGCTCTCGGAGCTGAAGGTGCTGGTCAGGCGCATTTCAGAAAGCCCAGAGATCGAGGTACCACTCAGGTCTTTACGACTCGAGAAGACAAGCATTTCTAAGTGCGATGACGTTGATGTGGTACGAGAACTTGTGGAAGCGCTTAAGAAAAAGGCTCCGCTCGTCAAGGTCGAGGGTCTTCCATTGCTGAACTAAAATAAAGTGCGCTCAGCTTTTACACCACACTTGCGGTGTCCACGACTTTGTTCGTTTGATTTTCAATGATAAAATTATCCATGGTTTAATGTAGAAGTACAAAAGTTTATGGAGGCTTAAGAGCTACAGCTACATTGGATGCCCTGACCCCACTCAGGCACCGGGCCGACGAACTCACCATAGATCTCCAATCCTACATCGTTCCGCCTGACCTCGCACGCTGCTCCAACATCGACTCTGGTCTCATCAGCAGCGCCTTTGAGCAGTCCATCCTCGCCAAAGGGATGCTGGCACATCCATAGCACACGGTCCAACAGGTCCTTGTCCGGGTCTTCCTCCTCGCTGCCTCCCCTCACTTTCCTCACGCTCTCTGTCACACGCTCGATGACCTTCTGAGCAACCCAGTTCCTGAGCACAAAGGCCGGGTTTACTCGGTTCATCCTCGCCCGGCGCTGCTGATCATCCTTCAGCTCCTCAGATTCGACAATTCGGCTGTGATAGGCCTTCAGCCATGACTTTGACTCTGCCACCGCAGTAGACCCTCGTGCCTGCCAGATGGCTGGCAGAAGCAGCTTCTTGACAAAAAACTCGACCTGCTCCATATTCTGGTCGACGCCCTCCACATCCTGGACTTTGTAATCCGCTAGGTCCCTGAAGAACTGATGAAAGTCAACCTCGTAATCGTCCATCCACGACAGGGCAGGCACCAGAATCTTTGCCAAGTCCTCATTTCGCACCTGCTCCGGGCCACCAAGACCCAGCTTCGCGTTCATGCGTTCACGGTAATCCTTCAAGAACACTTCTCGGAAACTCTTGTTCAAGATCTCGACCACAACGTGATGGGCTGCCTCCTTCAAGTGTTCCTCCTTCTCGGGATCGGACTCTTGCTGCTGCATCCATTCTAAATCATCCACCCGTTCCTGTGCACCGATCAGGTTCTCGAGCGTTAGGGCCAGTCGGCTCAGGTTCCAGATACAGATGCCAGGCTGCTGTTGGAACGCGTAGCGGCCCTCCGAGTCGGAATGGTTGCAGATCCACTCTGGATCATATTTGTCTAGGAAGGCGAATGGGCCATAATCGATCGTCAGACCCAGGACCGACATATTATCTGTATTCATGACACCGTGACAAAACCCGGTCGCCTGCCAGCCCGAGACCATGATCGCAGTGCGTCGCGAAATCTCCTCAAACATCTTTGCGAAACGATTTCGGTAAAGGTGCTTAGCCGCATTGTGCTGAGGATCTGCCACGGGTGCGCCCTCTGCGGCGCCCTCGATAGCGGCAGTGGCCGCTCGCGATGATGGCGATTGATGTTCTCGAGCCTCGGCGATCTCAGCTGCATCAATGGGCTTCTTGATCTCCGCATTTCTGAACGTCTTTGCGAACTCTGCCATCTCCTGAGGATTGTCCTTGGGGAGCTGAAAGACCTCTTGCGAGACATACTCGGCCAGCTTGCGCAAGTTGGTTCGGTCCTTGCGGTAAAAAAATATTTCAAAATTGCCGAATCGGACCCAACTAGGAGCAACACGACAGACGATCGATCCTGGCTCCGGTCCTTCTTCGCGAATGACCATGGTCTTTGTCGACACGATGGCGAGCGATCTCGACGACGGAACATTCAAGGCCGCCATCGCTACACGTTTACAGAGTGGTAGGGTTCCGTGGTGAATAAAACAAACTTGCAGAGCAGAAAAAACTAGGCGAATCAAAACCTGAGGTCGGTCGAGAAGACGAAGTACCTTCAGCACAAAGATATTCGCGGATTGAAGAGCGCAATACGGCATATCCATCTGCAAATCGACTGTAAGGGGTCTTTCCAGCGCCCTTGAGTTGCAGTTCCCAGGTCATTCCTGTTTCGGGGTTGACGGTTTCGTCTAGAAGTGGGAGGGCGAGGGTAATTACGCACAGTCAACATCAAGGTGACCATGGAGATGATTAACATTCTATCCCCAAAGACGTAACACTTACACAACGAAATAGCACGTCCATCACCGAGCTGCCCAGCATAGTATCCGAACTGATGTCCGCCATAGCAAAGTGCCCATGGCTCCGCCAGTCTCGGTCCCTTGTCGCTCTGTGATGACTCTGTCTGCGGAAGTGTTCTGGTGCCACCGGTCAGCATCTTGACCACGTTCTCATACTCTTCTTCTGTCCACTGAGTCCTTTCCAGCTTATTCTTGTCCATGCCAATAACCTCAGCGAATTCTCTGTTCCAACTCAACAGAAACGCATCCCTAGATTGGTTCTCTGGGTTGATGTACGAATAAACGGCGTTACGGATCATGCGAGGAGTACTAAGCAGGCTGTAGGGTGCAGGATCCTCGCCGTCACCGTGACCGAGGGCCGAAAGTTCGTCGCACGGGAGGGACGACGTGAACTTGGCCGGGTACCGCGGATGTGGGAGCGGAAACGGTACAGGTGTGGTAGCTGAGGAGGAGGAGGAAGCGGAAGAGGAGGAGGAGAATGCACTGGAGGCCATGGTGATAGTGAGCGGGCTCGTACTTGAGTTCTTGAGGAATGTGTGGTTGTGTGTGAATCGATGGGGTGGAGGTATGAATGAGGGAGAAGAAGAAGAAGAAAGAGAATAGGAAGAACGAGTAAAGGAGGGTCGTTGTCGCTGAGTAAAGGAAGTGGCGAGTCGAAACATGAAGTGGGTGTCAATGGGGGTTGACCATGCAAGAAGTGCGTGTATGCGTGGGTGTGTAGCATAGAAGAAAGGACCAGCTGTGAAGGCTACGCGATAGGTCGTGCGCAGCAGAGGAAAATCAAATGCCGAGTGCACCGTGTGTCCTTATTGAGCATTGCCGCCTACATATCCTGAGTATCTTTTTGTCCTTGCGTGGCATCGGTGACCACCCATCCTTCATCCTCTTCTAGAGAAGTAGGTGTTCTTACCCATCCTTCTTCCTTCCCTTTGGAAAGGTTCTCGCTGAAGACCGTCTGACTATACCCTGCCTCGCACCTTTGCAGATCCTAATCGAAACCAGCTCTCCTCTTCTCTTGAGGGGCTGACATGGCCTCAGCAACATAGAAGAATAGACCGTGTCTTTCTCGATCTGATGCCCCGTCACACCCGTGCAGCACCTTATTTCCTAGCTGTAAATGGAAAAGGTGGCTGATGTTGACACACTCGATCCTTGTTTACTCGAAGGCATATTTTTTGTCCGGTTTCCTTTTCAAGTGCACTTCCGCCCTTTCCTTCACACACTTCCCTCCCGACTCCATTTCCCTCACAAACTACCATCACTATGTCCGGACTCCTTGCTTTCACAAAGATGGCCTTTACTGCCCCACGCCTGACCATGGCTCTCGGCGCCAACACCCTTGCCGCTCGTGCCTATGCCACCAAGAAGCTGTTTGTCGGCAACGTCGCCTGGGGCACCACCGACGACGAGGTCAAAGAGCTCTTTGCCCAGTACGGAGAGATCCAAGACATTTACTTCCCTAAGGACCCGGCGGGACGCACCAAGGGCTATGGATTTATCGAGATGGATGATCAAGAGGCTGATAAGGTCATTCAGGAGGTCAATGGCCTCGAGTTCAACGGTAGGGAGCTCCGCATCGATGCCGCTAACCCTCGTGAGGACCGTCCCCAGCAGTCGGGCGCTCGTGAGGAGTACCGTGGCGAGTGGCGCCCCCGCCGCGAGTCCAACAACAACGACAGAGATGGTGGCAACAGAGGATTCCGTGGTCGCAGGGATAACAGGGACGGAGGTGAACGTTCGTTCCGCCCCCGCCGTGACAACAGCGAGCGTGGCGAGCGCTCCTACGGTCGTCCTCGTGGCGATTCGTTTGACCGCGAGTAAAAGAAGAGCCGTGCGGGAGCCATAGGAAGGACGTGAGAGGAAAGTATATGCCGCCTACAAGAAGGAAAGCTCCCGGGCATATTTTTTTTTTTGTATCATTTATTCAGGAACCACCTTTTTTTTTTTAGCAGGAATACCAACAACCACGATATCTTTTCTGTGTTTTTTCTTTTGTTCATCACGCATCGCCGTCTTTTTGCTATTAACTGTTTGTAGTTTTATTCTTCAATCATTCATTACTATCATCTCATTGTATGTTTTACTGCCTGTAGTCTGCACTGCACTCTTTTTTACCCTGTATGTACACCTCTCGATGTCCCCCTATTCACGGACGGGATAGAAGCATGAATCGCACAACGCACACTAAAAAAGAATAAAATGTTCTCTCTAAGCAGGGAATCAAACAATGTTTCCATTACAACGTATTGGCCCGATTCAAGATAAAAATTTCCTCTATGCCTACGTTGCTGGCAGGTGTCGAAGCTAGGGCACAGCATTTTATATCAAATCGTGGGAGCATCCATTGTGCAGAAAAATATCCCAAAGGATTGGAGGACAGGATTATTGTACTGTATCCCTAAGGCAGCGGAATGGTCAGGAAGTATGGCGGAAGTCCGACCAATCGCATTGCTTGAACACGCAAGGAAAATCATGTTCGCGGTGTTGACAAACAGGTTAAGCGAGATCATGCGAAGGCACGAGATTTTGCGTGGACCAAACTTCTCGGTACTCAAAGGAACAACGACCAAAGACCCAATCCACATCCTCCAGGCAGCAATGGAGGACGCCCGAGAATTTAAGAAGGAGCAGTGGATCGTGTTCCAGGATATGAAAAGATGTTTTGACTCGGTCAACTGTACACCTGACAGCATGCTATCCAGAGGCCTGAGGCGACTGCGTGTCCCGGAAGCGTTCATCGAGCTGTGTGAAAATATTGCCATCACCAAAACCAATCAAGTTATCACAGAATACGGACTCACAGACGAATACCACCCGGAATGCGGACTGGACCAGGGCGGAGTGGAGTGTCCACTTTTGTGGCGCGTGGCGTACGACCCACTGCTGTGCGAGGTCATGGAGCATACAACAGGATACACCATCCACGGACCCAAAGACACACCACAGGTCGCGGGGTTGGCTTTCGTGGACGACACAACATGGATTTCCAACTCACGAGACAACATGCAAGAGATACTGGACGTGGCAACATCTTTCTTTGTTTTGAATGGGGTCGAAATCAACACCAAGAAGACACAGGTTGTGGCACTGAACCACAAAAAGGACTGCGACAACCGCCTCATGTTTGGAACACCAGCGGAGGCGATCACACCGGTTGACAAGAATGAGGCAGTGCGGATTTTAGGAGTCTGGGTCACGGCGAGTGGAGCAGTGACAACTACGGAACGGATTGTAGAGAGAGAGGTCAACATGATCTGCAACATTCTCACGCCGAAAGCAGTGACGGACAAGCAGACGACGTACATTGTCAACAATGTCCTCATCCCCAAAGTGCTATACAGGATTTCGGCGCAAATTATGCCACGCACATTTACGCGCAAGATGACAGGCAAATACATGAAGCTGTGTAAACGGAAGGCTCGGATGCCGTCTACCACGCCCAATAGCATCATGCACCACCATCGATTCTACGGGGTAAAAAATCTAGAAGACGCACAGGCTGAGGAACAGATATCAACACTCCAACTACGATTGAACGACAAGGGACTCATGGGAAAAATCTGCAGAGCTCGGATCATTGCGTTACAACAGCAGCAGAGGATGGCTCTCCTACCTACAGCGGACCCCAGCAGTGTACAACAATTCAAACACAACTTCGCTTCAGGAGTATGCAAGCTCATGGCAGACAGAAATATCGTGTTTGCTCTACAACTGGCAGGAGACTTTGGGCTGCAGAACAACGCCACCACCATTGACGAGTGTTTCGGAGAGGAGATTGACGACAGCATGCGCACAGAGTTAGCAAAAAGGATGGTTTATTTTGTAGATCAACTCATTACAAGAGACGGGTCACTGAAGGCTTGGAGGGAAATTAGGATAGGCAGAAAGGATCCGAAATTGTCCCCTGTCTGGTTCAATACAATACAGGACCTCTTTAGCCAGGCAAACTACGCAACTGATTTTATTGAGGACTGGTGCGTCGAGAAATTGGAGTTCCTTCAGCAGTTTGAGGACGGTCAGAAAGTACAGGAAGCCTACGACAGCTACACCACTGAGGTCGAAGGAGCAACGGAGGATGAGGAGACTGCAGTCGCTGCAGTGACAGCCGAACTCGAGGCGATGGAGATGGCTGAGTATAGGGAGGTGAACGTAGCGCAGGAAATACCGAGACAGAGACCAGCAGAGGAACCAGCAGACAGGGAGCGAAGGAAGGAAGATTATGTACAAGCAGGACTACAGCAGAGCCAAGAGATTCACCCAACACGACGCGCCGAAGTGGAGGAAGCAATGGGAGTCGCATTCGAACGCAACGAGTATCGGAAAGAAAAAGAGTGGGAGGCAAACGAGAACAGTAGGATATGGCGGAAACACAACGAAACAGCTACGAAAGTGCACAGGAGAAAAACGGAAGCAGTACGAAGGAGGCAGGCACGGTTAGGAGAAGATTGGAGGAGAGTATCAGGAACACGAGGCAACAGACACGGGATCACAACTCAAACCGGCAGCGGCTTAAACGTGAGGCTGACAGGCGACGTGCTGACAGGCGGCGAATACAGCGGCGCATGAGGAAGAGGGAAGCAAGCAAAAATGCGAGACTCAGGACCAAACTGCGCGGCAGAGATCCAGGATTGGACAATGGGGCACTTCGAGCAAGGCTCCGTACTCTGGCGCGGGAGCAGATGGATGCAATGCCAACGTTACGCTATAGAGCACTGCCAGACAATACGCAACGTCCGATAGGAGACACATTCAGGGTCAGTATTCCAGCAGCAGTGTTGCGCCACATCCAGCAACAGCGTACCCGACTGCAAGGACTGGACAAAGTTGTAATGTTTTCGGACGGTTCAATGGAAGAAGCAGGAAAGCAGGGTGTCCGAATGGCATTCAGCGTGGTAGCGCAGGAAAATCAAGACGCCATGCACACAATGGTAACGGGCAGGATCGCAGGATTTGCTTCATCGACTAAAGCGGAGCTTGCAGGGCTTTTTGCAGCAATCCTGGCCAGTCCAAGGAACACGCCAACAACCATCTACATTGACAACTCGGCTGTGGTAACGCAATTTAAAGCCTTGGTGAGTGGGAGACAAGGAAGCACGGAACGCCAAAGGCTGCGGTCGACTTACGCGATCTGGTGGTCGGCAGTGCACAACGCATATGTACATCAAGGAGGGAAGATCAAGGTGGAGTGGATCAAAGGGCACGCAGGCCATAAGGGCAACGAGGCAGCGGACAAGGCAGCAAAAGAGGCGCACTTCAGTGACCTTTGGGCCATCAATGAAAAGGAACACAATGACATCCAATGCCACGCCATGTTCAAAGGCGCGGTCGTTGAGGGTGATCTGAGGCAGGTACTTAAACGCCAATCAACGGTAAGGATGAACGCGTTATGGACAGAGCAGAACAGGACTAAGGAAAACATCAAGGATTGGAACCTGGTGGACTGGAAAGCAACACTGCACATCATTCACAACGGCAACACACCGAAGGGATTATTCACTAGCCCTAACGATTGTCAGCGTCGTGCGCACAGGATCAAGAAGCTGCACGGAATGTTGCCGACGCTGGCGTACATGAAGCAGTGGCGGCCGGATTTGTATAGTACAGACACCTGCAGACTTTGTGAGGTGGATAAAGAGGACACGCAGCATCTATGGCGCTGCGAAATGACGATGCAGCAGCAGCAGGACGGTTGGCAGGAAGCAATCGAGAAGGTCAACACAGATGGACGTAGAGCATGGAATAAAGAGCGCAAGCTGTGGGAGACGAAGCAAAAGCAAGCCAAGGAGCGAGGACAAGCCGCGAGAGGACAGGGACCAAGCTTCACACAGGTGACAGACAAGGCCATTTGGACAGCACTCAAGAACAAGATCAAGGGAGCTTCGGCGATCCGGCAAGCAAGCAACACACTCGGCCGTGTGGAGGACGAGACAAGGGACAACGATCAAGGGACCTGGACGGCTCAAGATTTGTACCACGGACTGACACCAACGGCTCTCGCCAAGGACTGGGAGAGCCTATTCAAGACGACCACCTCGATCGCGAGGTACATGGTCGGTCGATTCGTCAAGGCCATCGAGGAATTCGGACGGACAGAAATCTGGAACAAAAGATGCAAAGTCACCGTCGACTGGGAAAGAGAAAATGGGATCACTACCATGAGCAAACGCGCCCGGGGACGCAACTGTGTTGGAGAGCACAGACGTAGTGGTAGTGGTTTTGTTGGATCCTCCAGGAGACAACGACGTGCATTGGATGTGAAAGAGATCGAGGAACGAGCGGACAAGCGAGTGCTGCAAAGCTGCATGCAGCAGGTGGAGCTAAACGTGATGGAACGCACCGGCAACTGTAAATTTTTGATGATTGAGGAACGCGGCTAAAGGATGACCTTCGCGCACAACAGGCCAAGTAGGGAGCAGGGCTCAGTCACCGACCCCAGGCGGGGTCGAGTTACCACTCATGCTGACTGGGATTGTGAAGGGGATTGGAGCTGCGAGTGACCAGCAGCGGTGCGGCAAAAGCCGTTTATTAGAATATTGAGCACCCTTTACTATGCCTCTAGCAATAGGGTTCCCTAGTCTAGAGTCCCTCACTAATAAATCCCACATATCCTCGTGGGTTCTAGTTATCAAAAAAAAAAAAAAAAAAAAAAAAGGCAGGTGTCGAAGCTAGCGAACAGCTCTTGCACCACTGTGCACGTTGTAGCTCTGGATTCGCTGGAGCTGAATTTTTGTTGCGGATTCTAGTCGGATGCCGAAATCTCACGATCTTTGCGACAAAGGGAACTTTGACGTTCAATCGTGGGCTGCAAGTGACTATCAGTGCTCAGCTTGATGTTATATCCATTAGTGCAGGGTACGGATCTGGATAATATGGAGGATCCTATCAACTACAGCCCATGGAGTTACTCCGCGATGTGAGAGCCTTGCAGCACTTGAAAGCACTTTACTTGAACTATGTCAAGTACGAGAAATCGAGCACACCCAAGTACCCGGGACTGATGGTTGTGCAGCAGCAGCAGCTTCAGAATTGGTGTGTGTGTTCAAACCTTTTTTTTTGTGATTGGAAAAGCAAGATTTGCCCTACGCCCCAAGAACATATCAACCCATCAAATGCGCATATTTATGGTTGGACCTGGTTCCTTTCTTCGTTCATGAATTCTATCCGAGAAAGTGGTATCCTACGACCCTATTTTTCGTGTCTTCCCCTTCCCCTTGGCATGTCCACTATCCAATAACTATAGTATACCAGTCTGTCTCCTGTCTGCTGCCTCCTTGCCCCAAAGAAAAAAAAATCGCTAGTCCTTTGGCCAGATACCCATCTCCTGAAAATCCGTGATGATTTCGCGAAGACTCTCCGTTGTCACCTTTGGATGCTCGTACTTGAATCCTGTTGTAGTACAGATCTTTGTGCCGTCGAGCGAGAGTTCATTATTGCAAAGCAGTTCTTGATCCAGATACGGCGTCAATGGAGAGGCCTTGATCTGATGGGCTTTAAGCAAATCGGACCATGGCTGCAAGTGCATATCATTCGTCTCGTCGGTGACCTCCTTCATGTCATACTAATGAGAGAAAGAGAGAGAATTGCATATTCGGATGAGGACAGGGAGCGAGTGAGTTGATGTGGAGACGATAGCTGCGAGAGAGATGGACAGTGAGAAAACAATCAATAAAAACCCTTACCGTAGAGGCGACGCTCGAAAAGACAGCTCCCTTGAATCCAGTTTCGATACCAAAGATGGACCTTATGTGTGTATTGATTGCCTCTTGATCTATATGTGAATCAAGCGTGTAAGTTGTTTGATGACCAGATAGGACGCGCTCCTTAAAGGAAAATTCTAACAAGGAATGAACTTGAACCACTTACTCGTGTCGTTCTCGTCGGCGAGGTTGAAGATGACGGGTGCGCCATGGTTGGGGTTATCCGAGCTCACATACCAGTTAGCGGTGTGCCAAACTGCGCGTATGACGTCCTCAACGTGCACGGTGTTGAGCCTCAGGTCCTCTGTCCACAAGAATTCCATCTTCTCTTTCGTGTGCTGATACACGCGGCCGCAGATCAAACGCGGTGCTAATCCAGCAAGGGGGGGATGCGTCAAGAAGTAGTGCCCAAAGGTTAGCGTCCAAGACGTGGTATGGTTTGTGGTTGAGTGTTTCTTTAGTGCCAATGATTAGACTGCATGTCCTGCATGCACGGTGATGCTTCGATAAAAGGGGTGGCATCGAGAACCGTGCACATTCTTGTTATAAGATCGGACAACTTACTGAGGCCTCCCATCGCTCCAATACCATAGACGACCGCAGGGCGCAGGATCACCAAATTCAATCTAATGTCGCAATGGGGAGGAGACAAAGGAGGTAGAAAAGGAGATGAGGACCTTGCGAGACGCTGCTTCAAGTACATCTCGATCACTTCGACCTCACCGCTCTACGGTAGCAGCCTTCCGCGCATATTACCCCGGCATATCCTGCAGTGCCTTGTCCACCTTTAACTTGTACTGAGCCAAAACGTTCCATGGCTTTGTCTTTGAATCCTCTTTACTTGCGGTCTGTGAATGGAGACAATCGAGCGGTTTGCTTAGGTATACCATGACAACGGATTTCGCACTTTGCAGATTTTTTCTCCTCAAATTGACGACGTACCCCATTGCTCTCGTAGATGTCTCCCGTAGACAACTGCACAAAGACTTTGACCTTCCTCTTGACAGCCTCCTCTGCGCAGTTGAGGGACAACTTGTAGATTCGATCTTCATAGATCTATAGGAAGACGAAGTAGGGAACGGTTAGTTGATTAGGAAATAACGAGGGAGATTCAGGGGCACAGTGTCAAGGACAAGTCCATATCAAGAAATTATGATTAGGGGCCTATTTTTTTTTATATTATTAAATGGCGGAGTGAGAAAAGGGCAGAGCCTCGGGGGAGGTCGTTGACACAGCGCGAAAGGATTTGAAGATCAAGGACCGCTCTGGAATGGGGATGACCATGATGCCCTGGGAAAAATTAACGTATCGAGTCCAGATGGAATAAAGAAGCAGACATTTTGGGGAAGGAATAGGGGGCACAAGGTGTTCGATGCACCATCTGTAAAACAAAAACAAACAAAAACTGTATTGCGACCATGTCCACCCTTCCTCCCTCATTAGTGTGATCCTCATTTTTAGTCATGCGTGGGCAATGGTCCATGGTGTATCGAGCATGTAACATTTGTGCCTCAACAAAGCAGACAGTCTGAACATCCCAATTGCGATTTAGCAGTGCGACCTCCTATTGCAGCCAGTACGATCTATGCTGATCGATGGAGCCCAGTCATGGATCGAGCAACATCATCGTCATGTCCAGCATGCGTACAAAAAAAAAAAAAAAAAAAAGAGCCGTGGGCATAAAAAGAAGTGTTCTGGATCTACCCCCTTTTAAAAAATGCCCATAGTCCCTTCTTCATTGATGTATCCTTCCCGGTATTCTCTCCCCTGCCATTTCCCATCCAATAACTTTGTTAAGATCTTGTCTCCAGCTGCATACAACGCAACAAGTAGGGGGAGTGAGGGGGAGGAGGAGGAAAGTTGTCGCTTTCTTCCTTTGATTTTTTCATTAATCGAGAATCCTCCCAGCCCCCCTCTCCTTCAGGTAGTTGCAATTGACCATTCACTGCTTTGCGAAGTCTCTCCATTCTCTTCTACTTACGTCCGCATGCTGCGAAAATTTGGTCTCGGCTGCGAAGTTGATCACGTAGTCGAACGAGGATCCATCGGATCGCGTGTAGATCTTTTCAAACTTTTCGGGAGGGACTAAATCAATACCAATTAATCGAACACTACGCGTTAGTGCACATCTAATCTAATCCCACATGCATTATTGCCATGCAATCAGAAAGCACACCCCTCTTTCTTCTCCCCTCGTCTCTTCAGCTAATAAACTCCCATCCATAACAACAATAAAAATCAATACAAAGACAGAGAAAGGCACCATTCCCCCTTACTTGTGCTCGAGAGATCGTTCTGCATGAATTCTACTTCCTTAAATGCAGCCTGGAAGCGCTTGTTGAGGTACGCAGTTTGAGGGAGGGCCTTGTCAATGACACGGATTTCCGCCGCAAGACCGTTCTCGACAAGATGTGCGACAAAGTTTCGGCCGATGAAGCCAACTCCTCCGAGGACTAGGACAGTGGGCTGCGGTGCCATTGTCAATGGACGGAGCGTGTTTGTGATTGGGCGTAGCGACAATAAAGTTGGCGTTGATGGTGCTGGGTCTTGAGAGCGGCGGAGACACGGATATCGAAATGTGGACGCGAGAATTAAAGTAACTGGAACTTGCGACAACTGCAGGAGAGAAAAAGCCCCTGTGTATTAAAATCAGAAAGCAGGAATCGGTACGGCTGTGGGATCTCAAATGACAGGGCTAGTGGGTAGGGTTGGTTTGGATCGTAAGGCGAGGCAAGGGAAGAGGATGAAAGAGGGGAGGGGGGAAGGGGACTGACAGAGATCTCTTCGAAAGAAATAAGGAAAGAAGAGAAGTTGAACCATGGATCTCAATCTTTTCTAGTCCATTATATACTGAATGCGGGTAGTAGGGTCCTCTGCAGGCTTCGGTATAGATCTCCTAACGTGCCGCATGATGCTTATGGAGATGATGAGATACAACGTCGAACTGGCGATCCTCAAAGACGCGCTCTGTATTTGGCCTGCTCCCTGCCCCTGTCGGCCCTGCCTTTGTTACAAGAGGGCGGGGGGATATTTTGCTCGCTATTTCTCTCCAGTTTCACTCATGTGTTTCCACCGTAACGCTAAGCGGCTGCTATACCTCGGGCTCTGTTGGTCATACTATTGTGATTCGTCGAATTATCCCAGATTGATGTCCACAACCGCATTCTCTCTGACTTCCACTCATTTCTGCAGCCTCGATTCTCTTGGATACTGCTGTTGCTGCAGGTAGCGATGGCCTTCTTTTTTAGTACTGCGTTTATTCTCCTCCCGTTATTGTATCAACTTTGGCTGGACACAGACCCCATGTTACACTAGCTCCACAAGTCGGTTGCCCCATACTCGCTTACTCGCTCACTCGCCTAATTCACGAATTTAGGAAATTCACACTTTCTGTGATTCGTCTTGTACTCGCAACTATTGACTCAAAAAAAAAGAAGGCCATCCTTTGAAAATGCGCTGCCAAACCAAGCAAAGGGCTTCCTGCATCTGAAGAACCCATCAACCGCCCTCGCATCCTCAGGGACCGCACACTTGCCTTATTAATCTATGAATCGCGTATAGAAACTACGCTATGCATGCTCTTCCCTGCCATCTCTTCCTTTCCTCATCTTCCTTCTCTTCCCCTCGTGTCCTCCCCCCTGAGTGTTTTTAAAGCACAAGGGACGCAATAATGCTTCTGCGGGTGATGCACAGGCCTGGGATGTTACACACAAGCGTAAACTCTAGTCCTACCTAATACCTTCCCCTACCCTAGCTCCTTCAAATTCAGGAATTTTTCTGTCACTAGTCTACAGTTTCCTCAAAGCTGTTTCTCGCGCATTATATCTTTTCTCGTCTCTTGGCACCTAGGGCGCCCCGAGCGATGGCGCAAGACAGGATAAGTCCATGCTACAAAGGATGGCAGGCAGAAAGAGTAGGGGTCGCGATATGCTCTCGATGCATGTAATCTAAAACAGCCACGATCTGAGCAAAAACAGAAGCAGCAAATGTCCTGGCAGCATTCCGATCTGTTTGTTGGGGCTCCGTAATGCTCAGTTACAACATCGATCATTGTGCAACGCTGGCATCCCGCTTCGGTCTGAAACGACAAGAGACAGAGTGTCCACGGGAAAAAAAACGGAACTAGATTCTAGCGTTCTTGGTCGAGAGGAGGAACGCATTTTGCAGAGATGCGTTTCACAGGGTTGTGTTTCGCACTATTTGCTATTCTCTTTTTTTCCGCTCGGCAAGTGAATTGTTCTTGGTGAACCGCGATCGGGAAGGCGGAATAAAGAAAAGCATTCGCAGTTATTACTTGCCGAGGCAAAAAGGAACAAAAAAAGGGGAGAGAGGGGAGGGGGAGATGTTGAGAGCATCATGAGAACCACATCACATTCTGGCAGTCCATAGAATAGTTGCTTTATTTTGTAGTTTAAACATGGCCTGTGCATAATCTTGTCAGTATTGTCATGAGCCAAACCTGAGTTAAGCCTGCTGCTTTCTGGTGCTGAAGTGCATCATTTGGTCCGCCGTCTTTCGCATTAGGCGATCGAGAGAGGTTGGCTTTTTTTTATATTTATATAACTCGATGGTATGGCAGAATCGAGAAGCAGTTGAAGATAGCCATATCCTAGTCATGGTTACAAGGTTGGAGGAGGACACTGAGCGAGAATAGCGATTACGTGCGCATATGGCGGTAGACCATGCACAGGAGAAGACGATATCCCATCTTGTAAAGGTTTATTACCAATGTATACATCCTTCAACAGGACACCTGACATATAGCAATGTGGCGACGATAGAAAAGTGCCCAAACAAAAAAGCTAGTTTAAAAGGTATTAGTCACCCTGCTTGACGCGTAGTTGAAAAGTCCTCTTACTTCTGGAAGTTGTAACCAAAGTCGCAGTATCGATCGATTCTGCAGAATTCACAGCCTCAATGGGGTCTCTATTCCCAAGCCTGCTTCCATTCACCTTTCCACTTGTCGCGCTCTGCAATCCTATCTGCTTTTGCTTCAAAGCTTCCGCCGCCATTTCCTCTTTTGCCCTACGTGCTCTGCTCATGCGGCGCTTCCAGCCCTGGATGTACCTTGAGAGCCAATTGACATGCAGCATCAATGCAGCAAAATAGATGCCCGATCCTCCGGTGGGTGTGGGGAAATTGAAATGGACCTCGTGCCACATGAACGCGACGTAGAAGATCCGAACCAACAAGAATGATGTTGGAAACCAGAAATCCTCGCGCAGATAGGGGAATATGAATCCTGCGGCCAGGAACATAGTCGGCACTATACAGGAAACCAAGGAGTGATGAGTTTTCGCGTCCAGTCGAAAACTCTTTCATTTCAATATGACAAAAATATCAAAAGACTTACATTCCAATGGACCTCCAGCAATCAAGAATTCCGAGAGTAGATTGTGCTTGGCGCACTGGTAGGTCAGCCAACTGTAAAGGATATGATGAACCCAGCCGGAGGTCAGACCGACATGTTCCCTGTAGTGGATCTGGCCCAGTAGAAGGTCGCCCGCGCAATATCCAGTAAAGTACCCACACATCACCGACGAGAACCATGACTCACGAGGAAAGTTCTCGAGCGAGAAAAGCAGCCGCCCCCCGCCTCCCAAGTAATAAGGCGCTGTCACGGAATACACATGCGTAGGCTTCAGTGGAGAGAGCGAGAAGATAGGCAGGGTAATAAACCAACGGAGGTACTCGCCTGCAAGGTCCTTGTACAACTGTGGGCTGAGCAGCAAGTGCCTAGCAGATTCCAAGTCTGTAAGATACAAAGGTAGGGTAGAGAAGGTGACAGTACTTGTTGAGGACGAACTGCCATTGGTGCTGGTGCCGAGTTGGAACACCCATTCATGGAAGGTTGGTACCCAGTGTGTAAATACTGTCGTTGTTGCCGCATCTGATCCCTGCTGCTCCCAGCCGAGAAGTGACCACAGGGTTGTCCGCAAGTATCCGAATTCGAATAAGGTCGTTACGAAGAGGACAGTGGCGCAGAAGAACGTCAGGACCCATGCCAGGCCCTTCCGGTTCTTGGTTAGGGACGAGCGCAAGAACCAAACCGTATAGAAGATGACAGGCTGGAGTAGAAACGAGATGATGATGGTGTTTCCAAAGAGTAGATTCTGGGGTGTCTTCTCAACTCCAAGAAAGTAGCCGTAGTGGGTCGCGTCCTTGAGATTTGCTGTTGGGAATGAGGCTAGCTGGTGGCCGTCTGCAGATACCAGTTCGGCTATCGACTTGAGGGTTCCCAGTACGGTTCCTGATGGGGTTGTGTGTGATCCAGTTTCCATATCGCTGACCTGATGCCACTAAGGATTCTCTAACTGACTAACTGACTGACTGACTGACTGACTGGCTGGCTAAGTCTATCGGCGTTTTCCTCTCTATCTCACTGTGTGTTGCTTTTAAAGGAAAGGCCAGGAAGGTAGTGAGATAGGGAAAAAGAGACAGGAAAGAAGTCAAAGCTGGGAATAAAAGCAGTAGGGAGAGAAAAGAATGGCATCAGGGAGGCAAATGCAATCGAAAAGGAGTGAGAGGGCAATGTGAAGCCAAAGGAATGTGCACGTACCTTGGGTATAGGCTTAGAAAGCAGGATGACAGAGGCTAGACAAACAACTTGCTTTCCAGGGTTTGGACAAGAGTGTAGCCCCTCCCTCTCCGATTCAAACAAATGACCACGGCCATTACGGTTCCTGGCGCATGGTCACGGCGCTCCTCCAGACTCTATGTATCGACTGAATGCACCCCTTAGAGCCGTGCCTCGGAAGTGAATAACAAAAGTATGCGTCTACTACTCTTTACCAGCTCTTATTAGTATCACTTGCATACGCAGCCTGATTACGCCAATTGGTGTCAAGTAAGTTAGTGCGTGCATCGCCCACTTCATTTTTTAGTGTACTAAAATGATCTTGAAGAGACTGTGTCAAGGAGACAGCAACATCGGAGCTAGCGATCAAACCCATGACAGTGATGACAACTGCATATCATTGCAAGTATCCATAAATACTGAGTATTTTGACTGGATGACCCACAGCTGCCTACGAGCAGGCATATTCAACTTGCCAAGGTCACTGTCATCGAAAGCGAACGGAGATTAGTGTGCGTTATTAGAAATGTCACACTTCTATATTGATTAAGGTTTATCGCACTTACTATGGCAGCCACGCCTTACCTTCAATCAAATAGAAAATGTAGGCGGAAGAATTATCCAGAAGAGAGAGAAGAGAGAGAAGAGAGAGAGAGAACCAGGAATCGTTCGTGTGGAGCCTGTAGGGCGTGAAGCCTGTTGGGTGTGGTGCCCTCTTGTCTTATGGACTTTGCTACACAGCTGTGCTTTGATTTTTGTCCGCGGGGTCAGGGATTTGAGTGAGGCGCGGTGAAAGGCCATCGGAGCACCAAAGGGCGCACGAAAAGCTTTACCGTGTACAATTGGCCTCGCCTCTTGCCTCTCTTTATCACACCTCGCCCACCTTCGCCATTTCAATAGCTCTCTCAATCCTACATTCGCAGTATGAACATCTCCAGCATCCTTCATCTTCAGCCTCCCACCTACGAGCGCAAAAAGCACTATGAATTCGGACGCGATCTTGGTAATGCCATCTCACCCAACTTCGTTACACGCAGCGAGGAATGCTATCCTTCACCCGACAATACAGCACGCTTCTAACCAGCGCATTTCTCAACCTAATTGAAAAAAGGCACCGGAACATATGGAACAGTCAAGAAGGCAAAGGCTCTCGACCTGGGAAAAGACGTGGCTGTCAAGATTATCCTCAAGAAGACCGTAAAGGGTCATGAGGACATGGTCGAGAAAGAGATTAGTGTCCTCAAGAACCTGAGTCATCCCAACATCGTTAACTTCTTAGACTGGTATGTCTTTTTTTAGCGGAGGTGCCTGCCTGTTGTTGGCTGTTGCACTAGCGCTCAATTGCTGCACTAGTAGTATTAATCAAAATGCCCGTTTTTCCGCTCAATCTGCTTCTCTTTCGCAGGTTTGAAAGCCGTGACAAGTACTACTTGGTATTCGACCTGTAAGCGAGTCTTTCGATTCATTGTAGCCATGTTGCTCATGGATCTCTTAAGAAGGATGTGTTTTTAACGCGTGTGTTTTGCAGTGCCACTGGCGGCGAGTTGTTCGACAGGATTTGTGAGCAGGGCCGCTTTACTGAGAATAATGCTGCCACAATCATGAAGGAGGTCATCGAGGCCATTGAGTATCTTCACAGCAAGAATGTCGTCCACAGAGGTACGGGACCTTCAGTCTCAATGACCGGCTCTGCTCCATCTGATTCCGTACATCATGAATAGCTGTCTCACCCCCCATTTTCTGCACGCTAATGCATCTAGATCTTAAGCCCGAAAATCTGCTTTACGAGGACAACACCCCCGACTCCAAATTGATGATCGTGGATTTTGGGTAGGCTTCTGAACTGGGATATTTGTCTACCTATTTTGGAGGCATCTCCATACGTCCAGCGTTTAATATGCTCCTTCTCCTTCAATAGCATTTCCAAGATCATGGACTCGGAAGATCAAGTCTTAACCACCATGTGCGGCAGCTACGGGTAATGTTCCCTAACTGATAATCCAATGGATATAACCAAGTCGTGCACAGCCTAGCTGAAAACTTATCAAGTTCCGATTGTTTCTCGCTATTTTTTAGATATGCTGCTCCTGAAGTGTTGCTTCGCAAGGGTCATGGAAAGCCAGTCGATATGTGGAGCATTGGGTATGTTGGTGTGAGCCTGGCACGCTGATGACTGTACCATCCAGGAAGGCAGTCGATTAACCACTTATTTTTACTATCTTCTTGGAACTGTACCGGAACCTGAACACAGTGTTATCACGTACACTCTGTAAGTTCACCCTTAAAGACACAAGCAAGTGCTCATCATCAGGGAAACGATCATGCCTATTAACACACTACTTTGACTTCTTGTTCTATTTCAGTCTTTGCGGCTATGCGCCTTTTCAAGCTGAGAATGATCAACAACTTGTTGCCGAGATTGCAAGATGCAACGTTGTTTTCCACGAGCGCTACTGGAGGGATGTCTCTATTGAAGGTACAGCCTGGGATTTTTTTTTTTTTTTTTTTGGCATAGTTCACTGGATTTCCATTGAAAACCATCCTTGCTGATACCCGGTTCCTATAATTTCCTGATAGCGCGCGACTTCATCAAATGTTTGCTCCGCGCTCATCCCGAGAAGCGACTGACGGCCACGGAGGCACTTCGGCACAAATGGATCACAACTGAGACCGGAACCGATGTGGATCTCTTGGACAACGTCAAGGAGGGATTCAACGCAAAGTATGTTTTCACTCTCTGTACTCACTAAGTTCGACGCCCTAGGGCGTCAGCCTGCGGGTTCCTTTCAACGGTAGTATAGAAAACACCCGCTTATCGTTTTTTTTTTTTTTAGGAGAATGTTCAAGAAAACTGTTCGTGCCGTCGCTGCTGCCAACCGTCTGCGTACGATGACTCGCACCAGCATAGACGCCAGCAAATCCAGCCCTTTGGTATCCCCTTCGACACTGGAGCATCAGGAGCAGCAGGAGCAAAAGTCGGTTGCGTAATAGACGACTGCACATTAGGCGAAGGAGCGTCTACCGAGAGTTGGGGGAAGGGAACTTCAGTATATGCCTGCAATTTCAGCCTCTCCTGCGTTCCCTGTAAATAGTACTATTTATGTATTGGTCGTTGGTCGATTCCGGTGTCTACAATGAAATATAAAGACCCTACTCCATTTCGATCATCAAATGGTAGCGTAAATAGATATAGTCGTAGACGCGGTACTTTTTAACGCGTCCGAGTGCATCTGCCGAGCTGATATCGTCGTCGTCATTACTTGGACTTGCACCCAAGGAGGCTGGGTCGCTTAGCCCAAGGGAAGGCGCCCTGGGAAGCAGCATCCATCCATCCGATCCATACACGCTTCAAGGAAACCTTCTTAGATAGCTGGGAACCTTGTTGGCATCATCAAGGTTCCTCATGGATAGCGATTCAACTTGGGAGTTCGGCAGTGCATCCCAAAGCGACTTGAGGTCCATGGAGCCCATCTTTTCTACAAAAACGGAGCGCAGAGTCTCATAGTTGACGAACTTGAAGAGCCCGTGCATGCCTGTGGAGAGACCCAGATGGGTAGGGGGAAGTCGTGGCAGGATCTGAGACAGGAACCCGAGCGACGCTTCTGACATAGATGCCTTCAAGTTGCGTCAATTGCGAGAACAAGCCGTCCTTGCGGAGGAGAGAGGATGGAATCAGATAACTCTTGGTAGAGGAAGAGTCATCCAAACTACTTGTGGAAACAGGCCGTAGACCCAAGGTGGTATGTGTATGTCCATCGAGACACGAATAGACCTTGTCAAGCACCAGAACTTCGAGCGTGCTTGCGAACGTCTGGACTGTCTCCTGTAGCTCATGTATATCGAAGAGACAGTTCATCGGGACCAGCTCTCTGGGCACCTCAGTTGCGGCCTTGACATTGTGCAGCAGGTCCCTGACTACGTCTTGTCACGGAAGCCAAACAGATGAGGGACCTGCAAGCGCTTCAACGATGCGATTGATAGGCTGAGCTCCGGCTGCATCCTGAAGATACCGTTCCTTCCCAGTCGGAGCTCCACAAGGTTTGGGCAATGGTACAGGATATTGGCCAGACGATCCTGGTCCGAGATCCGGACCGGATTCATGAAGTGCAGGCTGCGAAGGCGCGATGGTGAGTAGACACAAGGCTTCTTCTTTGACTGAAGTCCAGTATGCGACATGTTTAGCCCTCGCGTTAACAACCTAACGATCGGTGTAAAACCTCTTGTGTTTTCATAAGATCAAGCGGTGCTCGTGATGCACATGCGTGCTACTGCAAATTGCTGGCAAAAAAACAATTGTGTCCTTCGTTGGATAGCGCGCTTAAATCTTCTATACTAGAATGACTTTGGTGTTCCGACTATGCACACCTGCCCGACTCTCAGCCTCTCCATGTCTGACTCTAGCAAAACACTCTTTGCCCTTATCCATCGTGTCGAACCTTGTTACACGTACCGCCTGCACCAATGAGAATGTCTCCCCTGTGCTCTGACTGTTTACATAGTAGACGATCATGCCTTCTGCATTTTACCTGGTCAAAGTCCTTTTTTTTTTTTTTTTTTTTTTGCCGAGGCGAAGTCGCTCGAGAGGACGCCGTGAGAGCAGCAATCTGTACATGTTTGATAGGATAAGGAGAGTCATGCTGTGATTGGCTCTTTCTTGGTGCTTCAATGGCCGCCATGGCAATGAGATCTCCGTCGTAGATGGCTACACCCTTGAATGGCTTTAAAACGAAAGCAGGCAGGACATTGGTATTGAGTGCCATGGCAAAACCCTCTACATGAAGCAATTCCAAGAAGGTGTTAGCGCAATTGCTTAAGTCGATTAAGGTTGGCACCATATCTGAAGGTCAATATGGGAACTCACCGGTAGGTCTGACCTCTAGGGCCCGCTCATAAATGTCGGAGGGAATGCCTGCCCATTCTAGAAGGGTTCAAACCATGATCCCATAGAGATCAGCGCCAACAATGGGCACCTTCGAGAGCGCTGATTCAGTCAATGTCATTGTTCGACGGGTCAATAAGTAATGTTGACTGAGAGAAACATGCAAAGAGACTGGCAAAGGCAGAGCAACGGAAGGGGATGCAAGTTGTAATGGGCAGGAGCGCTGTATTGTATTGCCCTAGACGGCATTTTTATTGTAAAGCTGGGCTAAGCAAAAACTGAGTATGCTATAGACGTTGAAAGATTAGCACAATAGCCCTCCAATCAGGGCGGTCCAAGCCAGGCTGGAGAACATGCCTTTGTTTTCGAGTTTCAATATAAAGCAGCGATAGCACGCGCCGGAAGGGACTATTAGGTAAATGGAATCGTCCTATGAACGTTCCCCTGAGAACAATGGTGGATTAGCAAAGAAACCACCATAGCTCATGGGAACATAAAATAATAAAGCATTGCTCTGCAATGAATATAGCCAGCGCTAGCGTGATACACTCTTTAAATAAGATGGACCGTACGCGCCTCCACACGCTGTACTCTCTTCTTGTGGAGAGCAATACATTAGAGAAAAACAATAAATGAACATAAACCTCTTTCTAATAATTACAAGCCATCTTGGGATCTCCTGGATCGCTAAGTAGCGCTTAAAGGCATTATTGTTAATTGCATTGCGCGTCCCTATTGCTGTACTTTACATTGAAGTACACCCGATCACCCAACAGAGAGCATTCATTCTAGTCTACCTTCGAGCTTTCGCTTTCACACGGGTTCAGGTACAATTGACTGGTGAATGCTGTACCTGCTGCTGGTTTGTGTATTCAGGCGGTAGTAGCACAAATTGAATGAGCAGCCAGACGGGGACTTCCAGTTGTTTTGGTGGCACAAATGAAAGCGCCTAGGAAAAAAATACATGCAGAATGGAAAAGGCACAGGGCAAACCAACAACAAAGAGAGCCATAGGCAGGGATTGGACAAGTAGAGTGCAATGGGAACACGAGGATGTGGCTACCTCTTTATGCTCATGAGGCGACGCTGCATGATATTGCTCTGATCTCAATACCCAGGTATAAATCGTAGAAGGTAGTGCGACACATTATGCTCTCAGAATATACGGCTGCATATGTTCAAAGATATGAGAGCCGAGAGCATGAGTGTCAAGGTGCAGATGCCAATGAGATCCATGCACAGGTACTGAGTGCGGCTTACTACTCACCCAATTGATCAATTGCCAGGAGTAGGATGGGATGAGAAAAAATGTGCCTTCACATGTACAGACGTCGTGCGGTAAACATGCAGCGGACGCTTAAGATGGAAGCGCGAGGGAATAGTCAGCATATGAAAGATTCCTATTTTATGAACCTTGATTTGCGCCAGTGTCCAGACTCAGCCTAGACGCGTCCTAGAAGCTATCGTTGTTTTCTTTTGGTTCTAGCGCATTGACACACCTGACGAAGCCAGAATGATGCCTTGGAGAAGAGCCGCGAAGGAGAGGCGAAGCTGTTATTTACAACTGCAGCAAGGCAAGCATCGATAAACAAAAACAGTGCAACATCACAAACCATGATGGGAACACAACTTATCGTCCCCTAATCACCTTCCTGAGGAAAGGCGGAATGGATGAGGACAGAGGGTCGTATTTTGATTTTTTGCTTTGTGAAAAATGAGCCGTTTGTGGTTTGCATAGAAAGGATATAAATGGCTAGGACGTGAAGAAATAATCCTAAATATCACCTTTGAACGATTAATGCAGGGCCATGATGATTGGTAGATCAGGCACAATTCCTAGTAGTTCATTGCGAGAGCAGGATTGAGCCAAACGCTTTTCGTTTTACCACGGATTGGTCCCATGGATGACAGGCGAACAAGATCCATTGGCTAGTAGTCCTTTCGTTTGATGCCCATTGCGTGTCTTCTCCGTTTGATGCCCATTGCGTGTCTTCTCCGTCTGACTGCTCGAACGGCAATTATGCGTGAGCGAAACATGCATCTTTCGGTGCCTATTCATGGAAAAATGGGTATTATGACGCTGCGCCAGAGCACAGATGAAAGTGCAGGGTTATGGTTAAGAACACCTCGTACACAAGCGCACGCGTACCTTTTTTTTTTTTTTTTTTTTGTTGCTGCAGAGATAGTTGTAGGATGAGAAGACAATGGTGCAGAAATGCAGTGTAGGACAACAAAGGATAGGTTGTGGTCGGAGATGCCGCAACGATGACAGCGCGCGAGCGGCATACCTGAGCGAAGAAGTCAACAAATTACATGCGGACTAAACTGTAGGGCGGTTAGGAGAGAGCCCTGTTTGTCTTTCTTGAAAAAAAGGAAATTGCATGCATGCAGAGCGAGCAGTCAACACGATTATCGATGCGATCCTTCTTCCCTCCCAGTTCAAATCGAGCTCTGTAGTCTATAATCCGCTGGAGAAGATGTGAACAAGTAAAATGGACGTGTCAATGATAAGAGAGGATGGGAAACAAAAAGGAACAGGTAAGAGTGCGCGTTTTTTTTTTCTTTTTTTTCTCAATCTGCCGTTGTTCTGCTCTGCCATGACATGCTCGTTGTATTAATGAAAAGGAGTACGGAGAAGGAGAGTAGGAGAGGATTGACTCCCTGCTGGCCCAGTGGTTCTGCAGAGACATGGCCACAGGCGCTGACTATGTACATAGATGTTTGGCATGGTATTTGATATGTTGTCGAAGTATATACTCTCATCTGGTTCATGCACCGCACCCTGTCCCTCTTCTCTCTTTCCCTCTTTCCCAATCTCTTTCCTGTCCCCCCTCGTCTTATTTCACACCTCTACACAGCTCCATCTGGACATTCTTCTTCTTCTTCTTCGTCTTTTTTTTGACTTGACTTGACGTCGTTGCGTCCTTTCGGTTGCTTCCTCTTACTTCTCACTCAGCCCTCGCCCCCAAGTCCTCAGTCAATTTTTTTGTACGCCAAAACAACTCCCTCGGCACTCCATATATCGCACTCTCGTCTCTCTCCCTTTCCCTCTCTCCCTCTCTTTTTCCCTCCTCTCTTCATTTCACCATTGCCATCCCAATCCTGTCTTCTCCAACCTGTGTCCTCTTTCTTTTCATCCCCTAAGCCTTTGCTCATCTGCAAACGGTCATCACCTCCACTCTTACACGCACCCTCCCTCTCACACAATCCCCTCCTCCGTCATTCCACCCCAACTTCCCCTCACACATATAACCAGCCATGGTGAACGATAGGTCCGCCAGTGCGCAAATGAAAAAGAACAACCGAGCAGAGGAATGGCTCAAGAACGCCGTCAAGGACAAGCACGTCCGCCTGATTCCCTTCTCAGAGATCAGCAAGGTCAAATACAATGTCGCCAAGGGCGGCTCAGGGACGATTCATCTCGGTGCCTGGAGGAACATGCACGTCGCCATCAAGGAGCAACACAATACCAACGACCTTATCAAAGAGGTATGAACAAGAACAAGAACAGGAGCCCGATGTTCAATTGATCAATGGGATCGTTCCTTTCTCTCTTTCTTTCCTTTGTATTTTCATGTATCTGTTGTGGGGCGTAGGGCGGTGTAATCAAAGGAGGGGAAAAAGAGAGTTCTTCCTGTCAACGCCCATTCGTCATGCGTGTGCTGTGCCATGCTTTCTTCTATGGGAGAGTAGCCTTTTCAAACAAAAAAACTCCTTTGTCCAGCTGGTACTATGGAATAACTCCCCCCCCCCCCCCCATTCCTCGGGAATCAGGGTAATGCAATTAAGAGTGGGAGGTAGAGCGAGAGCATCAAGATACAACGCATATGATAGATCTTCGCTCGCCTCGTTCTCCTCCACTCATTCTCCTTCCTTTCCCTCTCCCTTCTTCCCATTCGGATGCTCAGCAATATCGGAAACAATTGGGCGACGTGCAGCATTGTTGTTATATCTCCGTCTTGTACGTGTTGTCGTTTGTCATGATTTGCTGCTGTCTACCTGTGCCGAATTAACATTCATACGCCATCTTGGATATCCGACAACAGCTCAAGATGCACAAGCAGGTCCACGACTCCAACTACATTGTAAAGTTCTTTGGTATCACGAAACACCCGCTCACCCACGACACCTGCATTGTCATGCAGTTTGCAGAGAACGGCTGTCTACAGGACTTTCTCGAGACCCAGAACGTCTCCATTTCCTGGCTGACAAAGTACAGACTTGCCTGGGAGGTCGCTAGCGGACTCGACTTTATCCACCGTGAAAACATCTTCCACACCGACCTGCATTCACGCAACATCCTTATCGACACGGACGGGAAGGCGCTGATCACAGACTTTGGACTCAGCAAGTCTGTCAACAAAACCATCTACACTACAAAGGCTGGACTCTTTGGCGTTGTCCCCTACGTCGCACCAGAGCGGATGCAGAACCCGACCATTACCTACAATGCCAAGTGCGACATCTACAGCTTAGGTGTCATTCTGTGGGAGTTATCGAGTTGCGTGATTCCCTTCGAGGCGCAATTGCAGGATGTGATGCTGGCCGTTAACATCATTGCAGGAGTCCGCGAGAAGACTGTGCCAGGGACCGCGGTCGAGTATGAGATGCTCTACAGGCGCTGCTGGGATGGACTACCGCAGAACAGGCCACAGATGGACATTGTGCTCTCCGAGCTTGTTGAGCTGCTGGCATCTGAGCAGATCAACCCACGGCCAGCAGCACTCCGGCCCAGATCGCCGAGACCCGCCCGCCCACTGTCAAGCGACTCAATGGTCGCACCTAGCACGATGTTTCCGTACGAGACCGAGTCAGCATTACAGTCCTCACCTGAGAATACCAATTATGTGCGGCCAGCTTCACCACCAATGCTGCTTCGACCCGGTGTCCGTCAATCCTTTGGACAGGGCATGGCGCCTTTGGTACAGCAGGCTGTTCCATCTTTACCAATTCGATCCGGCGTACCGGTGTCTTTTCTGGGCGAACCATTAGCAAAGGATAACAAGGCAAATGGTGTCACACAAGCAGATGCCAACAGGAACGGCAACACCAAAACAGCCCAGGGCGCTAACAAAAATACCAACACCAACAACAAAGCAGCACCAGCGAATGGCCCTCAGTTGGGCCTCGACAGCCCAACCATCCTTGATGCTATACCCAACGGTGCCATCAACGCGCCCATAACACCAGAGGGTTCAACAGAATCATCGACGAGCAGAGGCCAAGGAGAGGGCCAGGTTCAGGGACAGCAACAGGACAACTCGAGCGCTGGCGGCGATGCAAACTCCTCGGCCACTACACCAGCATCTGCAGCTTCCGAGTCAACTGCTCCTGGCCCTCAGTTTTTGCCACCACTGCCCTCATTCAACGCACTGTCATTTTCGCCTAACACATCGCCCTCGAAGGACAACTTGCCCCCGGTGGCCTCTGCATCAATTGACCCGTCTATGAACAAGCTGCCAGAGACAGCAGCCCTGGCACTCTCAAACGGCATCTCGATGGTGTCTGTGGTCAGCAAGCTAAACATGGGATCGATCAGGAACATCCCCACCATTTCACCCCCTCCTCATGGTGCGCCGCCTCCACCCCCAGGTCCAGTTGCTGGCCACTCGAACTCTCCAAGGGTCATCTCGCCGCCTTCAAACCGTCCTAGAGTTGTTTCGCCACCAAAAGTACGCAATAACCAGGTACTGCGTGCGTCCAAGACGATATCGCCTCCTTTGGGACCGCCCCCAGTTAGAGCTGCTCCATCGCCGTCGCTAGGACCTATCCCGAAGCCTCCACCAGGACCCCCACCTGCATCAGCGCGCGCACCCACCCCTAGCGATCATGGACCTCCAGCATCAGCACCTGCTTCGACAGCGCCCAGGAACCCTGCGGCACTCGGTTCGTATGTTCCCTTCACCAGCTACAATCCGTCAAAGGGAGACGCTGCATCGCCATCGGCAACCGTCTCAGACACTACCCGTCCAACTCCAGCCAGGCAAATCCCCATGGGCTTCCCCGTCGTTACGCCCTTGAGTCCACCACACTGGAACAAGAAGCAGACGCCGGAAGAACAGAGTCCGACTTCACCTCTTCCGTCGTCACCATCGTCACCGTCGTCAGACGGCTCCTCACCTACTGGATCGCCTTCATCGTCCAACTCGACTGCACCTTCGTCTGTAGGCACCACCCCAACAGCCAACCGTAGAGATTTCCGACCCATATCATTCTTGACTCAACAGAAGCATTCGGGTCTGATTGACCTGTCGTTTAAGGTAGAGCAGCAGCAACAACAACAACAACAACAACAACAGCAGCAGCAGCAGCAGGCAACAGCAGCGAAGAAAGCGTCGGATGTTTATGTTCCGAACCCAAACAATAACATTGTCCCACCAAGCCAGTTGCATATGCAGCGTGCACAAAGTCCTGACTTGCGTAGGAACAGCCGCTTGCTAGGCAGCCCCAGTCTCCGACCTGCTCACTCGCCTACGCCTGATCATCACAACAACAGGATCATCCACAGCCCACACTTGACGCCCTCGAATGCCAGACCTGGCTCGCCTGCGTTTGCGCTGCCACCCTCGTCAGGAACAGCTCATCGTGCAAGCAATGGTTTCCCGATTACGGACGGATCTGTTTGGGCAGCATCCAAGAGTAAGTGCCTTTTGAATATTATGGGGGCCGCTTGATATAATATTTATGTTTATTAGAAAGAAGTGAATTGTGTAAAACTTACAAATGTCATTTGACTACTTAGGTCAAGTTAAACAGACATTTGAAGAAGAGGATGCGTTGGCGGAGGCGCGATCGATATCGGAAGCCCGTGAGCAGCGACCTCAGGTACAGCCCTTGAAGGAGGCTTCGTCATCGACGGCGACTAACGGCACATCGCTCTCGACCTCGCCCGCGAACACACAAGTCTCTGCGGCGTCGAACTCCACGGCGTCAACTGCGACGGCTACACCCACAGGATCTGCGCCGACCAGTCAGAAGCCTCGAGTACAACTGGATAACTTTTACAGCCTTGCGGACCCATACAAGAACCTGAACCAGTACGAACCCTCGGATTTCTTTTCGGCGGTGACACAGTCAGATATTGCGATGATCGAGCGGATGTTGAAGTCGCTTCCACAGTTGATCCATGACTCGAATGGGTTTTGGCCCCACCCGACGCCGATCCTGGTGGCGGCTCGGTCCCGAAACCCGATTGAGACCATGAAGGTGTTGATCCAGCATGGCGCCGCTTTGGATCGGGGCGATCATAATGGTACGACAGTGCTTCATTTTATTTGCGAGCAGTACTCGAACCCCGTGGAGGCTATTCAGTTCTTGACCCGCGCGGGTGCGGACTGTAACAGTCGAGATGCGAAGAAGCGTACGCCGTTGATGGTGTTGTTGTTGAACACGCATATTGTGTCGACCAAAGTCCTGATTGACTCGATGAGATATCTGTTCAAGTACGGAGCCCAGGCCAGGGTCATGGATCACCAGTACCAGAGGACACCGTTACACTATGCAATTATGCACAGTAAGGAGCCTGCGCCGGTCATGGAGCTGCTGCTGAAGAAAAACTCGGACGTGAATGCGCGTGACTGGCGCAAGTCGACGCCGCTGCATCTTGTGCTGGAGAAGATGGATAACGAGGAGATTGTCCAGATGCTGTTGCTCTACGGCGCCGATCCGGGACTCAAGAACGGAAGCAAGCGCAATGCCCTCGGTGTAGCTGCCGAGAACTTGAGGGTCATGAGTGCATGGTTCCTGTTGGAGAATGATCTGTTGTCCTCCGCACCCGAGTCGATCAAGAGGGCCAATGAACTCTGCTCCAAGGCCGATGGGCCCGACAAGTCTGCGAAGCCCCTGTTCAAGAACACGCTCTCGGATTGGCAGGGCAAGGAAGGCAAGCTCAGGAGGATCCAGCTAGCCCAGGACTGTGTCCTTCGTGTTCAAAGGACCCCGGATATGAAGACGATTGATCAGACGCAGGTTGCACTCGAGTTCCTCGAGAGTGTTGGGCAGCCGATTCATATGCAGACTGTAGGCATGGGAGGGGGATATAATAACGTCTCGCCAACCACGAGCAGCCATTCGCACAAGTAAAATTATAATAACCATTGTACCAATACCGTAATAAAGCATTTCCTTTCCTTTCTCGCCAAAATGCACCACACAGCTTTCAATGTCAACCAAAAGGGGTTTACTTTTTACTCTTTAGTAGTTTAGATACAATTACACAGTGCCTGGTCTTACTCCTGCATCGGCTGAGGTCCGATATCCTCATCATCATTATCTTGATTCACTGTCTCTGCTGAAGTCGGTGCCTTTTCCTCTTTATCCGTTTGGACCCCCTGCTGCTGTCGCTGCTGCTGGACCTGGTGCAATTTCTCGATCCTCTCTAGAATGTCCTGCCTCTCCCGGTTCAGACCATCCCACTTCTGCTGCAGGAACGACTCCCGACTGCTCAGATGCACAACCTCCTGATTAAGCGCCTCCAGTCTCGTCCCCACAGCGGCTTCCTCCATGATCCTCAAGTTCTTGAAACTCGCCAGCTCGAGCTCCGAGCTCTGGAGATCCTCATGCGCAGTCAACAACTGAGTCGCCAGTGCCTGGGAACGAGCCTGGTATCCTCCAAGGGTCACGCCCATCCGTTTCTCCAACTTGCTGGCCTTTGTTGCCTGCTTTGTCATCAGCGCACGCTTATCCTATTGCATTTTTTGTTTAAAGGAGAAAAGAAATCAGTTCAAGTCATGTCGTGTCATGTCATCTCAAATCAAAATAAAAGAAATATCATTAGTAGCGGAAAACATGCGCATCATAAATCACTTACAGTGAACTGATGAGCTAGGCCGATCTGCTGAAGCTCCTTGATCTCCTTCTGAATCTCATCCCAGGCCTGATCGAATTCAGCGGCGAACACCTCGTATCTTTCCTTGGCCTCAGGTCCGGACAGCTCCTGATCCACCTCAGTCCTTGCCAATGACAGATAATCGTCCGAAAGATCCTCCAGTGACACAGCATTCTGTGTGCTTCCTGCAACTTTTGATCCGACCGGTGGATAGGCAACAGCGTCATAGGTGATCAAACGTGCCATTTCCTCCTGAATAAGACGCTCTGCGACTGCCAAGGGACTGTCTGAAGATGCTGCTATGTTTTCCTCCGGTTGTGGTCGGAAGGTTGTAGGGCGGGGTAAATCTCTTTGAACAGCCTGGCTTCTACGTCGCAGACGCGCTTGCTCTATTGTCGGATTCAGAAGAAAACAAATAAAATGATGTCAGATCGATTAAAAAAAAAAAAAAAGACGCAAGCAGGCATTGTTTGTGTTACCTTCAGCTTCAAGGGCCTCTTTCCTGCGCTTCGCAATCTCCGCTGCATCCTCCTCGATCATCTTCTCCGCCGATTCCGCCTCGAGTTCCTCGGGCATGATCAATGTAAACTTGTTGCTTGGGGTCGGCAAGTTCTTCAACCCACTAATCAGCTGGTTCTTGAGTTGAGATTGGCGCATCTTCTCCTCGCGGGGTGTCGACACCATATCAATAGCGCCTCGGTTGATGCTCAACTGGTCACGAAGTGGTGTCCTCATCGGTGTCGCGCCAGGTCCAGCGCGAGGTGTCTGCAGGTATGGGTTGGGAGTTTCGATAGCGCTGTGACGAGGTGTGATGCCGTCATATCCTGTTCCCTCCTTGAGACTGTACTGCGGGGTCTCGCCTCCCAAAAGCGGCGTCTGCTGGTGCAGCATGGCGCGTTGGTTCATAGCCTCGATCATGAGCGAGTCCTGTGTTACTGAGGCGCGTGGTGTGCGGGTGGGAAGGTCGGTGCCTGTAGACTTATAAGCGCCAATCAAATTCTTTGTTGCTTCAATGTCGCTCTCATCCGCAAGTGCCTTGGCATCTTCAGCCACACTGCCGATCTTCAGAATCTCCTCCAGCTCTGCTTCGCCGACGTGAGGTGCTGGGAGAACCAACTTCTTTCGACGTAAAATGCCATCTTGCTCAGCCGCCTGAAGCTTTCTGAGCTGTGCCTGACTTTGAGATGTCTGGGCCTCTCCCGATTCCTTCTTCAACTTGGCACGCTTGGAATCCTTCTTGCGCTCTTCTTCTTCAACATCTGCTCTGCGTTTGCCGTCCAACTGCTCCAAACGAACATTGGTCAATCTCTTCGTCGACTCGCGCTTCAACTCCTCAGTCGTGTCATAGAAACCAGGGGCAGGTTTGGCTTCAAAGGGAATATCGGCGTTGTAATCCATACCCTTCTTCTTTTTCCTCTGCTTCAATTCGATTCCCGCTGCCTTGAGTTCACGCTTCTTTTGGAGGGTTGCTAAACGACGAGCTTCCTCCAGCTGCCTCTCACGAGCCTTTCTCTTAGCCTTTTTACCCTGCGTGTTCGCGAGACGAGCACGTGCTTCTGAAAGCATCTCCTTCTCTACAAAAAAAAAAAAAAAAAAAACGATGTTAGACTAACGTGGGCAATGAATCAACAGTTATAGCCAGCAGCATCGAAAAACGCCCAAGCCGCAGCATTACCGTCTTCGTCCATATCAACGGGATCAGGTCGTGCAGGCTTCGTCTCTGGATCAGGGTCAATCTCGCCGGGCCTCAAGCGTCTGACGTCGTCTGCACTGGGCCCTGAGTCGCCTCCTTGTACACCTGTTAGTCCCAGCTCTGATTCTGCCTGCTGCTCTGCATCGTCCAAGAGCTTCTGATACCGCTCCAGACACTGCGAGGCAGTCCTTCCGACAATGGGTGCAATCGTTCTCCATTGAGTTGGCATCAACTTTGCGAGATGCAACAAACGCTCATCCTCTTCCTTTGACCATTCAGTCTAATTCCATAAGCGAACATGAGAAAAGCACACGAAGGGTTAGTACCGTGCAAGCGTGCTTACCCAGGACCAAAGAAACCCCCAGATTTTTAAGGCACGACTAGGCCTTGCAGTCGGTCCATACCTTCCGAATACTAGGGTCGAGCCATTCCATCCATCGCGCCTTGCACTGACTAGCGGTCTTCCGGACAAGCAAGGAGGAGATACGGGACCACTGGTTCTTTCCATATTTACTGACAGCGGCCTAGTGTATTTGAACAAAGCTGTTTGTTAGTATAGTGGTGAAAAGTAGAAACTAAAGAAAAAAACCCAGTGATCAGAGGGCATTAAGCAGAAATGCGGGTACAGTACCTTAAGGATCTCATCCTCGGTGTTCTTCCAGACACCTCCCTTGATGATAATACGCATGGCGAAGAATGGATAGTTTCGACAGGCGACAGCAGCAGTGTAAAGTGGAGGAGGACAAAAGAATGCTAACAGAGAGATGCTGCAACCAGATCAGAACGCGCCAATTAAGGCGACTATGACGTCACCGAATTCAAAAAATACGCAAGAAGAGTGAATAATAGGAGTTGGTGGCCTTAAAACAGGAGTACAGGAATTGGTGGCAAGGGAAGTGGATTTGGTGGCAAGACAAATGCGAGAGTGTATACCAGCTAGGATATAGGGAAGAACACCAAGGGTTTTCATGAATTACGGTCATACCGATTTAAAGCACCGCACCCCGTCCGATCTGCGCAGTACCATAATTGGTGCCAGAGTCAGTACTGCGGTGCGGGGCCCCATGTTGATACTCTGTGCCGTAATTTCTGCATTTTTAGCCAGACTCCTTAGCATGTCAATCTCTACCCTATCAACTTGGTCATTTCACATGCACGCCTCTACATTTCCCTGTTTAGATGCACCGGCCCGAGAAACATCAGGATGCTCTTCAGGAACGGAGCCATAGAGGAGGACCGGGGATCTACAACCGCAACATTGCCTACTCGACGCCTTGCGGGATCACGGGGAAGCATAAAAACATATGAGAGGAAGGCAAAAAACTCCCATCTCCAAGTTTATTCAAGTGCGAGGGGCCTCTGATAATGATGCAGATCACGCAATATACTCCAGAGAACAGCACAAGGGATAGAACAATAATGGGTTGCACACGTAATGGATATGTTGATAATTTGTCAGGTAGTTGCCGGGGAGCCAGCCAATAATTAGATCAACCTCTTCTTGGCGTTTTGAATATCCTTGTAGCTCCATGATCTCTTCCGATGATTGAGACCACCCACGAAAATTCGCCTCAGATCCTCCTACAACATAAAACGAGCTGAAAGTAAGCAATCGAAGCTTTCTCAAAACCGAAAGAGATGTTCACCACACTCAAAGTTGTAGCGAACATATCTCAGCAACGGGAAGTGTGAGTAGCGTAATAAGGAGCGTAGGGATCAAGGAAATCGTTGTTAGAACTGTGAAAGATCCAACTTTTTCCAGGAGATATATCCCTCTGAGCTTGCTTCTCAGTGGCATGAACGTGCCGCTGGTATACACTACCTGGAGCAGTGGTGCGGGATTATTACCGTTGTCGAGAAAGGCTTTCCGAATCGTGACAGACGGCATGGTGTAGTAGCTCTATATCGTGTAAAAGTACTGTTTGTGGATATGTTGCTCAATAAAGCTACTACGCGTCAATAAAACTCTAATTAACGGTAAAATACGATTAGAAACGAAGTAAAAAGGGCAGGGGTGGATCGGGCCTGGGGCCAGAGTCTGTGAACATTGACTACATAAGAATATCGAGTAGAATTAAGTTGAAGAAGCACTGACAGGAACAATAAGAGCTTCAGAGACAAAGCGCACTTACAAAGAGGTCTTTTGGATCGAGGAAAGGGCCTTGTTCCTTCACAAAGCAGAAAGACAGGGAACAAATACTATCTATCTACAATAATAGAGGATGCGACGGCACACTCAGATTAGGGATCAGTTAAATCAAAAGGAATCTGCCTTGACTCTTGTGCATAAACCAACGGCCATCGAGGGGTACTGTTCTTGATCCTTCGTATTCGATTATGGGACCATGATTATTACCTTGTTGACGCTTGCTGCGTTCGCAAGGCGGACAGGAGCACAAGAGAAACGCTTGTGATACAATATAGTTCTTGGGAGGACGGAGGTAGTCGACACGGTTTAGTAAGAACACTTTGGCGAACTTGGGGTGCAGAGGTTCGACCGTAAATGTCCCGTCTTTACTCTTGCTAGCGATACTGGGGATGATTAACAGTGGAAGAGTATACCAAACGGGTGCGGTATAAGGCTTGGGACGAGTATGCGGGAGCGAATTTAATGTAGCGTGCGTCGACAAGTGTTGTTGCAGGAGAAGATTGTTTTTTAGAAGAGACCGACCAGGAACCCTATTGACATATTTCTCCTGTAACTACACTCTCTTTAAATTTACGTGCAGTATGTGCTCGACATGATCGTATGAACGTCCTATACCTATTTCGCTCATCGCATCGTGTCAAGTGATATGGCTAGACAGATTTCTTACACGGACACCCTTTAATATTCCTGGAACAGGCATGTCAGGAAATTGTCCTTGAACTTCCACTGTAGCTCAAAATGACAAGGCAATAATAGAAGGGCATACATTTTTGTAGCGCTACGCGACGAACACGATATATGTACCTCAACTTACCTCATCACAATCGACATGGCGCGCTTGGTTTATGTTCGCCAAAAGCTCTGCTCTCTCGTCATTATCAATCTCAGATGAATCACCCGGTCCTGGCGCTGCTGTTGGTAACGTTAGATTCGAGGACCCTGTAGCTGCTGTAGCTGCTGTTGCCGCTGTTGCCGTATTGGGCGGGCTAGGTGATGGCAATTCTGGAGACGTTGAGGGTGAAGTGATGAAGTGGCTGCTTGTGTGAGATCCGTTTCTAGAGTAGAGTCAACAAAACACGAAGTAAATTAAAACACGCGCATCTGACGATATAAATCCTGCGTTCTTACCTACAATATATCTGTCTGCCTTAACAATCGCCTCACCTTCAGAACCCTTATTCACCTCATCGATCAAGTTCACATCGGCTTAAGACATAGTTACGACACCTGAACCTGAAGTGGACACACTGCTGCGCGTATCCAATGTGCTACGCACTGTTGCTGCATTGTAAAGAATGGCCTCTTCTGCATATGGCTCCGATCATTCGACCAATGTGGTCGCTGTTTTTATTGCCGCAAATCGGCGCGGTGGTTAAGCCAGAATTGCGATGCCTTGTCTGTTTTCCAGATGTTGAACTCGTCCAAAAGTTGCTTCCTGAGATCGTCGCTTAAATTCGCAGCGTATTGTAAATGGACCTCGCTATTTATCTTGCCGAATGTGTCAAAATATACACCAGATGATCTATCCGATTCTCCTTGAATCCATGCAGTCTCCACATCTGGAAAAATCGACACCTTGCCGGAATCGGGACGATGCAGACACAAAAAGCCTGTATGCGATCCTGGCTTTGTGGTCGTCCGTTTATAAAAAGAAGGTACGTTAAAAACAAATTAGATCATTTAGAGTAAAAACAAATGGCACTTACCAGAGATCAGGGAACTGGAGCAGGATTCTTGTTAGCGATGAAGAGGGATGTGAAACAGCGCCAGCTCGTAGGAAATATAGGGACGAGAGAGACGAGTTTTAGCAGAATGCTAACTATATGGTGACATGGAGGTACATTGAGAATAAGCAACGGGAAGAACAAGTGCACGGTCCGAAGAGGATTGTCAACTTTGATTGTCTCCAAGTGAAGCAAACATGGGGGCCAAGGGAGAGAAGCCGTTCAAAGGAAGACCATAGATTTTACATGATGCCCTACGACAGTACGCGATGGTTGCAAGAAGCGCCAACGAGTCCATCGCTATCTCCGTCGCGTAAACAAAAGACAAACACACATTCCTCTTTCCGCTGAGTGAAAAGACGTACCTCGACAGAGGCGGCCAGAGGAGCAAGGGACCTAATGAGAGGTGAGCTCGAGCCGGAGGAAAGGTAGTGAAGCGAGATAGGCAAGGGTAGAAATGCCAGGGATCTGGACTAGTCTACTTGGATAAACTTCACTATTTCCATTAACGGTTTCAGCCAGCGCACCTTCCATCATCGACCTCAACGCTCACGCAACATGGGATGCGACGCTTCGAACGATACGAAAGAACAAACAGGAAATCATACAAACACATGTCCAGTTGCGATACACCTGCATTTCCGACCTACCGAACCACTTGATGCCATTTTTCACAGACGCATACGAGAAAAGGTATATGTAAGAGACCGCTACAGCCAAGATGAGGACGATCATAGAATACCATATTTGAAATATGAAATGTAATCTCCATCCTCCTCTATGCACAGGACAAGGCGCAGACATTCTGACCCAGGTCTTCCGCCACTGTTACCACTTGAACAAAGCGAGCTGATAGCTTTTTTCTTTGTGTGTATTATGATGCTACGAAAACATACGTCTGTACCAGATACTCCCAAAAACAGCAATATTCGGCGATCATCTCCAGCAACAACTGCACATCTTGTAGCGGGCGCGTCTTGGCTACGAAGACCATCGCACCGGAGCTTTATGACTAAAATGAAAATGAATCGAAGGAGCTGACATAATAAAACAAAATGGCGTTTTGCATCCAATTTTTCTCCGCCGGCCCGGCTTCGGCTTAGAACCAGGGCAAGAACTACCTACATTGGAGTAACTTATCCAGTCTTTGCATGTGGAAATAAGATACAAAACGATGTAGATTTACCACTGTACTATACTCTTCTTCCACGCGTTACGAATGAGACTGCCGTCAAGGAAGGATTGATCAAGTGGCACAATTCATTATTCGACTATATTCTCCCGACACTTGCACTAAGGACCTGTGTGTTCAATGATGCGCCTCAAGGCTTTTTCTCATTAACATTTTTCCCTCAGCTCAGGATTTTTTTTTTGTGGGTGAATGAATAGATTAATGAAATTGGGTTATAAGGATAGCGAAAAATAACGCTGTGCATCAACTGCAAAAAAAAAAAAAAAAAAAAAGGTAATCTACAGACATAGAGAAAAACTACAATATCTCAGTACCGCTCCGGTTTCCCTATCTCTAGTCTTTACTACTCATTCCATTTATCTGGCCAAGGTCTCCGGTAACAAAAAAGAAAAAACGAACATTCTGGATAAACCGGCTTCTCCGTCGCGTTGTTCGACGATAACAAGATATACTGATGCTTGACCTAAGGGGTATGGAGCACTCATAATCACAGAAGCGAGAGAAAAAACAACGAAACGCGCTAAAAACAGGAATGTAATAGATGCGTACAAGGTACTCTTGATGTGGTATTTGAGTGCATGTACTTGATCATCTGTGCGGCACTTTATCCCTCCTCTTCTCATCTCATTAGCCTATCCTGTCGCTATTTGGGCGGCCTTGCTAGCAGCTGCAGTCGTCTTTACTGAATCATAGTATGTTACGGCGGAGTAGCCCTCATCGACATGCCGCTCTTTATTAAAATACATAGCAAGGTTAGGCTAGTCCAATGTTGGTGCTGTTCCCTTCATATATTTTATTTTCCTTTCCCGCTCTCATTCGATCTGTGTATTGATCCACTTGAGGACCCGAGAAGTGTTGATGGTTGTGAGCGCGTAAAAAAAAGAAAAAAAAAAGACACACGTAACCGTGTTTTTCGTTTGATGTTACACCGCCCTCATTCTTCTCAGTTGTGATGGCGCTATACCGAGTCCGAAGAGAAAAAGAAAGAGAGAGTCGGAGGTTCCAGATCGCGTTCGATAGTCCTAAAAATTGTATGAAGACAGAGCCATTCCACGTTTTTTTTATTTTCTCCCGTAATAGTGCTCACCAACACATCCAAACCAGCACATCGTCCTACGATCGTGGTCATGAGTACAGAGCCCAGCTCTCATACATATATGCCCGCTTTTTTAGCAGAAGACTAATCATGGATCGCTCCCAAGTTAGACGCGATCGAGAAAGAGAGTGAGAGAGAGAAAGATAGAGTGGGATTGAATGGGTTCTATGTGTACCGCACCAAAAAAATCCGCGATTTCTGTCTTGCACAGAAAAAAGGGTGCTCTCAACTAAGCAAGGCATCATATTTGGCTGTGACGAGGTGTTTGTTGGTAAACTAAACGAACAAGCAGGGGTAGACCATCGTTGTTGCTGTTGTCTGTCTGTTCTCTTCTAGGCAGAAGCGGAAGAGCTAGATTGTGGATAAAAAAAAAAGTCCGTTGACGCAAGCAGGGAGGGGGAAATAGAAGGAACACAACATTCAAAAAGCAAGGCTGTTCAAAACTCAAAAGCGGTATAAAAAAAGCGCGCGCAAATGGATTAAATTGTGGGCACAGCCATATCATCGAGGAATGAATTGATTAAAGTAGTTCATTATTAAAACACACATGGCGCCCTCTCTTTCTCGGCAATGGAATGACCCCAACTAAACTAGTTTTACTTTACATTTGTTTTTACATCTCGACTTGTTGCGGGAGCCAAAAAAAAAAAAAAAAAAAAAAAAAGGATGAAGAGAATACCAGCGCGATTTACAATCTCCTGTACCTGGAGGTGACAGAACGAGATACGAGAATAAGACAACCTGGCCCACACGAGTGGGAAATAAAGAACGTATTCAGCCCACAGTCTTGCCGCGGATATGGCATGCGCCAGGCTGATAGATGCTAATAGGAACTCTTCTTATTCAATCAAGGGCTATTTTTGGAACCACGCGGGCTGTCTGGTACGTTTTTCATTTTGAACGAATGTGTGTGCGCATGCTGTACTCAGCGTGTCTTTTCCCTCCATGCCTTACAGTTGTACAGCAAGTATTGATTATGCGTACGTATACATGTGTACCATGACGCCGAATCAATTGATGCACACCGCCGCAATCGAGCGGAACATTTCTGTTAGATCATGACACCGCACTACGCCTTCAAAACCGGTCATCGAGAATCGAGGATAATAATACTAATAATAAAAAAAAATAGAAGAGATCCATAGGAATGGATGCGAATTAGCCTGCTGTAAGGGCAGCAAGTCAGGGTTTACGCCTGCGTGTTCCTGAAAGCATTTTAAATATTCTTACACATATAATTGTTTATGTAATACAGTCCAGCCGTCAGATTGTGGAGAATACTAACATACTGTGACGGGATCACAAGAAAAAAAAATGCTTAGGAAAACAAAATGAAAGTGAAGGATCCTACTGCGGGGATGCCATAATCTCCTTCCAATATTGTTTTCCAGCACATCCATGTAACCAAACACCTCAGACCCGTTCAGCTCATCCGATTTGTTTATGCAAAGATATACTTTGGGGTGATCTAGACCAGTCCGGGTCCCTCTCCAGACAGGTGTTCGATGAAACTTGTGGTAGGCCAATCGATGAGCAACAGACCCCAACCCCATGGGTGATGATATTAGTCTTTAACAAGCGTTCGGTCGAAAGCAGTAGTGCGAATGTACAATCGGTATTATGCTTGAATATATATTAGGCCGTGGGACCCAGCTTATTTGAACCATTATTAAAGTCAATTATTGTGTATATTTAATAAAGGGTTCGAGCGAGCAATATTATTATGTGCGAGTAGGGTGGGAATTACGAAAAGCAAGCAGATCAGGCTGGGAGAATGGCGCAAACCAACAGGGAAAAAAGCAGGAGCAAAGGTACGAAGAGAGGGGGAGGGGATTAGGACAAGGGGCGGGGTAGGGTGTATTGAACAAGGAGACAAGCCCCACTTCTTGGTTCTTTGATGCTTGCAAGTGGTGGCGTTGGGTGGACGTTTTAGCTAGGTTGAGGACGAGTTGATGTTGAGAGGCCGAATACACACTGCAGGAGCGAAGTACTGGTTGGTGGCGAGGAGTATGCTGTGTTGATGCCACAGATTCCTTCTCCTGGATAGCCGCTCACAAGAGTCCTGTTACTAATCCCTCGAGTTCTGCACTGTTTCCCGTACTTGCGTGCTCTTGACCCTCGACATACGCTGCATACCGGATCATCGTAGTTGGGAGAACCTCGACCTTGCCTCCAAATTCGTAAAACTCTGCGTAGTTGACCAGGACAAATGGGATCGTGGTAATGTTGCCGTTCTCGAGTGCCCGCGCGCAAACATGCATCTTGTGTTCTGCAATCTTTCCCCATCTAAAAATTATGCGAAGGAAATGAACAAGCAGAGGGTCGAATATGAGAAAATCGATTGGTTAGTACATGGCGTCCAGCCGGGAACATCAAAAAAGGGCGGGAGGATGCATCTCTCTTTCCTGCTCCTGATGCCAAACTCAAAGGCGCCGTAAAATTAAACGGAAAAAGATGCACAGCTGCGAAAAATTGCTCCGCTTGAAGAAATTGCTCCATAATATTCTCCATGAGGCCATAGTAGCGGAACAACAAGAAGAGCAGGGATGCTCTCTTCCTCATATTATCTAATATAATGGGCGATGACAAAAGAGCCGACAAGGGAGGCAGGGTCTGGCGAGGACAAGACATAGGTGGGTTGCACTTACGGCATGGCATAGCTGTAGTAGAGGACAATGACCCTCCGGTTACTGGCAATGATCCGGTCGAGCTCCTCCTGTGATTTGCATTCGACGATGATCGAGGCGACTTTCTGGTTGCTGGTCATGGCTTCTGATCGGGAGGGGCTGTGGTGGGGATGTTCCTGGCCGGGGACCGAGATCGAGGTTAGGAGGAAGAGAAGAAGAAGAAGAAGAAGAAGAAGAAGGAAGGAAAGGAGGAAGGGAAGGAGAGCAAACAATGGATGAGGAGAGGAAAGAAAGGGAGGGATGAGATGGTTGTACAAGAAAAGAAAGGAAGAAAGAAAGAAAGAAAAGAGAGACAGCAAAAACGCTTCTACAACTGGATGGGGTGAAAGAAAGAGGTCGTTTCGCAGAGTGGGATGACAGGTGAAGGTATTAATGAAGAGAGACCGTCGGTGATGCTGACAAAGAAAGCACAAGGAGGGAAAGAAAGGGGCGGTGGGGTGTCAGCAGGGCAAGGACAGAAAGAAGCGGGAAAACGCTAGAACAGGCGAAGACGAGTGAGAGAGAAGAGAGAGTGAGGGAGAGAGGGCGAGAGAGAAGGTAGGACAGAAAGAAAAAAATAATGAGAAAGGGGAGAGGAGGAGAGAGGAAAGTTAAGAAAAGAGGTGGTGAGGGAGAGAATGAGAGGGAAAGAGAGAAAGAGAAAGAGAGAGGGATAAAAAAAAATGGAGTGAGACCACAGAGAGTCCGAGATCTTTTTATACTCATTTACTCTTTAGGGTTGATGACTTGGTTGGTCAACGAAGGACAGAAAAGAAAAAGCACTGCACCGTCAATTCCTTTGAAAGAGTAATTCGCATTCATTTTATTTCATTCAACAATACACAATTTGCTGGACAGTGTACGACCCAATACAAAGGCAATAGCAAAGGAATAAAGGGCGCCTTTCAATACCCTCTTTTATTTATCTCTGGGTGACCAAACCAAAGGGACACCATCCAAATGAGCACACTCACATACAGCAACAACAACAACAACACAGTTCCCTATTCCATATATGACCGCAAACAACCGCTCTACTCTCACCCTCACCCTCACTCTCATTCTGCATGTGTGCGTATGTTTGTCTTCTCTCTCCCTGCCCTGCCTGAAGCTCTCCTCTCTTTCATTTCTCGCGCGCGCTCTCAAGTCGTCTTCTCGTTCTCCTGTTTGTCCAGGTTGTACAGTCTTTGTTTGCTGTACCTGCACATGTAATACAGCTGTACAGACCCTCGCAAAAAAAGGCTATGTTCTGGTATTTTGTGTTTTATATTGCCCTTTGTCTTATGCTGTATGATGCGATGGCGGCAAGAAGGAGACCGTTGCTGTTTGTTGTGTAACTATCCTAACTACGGAAAAGCCTTTGAGACAACACGATTAGCTGCCCCTTCTAATCCTTTTAATCCTTACCCCTCCCCTCCATCTTCCTCCTCCTCTGTCGCTGCCCTGGTTGTTCAATACCATTTCTTATAGCACACTTGTTGTATAATCTCATGGGGAAGCTATGAGGGCCTATCTATTAACGCGCTTACACCCGCTCGCGTTACATTCCTCTTTTTTTTTTTTTTTTTTGGGTTGTTGTTGTTGTTGTTGTTGTTGTTGTTAGTCTCTTCTGACCATGCGCGCCATTGCCCATCACTTTTCTACTTTCGGCGGTTTGCAGCCCCTGTTTACGAACGGCTATTTCTACCTTGCCCTCCAAAAGAAAGGAGTCAGACCAATTAGGTTATCTTGCGAGGTTTTGTGTGCATATTAGAACATTGGGCGACTACATCATGTTAGATCTCCCCTTCTGTGTCCATGCCAAACGTGCACATCTGAATATACATCTTGTGTTCAGTCTCTGTCAGCATCGTACGACGTCCTTAAGCGCGGCAAATATACCTTCTCGGTCGTAATAAGATGGGAGACGTCCATATTAATCCGATTTTTTTTTCTCCTAGTATCAGTCTAAAGGCTTCTTGTTCAAAAAAAAAAAAAAAAAAAAAAAAAGGGAAGGGAAGGGAAGGAAAGAAAACCAGGGTGAGCTCACATCTCATGCACGCAATGTTATCATAGCACATCCTGTCCGCGCACCCTGGCCTCCCTGCACCCCTCGACCTCCTGACGGTCTGAAGCAAAGTAGGGAGGACGATGATTCGCATGTGTTGTTCGTCGCGTCGTTTATGATTTCTCAAACGCGAACCCTACTTGGCCACATCCCTGATCTCCGCACTTCCCCAATTTTTTTTAAACCACGCCCCGAGATCAGGGCTATGCGCCATTTCCTACTCTTAAAAGAGCCAGTTTGCCAATTTCTTAACCCTATGTTCGGAATCAAAAAAAAAATGCTCAAGGAAACAAAAGGTGCGAGGGGTAAAAGTCGGTCTTAAGAGCAACAGACGCAAATGGAGAAAAATCTCCTTTATTCACGTTTAGACAGCATGAGTCAAAAAGCCATCATCCACCTGATCCCCTATCCTTTCCCTGCGGAAGCCATACCTCGTCTTTATGTGGCCAGCATATGCAGTATGCAGGAAGAGGAGTTAAAGATAAATATTTCCTTTATTCCTGAAGCTATGCACAAAAAGCACAGGGGTAATCGACAAACAGATTCTTCAAGGAGCCGATGGCACTAAGCACCGCGCTCAGTTTTTTTGCAGTAGCTCCATGCTCACAACAAACGATCTCATTTGTTTATTTTACCCTCTAGCCCTCCCCCCCCCCTGCTCCTTCCTTTCAGTCATTCTTTATTCTTGTTCTCATTCTCTCATTCTTTCGTTCTCCATAGTAAAACGCCCCATACATCAACATTCAGTCCCCTCCCCAGATTCCCCTTTTTTTTTGTCTTTTACGAAACTAGCGATCCTACAAGGTCAACAGGGGTTCAATTCTCATGCACGTTCTAGCATAGATTCGGTACAGCTACTTCATGCCATGTCGGGCTACTCCAGCCCATCAAGCCCATTATTGGGAATGTATAGTATAGTATTGCTGCGGGGTATTTTTTTTTTTTGCGCCGTTCGGTTTTTTTTTACTTCTGTTGAAGTCGCACAACATTAAAATTCAGAGGCCACGTTTTTTTTCTATTCTTTTTTTCTATTCTTTCGGATCCCTTTTGGATTTCGTAATACTACCACCGAGCACAGTTCCTAACAGATCTCAGCTGGGTTGCAGGAAGGTCAACGGAAATGAATGCTCATGGCGCTCTTATTGATTTTTGGGGTTGTTGTTATTGTTGGCGGAGAACCTGCAGTTCCACATGACCTTGTCTTAACACACACACACACAAACACATACACATACATTAACATAAGCACATATGGTATACTCGGCATGCATTAAACACTATTGTATATTCTCCTAGGAAGAAGAAAAACGATGACCGAAGCAGCTTGCGGATATATATATACATATATATATATAAAAGACCATCAAGGATGAGAGACTTATGAGAGCCAAGGTGGGACATTAATGGCTCCAATGGGGTTTCCGCTTTGGTGCATACTGTGCCCAAACATTATGAGCCAGCCTTGTTTGCAATTGGCGAAAGGTAGGATGTAGACATGAGGGAGCAGCACAGAGCTAGTGTACACACAATATTCTCAGCTGTGGGACATCTTGGTCGGGTTACACACTCAGGGTAAGGGTGGGCTGGCAGGGTGATACAGGCAGGTAAGAGTGGAGGGAGGAGGGGAGGCTGTGAGGGAGAGGCACAGCGAATCGCGAGCGCTGACACAGAACCATCTGAAGTAAGCTGCAGGCACGCCTACTGCGCCTTTTTTTTTCTCTTAATGAAATGCAGCACTCTCGATTGCTCCATCTCTGTACATGCACTCCTGTGGGTACCAAGGTGGGCGCCGTTCTCTCGAGGCGAGGACACAAAGGTAAGTTTTTTTTTTATTTTTTTGCTCATTACGTCCGAATGACCTAAAAAAAAAGGCGAGTAGATGATGGGCGAGGGATAGATCAAGAGGCGGCGGTAGAGCTCACCACAGCTCAAGCTCATCATCATAAGTAGTGATGTTGTGTGGTGTTGGCTAGATTTGACAGCGTAACCTTAAATGAAAGCCACGGGTGATGATGAGTTCGGTGATGGGCCATGAAAAAAACGTGGCTCTCCAAAAAATGTTCCACCGATGTGTTCCATCTCCCTTTTTTCAGTTCCTGAAGATCACCAATTCAATCATTCAAAGGGTTAACACTACTAGATGAATAGACTGAACGAGAATATTAAATTACACAAACAACATCCAGATGACGAAACCATGCTGCAGCAACGCGCGTGCGCCCAGTTTTGCGGTACCCCCAGGTTTGTCTTTGGTCTCCTTTCTTTAGACTTATTTCCATCTATTCATCGTCAGTTGCTCTCTCTTCCTCTCTCTGTTTTTTTTCCTCGCTTTCAGCTACTTATTCCGGACAGAAATAACATTTTATTTAATCTCCTTGGAGACCATTCAAAGCCTCCAACCTCTGCGGTAGATTGGAATGAACACGAAAAAAAAATCTTCTGTGTCTTTTTCTCCGCATTCCAACGTCGAGACCGAGTGACTCGCAACTCAATGGGCATTTTTTTTTTTGACAGGTCGCCTACTTGGCACTCAGAAACCCAGTTAAAAAAAAAATAGATGCGGCGTCTTTTCAGTTCAAAGTCATTTCATTGGCCATTCTTCAGCCGGAAAAAAAAACCGGTTTCCCGAGCCCCGACCCCCAGGTTATACCACAGCAGCTGCGTTTACTGCTTACACAGGAGCTCTCCTTCTACCCCGCTCCACACAACATTCGTACCAATTAAAGACTTTATGCCTTTTTTTTTTTTTTTTTTTTTTTTGCCACGAGAAATGCTATGCGGCGGGTTTTCCCTAAGTTTCCGTCAATAAAGCGCCCAAAGGGTTACAGTTCTTCCTAAACTTTTTTTTTCTGTCGTCTTTCTCACAGCGCACTTACTCGAGTAAGTGAGAAGGGGACGAAGTTATCTCACTCCATCTGCAACTCTCTAAACTTTATATCCTTCACTCTTACATTTAATGGTCTTTAATCAATTTCAATTCTCTCTCTCTCTCTCTCTCTCTCTCTTTTATTCTCCTTAAGCTCCCAACAAACAGGTTTGGACATAGATTATTGGAGTATTTATTGTGCTTGACTATATTACAAAGGAAACAAGGTCTCGCTCTTTCTCTTCTATGCATATTGGCTACGCCATCGCGGCATTCCCTTGTGCAGATCCTTGCCGCTGATTCTGATGCTGAAGGCGAGGAGGCGGTGTGTGGGAGGGTGTGATTGTCGGCACGGGTGACGGTGTCGCGACAATGTCAAACACCTGGTCCTTCATCTTTGGTCGCGATCGAATCTTGCGCAGTAGCCCTGCCTTCTTGACCGTGGCCGTAGACCACGTCGAGATGGATGTCAGGGTCGGTGATGAAGACAAGGAACACGGCGAAGCAGAAACGGATGATGAAGGCGTAGCGGACATCGTTCCTGTAAGCGTCGACGAGTTGCTGTAGGAAACAGATGGCGTTTGCTTGCGTTGAGGCTGTGGAGCCACAATCGTGGGCTGTGGTGTTGACATGTTGAGGGTATTGGCGGTCGAGGCGGCGGTGGCGACGGCGGCGGAGGAGAGCGATAAAGAGTTGGTAGATGAAGATGAGAAAGGTGGGCGCGACGGAGATGTGGTGCCATTTGAATAGCAAGTTGGGTCTGCCATGGTCGAGCAGGATCCTGAAGGAATAGACGTCAACGAATGCGAGTGACCATGTCCTGATACCATGCGAGGTCCCGGTTTTAGCTGTGGCGATGCGCTTGGAGTCGAGCACGCAGATGAAAAAGATGACTGACTGGTCGAGGTCAAAGATGCTGACGACAGGGACATGTTCGTGTTGCTACTGCTGGAGCTATTCAGCGAGGATGACGATAAGGTTCCATCAACGGCAGCCTTCAGATTCTCGACCGAAAGACGTGGTGTGGGCGGCAAATTTGCTTTGCTCCTGATCATGTTGATTCTCGAAATCGAATAGCTCTTCCTCAGTTGGGATGATGAGACCTTTGGAACCGCCGTATCTGATGCTGCCATGTTGGAATTGAAATAGCTGCTCTCGAAGCTCATTGTCTGCCGGTTGGAGAACCGGCTCTTGTGAACCTCTCTCGCATCCGCACTCTTCTCTCTATTGCCATTGCCACCATTCTCCTGCGCCTCAACCGACGACGCTGTGGCTCTGTATTCAGGCATATCCTGCTTACTATTGGGACGGTCCGTGGCTACGGAGGCCCACATGGAAGCGCGCTTCTCCGAGCGCTTGGGGATTGCTGGCGCCATGACAGGGTAAGCGGCCGGGAAGTGGGTACTGGTACGAATCGCGTCAGTTGAAGAGCACCTCCGTACATGACCACCTTCGCGTTGACGTGCAAACAGAGTCGAAGGCATCGCTGCAAAGTTGGGCTGGCACTCTGGCGAAAGCAGCGACCGATCGTCCCCATTACTGCTCTTCTTCCTCAGTGCTGGGAATTCGCCAGGGTCCTGACTCCGATCTGTGTGTTGCTGCGGATTTTTGGGCGATGTACTGCGAGCGCCGCATGTGACGCTGCGTCGATGATGGTGGTGGGTGACATAGATCTGCGGATCGAGCCCAAAGGCGATTTCGCTGGTTGGTGCTTCGTAAGACATCTCTGCCAAGTCCTCAGTATCGGCATTGGCTCCTTCATCTTCGTCGTCATCACCCTGACGGAAGCTCGTTCGATGGAACGGAGCCTCTTCTTGCCCCGCCTGATCAAACGCAGCCACCGAGATGCCACACTGCAAGGTTCTGTTCACTTTACGATCGGAACGACGACTCGGTTTCTTTGACGAAGTTGGTGGAGGAGGTATTGATGCAGTTACAGAGATGGAGGTAGGGTTCTTCTCCATGTCTGCGACGCGTTCCTGATTTTCCTTCTCGAACCGCTTTAAGAGTCTCCGTTCCAGATGTCCCATGCGCGCGATAGTGATGAGAATTTTTTGACGCAAATCAATGCAGACAATGTCGTTCATCATGGTGGGATAGAGCGCTTGATGAGGTATGATCTTTGTGATAATCCTACGTATTAGATGAGGTACAGCAGAAATCAGCACGGTTGCTCAGCCATAACAGTTATAAGTAGATGATTCCGCGTAGGAAGGGGGAGGAGGGCGAGGGCGTTTGAGACTGAAGGTATAGGTATTTCTTGAGAGCAGATGCGCAGGGGATTCCATTGTGTCCTTGGAAGCTGGGAGAGAAGGCCGCATAAACAAACAAAAGACGACACACTTACAGGCATGCCCGCACATATGAGATATACGCATTCTCATCGTCTTTGTTCGACTCTGCCATATTGCCCTACAGATGCACATGAACATTTTTTTTTTTTTTTCGTTAGTAACTTTGCAGTCATCATAGCACGGCGAAGGCTTGGTTGTGAGTGTTCTTTTGTTACCTGTTTGACCAGAAGGCTGGCCATATTGACCCAAGTCTTGATGGAGTGGTTGAATTCCTCAGAGGGAAAGTCGGCACTGCTCTTGAGGTCGAGAAGCCGTGTCCGTGGGGGAAGGATCACTGTTTGTGTCTCCATTGTATGTATGCGGTATCTGAGTGGAGAGTGGGGAGTGGGGAGTGTAAGAGCTGTATGGTATGTTGGATGTGGTCAAGGGAGAGACAGCCACGGAAAGAGGTAGGCTTTTTGATGGTGGTACAAAGAGCAGGGCCTATTAGCGTTGTAGGAGAGAGGAGAATGTGGCGATGAGTGCTGGTAGTGTAGTAGAGTGGGCGAAGAAACAAAAAGGAAGAGAAGAGGAAGAGGAAAGGGAGCAGCATCATAGCATCAAACGGACACTGTCACACTAGGCTAGGCGCACCATACAATCCGCCTCAAAATAAACCTGTGGTATATTGCGGAGGATGGAACGAGGAGACCACATAGGCGATATGTGAAGTGTCTGCATTAACCTTAGTATGTACATCTTCCCGTCGACCCATGGGGAATTTTCCCGTCAAGAGAAAACGCACAGGCGGCCCAAGATTAGAGTTGTGCAGGAGGTTGAAGCAATGCACGCCACGAGCCATCCACACAAGTGTCGACCATTTGTGGTCTCCTTAAGCTACTCTGGGACAGACCATGGGGCCTTTCCCTCGGCAGTTGCAAGGAAGCCAGGCTTACGTGGAGACTAGCAGTTTGAGAGAGGGAGTTGTGACATAGGGGGGTCGGAAAGGTGCAAGGTAGGAGTAAAGTTACATAGTCCAAGAAGGCGGAGCACCAAACAGTGAACGGAAGGTATCGGGTAGCAAGGCTCAACGATGAGGAAGTTAATGGAGGGCTAAGGAACGTACCGTGGACGAATTGAAGTGTTGGCGCTACAAAAAAGGTGTCGAGATGAGTGTTGATATGAGAAGAGAAGTCGAGGAAAGGAAGAGATCTCGCTTCAGCTCCCGAGGGGTTATATGGGTTATCGGCTGTGTCGGGTCGTGAACGGAAGAGCGGAAAGGTGAAAGCCGAGATAAGTCGGGAACAAGGGCTGGAAAGGTAGGACAAGGATGATTCCCGATCACACTGGCCGTAGTATGAACAAATCTTTGTTCAGGTCCAATTGATTGCACGAGTACAGGAAGTGCGCGTGCGTCAGGGAGAGAGGGATTATATCTAGTCGAGTTGGCGTTGGTGAGGGTGTGTCAGGTATTGTGCGCGTAATGGTCGGTTTGGATAATCGCGAGGGTAGTAGCCGCAGAGGAGAGGAAAGACGAGGGGATTGTCGTAGTGGGCGTGAGAGAGATGGGTTAGATCGTAATGAAGTCGTTAGATCGTAATGAAGTCGTTAAAGAGCAGCAGGAGAGCGTAAAGATGAAAAGAAAAGGGCAAAGGACTGTAACAATGGCTTCGAGCAAGGTTGGTCTAAGACGCCAGGAAGCAAAGTAACAATGTCTGGCGTGGAAGGTCGTTCTGTTGAGACGTGTCTTTCTAGCAGAACCGAAGAAGATTAGGGAAGAAACAGGAGGTCGGAAAAGAACGAAAAGGAGGAGAGGGAGGAGGAGGATTGTCAAGAAGGAATGCAATCCGGCTAAGGGCATGTCCCTTTTTTAAGTATTTCGTCCGCCAGGCCACTCTTAAGAGCACACCATGCCGCGGGTTCGGGCCATTGCTCAGGAACATCCGGTCCGCATGGTCCATCTGCTCATGAGGCCTAGCTGTAGATACTTTTGCTGTTGTAGTGACACAATGAAATTAGTGATTTCCAGCTGAGAAGGATGGACATTTTGTTTGCCCCTTGCTCTCAGCCGTCCGTGTCCTTCGCACGTAGACTACAAACTTCGCCGTCTGCTCCTCGTTCGTTCATGTCTTTCTCGTTCTTATCCCAGGCTCAAAATTGCATTCATTCTCTCACTCTGCCTCCTATATTTCCTTCTTGCTCTTCTGGTTTGTCAATCCACTTCGCGTGCCTTCCTGCGTGTCACTCTGCACGGATCCAGCTACTGTAGTCTCGCCTTCCCAGCTCTGTCACTTATTCGAAAATGAGCTTTGAACTTCTGCTTGAACACATTGCTGGTTGGCCCCGAGTAAATCCACAGCATGTATTAGTGGCTAATTGCATTAATACAGCAGACCTAAGCAAATGGTATACGCTTTGGCCTTCACACTGACACACTTAAGGGACCGCTTACCCTTACCGGTCACGTTCATATCTCGATAAAGCCTCTGAACCGTTGAACCGTTGAACCAGCTAATTCTGGTCTTTTGTTGACCTGAATTAGCCTCCTGCGCGGACAATGTTACATAACGGGAACCTGGAGAGAACAGCGAATGAAGGATAAAGGAGCCCATTCTAGGGGCACGAAACATTTGTATTTGCATCAGCCAGGTGGCTATCAAGGGTACCACCGCATCTGCATGACCGTAATTGCTTCGGTTACGCAAGTCGATCGAAATATGCCCCCGCGATACTTTGGACCACGGCCAGAACGTGTGTGCTTAGGTGGCGGAGATTTCAATGCAACAGAGATTGGATTGGTGGGCGAATGCTGCATTTTTGGTGGAGCACATTCCTTTCGTTCAGCGGACCAATCATCATGCGATGGTATATGTTTCTTTCATGTATCAATACCCTGGGCCTGATGCCATCCACATCTCTGGGCGGACAGGTCAGGGGCGTCATCTTTTTTATTAGTACCTTACCCAGGACTTGATTTCCCAGGAGAAAATCTGGTGCATTGGAGTTGTTGATGGTTTAGTCCAATTGCTGAGCCAAGCAGGGTGCACTCCAAGCGCGCCCAAAAATAAAAAGGCACAACCTGGTCCTCATTGGCCAGTCCGCTTTTTGCGCTATTGAGTATTGCCCTAAAACTCTGGACCTGACTGGGAACCGTCCCGTACATGGCTTTCCCTCGCAGGCTGGGCTGGGAGCTCCTTTCAAGTCCAGTCCCAACCTTTTCGTTTCCCTCTTTTTTTAACACCCTCCTCATCAGATCCCTTCTCCACTCCTACTCCTCATTCATATACCATGTCTGGCCTCATCCTCAACTGCCTGCTCCCCTTTGTCCGCCCTCCCCGCACAGTCTCTGTGCAGGAGGCCCAGAACCTGTCCCTCAACGACTACTTGGACGCGGCAAGTATTCTCCCCTGATTCATTCCTCTAAAAGCTCATGCTCACCACGCAGGAATCAGCACAGGATCAGATGGCGCAAGAAACAACACAACTCCGCCTCTCGATTGAACTGTGGACGTTATTCACATGAATCACTGGACTGCAATTGATTTTGCATTGCTGGAAGGGTGATAGTCATAGTAATTGGATCATTGCGAGAGAGTACAGCCCATTGCATTGGCCTCAATCATGGCACCCAGACAGCAGCGAAACCAGTCGGAAGGACGTCTATATGACTCATGACATGCGCAAGAACTGTTCGGCCATTGAGCCGGTGAGATACCAGTAGCAATTGCATCGCTAACACAGATCCCATCATTTCTTGCGCTTTTCTCCTGGTCCACGCTTTCATTACTGCCTCTTTTACGATATCTCCGCTCTCTGAATGATGATCAACTTTTCATATTCTTCTGTCATGGCCCGGGAATCGATTTCGATCCAGACCTTCAACTCTGCGCCCTCAATTGTCCAGGACCAGAGCACGCGCCAAGGTCTGGTCGGCGTGTACGAGCAGCAGGCTCAGAAGAATGGCTCAACAGCCTCGATCCAGCAATTGTTCAATTCTGCTCGGGCTGCCTGCGCTGTCGATCACGACAAGGATGTGGTAAGAGGCAATTGGGACTAATGAAACTGGGGAAGCGGGGTATCCGAAGCAATGACTCTGACGCTGTATCGCTCTCATTTAGATTACTTGGCTTGAGACATTGCTCAACATCTCTGGAAATCAGCCCAATGGTGGACATGTTGTCACCCCACCACCTGTCTCGCCTCCTACTAATAACCATGGGAATAACGGCAACAACAACAACAACAACAACAACAATGGCGCCAACCAGGGAAGCAGTGATAACTCCAACATCTTCGTCAGCCCGATTTTCTTCCCCTCGGAGCAGAGCTTTAACATGCTGGTCAAGGTCTTGGACGATGCCAAAAAGTCGCTGGACATCTGTGTTTACACCATCACGGACGACCATCTTGCCAGGGCCATCATCAGGGTAATGGAAAAACGACGAGATCTTATTGTCTCGACATATTATATCCCGGATATCACGGTCATTCTAGGACTCACATCGGGTTTCATCATTTTATATGTAGGCCCACGAACGCGGTGTTAATGTCCGCATCATTTCAGATAACGAAAAGGTACAGACAGAAGCCATGAAGAAAGAGAAAGAACGACAGTGGTGGATCGCATTTAACGAATGAGATATTTTCATCATCGCTAGGCTGGCGACCTAGGCTCGGATATTAACCGTCTCAGAGACGAGAATGGTATCCCATCTCGCGTCGACAAGAGGTAAGGGGTCTCTCAGATTCGTTTGGCACCTGCCACCAATAAGCGGCAAACCTGGCAAGGGTGGGAATGCGGACTGATATTCATCTTTGACATTACTTCTTGATGCACAGCACATCGTTCATGCACCACAAGTTTGCAGTAGTTGACGACGCTTTGGTTATCAACGGATCCTACAACTGGACCAAGGGTGCTCGCTTCGACAACCGCGAGAACTTGACCCTGACTAATGCTCCCAAGGCTGTCCAGGGATTCAAGAGTGAGTTCGAGAAACTCTGGAAAGAGTTTGCCTAAAGCAGAGTTCTTGGAGGGCCAAACTCTTCTCTGTCATTTCTCTCGAGCGCTGGCCCGCGTCTGTGCGCAGTGATTGGGATCGATAGTGCCTGGAAAATTGTGACTTAAAATAGTAATGCCATTAGATGAATACCAATAGTGTCTTTGTTCCATATACCGCTAATATTAATGCCTTGGTATTTGTCAAGATCGAGCGGATTAAAGGTCGTTACTAAGCTGCTATGTATAGATGGATTCTGATCATTTGATGTAATTGAAGATCCTGGTTCATGCTAATGGACAACCTTCGTTGTATACTCTAGTCATATGCATCCGTCCATATTCAAATTGGCTACTATTACATCCCGGTGGGAGCCAGTTCAGCCTGGATACGCTCAATGTTTCAGCGATCAATTAACTTTATTTGACCCTAGATACACCACGCATCATTTGGATTGATGGGGTATGCCTTCCGATTTGGCCTCTATCTCCATCCCCTAATCTCTCTGGACGTCTTGCTGATGAAGCAGACCTAATCCATTATCTTGTAATTCGATGCAGGGGATATCGGTCAGACGGCTTTGTTACTAAAAACACGAGTGTTCTTCCTTTCCATGTGCCGAAAGATAATAGCGACGCACGGACGTCATGTTTAGTACATGAAGGTCAGTCGCTATGTTCAATAGGGGAGGAAAGCGAGGACGATGCAGTGTGTAGGTCATAGTGCTTTTGAGTGTGAATGTGGCTGCTTGTTGGTCTTGGTTCCTGTCGCTTCGAGGTCCAGGTCCCATGTAGACAGGTAATTGTTCTGCAATGGCTTTTAAATAAAGTTCGGACTTTTTCCGAATTGACGAATCAGACCAACGTAATAGAAAACTACCAGCGCAAAGAGCAATGGGTCAAGGAGGGTCTTTGAGTGCCTCTATTACCTTCTTCTCTCACTCATTGCCATCACCATCGCCATCACCATCTCCCATTCCTTTCGTGCGCAACCCCCTTATTTGCTCCTTCCTCTACTTTGCTTTTTCTGTACACTGTGCCACCTTTTTTTTTTCCGTCTCCCCTATCATCCTTGGATCATCCCTCCCTCGTCACCTCGCCCTGAGCTTCTGCCCACCAACAGTCATCCCATTTGCGGATCTGTTTCCTTTGCTTCGCCTTTTCTCTCTCCTGTACCTTTTTATACCCTTTTCCCCTCACCTCTCTTTCTCTTTTTCTCTATCGTCAATGGACCCGCATCCGATGCGATCGCCTCAATACCAGCAATATCACACCAGCATGGCGATCAACAGCAACAGGAGTAGTAGTGGTAACATGGACCCAGACAACGACCTATCAAAAGAACGGCACAGTGTTGTATATGGTCAGCCTCTACCACTGCGGCCAGCTGCTACTTTTCACCACAGGCAGGCACAACCACAACCACATCCTTACCTGCAACCATACATGCCATCGTCCCTCTCACAACCTTCCTTAATTAAGCCTTCGTCCCCATCAACATCCGCACCAGATTCAGCGTCGAGGTCGCTCTCAGTATTAGTGTCAATACCATCAGCGCCGGTATCGCCATTGCCACCACTACCTCCGCAGTCGCAGGAGCATCTGCAGACCCACAATCTGGATAATAGCGCAATTTCTGAGACGACAAACGCAGCAGTCATGGACAGCACAGCCTCGGACCTTGTCCAGCATTGCCTGCTCTTTCCCACGTATGCGACGCGGTATTCTCGATCAGGTAACTACCACACAATATATATGGAGGATATGTCAGTGATTGCATGTTTCAGAATGGACCCCTGAATGCTGCCCCTAAAAAAGCCGATTCTATTACTTAATTCGAAACAGGTTCCAAGGACCCGCTCGACTGGAACATCCGCGTCCGTGGATGGGCCTTTTCGAAGCGATCGAACCGCCGGAAAAGACTAGTGATGAGTAAGCTATTGTGTGCGATCTTGACGACGCCTCCTTCGCACTAAGATGGATGCTTGTTAAAAAAAAAAAAGAATAGATGTGAGCATGCATTCTAGCCGACGAATCAGATCTCGATTTGTGTCTCATGCGTGCGAGATATATTAAATTCACGTTGCTCTTCACCTCATGCTGATGCTAATGCGTATGCTCTCTTTTATTTTTATGTTTTAACTTAGGCGTGGCCCGCAAGATTGCTGGTGTTACAAAGGATAACAACAAGGGCTATGAAACCCTCGAATCCCGGTTTGGCATGTTCCTCGCCACCAATACTCAAGGCGCACAATTTGCGATCCAATGCATCGGACTCGCATCCATAACCCACATGGAAATGGTGGGCGATTCCGAGGGCGACGATCCGACTGTAGAGGTGCTCATGGATGAATTGAAATCGGCCGACGGAGCAATGGCAGAGGCGGATGTGTTGCAGGATAAAGAGCAATTCCGGAAATCGCTGGAGTATGGCCAAAGAGATGTCTTGGATAGTTTAACAGAGAGCAAGGACAAAGATATTGAACATTCGCGGCAGAATCAGGTGGCACCACCGACAGATCACACAGTGGACGAACGCCCTGAAACGCATGAAGATGCGGACCAGACAGAGCAATTAAAGTCGCCAGCTGCTGAGACACACGTCAAGAATACCGGCAAGGATATCAATAACACCAGCCTGGGGAGTCCGTCAAATCATTCGGATGGAAGGTTGAAATATGCCCACGACTCTGAGATTCCTCATTCGCAGCTCAGTACGGCAGAGAACGAATCTACGTTTACAGGGCGACTAAGCAAAGGAGCAGCCATTATAAAGGGCGCCATTAAAAAGTACAGGGTCATGTCGCACGTCAGCGGTAATGACTCGACGGACTCGCTCAAACATTCCTCCGCTCAAGGTCAACTCGGCACTAGGACCAACAACAACGTTTCTGACTGGTCAGCTAGTTATCCCAACAAGCCTGGCTCCGTCAGTCGCGGAGAGTCTGGAGACACCGTCTTGACGCAGATGACAACACAGCCCGAGAATCCGGAACACGGCGACTTCCCAACCATTCACGTCTCATCCCGTCTTGGCGGACATTTTGAAGGGACACTGAGGATGAGTCATACAGAGGTGGAGGCATATCGGAAGCAGGATACGAGCGGTGGCCACCCGCAATTTCTGAAACTGCATGCGCTTCACGCAGAACTGCCGAATCCTAGCCATGGCGTCGTCAATCTGATTGAGCCCGAGGGCATCTCCATCATCTCAGATATTGACGACACTATCAAGGAAACTAATGTCACAGCAGGCGCCAGGATCATTTTGCGAAATACCTTTCTGAGGGATATGCGAGACGTCAAGGGCATGGCAGCAGTGTATAAGAAATGGTGGTCCCAAGGAGCGGCTATGCATTACGTCTCCAACTCGCCATGGCAGTTGATTCCTAGTTTGCTCGAATTCTTCCATACGCACATGTTTCCACCAGGCTCAGCTCATCTCAGGTTACACGACGGTGTGCTGAAGACTTATTTCACGACGCCGGGCGAGAACAAGAGGAGGGCCATCAAGGAGATCTTGACGGATTTCCCGGACCGAAAGTTCATTCTTGTGGGCGACAGTGGAGAAATCGACATGGAGATGTAAGTATCTAATCGACCGCGCCCATATGGTCAAGTCTACATGCGATGCAGATGTGCTGAACGCTACATCTTTTTGCCTACCTGATAGTTACACGGAGATGGCCCTTGCATATCCAAAACAGATCTTCAGAATATTCATTCACGACATCACAACTACTCGCTTGAAGGGGATCGCCAGCAGGACATCACCGACACGCAGCCATTCCTTATCGTCATTACTGTCCAAGACTCCTATCTCAACTGGATTTGGGCTCTTCAACCGGCGCGGAAGCGGTGCCGCCACACCAACCAGCACTCAAAGTAGCATTGGATTGCCTTCGGCAAATCTTTCGACCACGTCGAGCCTGAGCACAGAAGACGAAGAAGTAGAGGATCAGATTCCAATCGTTACTACCCCAGAAGAGCTTTCGGAAGAAGAGGTGTCAATGATGAAGGAGAAGACACAGGAGCTGAATTTCGAAGGACACAGGCACCATGGCGAGTCTTTTACTCCGACTCTCGAGCCCAGCGATCCACTCACAGCCCCAGCGGCGCTCTTGCCTTCCTCCACAAGGTCCTCTCCGAAACTTCAGCCAAGGCAGATTGCAGCTGGCGTCAAAGCTGTTACTAACTCGCTTCTGACCTCGACATTCAAGCGATCGCCGAGTAACAGCAAATTGAACGGATCAGGATGGGGTGCCTCCAAACACTCTGGTGGAAACATATCTCCAAGTTCGCCACTCGCAACACACAGCACAACTTCTGTCAATGCATATCCCTTCCCAACAGTTGCATCGGAATCTTCGACCTCTATCTCTGTCTCAGCCACACAGGAGGGCAGCACTACCGACAACAAGCCCGATGGTACAGAGACAGACGAGGATGACAAGAAAAACGCGATTCGGACGATTTCCAGAAACGCAAGCGACTCTGCTAGCAAAGACATTTTCGAGGATGGTGACCATCAGCATGTGACCCTACAACATCAACATCATAAACACCAACATATTGAAGTGCAAGGTCCAGGGCAGCACATCCAGTCAACACGTACTCGTACCACCACGTTTACTTACGCCTACTCTCAGTCTTTCCCTGGTTCGACGCCTGATGTGACTTTTGCTTCAGGATCAACACCCACGCACTCGCCAACCCCTTCTCCTAGGATCCCGATTCATGGTGCCCGTAAAACAGGTGGTATAACAAGTGGTTTTACATCGACCAGTACTGTGGACATAACTTCGATATCTCTTACAGCGACTTCCTTATCAACGAGTCCTGTCTCAGGTCCCGTACTGTCGCCAATATCGCCGTCAGTGTCATCCTCGTCCTCGGCCGTAAAGAATCCACTCGTAATCTGGCAAGAACGTATCGAGCAGTGCCAAAGGAAGTTACCCGAGGGTATGTTGACGCTATTTACCTCTGCGGATGAGTTGGATCAGTGTCAAGTTGTGAAGTCGATGTTTGAAAATTATGGAGAGAAGAGTTCAGGAAGCGGAAATCGTGGCGATAGTTCGTCGGAGAGATCTTCGTCTCCGCTCTTGGTGTCTTTGTCTGGTGGATCGAGCACAAGCGTGGAGAGCGCGCATTGCTGTGCTGAAGGAGTTGCGGATCGCACTGCGGTAAATGGGATTCCAGTCTTTACAAGCAGCGTTGCAGCAGACTAGGATGTCGTGCCGATACTCTTTCTTCATTGAAAATAAACAAAGAAACAAAGTATTCGTTCTTATTATCATTACTGGAGTGAAATAGTGTATGTTTACACGGTGATTATGTTTAATCCTTCGATCTCCACAAACGGCGCCATCTCTTTAACGCTGCGCATAGCGAATGTGCTTCAGAAATGGCGCACCTTGAGAGATCTGAGTCTGTAAAGTCTAGATGCCTTAGCGGTACCTCGGACCCATCCTCCGTGACGCGTTCGACTAGTATTTTGAGCGCGTCGGCAGAAAAGTTGCTTCGACGAAAACCTAGCGTTTCCAGCAGATCGAGCTCAAGAGTCTCGATAAGTGTCTTCCAGTCTTCAGGCTGGAACCGAAGCCCAGGCAATCCAAGCTCTTGCAGTGGCTCCCATGTTGTCGACATATCCGTAATGGACTTGGTCGATCGAGTGACCAATGACTCCGTTGCTGTGATCTGTAGAAGGGAGTGCTCTTGGACGGACGGGTCGCTCGGGACAGTAGAGAGCATCGCAACAAGCCATGGAATGGATCCTTGTGGGAAGACAAAATCAGATCTGCTGCTCAGAGTGAGAACTTTCAGTTATGGCACACCACGTCTTGTTGGGAAGGCATGCGCAGGCCAAGCGATATCTGGACCATGCAAGGGGTCTACCCTGTACGAAGCAATGAACGGCGTCGCGGACACACCGGAGGCGGTGATGGCCTTTTCTAAGAGGAAACGGGGCGACGACCCAGCCACGGACAACCCCTCTCACACCAGCGGCAGCACCAGCAATTCCGAGAAGGCATACAGGCAACGGAAACTGCTGCCACCCTGTACGTGCTTGCCAACCCAACAACTCTCAGCATCAGCCTGGAGTTAATTCAGCGCTCAAAGGTGTTCATCGAAGCAAGGAACGAGACATTGCGACTGACGGCATTGTTGCACTTCATCGATGGGCAGGTCTATCGTGAGAAAGCGCCCCCGGGGAAAAGTGCCATGTTTTATACCCCAGCCGGCAATCAGCCAAACCTCCCGTGTCCAACAACCTCTAGTATACAAAGGAAATGAACCCGCACAAAAGGAAGTCGTCGACGCAAAAGCCAATAAATCTGTTTATTCATGATGTTCAAGTTCTGTAGCTGTAGCTCCTGCAGTTCCTGTTGCAGCAGAGTTCCATGGCGCTCTGGGCGTCTCATGTAAGGATTGTGAGTGGGGTTTTAAGTGACAATACCCTACGAACTGCAACCGTGATTCAGGGCTTGGTGCATGACCCTGTTCCTGAATCGCTGACCCGCTTGCCCATCCCGCTCCTGCTCCTGCTCCTGCTCTAAGAGATTAACAGGCAGCTTATCTTGGGGCAAAAGAGGGATTGGGTACTCGTGTATGTCCTGCTGCGTGCGCTCGCCTCGCGTATGCAAAAAGTTGTGAAAAATAGCGCAGACTGTTATCCAGTCCAAAGCTTTTTTCACATTCTTGTCATATGTCTCCTCTCGGATCCGAACCGGCAAGTCCTTCAGGGACATCCACCCTGCTTTCAAAATACCAATGGTGTGCTCGTTGCATGCGCGGGCATGGGCAACACACGTATTGAAGTCCGTCTCATCCTTGACCAGATTGGCCCCCTTGAACATTGACACGGTGACTGTCGAGACCGGATAAGCTGGAGGTACTCCCCTGGCGCAAAATACTCGGCCTGTCGAGTCCAAAGATCTGAACAACGAAAGGCGTAATGATCGTGGCAGCAACCTAAGGAGAACAAAAGGACAGCTCGCAGTGAGTCAGTGTTGTCACGGAGCGCCGGAAGGAAAAAAAAAAAAAGGATTTACATACCTGACTGACCAGCAGTATACAGGAAAATGATCTTCCTATCCATATTGCACACGACCTGAACGCTAAAAGAGTAGCGGCCATACCGATCATAAAAGAAGTCGCCATGGTGCGCAGGGCGCTGCTCAAGTGAAACTGTAGTACCGTCCAGAAAGCCAACACAACCGGGAAGGCCCTTCCTGGCCATTCTTTGCGAATGAAGGCAATGCTCTTCATCACCAGGCCAGGACAGACATTGTCCCTCTAGCGACAGTATCGCACGGAGACACCTGTCAACGAAGTTCACACATGATCCCTCGCTGTAGCCCTAGAAGTCCCCAAGCCGCATGGCGCTCATTCTATTCCCATAGTGGCTGAGGCGGGCAAGAGTAACGGCGAGCTGTATCATAGGATGGGTTTGTTCTCTGTTACTATTGTTCTTGAAGACGCAGTGGTCCTCGATCAATCGCAAAAGATGGAGAAAGCTCAAGCGCGTCATTCGCATGTATGCCAACCACTGCCTGTTTGAGAAGTTGCCAAGGCGGACAATAGTGTTTTGCTTATCCATTTGGTAGGCGAGGGGTCGCTCTATGAATCGATAGTCAAAAGAGAGTCGCAGGATTTCCAGCAGGTCATCTTCAGGGCTGCCCGGAAACAGGCTGACAGGATTCACTGCAAGGCCGGCCTGAGCCAGAAAGAAGTCGCAATGAGCCGTACCGGCAGCCTCGAACAGCAAGTTCATGCTGTCTTCTTCCTCCAGCAACGCCAACAGAAGCAACCTCTCCCATTCCTCCTCGAATGCCGATCGCGCCATGGCGGTGGTGTATTGGTCGGAGGAGTGGAGTGGGGAACGCGCGTCCTTCCCCTGTATGCAAGCAGCCAATCGAAGTGGAAAAAAAATAAATAAATTCACACATGCATGCGAAGGCTAGGTGCCTCTGGGCGACGGTACGAGCTCCGAGGGTCGAGTGGACTCCATGGGCATTTGGTCTCATCCAATTGCCATTTACCATCTTGCTCATCCTGACAGACTCCTCTGCAGAACTCTCTATCCCTCTTTTTCTCTAACTTCCTTTCACCCCCTCCCTCGTCACCTTCAGTGACCAAGCATGCGACAGCAGCGATTCCGACTGGAGAGCGAGGTCGAGACCCTGGCTGTGCGACAAGATGCTAAGGGCCGGTACTACAGCCAGATGGACGATATCCAGGACATTTTTCCTGATGCGGTCCGCTTCAAGGTCGGTGGCACCAACATCCTGTTCCTCCACGACGAGAACGGCAAGAGGTAAGTAGACTCTGGGCGCAAGCATCTTCCCTGCATGGACCATGAAACAAAGGGCGCTTTTTTCAGTTAAGGTATTTCCACCAACCAGACGCGCTCTGATTTTCTCACCGCAATTTTTTTTTTCAGGTACGATCCCAAGAGGATTGCACATTACCCCGACGACATTGTCGATATCGTTGTCGCCCAAGGCAAAGCACTGCTCTACTCATCTGCTTCTGTACAATGCGTTGCAGCCCAAGCCCATATGTCGCTCAGTCCCCCAGCTGTTGTTGACAACGACCACGACTATGTACCGCCTTGCCCAGCATTTGCCGCCAAAAGCAACTCCGTCGCCAATTACAACCGTTCTGACAATTGTGACAGCGATGACAGTTCAGACAGCGACAGTGAGCCTGTCTCCTTTGCCGATGCCATTAAGATTTCGAACGTAGAATCTGGCTTCAGTCCCTCACAAGTCCCGCCTTCACCGGTTTCATCTGCCCTCGAATCGCCCTTGAACCTGAACAGCTCCACGGTAGCGTTAACCTTAGAGCGCTATCCGTCGCCATCTAACATGGGCGCACAGTCTGCGAGTGCCCTGCCTTTGATCTCTCCCTCGTTCTCACTGGCACCCTCTGAGTACAAGGCTCCAGTGTCCACGAACGAAATCTCCCAGCAGGTCGCGCATCTGCAGTTCCAGCTGTCCCAGTCAACCAACTGCCAATCCGAGTACCACGGACAGCTGATGCAGCAACTCTTCCACATGCTGCAGCTACAAGCCGAGGCCAAGGCGCGCGACGAGCAGCTGCAGCGGACGTAGCAAATGACGAACGATCGACTTGTAGTGCTACAACAAAAAATCGAGGCGGTCCTGATCCAGAACTACGAGTTGCACGAGTATCCGATCCCGCGACTGTTCGTTGTCTTGCTAGGGAACAGGGAGGTTTCGGCCAGTGGCGATATCGACCCTGTGGCAGACGAGAAACAAGGGTTCATGGATATGGTCAAGGGCTGGGACCCGAGGAAGCTTATCCAAGAAAAGTTCCGCTTGTACTTTTTGTGCGAGTGCGGTGAGCATTCCAAGGCAGATTCCGAGTCCAGCAGCACATCCATGGTGGCACAGGCGAGCGAGCATCGGATCCATCTGGCGAACCACGAAGGATATGAGCTGGCAAGGCCTACCCAGTTTTTTGAGCGATATGGGCCGTATGTGCTGGGCATGCTGCTAATCCTGAGACACTGCTTGATGGCGACCGCGGTAGTGGCCCCGGCAGTCGGGGTTCTGAATGAGAGCCTGGGAAAGGTCGCGGACAGCATGGAGGAGGTGACGGGCAACACCTTGGAGGCCATCAAGGTATCGATCGACTTTCTGGAGCAAAAGCTCACCAACGAGAAGATTGCCGGCGCCGCTGGGACGGAGAGCGAAGCCTTGGAGGGAGAGCAGGACTTGTTCAAACATCTGGACGCACTTGAAGGCGCAGATCTGCGCCGACTGGAGACCTTCCTGCGTTATAAGGACAAGGACAAGATTCTGGGCAACCTCTATAGAATCACGACGTCGAAAGGCCATGTCAAGTGGGTCTGTCTCGAGCACTACCGGGCCTCCTATCGTGAGGTCGCCATGAAGTCGTTCCTTCATACAATCAATGTCAACCACGGTCAGTACGATCCACACCTTCGGAGAGTCACTGTCACGCTGGCCTCGTCCGTTGTCGCCAAAGACTTTTTCAGACAGCTTGGGAATCAGGCACCCGCCGTCAACGAGCTGCATGTGGCGCTGGACTGGGGTGTCAGCTCCTCGGATCTCAGCAAACTGGTCGACAGCCTTGCGAGATCCAACGTGAGGATCGTTCGCGTAGACTTGAAGGACGACAAAAATCCCACGCCAGACTTCAGACTGCTGGGCAAGGGTAGGTACTACCCCTTGCTGGAACTGTTGGCGAACCGCAAGATCCAACATTTTTCGCTGAAGCGACTGGACCTTTTTGCGAGCAGGACGTCCAACTTGTCCCAGGGCCTGCCGCCGTCGCAACTTCGCAGCCTGCACTTCATGAATCCGGTTCGGATCTCGGACCAGGATCGTCTGGCCAATATCCTGTACCATTGCCCGAACCTCGTGGAGCTCCGACTGGGGAGGAACGGTATCTCCAGGATGCAGCCGGAGCTCAGCCTAGCGATCGCATCGTTGAAGCGCCTACAGGTCCTTCATCTGTTTGGCTTCCGTGACGAGACAAACTCTGTAGTCAGGGACCTGCTGCCCGATGTCCAGGCCGCGACCGAGGTGCTCAGAGAGCTGGTCCTGGTGAACTGTCTCTTCGATTTACATGAGCTGCAGGAGACGGTCCAGACGTTCGCAAGCACACTCGAGGTCCTGATTTTTGACAAGGTCTACTCGCGTTTCGATGCACATACCGCCTTGGATCTACAACCTGTTTCCACAATCAGTTTGGATGACTCTTTCTCTACCAAGAGCTCTCTGATTCTATCCTCTCTCCTCCGCAAGGACGATATGTTTTCGCAACTGACGCAACTCGACTTGAAGGTGTTTGTGTCAGAAGCGTTGCTCGGGTTCCTGTCTCAGATCCTGCCACGGCTTCCCCTTACCCATCTGGGTCTCTCTACAGGCATGCACAGACTCTTTAAGTTCGTCAACTATGAGACCCTACGCTCCGTTTTTGTAGAGAAGATGAGTTCCATGGATCTCAAGCCGCTTTGGGATGCACTGCCGAACTCTCAAGTTGAATCGCTATCTATGGAGTACCTCGATGATGCCAACAAGGTTCCCAGCTATCTAGAGAAGGTTTCTTTGAAGCGTCTATGGGTCGGATGGACGGAAGCTACCGCACGGGACGACTCCACTGGGATCGACACAAACTTTAACGCTTTGCTTCATCTGGATTCAGATTCAGACACCACTACCGTTCCGTCCCTTCCGTCCATTAACTCCGCAAGACGCCTACAGCTGCGTTCCCGCTCCAGTCGAGTCGACTCTTGGCTCACTGGCTTGTTTAGATCTTTGGACCTGACGAGACTGGAAACCTTAGCCGTGATCAGTAGCGGGTATAGTCCGGAAGCGGAAGAAGTTCTGGCGGGATGGCGAGCGAGCTTCATGGACCAGTTCACCGTCCATCTAGGGCAGTACTACAACCCGCGGCTTCGCTCCAAGAAGGTGACTGCCTCGAGATACACAGATCCAAGCGATGCGGATGGAGATACCAGCTCGACAGAAGCACTGGGACGCGTCAAGAAGTACTACGCATATGACTATCTCTATTTGCGCTACAGTTTGATGACCAAAATGGAGTAGGGTCCTTTGCTTTGGCATGGGCGCCAGATACTACTTTGCATTTGGAAGTCGCTTTGCAATATACAAAGCATTAAAATCGTCTCCACAACCTCAAGTTTGATGTGTGAACATGTGGTTTTATGTACGATATACAACAGATATACACTTTCAATAATATACCCCATTAACGGATTACAATACAGACCAGCTATTGCGCCTTTTTTACGGTAATCTGTATTTGAAATATCAAACCTCACCACATGGGTTATTAAAAAGTCCTTTGATTGTAACACGAGGCGCCTTACTTGTAAGGGTCTCGCATAGCGATCGCACTTCAGAGTCACCGCTGGATTCGAAGAGAGCACTCGATGTGAAGTCCAAAACCATTAACGGTATTGCGGCGCCGTCCTCGGGAATGCACTCAACCAATACATGGAGTTCATTAGTTGAAAAGTCGGTCCCCCTGAGTCCCAGTGTTTCCAGTGTAGAGAAATCAAGTGCCTTGATTACAGTCTTCCACTCTTCAGACTGGAGCGAAAACACATAGAGCCAGACATTCCTCAATGGCTCCCATAAGATGGATGTATCGGCCTCAGTTACGGAGTACAATGCGGCAGGAGGTTCACTTAGGTTCGATGACGGTGGGGTAGGGATTATTGGGTTGCCTGGGGCAGAGACCATCGCAGCGAGCCATGGTACGCATTCTTGAGGGAAAGCTAAGTGGGCCTGTGTATTCAGGCCACTGCTGAGAATCGTCAGTGAGCTCAGCCTCGGCAAATCGCGTCTCATCGGCAAGATTTCCGCCAGACACGGAATATCCAGGTCCGCCTGTGCAACCTTTGCATCTAAAGAAGTCAGTTTCTCCTTGTGGCGGCCTAGTAGCCATGTCCCAGCTGGATTCCCAGTAAATGGACCTCGGAGGTAGATCGAGAAGTCCTGGAGCTTGTTTGAGCGACTGAGAACTCGGTCAATGCACTCAGCACCATTGGACGATAGTCGTGTTGGGTCCAGCGCAAGAGCCGCAAGGTTGGATGTTCTCTCTTCTGTAGATCTGTCCAGTTGTAGGGCGAGATCATCGTCAAGTTTTCCACGCCCGGCGTCTAATGTCACGATGGACCATCCATATCGACGGAATAGCGGCGGTAAATAATCCGGATCGGGCCTCCATTCAGATCTCAAATTGACATGAGTGAACATGTCATAAGCAACAGAATGCTCTGAGAATTGCACAGTGGATTTGATTTCATCCTCACGTTCCTGCCTGTAGTCCTGAGTGAGTTCGAGTCGCAACCGCTGAAGATCGTATCCTTCCAATCGCCATCGCTCTCTCGTCGATGCAACCAGCTCAATGATCGCATGAAATCGCTCGCTGTCGCATTTAAGGCTGATCTCCAATAGCTTCGGGTTCTCGTGTAGTATTTTAGCCAGCCGAGCGTCGTCCGAAATGCGAATACGATTCTTTATCAACAAGTGAGTGAGAACGCCTCGTTGAACAAATGTAAGGTGGGGTGGAGATGATGCCGTGATGCTGACAAACGACGCATTCATAGTCTTGATGCTCCACATGAGGAGCTCGACTGCCACACCCTTGGTTCTGAACTGAAGGCCCAGAGACTTGAGTTTTGGCAGAATGCAAATCTTGCTTAAGATCATTTGGTAGGCCTTGTCCGGATTGTCCGTATCCAACCACAGCTCCGTCAAATTGGGAGAGTTCTCAAGAATCTGGGTAAGTACTCCCATGGATACGTCATCCTCAAGAGGGGTGGAGCGCATCGTTATGACTCGAAGCTGAGATGCCATCTGGATATGAGAGCTGCTGATACGCGTAAAAAAATCGCTGAATGAAACGAGGTGCAGTGCCTGGATCCGCGCGTTAGACATGAGCCCCACGATGGGGTTGAAGCGGCGGTAGCGGTTGAAATAGTCCAATGTTTGTCCCTTGATGGCTTGACCCCACATGGTCAGACAGACGATACCCGCTTTCGTGACAGCAACAGCGAAGCTCTGAAGATCGTCCATTGATACGTCCCAGTTCAGTGTAATACCCAGCTCATGAACTCCTCGCGCCTTGATCAGACTGCCGTAAAACTGCGCCGCTTGAGTAGGAGACGCAAGAGTGATCTTGATCTTACCCAGCTGCTCGATAAAAGTCCCAGCATTGGCCTGGACAGTATCTCGTAGTTGCTGGACTGCCGATGCCCGATAGTTTTCGCGATAGTGGTCGATGCACACCCACTTGACATATCCCTCCGTCGTGACAATCCTGTATAGGTTGCCAAGAACGCGGCCCTTGTCCTGGACCTTCAGATACGACTCCAACTGTCGCAGATCTGCTCCTTCCAAGACCTCGAGCTTATCCATCTGTGTCTGTTCTTCGATCATGCTAATTCCACCGTTGGCGCTCTTTTGCTGATCCTCGATAAACGTGATGGTGTTGTCCACGAGAGACTCGATGTTGTGCTTCGTAAACTTAAGCTGACCCTCAGCTGCCTCGATACCTTCCATGACTCCTAGGTGTGCTAGTGAAGGCACCAGGACCCCGGCCACGGTGATCCCGAACTTGATCATCTGCATCAATGTCAGGACATAAGACCCGTACTTCTCAAAGAACTCGTTCGGTCGATCCAAGTCGTATCCCTCGTGTTTGGCCAGATGGATCTTGTGCGGAACCTTGGTTCCCTCAGACATGGTATGTGCGCCACACTCGCACAAGAAATAGAGTCGAAACTGCTCCGAAAAGGGCTTGAGAAGCTTGTCGCGAAGCCGTAGCGTCTTTGGGAGCACGATGAATAGACGAGGAATAGGATACTCGTGAAGTTCGTAGGTCTGGGTGAGGACAGCTTGGACATGGCTCTGGATGATGGCCAAGCGGTCGAGGGCCTGTTGTTGCAACCTGAGGATCTGTTCCTGCTTCTCCAATAACTGCTGATGCACCTTCCTCTCGTTCTCGTCCATCTGCTGTTGCATCTGAAGGATCTGCTCTTGAAGAGACCTGTTCTTGTCCATCTCTGTCTTGATAGTCGCACAAATATCCGAGTGACCAGACTGCATTGTAGCTACAAGGTTCAGTTGGCCAGACTGGAGAGTCTGTAGCTGTGAGCTGTACTTGTTGAGGTAGTCCCGGGCAGACATACTCGTCTCCTGCACCACGCTTTCCGTGCAGACTGGAAGAATCTGGCCCGATGGTTCCGAGTCCATGACGGGAAGGTTAGCTAATGTTTTTGACACAGAGTCGATAGCAACATCATCTCCTGATCGTGACGTTCTCGAGGCATCCATGGTCCCACAGTAAGCGACGATGACATTTGAATCCATACAAGTAGATGAGATCCTGGAATCTGGTGGGGTCTGCTGCTTGGGTGCTATCTCAGCTGTAGAGCTGATGACATTCTGTCCAGCGCTGCTGACAACGACCTCGAGCACAACCCCTGGACAATGGCTGATCCTCAGTGGGACAAGGCTATAACGAAAACACAGTTGTCATTGACCGTAGTTCAGTATACGATCTTTCGCTCCATACCATTTTCAGCCTTCATTTGTGCTTCCATCCACACTTACTCCTCTAAATTATCATCGGCCATGAAGAGGACGGCGTTCTCGCCGTTCAAGATATATTCAGCATCCTTAAAGATTCTCTGGATGTCTAACCACCGGATAATGCGCTCTCCGGTCGAGTTGTCCAAGCGAGTGGGGATGGTGATGACTTTAGAGGAGGAGCTGGCCCGAAAGGCTTGTGCATGGTGCTCGGTGGGGCCTGGGATCGTCATATTCCGTGATTTGCCGTGTGAAAGAAGAGGGAAGAGATGCAAACATTGGATTTGTTAGCAAAGCGGACAAAAGAAGAAAGGTCCACGGTGATGCATCCGAGCACCTTTGTACTTCGACCTGGACGCAAACAATGCTACCGTCACAGTAACAGGCTTATTTGTCAACGAACTAGACCAGGGTGATTTTTTGATCTCCTTTTGCATCTCATCTTGTCTTCCATTCGTATCACATCAAAAAAAGTGGACTATTTAGATTCAACTGGATGGCACTGTGTGTAGACATTATTTACTCCCGTTTGTCATACAAGTTGTTATAACCTAGGCCCGCACACCTGTCCCTCATAGACTATACGACTCGCCAAATAAAGACCAAAATGCAGCAGCAGACCTATTCTTCACTGCAAGAAAGAAAGCTTTTTTCTTTGACCTTGTCCTTGCTGTCACGGTTTGCTGGGTTTGTCTTTGTCATCGCCAGATGATTGATACGCATTTTGTTTACACTTTTCATTTTTAAGTTTTTTTTTTTACCTTGTTCCTGAAGCGCTCGGCCATTTCTCGCACGCCTATTTCTCGCACTATCCTCTCTACCACGAGCACCCCTCCTCTTCTTCTTCCCTCGCTTCACTCTTGCCTCCACCTCACCTTCGACCTCCACCCCCACCTCCACCTCCACCCCTACTCAGACCCAGCATAAGCAACTTGAGTGTGGGCGACTTTTCTTGCATCTTCACGTCTGCTCAGCTCTTGTCACTTTACATTCCGATGTTCGGCTCATTCACAAAGCTGGTCGTTGTCTCCGCCCTAGCTCTTGCGGCCTCCATTCAGGCACAGGCGCAGGGACAGGTATATTGCGGCGGTCAGGTCACTAGTAAGGCAACAATGTCATCCTGCATAGAAACCTCAGTATCAAACAGTTGACACTGCTATGTACCCGCTTTTTTTGCAGGAAAAACTCAGCGGCTCTTTATCTATTCCATACATCCAACAATGATTGCTCCTTCCTAGGTAACGGAACTCAGGGCACTTTCAATGTTCAATATTTCAACGACATTACATATGTGACAATGTTCGGACTGAACACAAACCTCAATGCTTCGGAGTCCTATGTCCTCTACTGTGGAGACCAGCCTCCTGGGGCCGCTGCCCTGATGGTCTACAACATCCCAACCAGTGTCGCCACGTTCAAGGTGCCATTGCAGACCGTTGCTGTTGGCAGCACCTATGTCAGCTCATATATTGAGGTACGTTGTTCCTTCTCTATCAATGGATAGAAAAGGGATGTATCAACCAGCCTCAGAATACTTACTTTATTGTCTTTTCAACTGATATGGCAGCTCATTGGCCGTAGGAACGCCATTACGGTGCTGGCTGACCCAAAAGATGTCGTATCACCCTGTCTTCAACAAATGTATGCTAATGGTTCCATCACCGCGCTGAATGATGGCGACCCTAACCAGTACAATGCACTGAACGGTAGTTTTCGGGAAAACCAACATACTGCTCAAAAAAAAGATATCTGGATCCCATCTTCCAATTCAGTGGACCCCTTGCTGAGGAGCGAGTACATTACCGCGGTGTCTTTATTCTTCAACGATGGACAGAATGGCGAGCTAGTTTACAGCAGGATTAAGGCTGCATACACCACTCTGCAGGCAGATATGGCGCGGATCCCTGCAGCCAACAAGAAGCGCATTGGCTGGGTGTATTACGACTTCAGTTTCCAGACCTGGAGACTCCGTAACAATGATTTCTCGAAGGGAATAATTACAGCTGCCGGTATGTATCCTCCACCGTGGACAATCCAGTTATTACCATTGGGGGATGGCTCTGTATGTTGGAGCACAAGGAACTAATATCTGCTGTTCTTTTGATTCTATTAGGTGGGATCCCATTCCCATTGAGTGGAGATGTCCAGGATGATGCCACCATTTCCGCAGATGAGATCAAGACCCTGCTTTTGAACTCCCAATTTGTCATCGACGAGACTAATTTCACTGGACAGGCGGCTGTTACAACCATCGATTTGTGGAGGAACCTTGCTGGTTTCCAAAGTGCCGCCGATCTCCCGGTTTTGATGAACAAGTTTGTTTACTCTCTCGACAATACCATTAGCGTAAGCGGCACAAGTGGTAATGTCTTCAAACTATTTGACTATCTTTGAAATCGAATGTGATAGCTTTGTGTGCTCAATGTGCTAACTATTGTGTTATATGACATCGGCTACCGTGCATTGTAGACGCTAACTACCGTCTTGCGTCGCGTCCTGACCTTCTTTTGAGGGACTTGATCTCGGTTCAGTACCCGCTCTATGGCGGCTCTTATATGCCCAAGTTTTTGAATAAGGGCTTCTCCTATGGCACAGGGCCTGCGTACACGCTTAACGCAACTGCATGCGGAACGGCAATCTACAATAGCGGCGACATTACGAATGCTGTTCCCCAGCTCTCGTTCACGGGTGATGGAATTGCGCCGCCGGCATTGGTTGGAAGCGGTATCTACGGATCGGCTACGGGTGGATCAAGCGGCGGCGGCGGCGGAGGGAATAAGACAGGCATCATTGTTGCAGTAGTGTGTGTAGCCGCGGTACTGGGCGCTGGCTTTGCATTCGCGTTCTTCAAGTGGGGTAAACGCGCCAAGGAAGATCGCTTTATCGAGCTCGAGGAAGAGATGAACAACGAAATTCCCCTACACTAGACCGGCGTCAAGTTTTTCGTTTTTGCGTGAGCAATACCCGCGCACGCTTCGTTCATGTAGATTATCATTAATTGGTCTTTATTCATCTATCTTCGTATATATTTTCAATGGCAATACAGAAATGAACCGAACACGTCCTTGGTTCAATTGCCCCAAAAGAGCTACGCCCAAGCCCAGAGGGGGAAAAAAATATATCTCTGTTTGGCATGGCCGAACGACAAGCCACACAATAACAAACTATTTTTTTTTTTTTTTTTCGAGCTGTCCTCCACCATCGCAGTCTTCGCCTGCATCACCTACTTGGCGCTCGTTTTACATTACATCGTGCTCTATCCCCTCACAACCCCTATAGCCCTCCACATACCCCAACAACGCGAACAAATGCCAGGAATGCCAAAGAAGGGTGGACGCAAACCCCCAGCGTCCGCTGTGCGCAAGGATAAGCGCCTCTCTGAGAAGCAGGAGCTGGAACAACTTGAGCAGAGATGTAAACACCCTGTAAGCAACACTCGCCAGCGTCTCTCCTACGCTAAGCGAATAATAATGTTACATTCCATTTCACAACACAACTGGTACATTTTGTATAACGCTAACTACCATTTTCATCTTTTTCTATATCCAGATCATGGGAGTGGACTCGATGCAGCAGTTTGATGAACTTCCTATATCGCAAAAGACGCTCTCGGGACTGAAGCGAGCAAATTTCATCAAAATGACCGACATTCAGCGCAAGGCCCTGCCTTTGGGTCTCTGCGGCAAGGATATCCTAGGCGCAGCTAAGACTGGAAGTGGAAAGACATTAGCCTTCCTTGTACCTGTAAGAACCTCCCTCAACTACTGCTAATGAGTACACATGAAGTTGATTTGAGTCTCCATGAAGGATTGAAATGGACTCAGCTAATGCTCTCAATCCTTTGTATGTTCCTGTGATCCATATAGATGGTCGAAATGCTGTATCGTCAAAAATGGGGGCCTATGGATGGACTCGGAGCCTTAGTGATCTCGCCAACCCGCGAATTGGCTGTTCAAATCTTTGAGGTCCTCCGCAAAGTTGGACGTGAACATTCGTTCTCTGCAGGATTGATCATTGGAGGCAAGGACTGGAAGATTGAGCGAGAGTTGATTTCCAAGATGAATATTCTCGTATGCACACCAGGACGTCTGTTGCAACACATGGACCAGTCGGCCGGATTCGATTGCGATCATCTGCAGTTATTGGTTCTGGACGAGGCGGACAGGATTCTGGACATGGGATTCAAAAAGAGCGTTAACGCCATCGTGGAGAACTTGCCTCGTCAACGCCAGACTATGCTGTTCTCGGCCACGCAGACGAAATCTGTCAAGGATCTGGCGCGTTTGAGTTTGAAGGATCCAGAGTACGTTGCGGTCCATGAGAAGGCGGAGCACTCGACGCCCAAGAATTTGTCGCAGTACTACATGGTCGTACCACTACAACAGAAATTGGATGTTATGTTCAATTTTATCAAGACACATTTGACCGCCAAAGGAATCGTGTTCTTGTCAAGCTGTAAACAGGTAAAAACTGCATGTCATGCATGACCAAAAAAATTTCACTTTTTTTTTTTTTTTTTTTCTTTTCTTTTCTTTTCTTTTCTTTTCTTTTCTTGCTGCCACATGCTGATGACATGTTTCCATGTGTGCAAATTAGGTCCGATTCGTATTTGAGACATTTTGTAAGCTGCATCCAGGAGTACCGCTTTTGCATCTACACGGAAAGCAGAAGCAGCAGAAGCGCGCCGAGACATACGCTAAATTTGCCGCTCAAAAAGCTGCCTATCTGTTTTGCACCGATATCGCAGCGCGTGGATTGGACTTCGCTGCCGTTAACTGGGTCATTCAACTCGATTGTCCCGAAGATCCAGAGACATATATCCACCGTGTCGGTCGAACTGCGCGCTATGAGGCGAGTGGTCAGGCAATGTTGATGCTCTGTCCTAGCGAGGAGGCCGGCATGATCCAGGGACTCGAACGGGCTAAGGTCCCTATCCAGGAGGTCAAGCTGAAGACGGACGCCAAGGACGTCAAGAAGGAGCCGATTCAGAAACAGATGCAGCGACTTTGTTTCAACGACCCTGAGATCAAGTACCTGGGGCAGAAGGCGTTCATCTCGTATATGCGATCGGTATACCTGCAAAAAGACAAGACCATCTTCGATGTCAATGCCTTGCCAGCTGAGGAGTTTGCTGCGTCGTTGGGACTTCCTGGTGCACCCAAGATCAAATTTGTGGAGAAATCAAAGGCAAAGAACGCCGTGCGGGGCAACCAAAAGAAGACGAACGACGACGAGGAGAGCGATCAGTACATGGAAGAGGAAGAAGAGAAGAGCAAGGTCAAGGCACTGGATGCCAAGAAGAAGAGCAAGAAGGAACCTATCCCAGAGGAAGAGGAGACAGCAGAGACAACGATAAGTAAGCAGCCAAAGTCGAAAATCGACAAAATGTTCGGCCGCAAGAATCAGTCAGTCTTGGCGGAGCATTATACCAGGCTGGTAGACCACGAGAGTGATGCCAAGGGCAAGAGTAATGTGGACGATGATGACGAGGACTTTTTGACGATCAAGCGCGTGGATCATGACCTTGCTGGCGACGAGGCTTCGGAGGAGGCGCCCTTGCCAACGTCGAAGAGACAGCAAAATATGTCCAAGGTCGAGAGGCTAAAGAACCAGGGCAAGGGTAACAAGCTGATCTTTGACGAGGAGGGTCAGGCTCACGAGATCTATGAGCTTGAGGACGAGGCATCGTTCCATGCCAAGGGCGACGCGTCGAGTCAACAGAAGGAATTCCTGGAGAAGGAGCGAAAGGTCATGGATAAGGCCGATACCATCGATAAGAGTGCTGCCAAAGAGAAGCTGAGGGAGAAGAAGCTGCGTCGCAAGCAGCGTGAGCGCGAGGAGATGGTAAGCTGCGTGCTTTACTGTGAGGATCCTCTATTTCAATACTATATGAATATATGAACTAACAAGTGTTATGAAATATCTGTTTAGATGGACTACGACTCGGACGAAGGTGAGACTATAGTCACCCTCGGAAACCCTGATGTCTCTGATGATGATAACGATATGGACCAAGGCAGCGATGGTAATGGCCACAGCAGTGATGGTGGTGAGGAAGAAGAGACGCCCAAGAAGCGCGGTTGGTGGCAGGACAAGGCCGATGCGGAAGAGGCTAAGAAGAAGAGGAGGGTCGTTGAGGTGGATGAGCCCCAGACACTTGCAGAGCAGGAAGCATTGGCACTCAAACTGCTCGGCATGTAAAACCAAAAACAGAAACTCTTTCTACCATTCTTTGTTATCTTTTTATTCGCATCGCATAGAGTCCTTTCATTTATTTCCAACAACCAGCATCGTTTTTATTCACCATCCTCATAATAAAACCACGAATCCTTCAGTAGATATTGATTTTTTTTATGCAGTGAAAGCACAGCTCGAAATTGGTGGCAAGATAATGGTGACTGCCGGGATCTGCTTGTTTATGTTTCGCACTCAACAGGACGACATGACCAGCCAGCCCAAGGCTCATTCACGACCACCCCAACAACCACAACACTGACCGATTTATAGCACCATGTCCAGACGCGCAAGGTACCTATTATCTGTGTCAGTAAGATGTTATCAGTAACACTGGCAAGGAAAGAACTTAGTTTTTTTTTCTCACATTGCTCTTTCATATTTAGGAAAAGTAACACCGTGCCAACTTTCCTACAACCAAACACGGTCCTCACTTCACGAGCGGCCATCTTTGAAGACGATTTTGAGCACACCTCGAAAACAAACCCCAGTAATAGACCAAGAGCATGCAAAAGTATTCAGGACCAAGGTAGTTCTGAGGATGGAAGCGAAGACGATCAAGACGACAAACTGTCAGAGTCGATACTGCAGCGACTCCATGAACAGCTTCAAGGGGCCATTGAAATCGAAGGTATCTTTTTTGTGTACCAGACAAAAAGGATCCAGTCAAGACACCTGTCCTCGGCAGATTATATCTGTAACAGCTATTTTGCTTCTTTTTGTTGCTAGAATCCAACACGGCAACACGATCAGGACGCAGGATGTCCATGGATTCCAATGGGTCTGATAACTCGAAATCTGAACAGGAAGGCGAAGAAGAAGCTGATGCCATGGAATTTCGTTTGTTTGCCTCACAAGATGCTCCAACAGCGATCGTGATCCGTCCGACGGAACCCAAGATTGTGTACGTTCACCGGGAAAGACCTGAATTGGATGAGATGCCTGGATCGGAGCGCATGCGGCAGATCGCCGAAGCGTCGATTGATGCGGACACCATATTGGAACAGGCCAAGGCCCCATGGGTAAAAAACAACAACAAAAGCGCCTCTCTGCTTCTGCACCCATGTCTGGCTCTGATACATACAGTTTTTGTGGATCTGATTACTGACAGCAATTCTGATTTGTATGTACCTGTGTATGATATACTTTCTTTTTTAGCCTCGAACATTCTTTGCCCACAAAACCATCCACATCCCTTTCAAACAACCTATAGGACCCAAAAAAATCAAGAAGAGCAAACGGAAACGCGAATGGGAGAAAAAGGTCAAGGCCGGACTGATCGATCAGGCGACCATGGATGCTACAACTAGAAAGGTTAAGGTCTCGGAGAGTTGGGGACAGCCCCTCTTGGTGCGCAAGGGACTGGACAGGAACACGATTGATGCTGGAACGACAAAAACGAATCAGAAAGATGGCTCTTCGGCTAGCGGCGGTGGTAGAGGTAGTAGAGGTGGAAGAGGTGGGAGAGGTGGGAGAGGCGGAAGGGGCGCACACGTGGCTGGACCTGGACTTGGCCCTGCACGCGCACGTGGACGTGGACGTGGGCACGGTGGAGCAAACTGTACAGAGAGAGGAGCATATCACCAAAGCAAAGAGGATGGAAAGGGAGGCGACGAGAAGAAGATATCGGAGGCAGCTGTGCCTGCTAAGAGGGGTCATGATAACAGTATGGGTGTGGTCAACTCGAAGGATGCAGCGAAGAAGCAAAGGACAGATGTTATGGCTTCAACAACTCTGAAGGTCAAATCTTTTAATGAAAAGGCGACAGTGAAGGCTACATCTTCTTCATTGTTGCGACCTTCAACTGGAAAACCAGCTGCAAAGGAAGCAAGATCTCCATTGCCACCAAAGAAACCAAAGACAGGTAAACCCGTCTCAAAACTAGACAACATCATGGCAATACTCACTGGCAAATAAAAAATCGCCATACCATGTATATATTTGTTATCGTAGAGGAAAATCTGAGGGCACGTAGATAGTCTTCTGAATGTGTTTAGTCTCTGGATCTCAAGAGTCCAAGCTGACCCTGTAACCTCATAGCGATACACTTTTGATCGGTATATCCTGGGTTTATCCGATATGAGCTTTGTCACTTTTATTTTGTGTCGACGTTACCTCTACTACCATTGCCAAAGACCTAGGCTCGAATCGACCTCGGGTAAAGTTGTCGCGCACACGATCCTCAAATAGCAGTCCGTTATAGAGAGGTGGGCAATGCAAGTTCCGTTCATCTCAGAGCTTCTCAAGGTCGCTCACAACGACGTTTCACTGCAGTGTAATCTCCAGCTCCTGAACTACGCGTGCCTTGACTAGCGCGTCGTAAAACTGCTCAGCTGCAGACGGTGATGCGATTTTGATCTCAACCTTGCCTTTCTCCTCGGTGAATATCCCCTTGTTGTTCCTGACAACATCGATGAATTGTTTCGTTGCAAAGTCCTGATATTTAACGGTGTGGTGGTCACGGCAAACTCATTTGACGTGTTCCTCCTTCGTAACCGTTCGGTACAGGTTCCCTAGGACACGAGCGCCGTCATTGATTTCCAGGTACGACTTTAGCTATTGAAGATCGGCTCATTCAAGGTCCTCTGCTCTATCCGGCGTAGTCTACTTGGTCACAGATACTATCCCCCGTCTCCTCGGCCCTTGAGATAGGCGATCGTGTCGTCGACTATGGGGATAATGTTATCTCTAACCGTCTCCATATTTTCTTTGAGAGAATCGATTCCTTCTACAAGTTTCAGGCTCGCCAGAGCAGGCACTGCAACACTGGCTACCGCACTCTAACCTTGATGGCTTCCATCATCAATAGAATATGTAAACCGAACTTCTTGAATTCGTTGGGCTAGCGTAAATCGTATCCTTCATGATTGGCGAGATGAACCTCGTGATGTTCTTTGCTTCCCTCGTGTTAGGTATGGTTTTCCGCACTCGCAAAGGAAATAAAGTCGGAAGTCTTTCCAGAGCAGCTTGTTCAGTGCCTCTCCCTGCCGTACGACCTTAGGAAGGGCAACGAACAGCCGCGGATGGAAGACTCGTGGAGCTTGAAGGTCTGGGTGATGAGAGTCTCGATTCGGTTCTGAATGACTGTCAAGCGTTCCAGAGCTTGCTGCTGCAGTTGAACCACTGTTTGTTGAAGGACAGTGCATGCCTTGATATCCTGATCTAGCATCTCGAAGCGCGTGCGAGTAATGACCGCAAAACTAACTAAACTCTTATGAGAATGTTTGTGTCTCAAAATCCATGCTGCTGGAGTGACGGATGAGATGCTTGGCGCAGTTCGACTGTAATAGGTTGACGAGGATGACCTCGAGCACGGCATTAGGATGATAGGATTCGTAGGGGCCTGAAGCAAAAGTGGGTACACGCCAAATGATACTTAGACCTCTTGCTCTTCGAATCTTGGCACTAAACCAGCACGTGTGCATTGATATCCTTGTGATACTCACTAATTGTTCGTACTGTCAAGCATAAGCAAGACGGTTTGCCCGTTATATGGTATGTGCTGTGCATTGGGAAAGGCCTGAAAAACGTCACTCCAGAATACAACCAGCTCTGGCGGTTGACTCGACTCGACAGCTAATGGGATGATATTTGTGGAGGCGCTGGTTCGGAAGCGTTGCGAGCACTGCGCATTCCTTCTAGAAATGGTCATAACGTTGGTACTTTAGAAGATGGAGTTGGAGGATAATGAGTGAAAACGAAAAAAAAAAGAGCACAGATGGGATATATAGCAGCAGGATAAGCATTGCCGCAGGCGATACCACGAAGACAGTTGAGAGCGATGGTAGATAATGTGTAGGGGGAGTGTGTAGTTGGATGTCCTTAATTGAGTGGCGAAGCATGAGCCCAACCACATCGAGAGCTTTCTTTGGCATGGACCACCTTGGGCAAACACATTTGCACCAAAACACATAAAATCAGCACACTTTTTTCACTTGCTTGAGTACGCTGCCTTGCTCACTTGAAACTTTTATATTTTATATTGATATTTTCAATCTTAAATGTTATATTTTATCAGTTTCAGCATTTGTTCTTAGTGAGTGAGGTGACCTTGCTTGAGATAATGTCAGGCCCCCTTTTATCCTGCAAGCTGTATCTCGTTGACCAGCCACATTTTTGCTGCGCAACTGGAACGCCATTGACTTGCCAGTTATCATACAATGGTGTAAGGTGCCTTAGTATGGATTGGTGCAAATGCGCACGCGTTTGTTCTACATGGCAACAATATGTGCATGCCGGGTAAACTACACTGAAGACCGCCAGCCAGGAGCGTACCATCGATTAAATCGAACTCTTCCCATACGTATCCTCCGCGATATATTTCAGCTGTCATACCATCATTATTTCCTTAGAAATGTATACTATAAGAAGTCCAGGTCCTGGTTTTCACCCTTCACCCTCATCCTTACCCTCGCCCATGCGGTCTTGTCGCACAATGCATGCATTTCATTTTCAAATGCATCGATTGATTTGATTGTCCGCGCCTGTTGTACCAACAAAATTAACAGGGTAGCATCCACCGTCTTTTTCCCTTGCCAAGAATGATAATCGATTGCAGCCTACTTTGCACAAAAATAGGCCATTATCTTTGATATACGGATTCGCATAAAGCATGTGGGAATTGCATTCTTTTCTTTCTTACGTCCCTACATTTGCTCTTCTGCGCGATTTTACTGTCCTGACTCCTCTTTCCCTAAAGACACGAAAAAAAAACAAAAAAAAAAAAAGAAGGCAGCGCCATCATGACCAAAGCACAACCACCAAAGGTGCTGATCGCTGGCGGAGGCATCAGCGGCTTATTTCTCGCTCTTCTTCTTGAGCGCCAGAATGTCCCCTACATGGTCTACGAGCGGGCATCCGAAATCAAGTCTCTAGGGTAGGAAAAAGAAATGGCGCTGCTCCTAGGCACTTCCGTAAATAATCCTTTTAATGAAACTATATTTGATGTTTACAGGTCGGCCATGGGTTTCGGTGCAAACATCTTGCCTGCTTTCGAGCAGCTTGGACTCTTGGAGGAGCTGATGGCGATCTCGCTTCCTTGCCGTAGGTTGGAGATGCTAGACAAGGAGCTTAACTTCATGAGCGGTATTGATTTCAGCGAATACAAGGAGCGCACTGGCTACGACACCGTCATGTTCACGCGACCCAGTTTGCACCGCTTGCTATATTCCCACGTCCCTCCCGAGAAGGTTCTCCTCTCAAAGCGGGTCCTTTCGCTGGAGCAAAATGACTTAGGTGTGATGGTCAGAATGGCGGATGGATCGACCTATCATGGCGATATCCTTGTCGGCGCGGATGGTGCTTATTCTGGTGTCCGCCAGGGACTTTACAAGCACTTGGAGAAGTGCGGAAACTTGCCGCTTTCCGATATGGAAGAACTGAATATGGGACATCTGTGTATGGTCGGTACGACCGATCCTCTGGACCCTGAGAAGTATCCATGTATCAAGAGTGGTATCTCGTCGTTCCAACGTGTCATCAACAATGGCGACCCCTACACGGTATGTCTCTTTGAGTTGTTACATGCTGATTTTTTTCTTTGACTAAAATTTCTTATGAATATGTCGCCCTTTACACTGCCATAAAATAGTGGCACACCGTTAACATGCGTGATAACAGGTTGTGCTGGGGTATTATTGTTCAAATCGAGTCGGGCAGCGCATCCAGGGATGCTATGTTCCGCAATTCGGAGTGGGGTTCGGATGCCGACGATAGCTTGATGCAAAAGACCTACGAATATACAACGCCCGTGGGAGGGGTAATCAGGGACTTGATTAACGCTACTCCAAAGGAAAATATGTCCAAGACGTTCCTTGAGGAGAAACTCTTTGAAACATGGTACCATGGAAGGACTGTGCTTATTGGGGATGGTAAGAGCATCAATCCACTACATGCTGCAATATGTTGGGCGAAAAGATCCTTCTGACTTAACTACCCCATTTTTTACATTGCTGCTACGGACGTTTCCAGCTTGTCATAAGGTATAGGCAATAGCACGCATGATTATTGTACGTCGCTGCGATCAAGGAATATCACTCAATGCATTTTCTTGTTCTATGGGTATAGTTCCTTCCAAGCGCAGGACAGGGAGCTGTCAATGCCATGCAAGATGCTGTGGTGCTCGCCAATTGCATTTATGAAATGGGTGAAGCTACTCCCCAAAACATCACCGCTGCTTTTAGAGAGTACTATGCAGAGCGCCATGCGCCTGTTAAAAGGATGATGAACAAGAGTGCAATTATGGCCGCTATCCAATACGGACAGGTAACAGAAGAAACGTCTCCCCATCGTATCACCGAGGAAGACACCGAGGTCTCTTTATTTACTGTGCGATCCATTCTCATAACACCAACGTAGACCTGGAAAGAGCGAGTTATCCGCCATGTCATCTTTAATTGGATACCCAAGAAGGTGCAGACAGGGCAGTTCTTCAAAGATGCGACTTACAGACCTCAGGCCGCGTTTTTGAATTACGTCGAGAACCGCGGATCCGACCCAGTCCTGCCACAGAAACCATCCAAGAGATGTGCGGAGGAGAAGGCTGCGCATAAGAAGGCAGCTTGAAGAATAAGAAAACCAGATGCCAGCATGGGAATGGTGCTCTATTGATCATAAACTTGAGTTTGTTGAGCCCGCTGCTGTGCTGGAGTTCTTTTTCTTACCTCAACAGGGCAGTACTCATTTTAATTTAAATTTTCCAAAATATATTGGCGCTACGACTTCCCGGTGGGGATTGTATACAACTTGTACGCCGAACATGCGAACATGACGCCTCAAAGGCACCTCCCGCCCGGGCTCAGATGCGGCATAGGTCAAAGAATCGATGGCATATCGGCCAGTCCTGCCCACAATTATGGCGCATGAGTCGACTCGCCCATTTTCATTCCTTCCTTTCCTCTCTTCTCCTTTCTGTACCACCCTCCTTATCACCCACTTTCCTTTCCCTTTCTACCGCCACCAGAGTCCAACAAAATGAGTGATAAACCACGCGTTATGATCGCCGGTGCCGGTTTGAGTGGTGTTATGCTAGCCATCTTACTCGAGCGCATCAATGTTCCCTACATGATCTACGAAAAGGCATCGACTGTAAAGCCTCTGGGATCGGTCATGGGCTTCAACTCAGGCACGTTGCCTATCTTTGAACAGCTTGGGCTTCTTGACGATCTCATGAAGTTTTCTCTACCAACGCATGGAATGGAGATCTACGACGAAAGCATGACCATGCTGGGAGATTTTAACACGGAGGGTCTCAAAGAAAAGTAAGACAGTATGTCAGAACGTTAACTCATCTTAAATAGCATCCGCTTAAATGGCTTTATAAATATTCCATATCTGATATCAACGTAGAAGCGGATACGATACCATCCTCTTCGCGCGCCTGCAGCTGTACGAATTCATGCTATCCAAAGTGCCTTCCGAAAAGGTCTCTTTCCAATCCAAAATCATGTCCATCGAACAGAACCATCTCGGCGTCATGATTCGGCTGCAGGACGGCTCGACTCATCACGGAGACATTCTTGTCGGTGCAGACGGAGCGTACAGTGCTGTGCGACAAAGTCTTTATAAGCATCTTGACAAGAAGGGTCTACTGCCAGACTCGGACAAAGAGAACCTACGCGCTGGACATCTTTGCGTTGTTGCAACAAGTGGACCGTTAGACCCAGAAAAGTATCCGACTGTCAAGGATTCTATTTCCCATTTCCAGCGCGTTGTGCGTCCAGGCTCCAACCACTCAGTAAGTACTCTGAGTCCTTGTTGATTGCCTTTAGCTATATTATTCTCAGGCAACTAACAAACTTTGATGTTAGTGGTCCACTGCCAATGTGCCCGGCAACAGGATTGCCTGGGCTCTGGTGACCCAGATCGAGACAGTTGCCGAATCTAAAGATGCGATGTTCAGGCTTTCCGAGTGGGGCCCCGAGGGAGTCGATGCCATGCTTCAAGAGTATCGCAACTACAAGGCTGTTGTTGGCGGAAAAATGGGCGACATTATGGATGCAACACCCAAGGATCAAATCTCCAAGGTCTTCCTCGAGGAGAAACTTTTTACGACATGGCACCATTCAAGGACGGTTCTCATTGGCGATGGTAAGTGAAGTCGGCGGTATTTAATCGCAAATAGCAATGGGCTATGGAGTTATGCTAGAAACTCATATTTAACCTCACCCGCCCTTCTCCGTCCTCCTTGCGCCCCATTGAACCAGCTTGTCACAAGGTAAAGAACGCCGCCCAATCAACCACTTATTCCAGAAGGTGTGAAAGTGATCAAAATTAACGCATGTAGTGTTCTGCTGTGCCACTTTCTCTTCCAGCTCCTTCCAAGTTCAGGTCAAGGCGCACAAAATGCCATTCATGACGCTGTAGTTCTCGCTAACTGTATCAATGACATGGCCGACACGAGCCTTCAAAGCATCGAGTGGGCGTTCGAAGATTACAAAGAGCAGCGATATCCTATCGTCAGCGGCCAGTACGAGCGCAGCAAACTCATGGCGAAAATGATCTATGGACATGTAAGGAACATGCATGGTTGTTGATGTCCTCAGCTGCTACAAAAAAAAAAAAAAAAAAAAATACTGATTAGAACTCTTTATTCCTCATGCGACGTCCAGACTTGGCATGAGCGTCTTTTGCGATATGTCATTTTCAACTGGGTTCCCAAGAGCGTACAGAACAAAGAACTTCACCGTGTGATGTCGTATCGTCCTCAAGCCAACTTTCTGCCATATGTTGAGAATAGGGGTACTATTCCTGTCCTCCCACCATGGATCTCGAAGCGCAAGCAAGAACAAGCTACGAGCAGTAGCAACGATACCACCGCCACCACAGTGCCAGCATAAACATGAGCGACAAATGTTACGAGCACACCACTGCCCATATATATTCATATTATCCGCATTCCATTACCAGAGATATAATGGACATATTTATTTTAAAAAACAAATCGTAGAATACAGCTTGGGGATCCAGCTGTTATTCATTAACTATACAATGCAATTTTCTCACGAGTTACTCTGGCACTGGCTTGTAAAGGCTGTCAGTTAAGCCGCCAAGGACATCCTTTCTAGGAACAGGTGAGGATGTCAAACTGGAGCGCGATGCTGTTTCGCTGTGTGCTGCCGATTTTGAGATTGGCCTAGGAGAGGGGCAGGTGGACGAGGCATTGGATGGGGTACTACTCATCATCTCTTGCAAAACTGTCGAGGAGTTCATACGAGAGGGGCGGGTGGAATTTGATTGTTGGTGACGACCCAAAAGATCTGCAGCATGGGATGTGATTAGTTCCATGGCAGGCGCATTCTCGAGTCCACGGGGAATAATAATATCCGCCCACTTTTTCGACTACAAAAGAAAAAAAAGAAGGAAAGAAACATTCAGCACATTCACGAGAAGCCTAATAAGTGTACATGAAGCGACACAGTCAATGGCTCGTACCGGTTGGATAAAGTCGTCGAAGGCTGGTTTTACGAAACGTACGTATTCCGTGAGAATGTGATCAATGGGGTCAGGGTTCACTTCTGCAACTTTACGTGCGACTAGATCATTTTTTTTATGCATGTTTGCTTGGTTAGTCGTTTCCAACCTTGAAGTTATAGTGCTCAGGAATGAGACTCTTCCTTTATCGATATTCATACCTCTGTTTGCCAACCGTGCATCATCATCCACATCCACAAAGAGCTATCGCGATAGACATGAGCCATAAGTATTTTGTGATTTCCCGTGAAAGATCCGATCTCCAAAACGAAATGTCGCATTGCGCACCTTCATGTTCAAAAGTTCACGAATCCGCTGGCTGTAGAGAGCAAAGATGCCTTCCAGGAGAATCACATTCGGATCTTCTAGACCCTTTGAACGTGCCTCAAATGTCCTGACCCATTTGATAGTAGAAGTAGTACGTTAGAGTTTTCTATCCAACGTTATCCATCCTACACGGTCCAGCATTAGGTCCTCCTACCTCTTCTTTGTCGCGAAGTCGAATTTGGGGAACCTAGTCACGTTGCCCTCCTTGAGGTCATCCAGGACTTGTGCAAGCAGATCCCAATCAAACGCATCTAGTACATGATCCGTGGAACCAATTGGTACCAAATTGCTGTTGTTAAGTGAGGTTCGCATGGCTTGGTATTGTCTTGAGAGATAGATCGGTAGATATATACCTGGGTGGTCAAAGTTGTAGAGACCGCTCGCGATTCTGACGCGATCCTCGTCCGTGGGCTCCCTGTAATAGTCGTGAAGGTGTAGCAAAAGCGCCTTGCTGCTGTCCACGACCTGGTTCTTTTGCAATTGCTCGATCAGGACTCTGCAAAACGCTTCCTGTGTAAGTTGGGAGGAACAGGGCAACGAAAATGTGAAAGGCTTAGTAGTGGGATATCGCTCTCCCTACAGGACCCATCGACTTTCAGAATCCACGCCGCATGTACCTTTCCAGAGTCAGCGCCGCCTATTTATCAAAATGAAAGAAATACGTTCGGTCAACTTTAGAAGCAGAAGAAGGTTTGGCCATGGTTTTTACCCCACACTGACTGATATGGAGTGCGATTAATGTGCTGATAGTGCACCACTTACCAGCAAGTCCAATGAAGAAAACCTTTGATTGCGGCAGGGAATAGTTGAAGGAGGGAGGTAACGAGATACTCATGGCGTCGTTGGCTGAAAATGTTCAGTTTGAACTTGGTTCGTAAAGATAATAAGGTGAGATAGCCTGTCGTCGCAACAATTAATACATAGGAAACATGTCTCAGCGTAGCCTCGATACCTTTGCTGGTAGAGTGCAGCCTTTTATTGAGGGAATGGCGATGGAGGAAATGGGACGAAGAATGCGGAGTGAAGCGAGAGGTGTCTGGGTTCCTGGCGCAATTGAACCCTTAACGGCCCACCGATGTGCCCCCGTGATGTTTGTTTGTTTTCGAGCTGCATAAAAAGACGGCAGATCAGATCTTTTTTCTTTCGTCCTGATCACCTTCCTCATCACATCTCACCTCCTTCTGTCCTTCATTAGTTCCCTGTCTTTATTGCAGCAGCCATGGTAAGAATACTATCCTGCGCCAACACGTCTGATCCCGAGTCGTCGTCAGCTGCACCCTTACCATGATGTTTGAATATATATTTGCTACTTCAGAGGCCTTCGCAAGCCGATGAGACAAATTTTCCACAAGTTTTCTGATTTTTCAGCAGGCGACGCTTTGTCGTACCTACGCAGAAAGGGACATGTGAACGATGTATCGATGCTAACTATTGTTCAATCGCTTATTTTCTGTCTGTACAGCATTTCATTTGACGACATCGTCGCAGGAAACCGACCGCAAGCAATCGGTCTAGAAGGTGCGTACCAACACCAACTCGCTTCTCATTCACGCCCTTCTTTCTACACCGAATACACTGCATATGATGAGAACATTAGGGATCATGACTCAATATTCATGATTATCAAAAATACATTTTCAATTGTTCCTACTGATGCAACTCCATAAAAGAGAGCACCTTGACGATTAAAACAACTGTATGAATTATGTTGTTAACCGGCTCTTATTCTTTCCATTCCGTACAGGCTGTTTGCATTGAAAACGCACTTTCAGTTTAGATCAATTGGGTCAAGAAAAGGGTTTGTGTATATATTATGTAGTCCGTTGTTTATGATAATATAAACATGAATAAAGAAAGATATCTTTTGTGAAGAATATTGTTCTTGATGTATCGCGAGAAAAATGGCGTCGTAGATCTATCCTTTAGTACCTGTGCTTGTGCATCTTTACCCGAATATTAATAGTGACCATGCGCATACCTATCTCGATGTAACCTCCGTGATCATGATCGTCGCGTTCTCTTTGAAACATTGCAAATAAAGCGTCAATTCAGGGGGGATCTAGTATGGCACAGCGCGCAACAAGGCGTGTCGTGACTAGCCGCTAGCTTGCACGTGACAAAGACGCTCCCCCAATTCGAATGCTATCCCCTCCCCCTCCGGCTCTACAACCATATGCGCGAGGATGAAGGAAGCCGGGGTCCAGATAGGAGGTGAGGCCAAGGGCTTTGTGAGACAACAGCCCCAAGAGGAGGTTACGACGGTGGCGAGGAGAGCAGACAGTCGCCTGGTGGACCATCTCCAGGGAAAGGTGGTGTTGAGCGAGAAGGAAGGGATGCACCCAGATAGAGAACAGTGGGTTCTTACGCAGGCTCAGCTCGGGGGGAACAACAGCAAGAGTCACCAGTCGTTTTATAGGGAAGAAGCCCCGCCCATATATCATGCAGGAACTGCGTGTTGATATCAAAGCACTCGATCATCGGCCTCTACCTTCCGGTGCCATGCAAGCCGTGCCTCCAAACAGGCTGTATACGACGAAGGAAGAACAGCCGATTAAGAAGGGCCTCTGCTTATTTATATTCATGGTCGATCTAGAACTCCAGGGTGGTGTTATGATCTGTAAATTTTCGTTTTGCGCCAAACCTCTGCATGTGCCGCTGGGGACGAAATACTATCGGGATGTATTGTCAGGCCGAGAAGGTAATGCTGAAGCGCGGTAGGACTCTGTTTTTTACCTTGGAGGCTCTGCTCCGATGAAGGCTATACTCCCTGGAGACCAATCAGCATCTTCCCGGCTACCGCCAAGTGCAGTTATCAGGAACTCTGATATCTTTGACTTGGACTCCATAAAATTCAAGGTCTTCTCCGTTCCACTTTGAATACCTTCATAAACCTGAATTATTTACTAAACTGAGCGGCATTTGTCGCATCAAGGCAAGCTTGAAGAGTATGAAAGCACTTTATGAAAAATGCTACTACTACTACAGCTTAAAAAAAAAAACGAATGGGCAAGCATTTTATACGCTGCCCGTGTTTGGAGATAGATCCATTGCTGTGCCCAACACACTCCTCCCCACAAAAATTGGCTCGACTCTTAGAGAGTTGTAGCAAAGCTACAGAGATCGCGTCCGACATCTATTGTCGACCCTTTATGCTCCCTCCCTCCCTTCTCTTCTCTTCGGTCTTTATTCACTGCACTTATCAAAAACAAGGTCGCCATGTTGTTGCCAGGCTGCCGCAGGCTGACTGTGGGTCCATTATCCCCAACTTTCTATTGCAAAGGCGCATTTCCCCATTACTTCTATTTTAGTTTTGTAATGGCGTCTGGTTGTGTGCTTCGATTTCTGACCCAACCAAATCACTTTGAGATAAAGAGAGAACCGGAGAAGTGTCCTTTCTCTGGAGTTGAGGCAACGTTCCGTGCTTCTTTGTGCCAAAGTGCTATGAAGCGTATGTTGTATTCCTTTGCCCATCAAAAACTCTTCCTATATTTTCTTGTAAAAGGTAGCAGATGGCTACGCTTTTCTGAAGAGCCGTTTACTTGGTTCCATTTTTTTCTTTTTTTTTACTTCGGAGTCTGTGCTTTATTCAAGGGCATTGTATTGTGTAATGGCCACTACAGTAACGATTAGTGTCTGGGCGAACAAGAGCCTGCGATATGTGTTGTATAGTTTTCACGACGTCCTGAAATCAACTGCAGCTCCGTCGAATGCACCATTTTGGAATCGATTACTCCGGACGTTAAGCCCTCTTGACTATTGCTCTGTAGTTCTATTCGTCTCCATCTTGAACTTTGCTCTGTCTATCGCTCCTGCGCCTGCTTCAGTGCCATTGTCGCTGCTGCTGCCTATGCTTTTTTTTTTTTTTTTTTTTTTTTTACGACTGTCGTTTTCGGGTGTTTGATACTGCTCTGGATGTCAATGTCGCTGTCGATGTCGATGTCATCGTCGTTCACGGGCCTTGATGCTGCTCTCAAAGCGATCGAATGGGGAGGCCTGTGGCCTGCGACCCGGCTGCTGGGGCTTCGATGCACTGTCTAGTGTCCAGCACAAAAGAAAAAAGCCCTGTGAGCAAGTAGATCGAGACTCGCAGCACCATGAATGAATCCATATGCAGAGGAATAGCGCTTACCTTGCAGGCGGTTACGGTTACAGCTCGACTTGAGTATGGTGATGCTGGCGCCACTCTGTCCTTCTCCTTTGCTCCTTTTGTGCTTCTTTCTGGACCTCAACTTTCTTCCTTCCTTCTGTCTTCCTCATCCTCCTCCTCTTTTTCTTTCTTTTTTTTTGTTTTTTTTTTTCTTTTTCTTTTTCTTTTTCTTTTTCTTTTTCTTTTTCTTTTTCTTTTTCTTTTTCTTTTTCTTTTTCTTTTTCTTTTTCTTTTTCTTTTTTTTTTTCTTTTTTTTTTCTTTTTTTTTTTCTTTTTTTTTTTCTTTTTTTTTTTCTTTTTTTTTTCTTTTTTTTTTTCTTTTTTTTTTTCTTTTTTTTTCTTGCCTTTTTCTTTTTTTTTTCTTTTTTTTTCGGTGTTTTTATACATCTGTCGCCGCCTGCCCTTCCTCTCCTTTGCTCCTCCTGTGCTCTCCCATCAACCCTTTCCTAGCCCCCCATCCATTGCACTCCGCCCGCACTCGTTTTGCTATCCCCCCTCACCATTCTTCCCCATCGTCTATGACTTTACCCCATTCGCCCTCTCCCTCTTGTGTCCATACACACTGGTCATCCCCCGCAGAGGACCCAACCTCGCGACCACCAAACCCCGAGGGTTCGGGGCCGTCTCCCCTCAGCTGAGAGAGGATGGTCTGCTGTGCGGTCACTGACAGCACTGCCCCTGCCTCCTCTCTACCCGCTCCACCTCTACCTTGAACCCATGGCGCACTTACCTCTTTGCATGTGTCCACCCTAGAACTGGGACCCTTGGTCGACCGACGCGCTCTCTCCCTCTCGCTGCCCAGCTGGGGAGCATTACTAGGCCTGATCTTGCCGAGACATTGCCGCTACCACGAATGGACCAGTTAAATAGTGTGTCAGTATATTACTGTTTTCTGCGTGCTGCACTCAGCACACATACATCTCTTTATCCAAGAGGACACGCGCAAACGTACCTTCGTCTTCCATCTGTCATAGCAGTTTGCCGACCATGGGTCCGCCAGTGTGCTGCCTCAAAGACGAAACCATCTCTGCCGAAGGTCTGTTCCAGAGTCCTTTACTAGGATCAGGACTGCTGGACATTCCTTGACCATGACGTCTTCGCTCCGAGCTTCACAGTCAGCTGGCCTATGTGTCGGCGAGTGTCCCTTCACACGACCGTGGTCGAGTCCCCCCAGGACGATGAACCTGGATCAAGTCCAGGATCGGGGAAAACGGCGGGGACGCTGTCTCAGCATCAGGCCGTGCATCCAACCGGGCGAGCAAGAGAGAGCACGGGCACGTCGACGATCTATAGAATCCCTGGACACAGCAAGAAGTAAATGCCTTGGTTTGACCCCAGGAACAAGGAGGGTGGACAGGAGAGAGCCGGCTAGGGTGCAGCACTGGGCGACCAGCACAGCAGGCACCCAATCTCAGCTGGGATCAACAGCCCCTCAGCCTCGGGGTCACTGGACCGCGAGAGGACCCATGCGAGAGGGACCAAGTGCGCAGAGACACTCCAAGGGAGGAGTTATTTTTAGATGGGGTAAGGGCAATCATTGACGATGGGGAAGGCGGTGGGAGGGTTGAGTGGGGCGGTGGAGGGGGAAGGGGATGGAGAGTACTTAGCTTTGTATGTTTTCGTTTTCTTGATTGGCTTGGTTCGCTTGACGGGGCTGACGGGTATGCCACGGCCTGACGAGTCTGGCTCGCCCACTAGGTTAGGTGGGGCGAGCCTGGGCCTCTTCTCAGCCGAGACTGGCAGAGATAGAGGCCAGTGGCTAGAGGAGAAGCAGTTCAGATAGCAGAAGACAAGAGGACAGCCAGTGTGTGAGTGTGGGAGAAAAGGGACACAGGCGCCAAAGTCAACTCCTAGTACAGCAGCACCAAACGGCGCATGTCAAACATACCTTTGTGGCCACCTGACTCGCTCTTCTTGACCATGGCGAGTCCCGGTGGACTGGGCCATGCTGTACCTGTCGTTGCTGTAACTGACAGGCTGATATGGTGGACTGGAGGAGCGAATCTCTTCTTGCTAGAAAAGAGGTGTTGACACACAAAAACAAATGCAGAAAGAGACCGCGATATGAGTATCGAGTCACAGACACAGACACAATCTATGGTACCAGGTACAGAACCATCAGGTACAAGGCACCAAGCGCCAGGCACAGACAAAAAAAGAAAAGAAAGACAAGCCGTGCCACTTTGCAAGGAAAGAACACCAGGAACATACCTTTGGGGACTCGACTGGTCATCGCTGTGGTCATCGCTGTGGTCCTACTGCGCTGCTGCTGATGCAGGTTGTAGTGGACATGATAGGCGAAGCAGCCTAAACATGCGAGAAATATACAAAGTGGGCTCAGACACTAGGACAGACACGCACAGCCCCAGTAGGCTAGAAGAGAACATCCTGCAACCACAGGCACAAACATAATGAGCAAAAGCACAATGAGCAACCTCATGAGTGTCGTAACATACCTGGGTGATACTGCCTGGCCATAGCATCGAGTAACGGAGGGCATTTTGGTACGAGTGCATCGGTGGGTGTTTGGTTTGGAAGGGTGGAGAAGAGTGTGAGAAAAGAGGACAGCCGCCCGTGGGAGAATTTTGAATGGAAGGCAACGCGTCAAAATGTAAACAAACGAAAATCAAAATGAAGGTGGACGCGTCGAGTGACGTTCTTCAACACCCCAGGGTGTGTCCTCGCAGTGCGCACAAGTAACATGAACACACAGCCAGAGCACCGTCTGAACATATTCTACTCTTTAATCCTACAAGACCACTGTTGCTGTGCTTCATGTATAACATTAATGGGTTTACTATGATTGATGCTTTAATGCAATGCGCTGATGTTTTTCAAACGGTGGGTGTCGTTACACACTTTTTGAGTGCGGCCAGGACATGTATACTTCCCATTAAGTAGGCCAATGGTTCCGAAAGATGTCACCTTGGATTGTGGGGAGAATAATAAAACATCGATCTGAGAAGTAATGTAATGTTCGCTACAGAAGGAGACAGCTTCTTGCTTGAATAATGGTCTCGAGCACCGGCGATAGGTCAAGCAGAAGAGAAAACCTAAAGCGTCGACAATGTAATTTGTGCAGGTGGGTGGGGAAAAGGAGGAAATTTATCCTCTCCAACCAACAACGAGGCCCAGTTATGCGAGCCTGTGTAGCATCGATCCAGTCTGCTCGACAAAGTACATATTCGACGAGGAGGATAGGGTGTTGGAGAGTTCATTTGACTGAGCTCTTCTCAAATGCCATGTGGGTTTGACCATGTTTCTGACATTCATTTCTTTTAGACCTGGTTTCGGCATGGCGTTCAAAACCCATATTTCATTGATATGCCATTGTCGGTGCGGGGACACAAAATTGTCAACGATGGAGCAGATATTGGAGAGATAGCTAATGTCGGTAGCGCATGCAAAAGTATGTAGCTTTCATTAATCGAGTTTTGAGCCAAGACAGTGGTAGGTTAGATATGAGTCAACAGCATTTCATGTTTTTATTGCTGTGCACATTGTGGTTGTTCCGATGCTGGACGATCTTTGTCTTTCAAATAAGATGGCCCGCCAAAAAAGAAATAAAAGTACAACAACGCGTCCTCGTTTTACTATCCCGCCACTTATTCACCCTAACCCTGCACACGCTCCCCGAGGTCTACAGTACACTGACCCCAACAATCCAATTTGGAGACAAACCTTTGCCATACCTCTTAGCCATTTTCCCCTGCCATTTAATGGGACCCAAAGTTGTGGTACCTATGCGGGCGAAACTTAAGCGGGCGATCCTCTTAAGACACTAGGCGCGATGGCTCACGCAGCGGAGGAAGAGCGATTGAAAAGTTGGAGATATACTCAGGGAGATGGAAATGATCCATGTTTTGTATCCAGTATGAAGGCTCTGACATGTCGGCCGTATATGTGAAGCCCTGGATACCTGTCACCATTGCAATGGCTAGCGGGGAGCTTTTCGTAAAGATAGGGGTTCCGGACGGCATTCCAGGTACGACTGGCATGGATAGCGATTGCGAGATCGTGTTGGGATAGGTCACGGGCGATGACGTATATGAGCTAGGAGATCGGAATGATCATCTCAACGAGTATCCTGAGCGGCGCGCTGTCGACAGTGTTGCTTTCTGTTTTCACAGACACCTTTGGAAACCGAAAATGGAATAAAAAGAGGGAAGTAACAATGGGCGGAGGTATTATAGAAGTTTAAGCGGCCGCAAAAAGGATAGTCATCCAAGGCCTGTGCGATGTGCACATTGACCATCGCGAACGAAAGCGATCCTTGATTCGGACTCTTGAATTGCGCCAACATCGTATCGTCCATGGTTTTAGTCCGCGCTGTACTATACAAATAGTTTATTATAAACAAGCTTGCTTTTTAATTAATTATATCATACTTAGAATACAAATGTGTCCCTACTGACATTGGCAGTGATCATACTGGTAAGTCGCGAGGAGGCATAGCTGACCCCACCCCACACAATCCAGTTCGGGAACAATGCCTTGCCACGCTCCAGGGCCATTTCTCTCGCTTCTCGATTCATTCTATAGTCATTTGACTTATACGGAACACACAGAATAGCCTTTTGAAGTTTCGGCGCAAACGAAAAGTCCTCCAAGATTTCATATGTCATCGCGTCACCCTTGAGTTCGAGACCGAGGAGGGAAGTGAGCGAGTACAGCCGTTCCCTGATCAACTCCTGCTCCACAGGCGCGTATGGATTAAGAGAAGGCACCTCTACTTGTCCAGGTAACATCCAACCTGCATTGCGCGGCCGGGGTTGATAGTCGAGTGGTTGTATATCCATGCGTAGCCTCTCCAACACCTTGGCACAAGGCCAGGACTTGCATCCCTTGAATAGTTCGATTGTACCGGCTCGAGTACCCAACAAGTTCAAATTGCGCAGGAGAGGACAGTTCTCGAATATCTCGATGGCACTACGGCTGGTGATCTGAAGACATCCCTCCACATCGAGTTCAACAAGGCTATGCGAAGCCCCTGCTGAAGTGAGTATTTGAGGAAGGCGTGCCAATTGATGGAGGGCCAAGTCTGCGAATTCCGTACATTTGACGCTGACCTTTTGAAGCCCGTGGTTGACCCGCATCACTCCCGCAAATGCCTCGTCCGTTGTAGGTGATATATGCTTGGCAGTAAACTTTTTGAGGTTTGGGCATGATTTTGACACGGCATTCAAGAACCCCGAATCGCCGACTCGAGAACCGCCTTCGAATACTAAGAAACGCAACGCAAGCTCGATCTCTTGGATGCTAGCTTGATTCTCGAACATGCAGTCCCAGTCCTGAGCACCGATGTTGTTCTTGCCACTGATTTTGACCTTTCTGAGATTTGGTGTGTGCAGAAAGAGGCGGCGGATGCAAGGGTGTGGTTGTTTCGAGTCGTCCAAGCAGGATTGTCGTGGTCCCAACATCACATTGCCCCAGCTCAACGCTCGGAGTGACGTGCTTGCCCAGCCGGCATCGTCCACTTTGACCAACTCTGGCACAACATCGACGATCAAGCTGCTGTTTTTGAAGCCGTCAATCTCCTCAACTTTGGCCTCGTCAAGTTCCTCGACCAGTGTGTTGATTGTCAAGGCCAGTGACTTGAGATGAGAACACGATTTAAGCACGAAAAGGATATCGTCGATGCGGACATCTGTCAGGGCACTCCAGTAAAAGTCCTCCAGGTGCTTGAATGCAGACACAGGAGTCATCTGGCACTCCAATGGCTTTGGCGAGCGTTGCCCCAAGGTGATATGTAGAACTCGAAGCTGTGGTGCTATCTCAGCGAGATCCTGAAGCTGCAAAGTGCTCAATTTTGTGTTGCGGAGGAAGAGCGAGTGTAGGCTGGCGGTAAAGTTGAGAAGGAAATCGAGATTGTTCCATTTTACGGATATGAGCTCGAGACTCTTGACATGATGACCATATGAATGCATCTTGGGGTAGTTGCGGGTCCGCCGATACTTGCGGAAGAATAGCGTTTCATAGAGATAGGGAACCCAAATGGTATTCCAGACACGGCTGACGCGGATGGCGGCCTTTAGATCATTCTGTGTGAGATATTCGGCGAGGAGGTGTAGAAGTTCAGGGATGGAGAAGAAGGTATCCTGGGAGATCCTTGGTGCGTCGATGTTGACAACGTAGTTATCGGATGTTCTGGGCCGCAGACTTCGGCGAAAGGCTCCTGGGGCAGGATTTGATGCGGTTTTGTTGGCCTTGGGCATGGCTGACAGGAAGGGGAGGAGAGAGGCAGACAAGAGAAATGGAGGGAAGAAAAGGGATGAAAAGATGGTATAGTGGTGGCAACGGAGAGGGATGAGTCGGTTGACCTCCGCTGGGCTCACCGCATGAGTCCGGCAGATGTATAATGAACTGCTACATCGCCACAAATGTCTCTCTTCAGCCCTTTCATCCACTGAAGAACATGCCCAAGTTTGCACCGACCTCCCCAGACCGTGCTCAAGCAACTAATTGGATGAATCTATGTCCTAGATGGACCAAGGACGACAACAACATTGACACTGCTCCAAAGGTGTTCCAAGACACTACTCCAAAGATGTTCCAGGACGTTGTCCTCTCCATCCCAGAGCTTGTTCACTTAATCGCCAACCGCCTGGCAAGGCGCGATATCGCGGCCCTCATCCGTGTCAACCGTACCTGGAATAGCGCTTGGGTTCCTTATCTCTACGAAAGTCTACACTTTTACCAGTACAAACGAACCAACGCCTATCCAAAGATCTGCAAATCCGGAGACCATGTCAAGACCCTCAGTCTCTATTACACAAAATGGGCCAGCGTCCGTCACCTCGATTTTACGCCCCTCCCCCCCCCCCCGGCTCTACAACGTTACTGAGGACTCTATTGAGTCCAGATGGCAGGGCTTTACAGCGCGTTTCCATCGTTTGTTCCGTTATCAGGATGTCGGGAACAGTAGGAATTTTGTCGAGACAGAGGATATAAAGACCAATAGGTAGTACTATCTTCAAGAGCGACGGTCTAATAAGTATAAGGACGCCGTGTTTGTGTATTTAGATGAATCCTACTATAGCCAGGACCATGTCAACAGCAAGGTTGGCTATGTTTGTTTAAAATGCGTTTATTGCTTCATCTCAGTCAGAAGAACGCATGTTCTGCTTTCATTTTGTTCTTAACAGTCCTGGTTCAATACTGGGATTCTGGTACGCCGTACGAACAAGTGATTATCACGAGAGTATGGACGCGCAGGTTTTCAAGACGTATCTGGGCGAGCTGCGTCGCCACTGCAAGGAGGATCTAGGGTTTCCTGAAGTTGTATTTGTCATGAACACTGTCAAGTACCATCGTAAGAAATACCGAGGATACAGTCAGCGAATGCTGAGGCCGAGCAGGACGGTCAGCCTGAGAAGCACAGGACATTTTCTCAACTCAGTAGAAGTGAGCTGTATCAGCGGCTTCAGAAGATGAACGCCAATGCCAATATGCTCAATACGCTCAACAAGAAGCAACTGTATGAGATAGCCAAGAGACCAGAATACAAGGTTCCTCTTGCTTCAGAGGTCATTGCCCAGAAGTAAGATATATTGCGATGTCAAGAACATTGGCGTGCATATCTTATTCAACTTTTAGATTAAGTACAACGTTACTCCCTTTAAGATATGGCTATCGTATTCTGTAGCTGCCTCCCTATCATCCAGACCTCAATCCAATTGAAGAAGCATAGGGGTCAACAAAGTGCTATGTTGCGGACATAAACGATGGATCCGATTTTGATGCGGCCAGATCCTATCTATACGAACGATTTGACAAGTGCGACGAAGTCTGGGAAGACTTGGTCAGACTCTCAACACAGAACGAAGAGCGGCGTATTATTCAGGATCGAATATGCCTTGACGAGAGTCCAGCCTCTCCCTTGGAGTTCGAGGCCACTGATTCAGAGACGGAAGACGAAGAAGACAAAGAAATAGCTGGCGCGGATGAAGATGATTATTCGCTTCAAGGGACCAAGGCACTCTCCACATTAATAGGCGACGGATACTGAAAGAAAAACGTTGTAGGTTAAAAACTGTTCCTGTTGCCTCCTAGCATTCCCACGCGAAGATTTTATGAGTTCGAATAAAAAAGTTGCAGGACCTTCGCCCTACCGACAGTACGCGCATTCGTATTAACAAGCACATACGGATTAAAGGGAGAAAACTGACAAAAGAGGAGCGTCGAGCCATTCTATATCGCTAAGAGTGTTGCAAAGCAGCGAGAGAAAATGGTAAAGCTGCTTCAATAGCCGACCCTATGGAACAATGTCGGAGATGTTGTATTGAACAGAAATATTAAAACTACTAGTACCCAAGACACGCACCTCCCTTGAACCTCAATCTTTACCCAATAAAACACACTTTATATACCTTCACCACTGAACACTTCCTTTAAATTTTGCAACACCACGCTCCCAGACTTGAACCTATTGCATCTCCTTCCTTGGACTGATTGGCAGTGGAAAGAGGATGGCTGTTTTGAGCGATCCATCCCTTTGTTCCGCAGGGTCTATTCTGTACGCATGAATAAAAGACTTGACGCGAACTAGCCTCAGGCTATCAATCACACCTTGCCCTCTTGTTTCCCCGCATTTATCAAGGCCTGCCGAACAAAAGGCTTCGCGTTCTTGGCAGTGTATGCATGCGTTGATGCCTATACAATCCGCGCCTTTTGGCAGCTCTCCGTCGCTCCCTACCTTGCAATGCACCTTCATTTCACCAAAGCACACCTTTGAATTTATCAATCCTTCTCTTACGCTTCAATGCAAAATATAACTTTTATTCCTAATCTCGGATGGCATACGAATGCCCTGAATGTCCAGGCTCGATAGGCCCAGCACGCCCAGCACACCGAGCACACCCACCACGCCCAGCTCGCGCTTTTCTCCTAAGATACTCCCACCCTAGTGACGCCAACACCACTATCACCACTAGTTAGCAAGCACTGCAGGCATCTTCAAGCTCTCACGCGAAGAGGGGATTATGGTAAGATAAAGACAAACATGGAAATATGCTCTCGTATTACATGTCACTAGCAGTCAATTATGGGTCGCAGGACTAAAGAGCGTGCCTCGCGTGGACTGAAACAAGCCTCGCTTCTGTCTATCGCCACCAGAACGACTTTACGGGATGCACCAGCAACAGCGACAGCATCATGAGAGCCATGACCAGGAGGGTTCCATCGCAACCTCAACTACAACTTCACCTTCGCATCCCTCATCCGGCTACGCTCAGGTGGTTGACTTTGATGACATCGAACTGGAGAAGGAGAACATCCAGCCCATCCGTCAGGGTCGGAGCGCCCAGGTCCTGAGTCGACTCTTCACGACCCAGCCCGAGGATCGCGCTCACGAGCTGGCGCTTCAGCGTCAACGCTTCCAAGTTGAGCTCCAAGAATTCGATGAAATGGACGATCCCATGGATGTCTTTATGCGATACGTCAAGTGGACCATCGAGAATTATCCACAGAGTGCTGCACAGGGACACGACTCCAGGCTAACACCTCTTTTGGAGCAAGCTATCAGTTCATTCCAGGACAAGGAGCGATACCGGAACGATCTGCGCTTCGTCAAGCTGTTTATCTTGTATTCCGAAAAGGTGGAGCTGCCTCTGGACGTCTTTCGCTTTATGGAAACCAATAGCATTGGATCGGAATTATCGGTCTTCTATGAGGCATATGCCGAGTATCTGGAGTCGAGGGACGAGTATGTCTTTACCCGCTGTATTGCCTGAGATACCTTGGGAGCTCACTTGGCTTGCTTTCCATATATTGACCATCATTCACTCGACTTTCGAACCTAGATTCGATAAGGCCAAGGACATACTCTCGCTGGGCATTCATAGACGAGCTCAGCCATCAAAGCGCCTGCAGAGACAACTCGAAGACTTTCAACAACGGGAGCAGCGGCGTCAGGAAGAACTTGAGAGAGAGACCTTGGAGTCCCTGTCATCTGCTCAACCACTTCGCTCCGCAGACATCCCCGCCACGACCACCATCCACCGCAGAGTTTTGGGCGCCAAATTATCCAGCACAGAGTCACTTCCAGCCAATGCCACTGCACAAGGACATGTTCCAGTTGGATATGGAAGGCCGCCATCGACTTCCTCACGGACATCAACCACATCCACTCAACAGCGACCTAACGCTCGACTGTCCGTCTTTGCAGATTCCAATGCAGCGTCACGCCCAACAGGAAGGCCTACAGGGCCCTCACAGCGAAGTTGTGTCTCGCAAGAAAACACCACATGGCGAGATCTCGGAGTGGAACAAGTTCGTCGGAAGGAGAATGTCCAGGAGGTAACAGGCTGGAAAGGTACCAGGTTGACAGCTGAGGACTCCTTCGCAAGAAGGCCTCATCCAAAGCTGGAGGTATATCGGGACCCGGATAATGTAAGTCTGCCTCCGAATCGACTGTTGTGTAATGGACACTGAAATAGTTTGCTAATACCCATGTTGTTCTTCTTGTGTGCTGACAATAGGAAGGCGAAAACTCAACGAATGCGCCCCAGAACTCAAGGCCTTCTTCCACGGACATGCACGAGACGACTGTAAGCTTGCAACAACCCGCGCAGCGTACTCAGTCTGAACAGCCTGTACAATATGAGCAGTCTGCACAACCTGCGCAACCTGAGAAACCAGTTCAACCTGCCCAGCTTCCTCGACTTACCCAATCATCACAACTTGTAAAACCTGCGCAGCCTGTGCAATCTGTGGCGGTCCCAGGTCCTTCTATACAGCAACAGCAGCAACAATTTCCGATCACTATCAGCGAGCGCGGACAGCGGGAGCGTCGTATGATAAGACTAGACCAGATTTATGACGGCGGGCAAGAGTTCACCATTGAAGAGATTAGGGCCAGACAGACACGGTATCAGATTAAGAACGCGGAGAATTTGAACTCACGATCTCAACCAGCTGCCTATATCGAACATTCTGGTCGCGAATACAGAAATCAGGAGGAACCTGAGCGGGGCGGAGACGAGACAGCTGAAACGCAACTCAAGCAAATGTCCCACAACACTTGCGCGGCCTTGAACCAACAACGACCTGCGGCTCCAATCAAGCCGCTGCTTCCAGCAAGTCCTAGTGAGGAAGAGCGACGAGTATTCGAATCAAGAAGACGTATGACACCTTCGTCCCCGACCATTCATACCAAATACGCCTCAGCCGAGATGAACAAGATCTTTAGCGACCGCTCACGCTCTCAAAGAAGCATAGACTCGGAATGGAGTACTGAGGGCAGTCAGAGTGAATATGAAGGCGACTTCGTAAACTCTGTAAAGTCCTTTCCAATTCTGGATATCCCACTCGAGATGCCAGCTTCGACCCGGGCGTACCTTGAAGACGATGTTTACGACGAATCCGAAGAAGATGATGACGACGGCCGAAAGGGCCAGACGGATATTTTCCTCAAGAAACTGGAGCGAGGCTACGAATCAACTATCACGCGAGACATCGAGGCTCTCAAAAGAAAGCGTGCGGAAGAGATGGGCGCCGACATAACGGCGCAGCTTGGGCGTGGTGGAAACAGACTGTCATTGAGAGCCAACAAGAGGACCTCCTCGCGATTTGATCCGAACGGAACTCAGGACTATTCTAATATTACCATGGTCATTCGACATAGGTCCCAGCAGATGCAACAGCTGCCACACCAGAATCAACAGGCACATCACGATTTGGACAGGTTGGATTCAACAAACAAAGGACATACTCCTGGCGGGTATCAGGCGAAGTCGATCTCCAGCGTTGGTCGCTTGAGCAGCGGTAGCACGAGCGGTATCAGAAGCAGCAGCGGTATCACGATCGCACAGGGTCAGAAGAGTCGGCATATGATCCATGCTGGGGGTCCGGCTGTTTCGTCCAGGGATCGACCAAGAGCCTTTGAAGTGTTTCGGGACGAAGCTACGACCTTGGACGTCGACAGTGTCCCAATGTTGGAGGATGAGGCCCCACCACCATATCTCGACCACGAAGAGCCATTGTGAATAGCAACGATTTATTCCAGATGTAATTTATATTGTAGAATAATGTGTATTAGTATCCCCTGCACCAACCAGTTGATGTCAGCGAGACATGAACATGGATGAGCATCTGCCAACATGCTACCTCACATGCATGGCGCCCTCCTCACAGTCACCTTCGATGATGTGCCTTTTTCGTAGTATCGCATCGTTCAATTGCATCCAAAATCCATAGAGCAGGCTGGAGCATTGTTGATTAACAACGGCCACTTAAGTCCTATTTTGCGACTTAAATTGGAGGAGCAGTCACGTATTCAGTCCAATTGAAAAATATGTATGATTTATTTAAACAGGTTCGCGTTTACATGTTCCTCAGCCCATGCATATCAATAAGCAATTCCATCGTATCGAGAGCTGCCCGAAGGTTAGCTTTCAATATAGCATCGCAGTTGGGATGCTGTAGATCAGCTTCAGTATCCACGAATCCGTTTATAGCCTCTTGAAAAGATTCTCGAGAATAATCCTCATCTAGATAGGGGCTTGAAGGTTGTGAAGAGAAATCCTCGAGAGGAACCATCTTATCCACAGTGCGGCCGCGGAGAACAGCTCTGACTTTGAGAGGAATTGACCCTTGTCGTAAAGAGTGTACTTCTTTCGAAATTTGTGTGATTTGGAAGCGGGGGTTCCAGAACCAGCACGTTTGGTGTTTACTGGACTAGGAGCTGGGGCTGTGTGAACAGAGCGCGTTGTTTTAGGCATGGTAGAAGTAGAGGACAGGATGGTTAGAAAGGAGGAGGTCTTGGCAACACCGCGCCCCTTGTCTCCCACCTTTCGCTCCGCACTCCTAATCGCCCCTGCCCGTCCATTTTCTCTCGTATTTTCTTTCTCTTGATCTCCTCCGCACAACACACTCCATCATTCTCCCTCAACTCGCCCTCGACCATGGCCAACCTCATTAGCCTTTTTTGTCTCGTCGACGGTGAATCGACATCAAACGCGTTCTTGGTCAAGGCAACATCCATATCAACCATTGCCGAACTCAAGGACCTCATCAAGGCCAAGATGTCACCAGAGTATGGCGACATTGCTGCGGACAGGCTCACGCTCTGGCGAGCCACAATCCCCATTGACGAGAACGCAGAGGACGAGAGCATCATCACGCTCGATGGTCTGGATGATAAGACGAAGCTAGGCCCAGCAATGGACCTTTCCGAGGTGTTCAAGGAAGATGTACCAAGGAAGACCATCAACATCATCGCGCAACGACCACCCCCGCCAGGTATGTCTCCAGCTCTCTGCAGACTGATGATTGGTATTCTGGCGCGTGTTATTTACGTTTCGTTTTTTTTTTTTTCTTCCGATAGCTCCTAAAAGAGACAGTGAAGAGGATGCGGGTGGGTATTATTGATCCTTTCTAACCACCTCTTTGTCTTTCATTCAGTCATTTTATGAACACTCCTGGCGTTGTTAATATTCTTGACTGCTTACCTTTGCCTGTACGCCATTCCCCTGTTAGCGCCCCCTCCCAAGAAGACCCGTCTTGATACGAACTCGTTGAAGGATGCGATTGAGGAAGCTGGTCTTACGCAAAAGGCTGTGGTGGATAATAAGTCCGACCTTTCTCTGCTTGACTATAAAGAAAGAGTCTCTGTGCTTGGTTTCCTTGGTGGCCCGGTTGACAAGACCAACAGATACGATTCGCTATCTACGGTTGCATTTGCTCTCCGAAATCGATCTTTTCAAGAAATAGAGTTACTGTCCACACCTCCCGGTTCCGGCACTCTATTTCCAGTGGTCAATACAGAAGATCTATATGTTCGGCAAGCCTACAAGGACCTTTACCAAGAAGTTTCCATGAAATTTCAGGACAGTCCTAGGAATAGGGCTCAGAAGCACGTTGTTGTCACTGGAACATCAGGCATTGGAAAATCAGCCTTCCTCGTATACTTCACCATCCGATTTCTTGCTACAAGCAGTGACGACAACCCGCCTATTGTGATTTTTCAGGAGAAAGGGGGATCCAAGTGCTATGTATATGGAGGGTTATCTACTCTACGCTATGGAGACATCGAGGATTTTCGGCCCTTTCTCAATCTACCCGAAACGTGGTATTTAGTCGACAGCTCTCCAAACCCGCTGCTGGAGAGAGCAAGGACTATTATATCAGCATCGCCAAAGACACTACATTCCGAGATGAACCAATATCAGGAAGTCGACAAACGAGTACCGTGGCGTTACTACATGGCCCCATGGATGCTGGAGGAGTTAGAGCAATGCCGGGACGGTGTTGAGGGCTTCAGAGTGGTTCCCAAGAACCTTATGGAGGAACTCTACGGTATGGTAGGCGGCGTGCCGAGATATGTCCTTGAAAAACCAATGAATGTACTGAACCTCGATCCCGGTGATACTGCTGGTGCCAAGAAGAGTGCGTGTGCACGCGTTTTGCAAGCCATCGATCTCGTCAGAGCTCCGCTGAGGATGATGCAATGCTTTGAGCAAGGGAGAGAATCACTAGAATATAGCAGCCGTCTACTTCACCGCTGGCCTACGGAGGATCACAAGGACTTTCGTTTGGAATGGGCGTCAACATATATCGTAGACGAAATCGGCAAATCACTGCAAGATGTTACTTGACAACAAATCTTGGAGAAACTCACTAGCGTCAACGTCGGAACCGCTAAGGGACCCATGTTCGAGCTATATGTACGACACATCTTTCGAAAGGGGGGCTACGAATTCCAAATCAAGGGTCTTCAAGATGGGTCGGATACCACTTTCAGAGTCCCGGCCGATCCAAGCGTAGAGTTGTTCGATGAGATTTCCGCAGTGCCTCCAGGGACATTGTGCATACCAAAGACTTATAACTACGCTTGCATCGATTTACTATTGTCGTCAGGACACTTGTTTCAAGTTACGGTATCCAAGAGACACGACATAAAAGGGCCGCCGTTTTCGAAGTTCCTCGAAAATCTCATGGACAAAGGATGGATCCACTCCTCTGGAGACGCTCATCTAGTTTTTATTGTACCAAGCGAGATTTATGACAACTTCCCAGAGCAGAAGTACTTATCTACGACAGGGATAGTCTATAAGAGAGTCCCAAAGCTGATACGGCCGGTGAAGCAATTCGTGTTAAAGATTGATTTGAAATCAGCATCGACCGGCAAATCACCAGGGATCTGTGGCCCAGCTTATTGAGTGGAGACGCAGCGTCTTCTCCCCATAACTGCAATAGGACATGCATGTCAACATTAAAATTTTGGAAAAAATTACTGCGAACCGTGACATCTGCAAGAAGCCGTCTTTCAGACCAAGATAGTAGTATGTAGCTCCACGATAGTCTAGTGTACACTGTGATCCCACGTTGCTTTTTTCTTCGTCTGTTGAGGAAGATGCATTCTGAGATCCCAGGACGCGGGCTCCGGCACAAAAAGCAGAAATTCACCATGCCTGAACAGTCAGCGGGCAAGATGCAGCGAGTCTAACTCGAACAGGGCTTTCCCGAGATCGTACCGTTAATCATAGTCATTATATTTCTAGCCGTATTTGTAGACCAGGATTTGTGCGCCTTTTTTTAAAGGTAAAAAAAGCAATCACAATCATCTAGAGCATCTCATCCCATCTATGCGATGCTAATGCATGCTCAATAAAGCCACGTGATGACCCAGGCATCCACCTTGGTGTTAGAAAATGGTGGTCGCCGGCCCAACCCTCTCTTATTGACCAACCTTCTCTAGTTGAACAACGGCCAGAGTCCCATCTCATCTTCTAAGAGAGTGAAAATATGAAGATGCATGTCTGGCCACCGGTTGCAGAGCAGGATGGAAATCAATCGTCTTATTACGTGTATGAGTGAGGATGTGTTGATCAACAAGCTTTTGATTCAGGCATTGTGGTAGTCAGAGTTCCATTTATTAGAGACAAGTGATGTCAATGCCATGGTTACTTTTTAAAAACGCATGCTCGGAATCTGTCCAGTTACATCTGAGCTTTGAAGGATAATTCCCCCAGTAAAACCACACTTGAGTAATGCTTCAGCTCCGCGCAAGCACGCCCATCTCGGATGATGTCATTGAAGCACCGCTCGGTCTCCGGGATTCTGCTGTATGCCTGGAGAAACGCTGGCAGGTCGCGGTAGCTTGCGAACTCACATTACGTCTTACCCTTGTGCGAGATGTTGTATGCCACAAAGAAACCGTGCCGATTCAAATCAGCCTGGTCAAACGCCCTTGCCTGTGGACTTCCATTCTTCTGGACCGCCGAAAAGTAAGTAGACTCGAATTTGGTGGAATGTTTAATAATTTTTATTGAAATCTGATTGGGTTATGGGCATTCAACAAGCGTTCAACAAGCCATAAACATCGATTTCTTGCTTATTTTTTCTGTTAAACAAAAATATATTCAACAAACACATTTGATTGGCCGTATCAATCGAGATGACAATTCAACATGCATTAAACAACGATTCAACGTGGCCATTAGACATGTTTCGGAGCCCAATTGTACCGGTAGAAATATGGGTAGTTGTGACTCTGTATTTCTACCAAGTAGGAAGGGTGGATTACTTGAAAATTGCGGTAGAGAGGTTGGCGCCTGAGCTGCACTGACAATAAATAGCAAACATGAATGTAGTTTAACCTGCCTCATGTCTCTCCTTGAAATCACCATTCTGCAACAACTGCTTCTTGCAGAACGAGGTCTGATTGACTACGACGAAGAAGAAGATGGCGTAGATGAACAAGAGGACTTTGAGGGTCAGCACATTCACTTGGCGCGCCCGTTACTCTTCTTACACAACTTCAATGTAGATGCATACACCCCCGAAAGCTGCAAGGAACAGTTCCGCTTTACAGCTCCACAACTTCAACAAATTCTCGGTGCCCTTCAAGTGCCTACCATTATGAGGACCGACAACGGCGATAAAGTCTCCGCGATGACAGCTCTCTGTATGACGCTGTATCGAATGTCTTTCCCGGCTCGACTTAATCGAATGGAGCCGATATTTGGATACAGCCGTAGTTACTTGTCTCGGATGATCACAGCGTTTGTGAAGTGGGTCGTACTGCACTGGGGCCAAGTCTTGGAATGGGATCCCTACCGACTTACAAGTGCGAAGCTTAGGGGGTTAGCAGATCTGTGTTCAAGGAAAAGCAATTACACCTGCAACTCTGTGTTCGGCTATATCGATGGCACCGCCCGCAAGATCTGCCGGCCAACTATCAATCAGCGGGCCATGTATAACGGCCACAAGCGCTTTCACGCACTGAAATATCAAGGCGTGGTAGCACCTGACGGCATAATCATCCACCTCGGTGACCCTTACCCAGGCAACACGCATGATTACACAATCTACCAGGAGTCAAGCTTACCGGACTATCTCGACGAACACGCCTTCGACCCTGACGGACGCGCGCTTGCACTTTACGGAGATCCGGCATATCAGTTGGATGGCCATATGCTTCGTCCTTACGCTGGAGCTAATCTTACTCAAGAGCAGCAGGACTTCAACGAGCAGATGGCTAACCAGCGAGTTATAATCGAGTGGGCATTCGGACGGGTAACCACCTACTTTTCTGCGTTGGATTTCCCGAGAACGCAGCGAATGCTTTCGTCCTGTCTTGGTTCTTACTACAAGTGTGCTGTGATATTCACAAACATCCACACTTGCTTCAACGGCAGCCAGATCAATGAGCATTTTGGTGTCGATCCTCCTTCACTGAACGAGTATATACACCCACAAATAGGGCAGCATTTTTTATAAATCAATGCCTTTCTGACAGTATCCGAAGAATATCTAGAATGCGATCCTGAGTGTTCTTCTGCTCCTCCACATATTGGCGCATCACTTGATTATGGGACTCCAGTTGCTGTCGTTGCTCCTCTTGACCCTTTGTCAGTAATTCCAGCTGTCGCTCCTGTAGCAGTTTGCCCGCTTGAGCTTGCTCCTTCGCCGCCTCCAGCTGGCTGTACAAAGCGTCGATGTGTACCCGTTTCTTTCTCGGAGGAGTCCTTGCACCAGGAGTGGTTGCAGATGAAGATGACTCTGAGTCTACGTCGTCCTGACGTCGAACGGGTCCTGTGATAGACGCCTCAAGCAACAGACGGCCTGCATGTCGATCATCATTGGCCCTCTGCCGTTTTCTCGTCCTCTGTTCTTTGGCCTCCTTTGCAGCATTGGCGCAAGCTTGTTCGTAATGATATATATCCTGCATCAGAATACGTCGCTCAGTCATTTCAGGGGAAACGCCAGTCGCTTTGTCCATCTCAACTTGGAACTTCCGCTGCTCATTTGATAACGCTTCCCATTTGGATTGGCAGAGTCGAAGAGTAACTCCTTCGAACATAGGCTCCTCGCCTTGCTTTTGGAATCGCTCCATGTCGTAGTCCTGCAGGTACTTAATGACTCCCTGCCACGCTTCCTTCGTTTTCCCATGCTGAGCCCCAAAAGGTTTTGTTGCATCGATAGCTCTGAGTAGGACGATCTCGTAGGCAGGATCCTGAAACTTGCGAAAATTCCGCTTTCTTGGCCCTCTCGAAGTCTCCGAACTTGCTACTGCTAGAGCATCTTCCAGCTCTGTCTGGCCGCCATCCAAGGAGGCATTGTCAAACGTCTCCGTGTCGGGTTCGTCGTCTGTTTCCGTTGAAGGAGAAGCGGGCGTAGCATAAGACTCAGAGTTCGCGGTTTCAAGGTCAAGGATGTGTATGGAAGAAGACCGCGCAGAGGGGCCCATCGTGACGGCAGCATCCTGAAGTAGTAACTGTTGAATAGCAGAGTGCTGAAAGGATTGTTTGGTTATGGATGGGAAGGCCATGGGAAGAAAGAATTGTCATGCAAAAACTTTTTTTTTCGCCCAAAAAGTAAGACTTTTTCGCGAGTCACAAGCTCAAAATCACAGTCACAGCTACTCGTATCAACCGTTCAAAAGTACGGGAGCTCTCGTATTTTTGAGCGATTGACACGGGTAGTAACCCTTAATAAGCCTCCTTAAACGTAAAAATATTGCTTTGTTATGTTATTATACCCGTGTTTTTAGGTCTTCGAAACATGTCTAATAGCAGTCTTCAACATCCATTCAACAACGCATTCAACAAGCGATAAACAAGAAAGGAGTAGGGCTATTCTTCTGAGATGAGGTGTTGGATGATGCTTTGTGCATATAACCAGGCGGCTACCCAGTTTTATTTTTATTTTGGCATGTCCGGACGCGTCACCATCAACAATAGGAGCTCGCTCTTTTTACTCTTTACTCCCTCCATCCGCACACACAAAGGCACACTACTTCTCCATTCACAGGCACGACCTTTCTCCGCTACCAACAGGTACCCATCCATGGCGGCGAACGCACTCACCCTATTCTGTCTCGTCGACGGCGAGTCCACAGCCAACGTGTTCTTGGTCAAGGCAACATCCATATCAACCATTGCCGAACTCAAGGACCTCATCAAGGCCAAGAAGACACCCAGGTTTGACGACATCGCAGCAGATGAGCTTGCCATCTGGCGCGTCTCGATTCCCATTGTTGCTGCCGAAATGCGCGAGCCAGTCATCCTTGATTCCCTTGATTCCAAGGAGGAGCTCGGCCCAGCAATGGACCTTTCCGAGGTGTTCAAGGAAGATGTACCAAGGAAGACCATCAACATCATCGTGCAACGACCACCCCCGCCAGGTATGTCTCCAGCTCTCTGCAGACTGATGATTGGTATTCTGGCGCGTGTTATTTACGTTTCGTTTTTTTTTTTTTCTTCCGATAGCTCCTAAAAGAGACAGTGAAGAGGATGCGGGTGGGTATTATTGATCCTTTCTAACCACCTCTTTGTCTTTCATTCAGTCATTTATGAACACAGCTGACGTTACTTATGACATTTGTCGCCTTGATGCAATGTTTAACCCGTGTAAAAAATATATGATATATAGACTTGAAGTTTATGCCGAAGAACAAGAGATCCGTATTATCGAAAGCTGGAAGCCATATAAGGCTTCCAACGGAAAGTCAGTAGATTTGCCTCTCTCTTGGATTGAGTTTCTTCAGAGCGCGAAGTTTGAGCCCGAACCGCGCAAGGCATTCGATCACCTCAAGAGCGATCTTCAAGCTGGCGACGCAATCGATATTCCAAGTCTGGGCCAAACCCCAAGGAATTTGGACGTCATAGCCCAGGTCAAGAATTTTTCGTTACGGAACAAATGCTGGAGCTTTGGAAGGACATTTGCAGTGAAAAGGATCGTATATACAGACGGGTCCTGTCCGGTCCGATGGGCGTTGGTAAGTCGTACCTCTCCTATTTTCTCGCAGCAAGAGCGTATGCCGAAGGATGGCCCACCCTCTACATATCGGATGCGGGAAAGCTGGACACAAACACACAGGAAGAATCAACAATAGAAGTAGTCAAGCGCTTCCTGGCTATCAACAAAGACATTTTGACTGCCGCTGAGCTGGAGAAGCTTGTAGGCAACTACAACGGGGGAAACGACATTTCCAATGGCGCCACTTCAGTAATCTTCGATGATCTACTCCAGCAGAGGGGACGAAAAGCCTTATTGATTGTTGATGATCATTGGAAATTGTTCGAAAAAGTTTCCGACTTGCCAACAAAATTCAGGTCATTGAATCCCCTGTCATCCTATCACTGGTGGGGTGAAGACTCCCCATGGTCTCGAGTGATTTTTACGGGGACTGCACATGCAAAATATGAGATGACTGTCATGGATGATAGTTATAGACCTACGTCGGTGCTATTTGTGGGCCCGCTATCGGATACAGTATTCCCCAAGCTGCTGGACACATACCCTCGCCTGAATCTACCGGATATCAAGGACGAGGTGAAAGCGATTACAAACTGTGTGCCACGGGAGCTTATGCGTCTGTCGGCCTTCCTCAAGTACTTCCAGGATCCGATATCTACAGGCGACCTTCAAAAATTTACAAAAGTCGATCAGCGGTTTTTCTGAAAGTCGCCAACAAATACTACAGCGGTCTCCAAGATACCGATAAGAAGCGTTTTTACAATGACCTCCTTCAATCGTTCCTGTACAGCACCGCCAATGTCTATTTCCAATGGGAGTTTGTGGACCTAGGATTAATATATCGGTGCAGGGAAACCACCTATCAAACAATCGTATGCCACATTCTATGCCGTCCCGCCCACCAAGCTCTTTTGGACCTCTTCAAGTCGTTTGCGCTACCCGACGACATCAAACAACGGATTCATCTTGGCCAGCTCAGCGGTGACGAGTTTGAGCAAGCACTATTTCATCAGCTCTTATGCGTTATCAAGCTAATATTGCTCAATGCAACCGACCTCAACAACCACCACCCAACCACCATTGCAATAGATTTTGTCGACTGCAATACTATCAGGGGCCTCAATATTTCTCTTGGACACGGCCATGATAAAGTCCTATGACGTGGCTACAAAAACTATCCTCGGTTCGATTACATACTTGGACCCATGTTTTTTTAGGTATCCATCAGCGACTTCGCATCACACAATGAATCCAAGACAGCAGACATCACGAAGGCTTTCAGCAAGGATCCCGGGGAGGAGAATCAGATTGAGCGTTACTTAAACGAGGTGTATGGTCCGGGTCACTCTGCCAAGATAGAGAACAGTAGGTTTGTTGTCACCAGGGCTGATGTCACCAGGGGTGGTGCGCCTGTGCCTGTGCCTGGATTCCGTATAGTCTACATTCGAGGCTCTCCCGGCAAACCTGCGCATCGAGCCTTGGTCAAGAAGTTCCCAGGTGTAGTACATATCACCTTCGAGGAGCTCCAGGAGAAACTTTTCAAAAATATTCTGTAGTGAATATTCTGTACAGCAATGATTTCGACAAAAGATATAAAAAAACACCTCGGTGTTCAGCTTGACTCTCTTTCATCCCACTGTTCTACTGCATTTGAGATATCCTTCCTTTAGCGCAAAACACTTGAGCATCTGGAGAGACGACGCTACAGCAAATCGTATGGTTCATGAGGAAAAGAGTATTGCTGGCCAGATGCATAGGCGCCCTGACTCTAATTTCCAACGGACTATGGAATGGTCAAAATGATCGATTGTATGCTAATTATATGCAACTGTACTTGTTTTTTTATATCTCAATGGCCGCTATTTCCGAAGAGTACGCACATATTTTGAACACTCATTGGGGCTTCTTGCATGAAGGCCGGCCAGCTGTGGACAAGGCCAAATTTCATCGTACTGAAATGAAGAATGTTTCAGACATAGAAACTGTGAAGTCCGCTCTCTTGGACCGCCTTGGCTACATACCTGTTTTCTTCCTCCTTACTCAGAGCTTTGGGACTCATGACTATGGTAGCCCACACAGGAACGTCGAAAAAGGCCTACTTTTGTTATATGCCCTGGTAACTGGTGACTCGTTGTCAGATATGGCGCGCTTTGTGCCCAAGACATCTTTTTATGACCTGCACAAGGAGTTCTACCTACGAGATCATCAGAAACTGCATCATACCATCGCCTCTAAGCTGTACACCATGTGTTCAACTCTGAAGTTGCGCTTGCTTCTTGCGAAGAATAATCCAGATCCATTCAAGCACGTTACATTGAATTTGGATGGCCATGATTCTCGTGTCAGGTATATAAATGCGAATAAACCTAGTCTTTATTCTTACAAGCTCAAGAAGTCTGGATTTCGTGTGCAGGTGTGCGCAGACATGAATAACATCGTGCTGTTTGTATCCAAGCCTGCATCATTTAAGGATAACAACGATGGCACCATGCTAGTCAAGATGAAGACTCCATCCCTCATCCACAAACTTGACTGCATTGTTCTGGATGGTGGATACAACGGGTTTGTTGGCCAAATTGTGGATGCATCAGAAGAGCTAAGTCATGGGAATTTCTCTTATCCTGTGCGTAAGACCAGGGGAATTGCTTTGACAGATATAGAGACCCAGTATAACAAGGCTTTTGGTGGATTTCGATCCAAAATCGAAAGCTGCTTTGCAGATCTCCAGTCTACGTTTGCTAAGTTCACGCACAATGCACCTGTCCGATTTGCCGATGAAAAGACATTCGAACTCCAGTTCAAGCTGTGTTGTCTACTCATGAATATAAAGAAGGCGGTAGCAAGTCAGAACATTGCCATTCAGCCACACCATGGATTCTGGATGCAGGATGGATTTGACTTCCTTGAGAGCATCGAGTACCAGGAGTCCTATGAGAAGCAACCCAATATCAAGGCCAAGTTAGGCTATGGCCATGATCTGCTGGAGCTTCAGGAAGCGTTTATGCCCACTACCGTATCTCGATCTAGCACTGCAGAGCCTGAAGATTCTGCTATGACTGATATGTCACAGGAAGACTCGGGGGAGACTAAGATTCTGGAGGCACCGAGGAGATGATGAAGACGCCCATTATCTTGTGAAGCAGAAGGAATATGAAGGGTTTGGTCTTACATGGGGGCCAAAGCACGCGATTAATAAGCGCTACATTGATGAATATTGGAAGTCCAAGACCACCTTCTAGCTCAGGCACTTTTTACCGCACATGAATGTTTTAGGACAATATTTGATTGCCCAACTACCCACCTCTGTTCCTGATGGCTTACGTAAGCTGCGCACGAACCATGGAGCCAGGACAGCGAGTATCTTTAGGAAGACAAACACTGTCCTAGCTCCCGGCTAACCTAGGTGTTACCCGGAGGAGCAATGTAGGTGACTGTATGGCAGAGATTTCAGCGCAAGAATTTTTCCCTGCTCTTCCAGCTAATATGGCGTGATTGGCCAGCTAAAATAGCTTAACTTTCCAGCTAAAACAGTTGCCTTTCCAACCTGTGGCATTTTTTATTGTTTTTTCGCCTGGGTATAGTCTATCTTTCTACTTCTATGTAGCCTAGAAGATCATCTGTCTGATCGTCCGCAAAATTTAAATCATCATCGTCGTCTGAATCGACGGTTGCAGCCTTTTCATCGGGGTTGTCGCGCTCCATGTTGCGAACAAACAGCAATCGGCAAAAAAGTGAATGAGACATGTTCGTCCTCTTTGCGGTGAGCAGGTTGCCGGCACTGCTAAATAGACGCTCTGATGCTGCCGACGACGCTTGGATGTGCAAGACAGCCCGGGCAAGAACCTTCAAGAGAGTGAACCTAACACTCTTTTTGCCCACCAGTCCTCTGGGCGGTCGAAGTACTCTGCGCATTCTATCTTGCTTCTACTGACGTCGCTCAGATATCGATCGAGGTTGTTCCGAATGTCCTCGTGGAAGTCCTCGACATTCAGCCCATACTGCTCAGCCCTCGGGTTATCGCGAAGAAGGCAGGAGTTTTCAGCCATCCTTACGAACGCGGTAAAAACCTGTTCCTTCGCGCTATCTAGAAGTGTCCCTGGTCCTGAGCGTGAAAACATGTTATGCGATGCCACTGCAGGATTCAAAAGTGTTGAAACGAGAGCCACATGCGGAATGTTGTCCATTGGCCATCGTCTCTGCAGCTGTTCAACAAGGCTGGCCTGTAATGCAGTCGCATCGATTGTTAATGGTTCTCTTGGCTTGTTGACCATGTCGAAAATGGAAGGATAGATCTGAGAAATTGTCGATGTCTTCTCTCTGCTGACCTGGTTTGTGAAGAACACTACGGGATCAAGTATATCGAGTACCTCTTTCAAGATGCCAACTTCCTCATCCGTGATAAGAGCGCCACGGAGCATCGCCAAATACTTCTTGTCTTCCTTGGCAGTCGACGCGCTCAGCTTCTCCTCCGCTTGCTTGAGTACCGGGAGCAGCCTTAGGAGGCGCGTGGCCATAGCATGCTTCGAGTTTCATCGAGTCGGGGTAACCGTCAGAGCGCCTAATGGTCCTCCAAAGTCCGGCACTTGCTCCTTCGTAAGAACACGATTGATTCCTGAAGTATTCCGAATGAGCGAAGAGAGCACGTTGCATTTGTCAAATAGGACGTCTGCGCCTGGGGTTAGCCTCAACGCATCGGCGGCGCAAAGCTGTATATTGTGAGCGGCACACGGGGGCCACGAACCGCCAACTGCTTTGCTTTGATCAACAGAGGCCTTCTTCATATTTGCGCCTTGATCAGTGGTGCTGCAAATGATCTTTTTGCGTATCGCCCATCGATCTAACGTTGTCTCTATTCATTTGAATGCACAAACATTAGGACTCAGAGTTTTTTTTTTTTTTTTTTTTTTAACACGCTTCACCTTCGTGCCTTCTTACTCACCCATACACTGTCGCAAATAGTCGCCAGTCTGAGCTTCTTCAAGTGGCTCGATGCCCAGGACCAAAGACCGCAGCTTGAATAATTCATCCACGTAGTGGAAGGTAATGCCGAGAATCTTACGAGAGCCCTTCCCGGTCCAGGTATCAGCTGTCAAGGACTCATAACTGACGTTCTCTAAGACTGTCCGTACTTGCTTCGTCTTTCTTGCAACATAGTCGTCCAATACCTTCTGAATTAGACCAAGCCCCGGCACCTTGTAATCCGAGTTCAGTTCACTCACGAATTTCTTGGAGTAGGGGTTCTTGAGAAACGTGAGCGGCACTTAAGATACTGCGAGCGCCAAGGCGAGGAGGGAGAGCTCCTGCGTTTTTTCGGCCGACATGCCGAGCAATTTGACACTTGAAAGTGGCCTGAAAGCCTTTCTTTTCAATTTTCCTTTTGAAATCGTCCTTCCTTTACGCCTCGGAGTTCCCGCATTGGTATTGCCGTCGCTGTTGCCAGTATCGGTGTTGTTGAGCTGTTGCAATCGCTCCCGGTGATCCATTTGATAGGTCCGAAAGAGGTCAATTGCTTGGCTTACCTCCATATGTTTGCCTCGCAGGTGTCCTTCCAAATTTTGAGTTGTCGACTCAATGGCGTACGAGGCTGCACACTGTTCGCCGTTGGGATACTGAAGGCGGCAATTTATCCTGTTACTGGCTTCGTTCAGAGTGAAAAAATGCATGTAATACCTCTGCATCCTGACGAGCTTCCGCGAATGTGCCTGCATCAACGGATGAAATGTGACAGGCCCCACTGAGAGAATATCATTTGACGGTAATTCTCCTAGAGGCAGACTTAAATTTTCTACCCACTCTTGTGTTGTGATAGGAGGCGGAGAGAACATGCCCAGGTCCGTTGTCAGCTCGCTTGTGATACTTGCAGGGACTGGATATTGGGTCGTTGCCTCGACCGACGGAGTGCATAGATGCCGAGGCCATGGAGGAGGTTGGTGGATTGACGATCACTTGAGATCCTCGATATTGGTAGATTTCGAGCCCCGTCGCACTTCGCGACAATCCCCCAGAAACTGGTCTATAATAAGGATGCGGCATGGAGGATGAGCAAGAACAAGTCAGAACATGATTTTGGAAATCAGGCAAGAATACCATTACAGCTATATTACCCGTACCTTATCACCCGACGGGCTGATTAAGGTAGGTGAAAGCAAAGGACGAGGATGCCTTCCATGATGAAGATTTGTATTCCAGTATTAATGTGCTGTAGAGTAGGGGCATCAGCGTCGTGGTCAAAGCCAGAAGGATGAAAACCTCGGCCATCGCCGCTATAATACGGCGGTGATGCGAATGCCCGAGACGAGCTGGCACCCGGGCCCGACTGCGAAGCGTTGACATGCCTTGTTGTGAAATTTCTTGGTCCTCGCCAGGCGTCAACATTATTCACTTGGGCCAAGGATGGCATTGTCGTGACGGAGATTTGAAACCGTGGATGAACACGACAAAGGCCTCGAGGACGGGGTGGTGGGATTATGCCCGGCAAAAGACGCTGAGCGCTGCAGAGTCCTGCCCGCGGAAGCAGAACCCATGGAAGTTGAGCGATCGAAATGAGGGACAGGAGCGGGTGCCATGTGCTCGTTGAGTGGCGGAGGGACGTACTCCTGGTAGGAGTTTAAGTCGTGGATGTTCAACGGCGCGCTAGGGTCATATACTTCGCTAAGATCGTCTCTCCTGCATAACTCCCGCTGTTTGTACTCAAGTTCTTCTCCGTGATCCATTTCCTCAAAGCTCAGGACTGGAACTAGTGGTGGTGGTGGTAGTGGTGTTGGTGTTGGTAATGGGTGGTGATTCGTGCACTAGTGATGGTGGTAATGGCAAATGAGCATCAAATTCAGGGCAGCTGTTTTAGCTGGAAAGGCAACTGATTTAGCTCTTTTTGCTGGTCAGTGACACCATATTAGCTGGAAGAGCAGCTAAAAGGCGGAAAAATTCTTGCGTTGAAATCTCTGTTTTTAACCAATAGCCAATGAAAATCATGAAATTATCCAAAATGCTCAGCCACTTTGGTCCATCACCAGAAGTGATCTGAACGCCGCCCAGGGAGACATGGCTCGACATCGACCTTGAGCCTTCAGGAATCGCAGCCTCGCCTTCTCTGGACTTGAGACGCATCAGCCATGGGACGCAAAAGTGGCAGGAGTCTGAACCCAGCGGACCAGTACCGTATGTCGGGTTCATTCAACTTTACGCTGTGGTCGAACGGTATAGGATGCAACACTAAACTAACAAGAACAATACGACCTCGCTTCAACTTTCTCTTCCACTCCAGGCAAGGAGCAGCACAAAAAGGAGATCAAGAAGGTACAGCTTGTTGTATGCGCGTTAGTGCACTGCCCGCTACGACCCAGTATAACATGGATTCTCAACCGCTTATATCTTCATCGTCTTATTAGAACAAACAAGACCGCAAGAAGGTCCGCGAGGTGAACTCTTTGCTTAGAGACACTACCACAGAATCTGAATTGGCGGAATATGAAGAACTGGAAAAGAAAGGAAAACTTGACAAGGATGGAGCCAAGAAACTAGCCGAGCTGAGGGATAAAATGGCCAAGATCATTGGTACCAAGAAGGCGCACGGAATCAAGATAAAACCGTACGTTGCTCTTCAGTGCTATTAATTCTTTGAGGAACTCAATTGCTTCTGCGCTAATGTTGTTTTTTTGTTCGTTGTGAACTGGATAATAGTAAGAAGGCCGAGCTTGAACAGCCAGTGCCGGTGACAGAACCAACACGGGACCCCACGCGATCAATCTACTATGACCCAATTCTGAACCCATTCGGAGCACCTCCTCCAGGCCAGCCCTATCTGGAATACCGTAAGACTTGAGCGATATTAACTTGAGTCGAGGACTGAGGACTGAGGTCAAAGTATACGGAATTCTGATCAGACGCTCAATTCTTCTTTCTACAATATAGCCCCGTTTCCATCAGATATTTCTGCAGGCATGGAAGCAGCACCGGGAGGTTCTCAACAGCATCAGGAAGAAGCTGAGTCTGAGTCTGGGTCTGATTCAGAGGACTCGGACTCAGACTCGGACTCGGACTCAGACTCGGACTCGTCAACTACTGGGTCAGAGTCAGAGGATGTCGATGAGGAGAATTACATGCCACCTCTTCCACAAGGACCAGCACCAGCAAAAGAGGACCAGGCGAGATACCTCGAATCCACAAAACCAAAAACTATTGCTCCTCCACGGATACAGCAGCCACAGCAACATTGGCGACCCATGCAAGGGCCTCCGGGAATACATCCTCAGGGCATGCCCCATCCAGGAATACAAGGACCACCAGGAGGACCAGTAAACCTATATGGTATGCACTGTATTTTATATTTGGCATCGCTCTCCATCTTGGAACACTCTATTAAGCATATCGACTCTTGGGGTTATTTACCATGGAATAGGGCCTCCTATCGGGTTTCAACCGCCACTAGGAAATATATATCCACCACCAAGACCAGGAATGGGACCACCGCCCATGGGCTATGTCCCTCAGCCAATACAGAATGCACCAGGATTTGGCCCGCCCCTAGCAGGATTTGGTCCGCCTGGATATGGTCCTCCAGGAGCGCACAGTAGATCTGGTGGGCCTGGTGGATTTGATCCAGGAGTTTATCCAGGAAGGACACCTCATGCACGACCTATGCGATCTCCATCGCAACGACCACCGCCTCCACCTCGATACGTGAAGCCGCCCAGGACATCCGACCCTCAAAGCGACCCAATGACAGGTCATCTTCCTCCGGACGAAAAGGAGATGAAACGTATTGCGGACCGAAAAGAGGCAGCAGCAGCGGCAGCACCAGCGTCTACTGCAGATTTATTCGATTCAACCACCTCGACTCCATCTATTGTGCATCCGCTGCCGCCGAAACCGACTGCGGGACAAGCACCTGCCAAACCCGCGTTGGTTGCAGGTCCAGCAGTACTCACAGCTGAACCCCAGCTCCGTAACCTGCAAAAGGAGCTTGTACACCTGGTGCCTTCGGCCATCATGCGCAAGCGTGTTACACAGAAGGGCAAGATTGGCAAGCCAGTCAATGCAGCGCCAGGAGTGGAGGACGATGAACCCAGGCCAAATTCTTCGAGTGCATCCTCTGGTTATGTTGGTATCAGAGAAACACAATCGACAGCAAGAGCAGCAACAACGACGACGAAGGAGGATGAAGATTCAAACCAAGAGTACCGAGAAGCAGGACTAGGTCTTCGGTTACCTAGGATCAATCTGGCCCCAAGTGTGCCGAGCATACTAGGGCCGAGAAAGATTGTGGTCAATAGTGCACCCGAGGTACCGGTTGTTGTTGATAAGGCGGCGAGGAAGAAGGCGGAATACGATGAGTTCATGCAGAGTCTTGAGGGTGACGGGTTGCTTTGAGGAGGGTTCCTTTTCAGACGACCGGAAGTGAAAAAAAAACCCCCTCTTGCTTCAGTTACCAGAGGAACCGACAAAAGGGAGTGAACCATGCTGTCCCTATTTGGTCAAGGGAGTCCAACTGCTGAAAATCAAAAATAGTGCGGCGCACGCCCGTGACGAGTGACGGGAACACGACCACAATAAAAATAGAAAGGGCTAAGGTCAAGGTACATAGTACCATTGAGCATATGTGAATGGATAAGAATAATAATGACGATAAGATGCTTGCGTGCGTGTATCCTGACCCTTCCTAAAGGCTGGGTAGTATGGGATAGACTACCAACTGGTACCCTTTTGTTGTTGTCAAATGTCTACCTGCTTGTGCCTGCTTCTCGGCTGTTCTTTCTTCGGTTGGGTTGAATAGGGTGTGTTGGTGTTGGTGTTTGTGGCGCTTGGGTTTAAAAAAAAGGGTGGAAGTACAAGACTAGGCTATATCTTATCGTATCCATCCATGGCTGGGAAGGGCAGGTATGGTATTAGACTTACTACGATTGGTGCGTACATGGGTTGGCTGTTTCCATGAAATACTTTTTTTTTACTTTCTACTGTCCCTGTTTCCTCTCTTTCTCTCCTTCTCTTCTTCTACTCCTCCTCGCCCCACAACCTCACCAATATCCCTCCCTTTCCCCCTCACTCACTTAATCCTCATACCCTTCTTCCGACAACGAATTAATACCATGCAACAACGGCTGCAGTCTCGTCGCTTTCGGGGTCGCACTCGAGTCGCATCCCTCCTTCTTGCCGTTCTTCTGCTCGACCTGATCGCCCTTACAAGTTCACTCCCTCTCCTCCCTTCACACCGCTTCGAGGGCACCTTTGTCGGAGCAATTGTAAGTGAACACTCGGACTCTGCTCTGACAAACAGATCACCATGGCCTTTGCTTCTCCTGAGAGCAATTTCCCACACATGCCTGTCCTTTCCGCCCCTCCGTGAACTGTGCAAACTTGCTGGTTCCTGAAAAATAAAAATACGAAATTGCTGTCTGTCGTTTTGACCAATAGGAAGAAAAGACCTTGCTTGTTGCGCTCGAAAAGCGTGCCCCTGCACCCCCGGTCAGCGCTCCCGTGGCGCCTACCTCTGCAAGTACTGAACAGGCCACAACCACAGAGGAGCCACCAAAGACCGCCACGACGGTCGATCCACCACCCACGGCCACAACAACGGAGCCCCCGGTAACGACAACAGACCCCCCCGTAACGACAACCACAACCACTACAACCACTACAACAGCCAAACCCACCACCACCACCGCGGAGACCCACCCCACGACCACGTCTTCTTCTTCCGAGCCAGAGCCAACAGAGACATCCACGCGTACCTCAGCGACTGGCCGTCAGACTACGGGAAGACCAACTGGCACAGGAGGACCCGTCAATCCACCAAGCAGCCCGACCACCACCAATTCAACCTCTCCTCCAACGGCTACGCCTACCAACGGGGAGAAATCGTCAAAACCTCCAGTGCTGCCTATTGTACTCGGCACTGTCCTTGGTCTAGGGGCCCTGATCGGTGCTGGCGTGTTTTTCTTTTTCCGATTCCGAAAGCACAGGCGATTTGATTCTAAGCGGCCTCTTAGTTTCTTAGCACTGTCACTTGAGGATCCCGCGGGAGGTGCGGAGGCGGGATCCTCAAGGGCTGCGGGAACGGATGCAATTTATGATGCGAATCGACCAATCACGTCCCAGCCATCATTGCGATACACACCCCCGGCCATGGCAGGGGTCTTGGGCAACAGTCGATTCAGCTATCAGACATCTTCGGACCGCTCTTCTTCAACTGTGGGACAGTTCGCGCAATGGAGCCAGGATGATGAGAACGCGGCGCTTGTAGGCGGACCCTCAAGACAGCAGCAGATCATGATGACAGAGCACGGCCAGGATGGATACTCAGATGGTCGGTTCAACGGGGGCCTGCACGCACAAGAGCATGACCTGCTGTCGGACGACAATGGTCTGCAACAACGCAGACCAGACTCTGAGCAATCGTTCATTGCCACCTCGATGTTTCCTCTTGCACCCAATGATCCTCGCCGTGCAAGATACAGCCGTCAGCAGAATCAACCGCAGGGAGTAGCACAGGAACAGGAGGCGATCACAGCGCGAGACATGGGAGATCCTCAACAGATATCTCCGACCTTGCCAAAAGAGAGCGTTCCCCTGCGCGCGTTGAACTCCAATAGGCCACAAGAAGGTCCTGGATCCCCGTTATCACGGCCATTGAGCATTCATTCCAACGCTGCCTCTGTGCTGTCCGTCAAGAACCCGACCGAAGTCCCTGGCCGTCAGCCGAGTGTTAGGTCTACTCGCAGCGTTGGTGGTGCTTCTAGTGGCGAGCCTGGCAAGGAGGGGCCTACCAGCCGTCCATCAGGAGAGGGTCTTCAGTATCTGTAGAATAACATATCCGATGTCTTATATGTCTGTGTAATAAACTTCGATGTTGCTTGTCAGACTATGCGCAGCCGTCACGTTCAGCCCAGTTTCAAGATGCAGGCGCGCCATCATCTCATCCCTTACGACAACCTTACTCTCTGCATCCATCCTCATCAACCTGAAGGTGGTTCTTGGACCTCTCAAGCCCTATTCACAGCTGTTTCTAAACCCACAGAACTTCGATAGCGCTCTTTATTCCACGTCCAGGAGCACTCCATATCGGCTACTCGTTCTTCAGAGGCATAGACCAGGGACTTGACACACTTTCTTCCAGAAAACACCCCAACTACCCTTATGGCGGCCGGTCGAGGAGGCGGGCCAACGGCCACTCCCAAGAAGGAGGACCCTGTGAGGCAACAATTGGTCCAGGCTTTGTTCTCGGATAGCTCATGTGAGTGAACGGGCAGCAACCAGCGTAACCTGCAGCTTGTCGCGAGAATGAAAACAAGACTGAGCAGATGAGATCAACGGGTAAAGTGCTAACTCTGCGTGGAACAATCATTTTACTCAATCCTAGCCAGTAACTCTGAGACGTTGCTTACATATATCAAGATCTATGAGGAAGAAAAAAGCAGCAAGGACACCAAGATCATGCCAACGGGCAAAAAAACAGGAGGCGCGGAGAGAACGAAAATGCTTTCCAAGCCCAGATACCTTTGCATGACTGGTAAGACACAGAGTATCGTCTCTTTTTCTCTCTCATTTCGGCTTTTTATTGCCTCAATAGCTAATGCGGACATTGTCTTCATACGCACAATTAGTTAAGGCGAACGGAAAAGTGCGTCTGCACAAGGTTAAAAAGACATCGGCAACCTCTTATCATATCGGCAGAACTTGGCATCTGGATGAAATCAAGTCGATCGAGAATGTGGACGTAAGCGGACGGGTCCATGCTACATACTCTGAACCGCACAGAAAGTTGAAACGGGTGAGGGCGCTCAATTGGTATCGGATTCTCAACCGCCCCTTCTCATAAATCTAGGCAAGGCGCTGGACAGTGGTCATCAACAGGCCGTATGCATGGGTCACAGATACCGCTGAGGTCAAGAGCGACTTTTTGCTGATGCTATTGAAGGTAGGTGAGATATTTAGCTTTATTGGGGTTACTGGCATTCCTAAGTCTGAAAGCACATCTAGTCTTAAGTTTTTGACATATCATCATATGCTTATAGGTTCTCAGAAGCAACTTGAAGAGACTGCCTACGCTTACCAACATTGACGAGCCCGCATTAGCAAGTATGGTGACCGCTGCGCGATATTCGCATCATGTAGTTCAGGCCTGAAACGAGCATCTTTTAACCTGCGTTTGACGGACTACTATTCTTTATCGGATCCTACAGCCCAGTTCAATGTGGCGCGAGAGGCACAAATCGCACCTCCAAACAGAAACCACAGGATAGCGCCTATACCCGACCCTGGCACCATCGCCAACTCTACAGGAACTTTCAACCAGGACTTTGAGAACCGCCTCTCTATCCAGACCGAACGTATGAAGCGAAGCGCAGCTCCATCCATTTCCTCCCTTGGATCAACCATCGTGCCCGGAGCTGCAGGAGGCGCTAGTCCTCGAAGCGAACGCAGCGGAGCAAAGTTTATAGACGACAATGAGCCTTTGGATGAGGTTGCTCTGATGAACCTGGAGGAACTCTTGTATGACATGGATCTCGCCTCGAGTGAAGATGGCGTGGCGCTGGAGACGCGACTGATGAATGAACTAAACTCCCTGGAGATGGCAAACGTCTACTCAATCATCGAGTCGGATGATAGGATCAAAGATGTGATGTCAGAGCTGGACAAGGGTATTGAGGAACTAGACGACATGGACAATTGGTTGTCACTTTATCGCCAGGAATTGGATTCTATGGGCGACGATATCCGGCTGATCGAGTCCCAGAACCGTGGTCTACAGATTCAAACCTCGAACCAAGCCAGTCTCTTGAGAGAGCTGGAGAATCTCTTGATCTCGATCACGATTCCAGACCGGATCCTTGAGACGCTAAAGAAAGAGACGCTCGAGCGGGAGAGCGGTGTCCACAAGCTTGAAGATGCAGCAGCAGAGATTCAGGATGTGCTGCTGGCCAAGTACGATGAGGACGTTGCAGGCATGAGTGCAGTCAGAGGACGCATGGAGCTATACGGTTTCCATTGCTCGAATTTTGCAGGTAGATTAGCAGATTTCCTGAGGAACAGGATCCAGGCACAGGTGGATCATTTTTTGAATGACAAGCAGCGAACCTTGAGCAAGGGATACGTGGTGATGTTTGGATATGAGCCGATTGAGATTTATTTTATTACATTCCGCGGCTTGATCGTCTGGCTGCGGGAGATGGACCCGCGCCGATTTGCAGATTTGCAGATGGTAAGTTGATTTATTCTTTGTAATTCAAGGAGCCAGAGCGGAAGGAATTTTTGAGTATCAGGTCTGATCATCCAGTTGTATTTTTTCATATAGATCTTTGTCAACAACCTGAACCGACTCTATCGAAAAGACATCAAGGAGTTTTTCAGCGTTCTCTCGACACACCATGTCGCGAAGCTGGAGAAGCCCGACGACTCTGAGTTCGGTATGTCAGTTGACAGCGCCCTCCTTTTTTTGACGCTAACACTTGGGACTAGCATCATGCATAATGGCTGACCTCGGTTCTTATCCACGTCATGAAAACCAGTTTTTGGGTCAACCTACCATGGTGGGTTGATTGCACGCGGAGGATCTGCTCTTCGAGAATCACTATCGTCACCTTCGGACCTTACTCAGAAGATTCCATGGCGTAGGCGATCGACGCGCGCAAACCAAGATATCACGTTGGTTGGCAGGAATGGCACGCTTCACGAGTCTTCGCACAGGATTGATGTGGGCCCTGAAGAGAAATTGGCGGTCGACGAGGCGTTCTCTCAGGCACTTTCGATTGTCACAACTGTGGCAGCTCGGGAGCAAAACTACATGTCGGACTTGTTTACACTGGCCAAGATGATGTCGATGCGCATGTTCATTGACGAGCCACCACCATTCTCACTCCAGGAGCTGGATTCGAAGCGAAAGTCGAGTCTGGATCTGAAGAGCTCGAAACGGCTGGCACACTTGATGGGTATCATGTTTGACGGCCTGAGTGTGGAACTGAACAACTTTGCGGAGAACGGGGTCAAGAACGAGAGCGTGTAAGTTTTCTATCAGCCATGTAATTGGAGAGTAATCAAGCTGGACCTATCTGCATGCATGACTCTAACGTAGTATTTTTCACAATACCGTTTTCTTAGTCAATGCGTGGGCATGCTGATTTCGGTCGAGCGAACACAGAAGGAGTTTGCGGATTCAGATCAGAGCTTTTTGATTACGATGTTATCACAGCTGCACACGAAGCTAGTGGACATGTTTGAAAAGTATGTGGAGGAGCAGCTCAAGTTTATTGAGGAGGCACGGCACAGGACCAAGAGAAAGGGCGTTCTCCCCTTCATGCGGATTTTCCCTGTAAGTCGTTCAACGCATTTTGTTTCCTTGACAATACCTTCAAATAACTAACGCCTTTTTTTTTTTTGGTTGCATGTTTATTCTAGCGCTTTGCGGAGAGGATGGAGGCACTGTTGGATGGTAACGGCGACATTGAGGCGCGCAAGCTGATCACGGGCGCGTATGACAAGCTGGTGAGAATGATGTTTGAGTCGACGGAGGCGGTGGCCAAGGAGACTGTGGACTTTGACGACAAGGAGCAAGGATCACATGTGATCAATATTGAGAATATGCATCATTTTTACTCGGAGCTTCGACAACGCAAGGTCACGAATCTTGAAAGTTATATGAAGTACGCCAAGAGCTCGTATGAGAGACATCTGGATTCGTATGTCCGCGGTGTTGTCAGGAAGTCGCTCTTGAAGCTTTTGGTAAGTCGGACTCATATTGGCCATTCTAATGCGTATTGTGCACTATTGGGAAAAGGCGGACTGATACTCTGTTTCTTTTCGTAAATATAGGATTTCTTTGATGGAGTGGAAGGGTTGGTGAAGAGCAAGGCGTCCGAGGATGTGGCCTTCCACTTGACGTACAACAAGCAGGCGCTCAAGAAGGTCGTCTCACAATACCCAGCGTCGGCCGTCCGCAAGGATCTGGCGCATCTATACAAGAAGGTCGAGAAACACTTTTCGTCAGAGGAAGAGGAAGGGCTGTTGCAGGTGACATGGAGAGGTATCCAGGAGGAATTTATTCGACAGCACGAACGTTTCTCGCGACTGATTCGGGAATGCTATCCGGATGCAGGGTTGCAGATGGAGTTTTCGATGCAGGAGCTGCTGGGATTCTTCTCGGAGATCACAAAGAACCATCATTAATTCGCGAGGTGCGCTTTGTCGTCGTCGTGCGAAAGCGATCCAGGCAAGAGGTCAAGCGGAGATGGATGAGATGTGGGAAGGAGCCTCCAACATTTATAGACCAGTGTAGAGCTGGAATAAACGATCTCGTAACAAAAAAAAAAGTAAAGACTGCTACTTTTATTCTTTTACTACATTCATTGATAACCAGGTTATGGAGGAGTATTTGTGGTATAAGCAGAACACGATGGTCTCTCCTACGCTGCGAGCTGAATCCACTTGGCCTCGACGACAGGAACACCGTCCAAGACGACGACAATCATATAATGACTAGGAGAGGCCAGTCCACTCGTCGCCGGAGCCTTGACACGAACCAACCCTGCTTCTGCAAGACCACCCTTATTTCTCTCCAACGGATCCGCATCCGCATTCCCATCCTCATTCGCATCTGCAGACTCGATCTTTGTCCCACGCTGCACGATCTCTAGGCCGACATACCGTTGACTCATATGAGTGGAATGTGTAATAAACCCAGGCTGAAGCAGAGCCACGCGGATGTTCTCAGGATAAGTGTTATACCACTCCAAGGAGATCTCAAAGGTCTCGCCATAGTGGATCTTTGTGGGCCAGGCGACGATCTCGCCCTGGGCGATCGCTTCAGTACTCTGGCCATCTCCCGTCGCGGCGGTCTCCCCTGCACTGCTATGTGGGAACAAGTATGGTGGACTGAACCGTTCGACACGATATTCAGTCGGGAAGGGACCCTCACCGTACTTGACCGGCTTCCCGTTCGGATTCGAGCCGGCGACGAGAAGCGATGCGTCCGGGAGCATGAAGGCTACGGAATGATACATCCTCGCAATGACACTCGGGTTCCAAACCCGGAATCTGCTCCCGCGCTTCTCGTTCGGAAGGTATTGGACGGGATGGAGGACTGGGTCGGAGGCGCGATCGAAGCCGGCGGTACCGGTATCGGCGCCGTTCAGGATCGCGATGGAGCCGTCGGCCAGGTGGGCCATGTCGGGCATCATCCGACCGAAGGGCATGTCCTCCATCTCCCAGACAGGATTCTTGGAGAGGGGGGCGATCCGGCCACAGGAGGCTACGCCCTTGGCCTGGGTTGAGAATTCGGTCGCGCCACCACAGACTAGTACTTCCGGTTCGTACCCGTTTTCTGGAGTAAGCGGTAGCAAGACAGATCCTGCGGTGAGTGGGTAATTACGTGGAGGACCCGGGATATCTGGGAGTTGTTTGATGATTTTCCAGGTAGAGGTGGAAAGGATGATGGCCTTGGTGGAGGCGAGGATGAAAAGGTTTTTATCGGGGAGAAGGTGGACGATTGGGTAGAGGTTGCTGGGGAGGGTCTCGGTCAGGAAGGGGAAGTCGACAGTCTTTTTGGGACCTGGGAGAGGCGGGTAGAGTTCGAAGTTTGGGACGTTGATCTGGTCGTTGTTGATGGAGGCCGCGTGGTTGGATCCGCCTAGGATGAACAGGTCACCGTTTGCAAGTGCCTCTGCAAATGATGGATTAAAAAAAAAAAAAAGAGAGGCGATAGGGATTAGGACCAAAACTAGTGTCAAGACGCGACGAGCTAGGGCCATGGCCCGTGCGACTTGTGTGCCACCTTGTCCGAAAGGAAAGCGAGGTCTTACCAACGGTGGGATACCAGCGCTTCTCTTGGAGATGAACATCAAAGTTCTGCTGCCAGTCGCACTGTGTCCCATTGCAGGGCTTGTACAGCCGGATACCATCGTACCCTTGTTCAACCGCGTTCGACGGCTGTCCTCCTGCCACCGACACCGCCGTCTATTTCTCTCAAGAAAACAAAAAGAAACCTGTCAACATCGGTATACTAACTTCCACATCCTTCATTGCACACCCACTATCCAAAGAACTAAAGAGATCAAATAATAATTAAAAAAAAGCACAACTCACCCCGTCAGGAAGATACCCTCCCGCGCTACAAAACATATTACTCTGAACATTCAACGAACGCCATTTGCCATCGCCTGTCGAGAACTCTGTCGACCATGCAAACGCATCCCCTCCGTTTCCGTTCTCACTCGTCCCCTTTACTTTTGCATAGGTCGACTCCTGGACCCGCTCCAGGAACAACACCTTCTCCGAAAACGGACGCATGATCGCGTGCATGGCCGACACGCCTGAATGACCGATCAAGTCCCATTGTCCACCCAGACTGGCGCCCGCGAGCAGGTTTCCTTCATGGGTACTGACTTTGATAGCGGCAGCGGTAGCGCGGAGGGAGATAGTTGTGGTGAATAGAGTGGATGCAAGCATGACCGCGTGTGAGCTATGCTTCAAGGAAAAGTAACGCGGGGTTGTCGTGTAGCCCACGGGTGGTCTGGTTTTAGACGACTGCATTCTGTCCAAAGGCGAAAGCTTTGATAGTGGTTTGGTGTGAAGACGAAAGATAGGACAGAGTGTATGTGTGCGAGAGAGAGAAAGAGAGGACTAGAGACCAGATTACTGCACTGCAATAAGCGGCTTTGTCATTTGAAGCAAATGTGAGTGCAATCGATCGCCCTTGTGAAAAAAAAGAGATGGGGTGTAGTTACGGAGTGAAATGAAAGAAGCGAGTATCGAGTAGAGAAGAGAAAAATTTACAGTGCAATGTTTATGTTGGAACGTTTGTAATATGCACCTCTGTGCTTAGAGCCGTTTGCTCAGAGCAGATTGAGATTACGCGTTTTGTGTTTACACTTTGCTTTGTTTTGTGTCGAGAGAGCACGCCTTGACCACATTTGTGGGTATCAACATAAGTTCAGCAGAGACAACAGCCCAGACGATGAAATAAGCTTGATAGCGAAGAGTTGACGATATTATACATAATTTTTTTTCCTTCAGAAAAACAGCAGTGAATATACAGAAGGGCAGATTCAGAGCATAGCCCAATTCGCCTTTAAAACTGCTCTAGATCCCGCTTGACCTTGGTCTCCCCCACATCCAGGTCATCCTCCTGCTCCGAATGGTCCTTGATCCTTGAAGTCAAGTACAAAGCTCCGGGAATAGAGGCACCAAGGAGCGCGAAGCAAATGATCAACTCGGTCATGTAGGAGGTACCGACAGCATTGATTCTCCAGGAAATAGCAGCCCCGCAGGACTGGACGCACTTGTAGAACCCTGCGTATCTTGAAAGGACCGTGGCATCGTTCGACATGGCTCCCATCAACCAGTAGATATACGTCTGCCAGGCCGAATCGTTCAGTCCGTAGAACATGTAGAGGAAAAGAGGTCCGACGTAAGAGGCACCCTCTTTAAAGTCGTGATTAGGTTTAGGTTCCCAGATGTGGAAGGTGCGCTGGAAGAAGATACCACCGATCCAGGTGGAGATGAAGCAGCAGCTGATGATGGCGATACCCCACAGGGCGCGGGTGCGACGGTTGACGCCCTGATAATCAAGGACGCGCGCAAATGAATAGGATCCACCGATCTGAGAGGCCCAGTAAAGGATATTATTCAGAGACTGGGTGCGGATGGAGAAGTAGCGTCCGTTGACGGTCGAGAACTGGTAAGAGTAGTACCAGTTCGAGGACAGGAACATGGGGACAAGAACAACCATGCGCCAGTCCAGGAACAGCTTTAAGATCGCGACGATCTCGCCGGTCCAGGTCGGAAACTTTTGGATCAGGATATGGTCACCGTTCGAATGAGTGACGGACGAAGGAGGCGCGAGCGAGAGTGCGACCAAGGTACCGATACCCATGATGACTAAGAAGGCGATGTAGGTGGCATCGCTCAAAGATTTTGCCTCGGTGAGGTTGTAGTTGATTCCAAAGGCGATGACTGATCCCAGGACGGCTCCCATGTTGAAGATGGCCCAGAAGTATCCGATGAACTTGCCCTTGTCCTGTTCGCGAGGGTAGGCCATCATCATGGCACCTTGTGCAGTCCAGAGCATACCGGCACCGACACCGAGGATACCTCCTGCAGCGATGGTGAAAGCACCGGCCTGGGTATGATTATAACAGAGCAGTGATCCAACGTAGAGCATGTAACAGGCGCATCCGATGAAGATGGTCCATTTGGGGCCGAGCTTGTTGTGGATTGCACCGGAGAGGAGACCGAAGACAGCGAAGCAGGTGTAGAGGGCGACGTTAGCGTTCTGGCCGACCTTGGAATCGACTTGACCACCTCCTCCGAGTGAGTTGAGGGCGTTGAACATGCCAGGACAGCAGAAGCAAATGACTCCCACGGCCAGGACCTGGACCAGGGGAGATGTCCAGCGGAATCCCATTATTGGACGTTTGTACAGGGAGTGGGCTTAAAGGGATAGAGGGAAGTAGTTGGGAGTGTGAGAGCGAGAAAGTGAGGGGGTAAAACACAATAAAAATAATGAGGACGGGGTTTTAGGGGGAGAAGAGGAGAAGGGGAAGGGAGGTTCATTTAAATATACATCCCCTCACAAGGGAAGATGAGAAGAAACGACCAGGGAGAAAGTGAATAGTCTGGGAAATGAAAAAGTCAAGGGACGTTGTTAAATGTGTTTATTGTATCTGCAGATCCATGGGTATTCATTCCAACTGAGTTGTTGTCTCCGGCCAATGAGGATATATCGAGATCCTTTCTTATCGAACACCCTACACGCACTCTCTCTCAGCCCCGGCTTCTCTATTGACCCATAGTCTACTTACCTCCATACTCACATACCCATACTCGTACTTACTTTGATTTCATATAATATTGTACACCGCAGCCAATACAGAATCACCATGACTATTCCCATGTCTCTCAAGCGGATACTAGTAGAAACAACTAAAATACTCCATTCCTTATGTTCATTACCGATCGTTTTAAATTCCTTAGTCCGTGTTCATGAAGAACGGGCGATTCGACACGCATGTGCAAACGAGGTATGAACATTGACGCTGCTCTGCTTGTAAAAATAGTTCAGCGTCCTCTCTCTTTTTTTTTCTTTTTTTTGGGGGGGCGGGGAGGATGAACGGGACCCCAATTCACACTCCATTTTCAAAATACCACAGTTCTTCTACTTCCCCTGGTCATCGAGACGTACCTGCATAACTACACCACGCCATACTATGTCAACTAGTATCAGTTCATTAACTGTCTACCCCACATCTCTTTCATTCATCTCCACATACATTATACATCAGTTGTATAACTAAGAGGCTGCCATGATGTCTTCAAACGGCGTTTCCAGGGACAGAAATGGTTGGTAGATCGTGCTAGTTTACTCCGCAGAGAAAAAAAATGTATTAGAAATATTTTTGGCTGCCTTGATGGGCAAAGAAAGAAGGGTAAAAGCAACTCCGCAAAAATACATGAATAAAACGGCGATTTGATGCCTCTGGATAGTGTCCCCGGAACACACCCCAGGACTGACTAGGATTCGCTGCTGACTTTTACCTTGTTTCTCCCTACAAATTTCTCTCATTCATTTTTTGTCTATGGATCTAATGACCGTGGGAGAGTTGCTTGGGATAGAGAGCGGTGGGGATTGATGTTGTCAATACTGACTGACCACCATTGCTAACTAGATATGGATGATCAACAGCAGATGTTCATGCCTGGCAGCTGGGAGGTGGACTATGCAGACTTTGTTAGACTGGGTGCGTTCTTTTCGGAGGTGTAGATGTAAACCTTGTGGCCCAAGATAGTTGATAAGTCCCTGTGTGATGCACACACTATGTCATGGTGTAACATGAGATATGATATCTTTTGCACGGCAAAAGTATCTGTACTCTCTGGATCACAAACGGTACCATTTTTGTTGTCCTTCTTCGCCGTGCCTTTCCTTGTACACTACCAAGGTTGATCGTATACCAAGCCGGCGCTGGGCAGAAAGACTAGCGCCTGTAGAAAATATACCACACAGTTTGAAAAATGCTTATTTTTCACTTACAAACAAGTAAGTCAAAAAGACAGGAGAGGAATCTTATTCTTGGGCAGATGGTAACCTTTATATCCGGTTCCCGCCTTCCACCACGTGATGGATGCTCTTCTTTGCTCGTACGTCAATATAGTGCATAACTTACGCGGCGCCATAAACCAGAGACCGTTAGCCTGACCGACAGCCACGGTCCGTTAACCAATCACTATGCGATCATCAGTATCCTTCAAAAAGGATACTCACTAGGCCATCGTTTTCCACGTCTCGGATATGAAGTTCGACCCCATTCTCGGTACCAACTGGCTGGCATACATTCATCCAAGACTCCGTGTCGATCGGTGCAGCTACATGGTCCAAATCGGCCACGAGACTCTACATGGTAGCCAAGCCTATGTCCTGACTCCCATGCCATTCAATCGGGCTGCCGAAGTAGCTCTCGAGACTACGCAGCATACCGACTTGTGGGTAATTGCCCCGCTGGAGATGATAAAGACCCCAGGGCGAAGGTTCCGCCTGTCGCACGCACACTCGTCGAGCAACATTCCTCAGTTTGCCTAGATGAATTGCCCACCACACTTCCACCGACCAGGACTATTGACCACCGCATAGACCTTGTTCCTGATACTGCACCACCGTCCAAGCCTACATATCAAATGTTTCTCAGCGAGACGACTGAGCTGAAGCGCCAGCTGGATGCCGATCTGCATCAGGGGTTCGTCAAACTCAATCAATCGCCCTATGGATCTCCGGCGCTATTCGTCAATAAGAAAGATGGCGATATGAGAATGTGCGTCGACTATCGCACATAACATAAACCCATGACCATGAATACCTATCCTCTACCCCGAGCCAATGAACTGATTGACCAGCTTTAGGGAGCTAAGCACTCACCAAGTTCGATTTGAGGCCGGGTTACCGTTAGATATGCATGTCCGGAGAAGACATACATAAGGTAGCCTTCCGGGCCCGACACCGCCTTTTCGAATTCGTTGTCTTGCCGTTCGATTTAGCCAACGCCCCGGCTACATTCATGATACTCACGAATGACACCTCCCAGGACTGTCCAGATTCCCCCGTGGTTGTCTATCTTAACGACATCCTGATATACAGTCGCATGGAACAGCAACGCTTGAAGACACTTGAGCAGGAACTCCCTCGTCTCTAAAAACACAAATTCTACGCCGAATTATAAAGTGCGACCTCTTTTAGAACGAGGTATTGATGGCTGTCCTTATGTATGCTCAAAGTCACAATATCCATCCTGTAGAGAGTGAGAAGAAATATTGGCGACGCACGGAATGGGGATAGGTATATACCAAAATCTCTAAAAAATCCTAAAGCCCCTTCGGAACCGGCATCAGGATGAATTTGATTTTTTTTTTTTGGAAAAAATATTTTACATGGGATTCCCGCGGGTAACCTTGAGCGTACACGAGGAGTTTGACGCGATAGCTCTTCGACGCGTTGTATAGGTTTCCTGAACAATAAATTTATATCGGATTTGCTCCACGCAGCGTGCCAGTTACGGGGCTGACCCTGCTGCTAGATACATTGCAATATGTTTATGTTTATTATGATTATTATGTTCTTCTAAGTAGTTTACCTCAGTATCATCCGGTACAAAAGGAGTGCGTTCACCTCCTAGAATAAGATCAATTAATAAGCACTCTCCTAAAAGCACGTCTATTCTTCTTCGAAGAATAAACTTACCTACCACAACCTTTAAATCTAGTCAGCTTACACTTGATCTAGCTCGGTAGTTAACTTTTGTTCCTGATCCTGACGCACATCCGCGCTTGTCATTGGCGCAGCTGACTGCAGATCCAGTAGATCCAGTGTCATATTTTGAGAGGCCCTCCTGTAGAGCGTAAAGGCTCCATGAGGGGCCTGCTAATGTTAATATCAAATATCGAATGAATCAAATCTATTGCAGACGACCTTTAAGCAGCGATGTGCTGTTGCTAGTAGAGTGAACTTGACACTACGATCTGCTGAGGCTAAGAACTTTGCTACACAGATTTGCCCTAAAGGACACCTTTTGCTCTTCATATCTTGCTGGGAGGTTACGGTACTTGGTCATATAATGTTATCATGTATAAGAGACACAGAGGCTTCCATTGCTCATTTTATATGCTGCTATTTTGCTATAAAAGTCTGCACTGCTGCGTGGAGACATCGCACCGGTAGCGTTGAGTCTCTGCTGCATGTACACAAACGACACAATGCTGCGAGATTTGTCATTGTACTTGATTACTGCCTCGTGGCGTCCGGACTCGCCGCTGTTGATCAGATCAGGATTATTCGCGCAGGATAACACGCAGACCACTATATCACTAAGGTTGTCCTTGCAGAAACATCCTCGAACTCGTATCTCTGCAGAGATTTATGCATTCGCAATGGCAATGTACCCTGGATCGCCCTCTTCAATGTCGAATCCGTAGCAGAAGGTCGTCAACTCCTCGTTGATGACGCTGGATCCATAGCTAGCTGAAGCTGTAAATGTCACGCCTATCCCGAATGGCGCCGAACTGGCCTCAACAGAAATGCCAACATCTGTGCTATGGGTCGTGGAGACAGACATCTGATCGTGATAGCCAATCATGCAAGACGGAGTCGAGCAATGTATATCGGACGACAACCTCCTTGCAGAAATCACCTCGATACGCGGCTCAGGGAGCACATCAACTTGAAATCTGGCGACAACAGTGCCTGATTGACTCAGTCTATTGGCCAACTCTTCCCTAATTGCGGCGACGTAACCTGCGTGGTCGTAAGAGATATCCATCTCATTCTCGTTCGCTTCGGCCATAAGGATGTTCAGATAGCTGATATCTCTCATCTACATGTAGCAGAGACCCAACGCTACCGGTGCGATGTCTCCATGCAGCAGTGCAGACTTTTATAGCAAAATAGCAGCATATAAAATGAGCAATGGAAGCCTCTGTGTCTCTTATACATGATAACATTATATGACCAAGTACCGTAACCTCCCAGCAAGATATGAAGAGCAAAAGGTGTCCTTTAGGGCAAATCTGTGTAGCAAAGTGCTTAGCCTCAGCAGATCGTAGTGTGCATCGTACCGACAATAGTTTATTTGTCTGGCTTATATAAATATCGTCGTCATCTCTCTTAGTTTTCTTTTCTTTTTTTTTGTATGAGACATAATATTCAGTGGGTGATATAAAGCTAATAGCTTCTCATGTTAATGCAATGTTGCAAAGATCCACCAGGGTTGAGGACAAGAACCTGAGTATTGACTATTACACACCACAGCTTTTTTTTTTTTTTTTTTTTTTTTCACCGTGCACGCGACTACTGCGTGTGCAAACTATGAAATTAGTGGCAACAGTGGCTTCAATGTTGATGTATTGTAGATGTGACAGCCTATTGGATCCGAGCAAGGGGTTGCTGCCTGGCTGCTCGGTTCTGAACGATTGCCTGCAACTCACATCGCCCTTGTCCCTCCGTATACATCATGTTCGGCGCATTGAAGACCGCATTCCGCACGCAGCAGCCCGTCTCGGCGCTCAAGAGGTACTACAATCCAATGTTTCCAGGAGCGATACTCAAAGTTCAGGAAATCTTCACAAATGTGTCGGAATCCACAGTGTTCAATCAGTACAAGGAACGATGTGTCAAGAACCAACGCCAAAAGGACACGGTTACATGCCTAAACTTGACCAGCAGCACATGCACGATCGTAGGAAACATCAAACTAAAGGATATTGCGGCCACACCATGCTCAACAATAGCCATTCTGTATCTCCTTGCATTAATAGCCTGGCTCAGACGACTCCTCGCGGCTTTCATGCAATGGCGATCCGCCTTGCTGAACAAAAATCGACCATAAATCCCGTCAAGCCTGAGCTTGGAGCCTCATCTTTGTTTGGAGATATCGCTTCACATGTTAACGAGACCCCCGTGGAGCAGGGCGGAAAGGCAACTGCTAAAGAGGTAAGCGGACTTGCTGGATGCCAGGGCATCACTGGAGGTACAAGGACAGGGAAGATGTTCAAGCACCGTACCAGGATTGATAACCCACGAGGGATGGAGTTCAAGAGGACATTTCGCCAAAGGAAGATATGAAGCTACCGCAAACGCCATTATGTCTTCAGGAGGATGCAATACTGTGATATTAGGATCGACGCTACAGCAAGGGTTGATATATACGTATCGTCTCGGGCATGTTTCCTGATCTATCGCGCTCCTCCGTCAATCGCCAATAGTATCAATTCTCGACTGCCGACTTCAAGACAAGCACAAAGAAGCTTCGCCTCTTGGCCAACCAAATCAAGGGCCTCGATATCCAGAACGCGATCAACCAGATGGAATTCTCACAGAAACGTCCCGCAAAACGCGTCTTGAACACATTGGCCTTTGCCAGAACCAATGCCACCACACAGGATAAGTACAAGATGGATGCCAGCAAACTCTATGTCGGTATGTACTCGGAGCGACCTGATGGTCTTTGCGTTGCCAATATATCTGTGCACACTTTCGCACGTGTGGTACAGGTGTGTGAATGTTTATTAACGCTATTATTTTTATTTGTGCTCAAACATTAGACCGTGCCTGGGTTGGTAAGGGTATCTACCATCGCCGGATCAAGACCCATGCCCGTGGCAAATTTGGTGTGATGCACCACCCAACGGCCCACCTGAAGTTTACACTCAAGGAGCGCCAGCCCGAGGAGAAGGAGGCTGGCCGTGCACCAAGGAGGAACATCAGAGGCTGGAAGCAGACCAAGAAGGTCTGGACGCCATTGATTGAAGACAAGCCCATCTATAACCCTCCACGTCTTTACAACTGGTAACGCGCGCACCACCATTCGCCGTTCGCTACCGGCTCCCCATCCAACGCTCATAGAAATCAAACATATGTCCCAATTGCTTTGTGTATTAAATATCTGAACTAAAAGGACGACAAGAAGTAAGGATAGGGAGTATAGTATAGCGTATAGTTGAAGATACTAAAAAGTGTCATTAGGATGCACAGCAAACGCGCAGGGACAACGCACTTGATAAAAGAAGCGTATGGAACAAAAATCATAAAATGCACCTGAACCCTTAAGCAAGCCCGCAAACAGATCAGCTTGTTTCGTACCTCCTCCTAACTTGCATCCGTCTCACTACCCACCCACATCCCGCTCCATCAATCCCTCATCCCCTTCACAATGTCGCGCCAACAGCAGATGATGGTAAATAACAACATGCGTGCTCTTTCTGTTCGAGGATACTATTAAATCCCTACAGGAGCAACACGTGGAAGGCACGAAAGAGGTCGTGTATACATCAGCAGCAAACAACCTCGACAGGTGACGTTTGCGAGATGGCGATGGATACGTGGATAACTCCTCCAGGACAACGCATGACTGATTTACGATCAATGGAGAGACAGGAAGAAAATAACACTATGGATGGGTCGTGCTCATCTGCAGATCGCGACTCGAGGTGTGCTTGTAGGCCCGGGTCCAAGCTGATCTGCTTCGCGCCACGCCCCTGCAGAATTACAGCCTGCTACCTCCATACGAAGCGGCCGCGGTTGAAGAAGATTTTTGCAACACACCGGGATTCATGTATTGCAGTCCTGGGAGTCTTGCCTTGGTCTTCAACTAGAGATACCGCGCCATTTTACTGACCAATGAATATGACTTTCTTTGGAACTACGACAAATAGCAACCACAAATCATCCTTCTGAAGGATGGTACAGACAGCTCTCAGGGCAAGGGTCAGCTCCTTTCCAACATTAACGCCTGCCTGGCTGTCGTCGATACTGTCAGGACCACTCTCGGACCTCGCGGCATGGACAAGCTCATCGTCGACGAGAAGGGTAAGTGGATTAACCAGTGTTGCTGAGTGTGTGTACGCGATACAGCAGTTCATCATCATCATCATCATCATCATCATCATCATCATCGTGCCTACGATTCTAATCGTTTCTTAATCCTGAATCGATTTTGATAGGCACTGTTACTATTTCAAACGATGGTGCTACCATTATGAAGCTCCTCGATATTGTCCACCCAGCCGCCAAGACGCTTGTCGACATTGCTCGTTCTCAGGATGCGGAGGTCGGAGATGGTACAACCTCGGTCGTGCTTTTGGCAGGAGAGCTCTTGAAGGAAGTCCGCTCGTACATCGAAGAAGGCGTCAATCCTCAGGTGATCATCAAGGGATACAGAAAGGCTGCCCAGCTCGCCATCAACAAGGTCAAGGAGATCGCTGTTCGTGTTGAGCGCAAGGACGAGGCCGAGTTCCGCTCGTTGTTGGAGAAGTGTGCCGCAACTGCCATGTCCTCGAAGCTGATCCAGTCCCAGACAGAGTTCTTTACCAAGATGGTTGTCGACGCCGTGCTGCATTTGGATCAGGAAGATCTGGATGAGAGCCTGATCGGTATGAAGAGAGTCACTGGAGGTGCCATGCAGGATTCGTTGCTGATTGATGGTGTTGCCTTCAAGAAAACTTTCTCGTACGCCGGATTCGAGCAGCAGCCTAAGAGCTTCAAGAACCCCAAGGTCCTGTCTTTGAACGTCGAACTGGAGTTGAAGGCCGAGAGGGATAATGCTGAAGTCCGCGTTGAGGCTGTCGATGTAAGTTTTACCGTAACCAAAACGAATTGTCTACGATCGAATCGTTTTTACTCTATTTGGATCGTCTCTAATCTCCTTCCACATCTATCTTCGCGTTCTTTGCGCTGCTCGTGCCCCCTATTACTTCCCATCGGATATATTTCCAACCATACAGGAATACCAAAAGATTGTGGACGCTGAATGGAAAATCATTTATGACAAGTTGGAGGCGATTGTCAACACTGGCGCCAAGGTCGTCTTGTCAAAGCTGCCCATTGGAGATCTTGCGACTCAATACTTTGCGGATCGTGATATTTTCTGTGCTGGCCGTGTTCCTGCTGGTGATCTCAACCGCGTTGTCCAAGCCGTCGGAGGATCGATCCAGTCGACCTGCTCCGATATCGAGTCCAAGCACTTGGGCACATGCGAGACCTTTGAGGAGAAGCAGATTGGAGGCGAGCGTTTCAACTTTTTCCAGGGCTGCACTCAGGCCAAGACCTGCACATTGATCCTCAGAGGAGGTGCGGAGCAGTTCATCGCTGAGGTCGAGCGTTCATTGCACGATGCCATCATGATTGTCCGTCGTGCGATCAAGAACTCATTGGTCGTTGCCGGAGGTGGAGCTACGGAGATGGAGATCTCGAAATACCTCCGTGATTACTCGAGAACCATTGCCGGAAAACAGCAGTTGATTATCGGGGCATTTGCGCGTGCATTGGAGGTGATCCCTCGCCAGCTCTGCGACAATGCTGGATTCGATGCGACCGACATCTTGAACAAGCTGAGGATGAAGCACGCACAGGGCTCACTGTGGAGTGGAGTCGACATTGAGTCCGAGTCGATTGCAGATAACATGAAGGCCTTTGTCTGGGAGCCCGCACTGGTCAAGACCAACGCCATGGCGGCCGCTACGGAGGCTGCGTGCTTGATCCTGTCAGTCGACGAGACTGTCAAGAGCCCTCAGAGCCAGAACCCTGCCGCAAACGCTCGTGGTGGACCCAGAGGCCGTGGTCGTGGAGTTCCCCGCCGTTAAGAGGGTCCGAAGAGAGAAAAGAACAGAAAAAGGAGAGAGTAGAGATGTGTGTTTTTGGCACAGGCAGGAGTTGCACTACGGCCCCCACTAAGAGTTTTTCGTTTACTATTAAAGTGTATTTCATCGTATACTGTGGTTCCTGAGATTAATACGTCACAGAATACGGTAACGGGACGGCTGTGAGAAGCGAAGCTCGTCCCACACTTTTTGCATTGAAGATCTGCTTCGGAAACGACTGCACCTACCAGCTACACTCCACTCTTTTATACCACTCGACTAATCATCACCATGGGAGCTTCACAGTCAAAGGGCGACAACCAGCCGATGGTCTTTGTTAACGAGGAGAACCCGATCCCTGTCAGGGTAATTCGCAGACTTTGTTGGTTTTTGAATCGGGAGCTAAGCAATCGACAATCGTATGCTTGACTGGACCTGGACGCCAGCGACAATGAATGAACGGCAATCGAGTGAGGGGGGAAGGATGAGGACGAATACTGTGGACGACACCAGGAGAATGAATGAGGATGTGTGCAGGATGTTTGTTCATCTAATCACAGGCTTTCTTGCCCTTTTGTTCGTTCCCGTTTTGCGTTTTTATTTTAGGTCTCGAGTGCCTTCGTGAACCAGCTCCAGCAATCTCAGGTACGAAAAATTCTACTAGTAAAAAATACCTCCCTGGTGCACACACAGTTCTTCTCCCATTCACTTCCTTATCCTATCTCCCGCCGATCTATGCAAATATATATATATATATATATATATATATATATATATGCATCAACTTAACAAACATCAACTTAACAAACATCACTTTCTTCCTCTCCCCAACACACACACATGCGCGCAGCCCACCGCGGGATCATCCCAGGACATCGAGGCCCAAGTCCGCCAACGCGTGCAGGCGGAATTAGCTCGGATCCAGGCCGAGAAGTCTACGTCCGCTGACACGACCCACGTTGGATACAAATCCTCGACTAACGCGAACGCGGTCGTGACAGAGCAAGAGATGGAAACCCTGGGCAAGAAGCAAGGAGCGCACACGAAACAGATCAAGGTCTTGCCGGAGGAGATCACAAAGGCCCAGGAGGCCCTCGTTCAGTGTTATAAGAAGAATCAGGAGAGATCGTTGGATTGCTGGGCTGAGGTTCAGGAGTTCAAGGATCTGGTTCAGAAGGCGCAGAATGTAAGTTTGCACGTTTTGAAGGAGGGGTGTTTTTTTTTTTTTTTGTTGAGAGAAAGAATCCAAGAGGAGTTTGCGAGGAAGGATAGAGGGTACTGACGATCTGCTTCTGTAAACTTTCTGTCTTTTGGATTTGTGTTTAGGCCTTTATTGCAACTGCCTAAGGAAGAAGAGAGGGAGGGATTGATGTTCGCATGTTTGCATAGCTGGAGCAGAATTAGAAAAAAACAAAATAAAAACGAAGACCGCAATTGTCATGGTATATAAGGCTTCAATAAACGCAAAAAAAAAAAAAAAAAAATCGATGCTGCATAGGACTTCAAATGACTCTATTTTCACCGGTTTGCTGTGTCCTTGAATGCACATAAAGAGCGTCATTTACAACCTGTTTGCTTTTTTTTTTTTTTTTTTTTTGCTTGATATATCAGTTTATTAGCATCATTGACCATGCTCTCTCCTTGTGCACAGGTTCGGCCACTTCCTTCCTCCTATCATAATGCAATTCCCTATCCAGCTATCTTAAAAGCTAACAGAGTCGAGCATGGTGCCGAGGGCAACAACGATATTGTTGCTCATGACCTGCTCAACATTGCTCTCGAGATGCCTCTTAGGATCCTCCTTTCCGACATGGCGCGTCTTAAGTTGTTCGGGTGTTAACGTAAACTCTTCCTGAACCGACTTGTTGTATGCCTCTGCCAATGACAACATCGACTATATTCGTAATAAGAAAACAAAAACGTGTTCAGAAGATGAGTAAACGGTGTTTCCACTAATGTTGAGGTCCTTTTGAATATGTAATGCGGATCATACCTTGACAGCCTTCTCATTCTCTTCCGTGTGCTCATGGAAATTTGTCAATGTCAATCCGGAGGTCCAGTTCTTCTTGTGGAGGTTCAGCAACATTTTTTGTTCCAGTTCGTTCTTGCGGTAGTTGATCGCAATTGAATAATAGTGTCTGTTCAGTCCGTGAATCAGGGCCTGGATACTGGGTTTGTTCAGGTGTCCAATGTTTGATGTCGTCTGACGGGGTTCGTGTCCGACAGCGGCGGTCTGGGGGTTGATCAGGCGGAAGGCGTCGATGACGACCTTTCCTTTGACAGACTGAATCGGATCAACGACTACGGCCACTGCCCTGCTGTTCAATTGCTCGAAACTCTATGGGTTGGTAATGGGCCAGGTAGAATTGTCAGCGTTTGATTCCGTTTTAAAGACCGGTAATGATAGTACTGCCGTACGACGGTGATGCCAGAAAATAATGGTCCTGAAGATATGTCCCGTACCTGCTGTGTGTTGACATCGACACTGGAAAGCCAGCATCCGAATCCAGGATGTGAGTGGTACCAGCCAACAACCATCTCGGGTCTAGACAAATATCCATGTAGAATGATCAGGATATTAATTGGGCTTAAAAAGAAGCCTTCCTGACAAATAAAGCAAACGAAAAAGATGCACTCAGTTGTTACCTTCCAGTCTGTTTCAACATATCCAACATCTTTGTCTGGAAGACAGGATCGACGGCCTCGACAGAAACACCGGTTCCACTCTGGGGCATTGCAAAGACGTCAATGACGCGTACGGTGTAGTCGTCGACAAATTCACCCAACATTAAGCCCATGACCTCCATTGGGACACCCGCACGGCCTATTCCCCAAAGTAAAGATATAATACGATTTGTTAGGACCTTGAGGGTTACTGCGATCTGGATTATCGAGCCTCTTGAAGGAGAAGAAGCCATGTATTAACTTACCGTGCTTCAACATCTTTTTTCAGGTTGCGATTCAAAAAAGCAGAAGGAGAAAATGTGTTGGTATTAGTATCTTCAGGACCTTGGCTTTCCGCCTTTCAATTCAATGATTATCCTGCAGGTTTTCAGCCTCCTTGGTTACCTTCAAGAGTGAGAGGGAGGAGATGTAAACCATTTCAGAGTTGTCGGCGGTGGGGTTGTCCTGTCCTGGCTCGGGACCCATGCCCTGTGCTGCCTGAAACATGCGCTGAAGTCGCTCCATTATGTCAGTGTCTGTGTAGTTGTAGTGGCGGTGAAGGCGAAGGTCGAAGTGTTTTGCTGCGCTGGGGTCGAAGGTGAAAGTTGAAAGAAGGGTGCAATGAAGGAATGCATGCAAAGAAAAGGCACGCAGAACGCGCGCGTAGGTCGCGCCCGGGGTGACGTAGACCTGTCCTCACGTGCTGCCGCCCTGACCCGCTCTTTATTCATTTCACACGTTCATTCACTCCTCGGTGGTCTTCAACAGCAAAGTTCATTCGACCATCGCCTCTACACTTCACACTTTTGCAGCAACAATGTTCAACCCGACACGCGCGAAGGTGCAGCTGAAGCTGTCCGTGAACCGGCTACAAATGCTCCAGAATAAGAAGAATATGCTGGCCCAGCAACAGCGCAAGGAGATTGCGCGACTTCTCGAGGCTGGCAAGGAAGAGAGCGCGCGTATCAGGGTATAGAATTATCTCTTTGGGCACCATCGGGACTTTTGCTCAGCAAGTTTACTAACCGTCCATGAACGTTTTTCTTCCTTGTACCTATAGGTGGAGCATGTTATTCGCGAGGATTTCAGTATTGAGGCGTTGGAGATTATCGAACTCTACTGCGAATTGTTGTTGGCGCGGTTCGGTCTTCTGGAGCAGCTCAAGTATGTCACATTATCGTTCTGCGTTGCCACTATGAGGCTATTGGTCAGCTAGGTTGCCATACACTGACTTAGGCTCCGCTTTTTTATTCTGGTGCATACATTATTATTACCTTGCAGGAATTGTGACCCGGCGATCACGGAGGCGGTGAATACGATCATCTATGCGGCGCCTCGTTCAGAAGTCAAAGAGTTACTACTTGTGAGGGATCAATTGACAGCCAAATTTGGACGCGATTTTGCCACGAATGCCATGGAAAACAAGGACGAGTCTGTGAATCCCAGGGTAAGTAGTCTTCAAAAAACATTTGTTGATGACGATAAGGAAATTTTGGCTGAGGTGCACATGTTGCAGTTGCTTACATGATGCGCACTTTTATTTCATGGACTAGATTATTCAAAAGCTCAAGGTGCAGACGCCGGATCCATATCTTGTCAACCGATACCTGGAAGAGATTGCAAGGGCGTTCAAGGTTTCCTGGACAGCGGACCCCGAGATGGATCACCAGCTCATTGGGGTACGTTATTACGCATGGACATGGTGGAACGGTGTCGATGTATCTCAACATGGTTCGCTAACTCATTCTGTTTATTTGTTGCCTCTTTCATTAGAGCATGGATGGCGAATTCATTGACCCGATAAGTCACTCGATTGAACAGCCGATGCGGCCTCGTCTTCCTGAAAAGAATAAACCAACGTCCAAGGTACAGTGCATTCTTTGTAGGAACATGCAACTATACAGCACATGGAGTGAACACTAACCAACATATGTCCATATCATAGACCCAATCCACTATGGAGATGGATGTCGATCGATTGGATCTGCTGAACGATCTTTCCAGTTTGTCAGAGTCCACAACTCCCACAATTGCCCCCACGGGATCCAAGACTGTGACTCCATCAATACAGCAGCAACCTAGTATCAGCAGTAATAATGTACCGCCTTCTGCGGCTGCAGATAGTAATGATGGTCTGCCTGATCTGGATGCCTTGACAAGACGATTCGAGGCATTGAAGAAGAGGTCGTGAGAAATAGCCTCTCTAATAAATGATGCTTTGTACAATACGATATGACATGATGCGATACGATGCGATACGATACGATATGTATGAAAAGATGGAAAAATGGAAAAAGTGGGTTCACATCAATAGGTGGGAGCGGTTTCTGGAGTGTGAGCCGGTTTATGCCAAGGGAAGAGATACATCCATGTTTCGGAAGAAGAAGAAATATGGAAGGGTGAGGAAGGGTGGAGCAGGGGGGGGGTGGGGTGGAGCAGGGAGGGTAGGATGGGGGAAGGGCTGCTAATTACATATCGGGACAATGAACACGTTTGGAAGCAATTGACGTCTGCTTTGGTGCAGAGGGTGAGCATGGGCCCGTCTGTGGGGTGGTGTTGGCGGCGGTTGACGATGACAGAATTGCTTATTTGGCAGTGGGAGCGGGAGTTGTTCCAAATCGGGAAGGTGCGTGAACACTGTGGCAGGATCGAGAATCTTCCGCCGGTCACAATTTCACTCTGCATTGGGAACAACGGCATTGGATGGTCGTATGAAATCATTTTCACATATTTCACATAAAAGCAAACCGCATCTTCGCGTACTTCTCTCCTCTTCTTCCTTTACAACCCACACTCTCACACACACGCCTCATACATCCACTTGTACATACACCTATTCACATCCTCACTCCCATTTCCCACACTTAATACACTTCACCTCCATATCCATTTCACACCACTTTCTCTCTGATACAGCCACATCGTCACCATGAATAACTTCCAGTTCACAGAAAAGACCGAGAAGACAATCGGCAAGGCCCAGGAGCTGGCCCGCGAGTTCTCAAACTCTCAGATCACCCCCATCCACATTGCTGCCGCCATGTTGGACGAGACTGAGGAAGGCCCTGGCTCCTCGCTCCTTAAGTCCATCATCAACAAAGCCGGCGGTATCCCCGAGGAAATCGAACGCGCCTTCAAGAAACTTCTCGTCCGACTCCCCACCCAGAACCCCGCCCCCATCGAGGTCTCATTCTCTCCTCAAGCCGTCCAAGTTCTCAGAAAGGCCCAGGAGCACCAGAAAAAGCAGAAGGACTCGTACATCTCAATCGATCATGTTATCCTAGCCCTGATGGACGATGCCACCTGCTGTAAGGCCTTTACCGATAATGGTATCTCCAAGACTGCATTCGAGAATGCCATATCTCAGACCCGTGGTAACAGAAGAGTCGAGAGCAAGAATGCTGAGGCCGGATACGAGGCTCTGTCAAAGTATGCGATTGATATGGTGGCGTTAGCCGAGCAGGACAAGTTGGATCCTGTCATTGGACGAGACGATGAGATCCGCCGAGTGATTCGAGTCCTCTCCAGAAGAACAAAGAACAATCCCGTCTTGATTGGGTAGGTTATCAAACAGCTGGCGAAGCATACTTCTCTCAAACCGCTTTTTTTTTTCTTTTGTTCATGCATGCGGAACTATGTATTGTGACTACTCTACTCACTAGCCCTTTCTTCATTTTTCATTTTTTTTTTCGCACTCAACAGTGAACCTGGTGTAGGAAAGACTGCTGTAGTCGAAGGACTTGCTCAGCGTATCGTCCGCAAGGATGTCCCTGTCAGTCTGCAGTGCCGTCTCTTTTCCCTCGATATGGGTGCACTGATCGCCGGAGCCAAGTATCGCGGAGAATTCGAGGAGCGTCTTAAGGCTGTCCTCAAGGAGATCAAGGATTCTGAGCAGGGCATCATTCTCTTCATCGACGAGATCCACCTGGTCCTCGGTGCAGGAAAGGGCGACGGCGCCATGGATGCCGCCAATTTGCTTAAGCCCATGCTTGCCCGTGGCGAACTTCGATGCATTGGTGCTACGACATTGGATGAGTACCGCCAGCATGTCGAGAAGGATCCTGCCTTTGAGCGTCGTTTCCAGCAGGTCTATGTTGGCGAACCATCATTGACAGACACGATTAGTATCTTGCGTGGTCTCAAGGAGCGCTACGAGGTCCACCATGGTGTCAAGGTCGCCGATGCCGCATTGGTCACTGCAGCCACGCTGGCCCATCGTTACATCACAAACCGTTTCTTACCCGACAAAGCCATTGATTTGATGGACGAGGCCTGCGCCAATACTCGCGTGCAGCTCGATTCACAGCCCGAAATTATTGATCACTTGGAACGCCGTCATCTACAGTTGGAGGTCGAGGCCGCTGCCTTGGCCAAGGAGAAGGATCCAGCATCACAGCAGCGTCTTGTCAAGGTCCGCGAGGAAATGTCTAAAATTTCCGAGGAACTAAAGCCACTGAAGCTCAAGTATGAGCTTGACAAGGGTCGCATCAACGAGGTCCGCGACTTGAACCAGAAACTGCAGGATCTCAGGACCAAAGCTGATGAAGCCGAGCGCCGCTACGATGTCGCCAAGGCGGCCGATATCCGGTACTATGCCATTCCCGATCTGGAGAAGAAGATTGCCACCGTCACCGCGGAGAGGGCTAGACAGGATGCCGAGCAGATGTTGGCTGCCGCGAGTGGAACCAAGATGGAAGGCGGTGATTTGGTGACCGAGGTTGTCGGACCCGAACAGATCACTGAGGTCGTCTCCCGCTGGACCGGTATCCCTGTCCAGAGATTGAACAAGTCCCAGATCGAGCGTCTGTTGCAGTTGGGTGATCGCTTGAGCGAGCGCGTCGTCGGTCAATATGATGCTGTCCAGGCTGTTGCCGAGGCCGTACTTCGTTCGCGTGCTGGTATGGCCAAGGAGCACGCCCCACTGGGCTCCTTCATGTTCCTGGGACCCACTGGTGTCGGTAAGACAGAACTGGCTAAAGCTCTCGCCCAAGAGCTCTTTGATGACGAAAACATGATGGTCCGTATCGACATGTCCGAGTACATGGAGTCGCACTCAGTCGCTCGTTTGATCGGTGCTCCTCCCGGTTATGTTGGACATGACGAGGGCGGTCAGTTGACTGAGGCCATTCGTCGCCGACCCTACAGCGTTGTCCTCTTCGATGAGATTGAGAAGGCCGATGTCAAGGTCTTGAACGTCCTCCTTCAAGTCCTGGACGATGGTCGCTTGACAGACTCCAAGGGTCGCGTGGTCGACTTCTCTAATACTGTTATCATTATGACTTCGAACGTCGGCTACATGCACCTTCAGAACCTCGGCAACAGTGGCATCACGGATGAGGCCCGCGAACTGGTCATGCGAGAAGTGCGCTCCCACTTCCGCCCTGAGTTTTTGAACCGATTGGACGATCTCATTATTTTCTCGCCTCTGGGAACCGATAATCTGAACAAGATTGTGCGCAACCAACTCGCGGTTATCGGCAAGCGACTCGAGTCCAAGAACATCACGCTCCACATCACGGACGGCGCCATCCAGAAGGTCCTCAACGATGCTTTCGACCCACGCTATGGTGGTCGTCCATTGAAGAGGTATCTTGAGAAGCAGGTCGTGACCAAAGTATCGAGGTTGTTGTTGACGGGCGAGCTGACAGAGTACCAGAATGTGCTTGTGGATCTGGATTCCACCGGCGAACTGGTCTTCAATGTGCAAAAGTCAACAGGCGCACCCGACGACAGTATGAACTTGGATTGACTGCCACGCGACGCGACTGCTGTGGACGAGGACGAGTATGATGAAGATGAGACGGATCATGGCAGGAAGCGTCGAGTGCATACGGACAAGAAGACCCGAACTAAACTTCAACGGCATAGGACTTGAGCACCTCCCCTCTCTCTCTCTCTATCTCTTTCTGCATAACTCAATAATAGTAATAATAAAAAATGAAATCGAACATTATGATCTTGGTATCTATTTTTATTGCTGGCGGGTATCTTAGTTAAGTTGTCAAAGGCCTTCTATTATTGCAAGTGGTGCTTTCTTTTCAAGCTTTTTATATAACTTCTGCAGGACTGCAGCATTGCCGAACTTGGCAAGAGCCGTACCATTGAGATCTATAATCCTGAGCAGAACTTCAGCCTCACTCAAAGTCAGGCGCAGCATCGATAAGAACCACCAGCTGTTCATGAATTACACTTTTCTTTTCAACTGACACTGGACTTACTTCTCAAAGTCGTCATCTGTCAGGAAGAGTACAGCCCCACCATTACACACTGGACATCCTTCCAGAGAAAGATACGTTCTCCAGACTTTTTGTCAAGTCGGGCGGGGATATGAATAATATGGGCCATGTGTAGGGCTCGAAACTGTGGCGAAATACGATCATTGTTCATTGGTATCGCCATGCCATTAAAATAAGGAATATAGGTATCATTGTGGTGGGGAGAAGATAGAGAAGGACGGAGAGAGTACGGATGAAGAAAGAAGAGTAATGTTCGCGTGGCAACAGGAAATGTATCCTGAAAGGACTGATCAGCGAATTATGTCGTGTCCGCACCGATTTTTTTCTTTATTGATGCCAGATCCCCCCAGACGTGCAGGCGTGCCACAGGCTGCATTGTCCAAGCCTCGGCTTGGACTGTCAGCCGGCCGATAAAAGCCCTGGGCTTCACCTCCTACCTAAACCCCGGCTTTTTTCATCCTCGCACATATGCCCTCGGACTTTTCCCATCCCACTGTGGCACTACATTGCACCTTCCATAGCCCCTCTCGAGCAAAAGCCTCAACTCGTTCTGCAAAACGTCCAACCAAGTAAGCCGCGATACTCTTCGACGCCTTCAAGAGCAGCGCCCAATCCGTTGTCAGGGGTTTTGGTACGAGTCCGTGATATATGTCCGTCGTTGTCCAGAGCCTGGTGGGTGGTGCTGCCTGCCGTACGTTTTCTTGACTGCCTACTCCCTCTCCCTCCTCCTCGTGGATATTCTCTCTGTCCTTGTCACTAGTGCTTGATCGATTGGCGAATGTCGTCCTCCGCTGGCTGACCGCAGAAGGTCGTGTGTGTCTTCATGCTCGTGAAATGCTGTGCGTTCAGTTGCCATGGCCGTCTCCCGCTGTCGTGTGCCTTGTCCCCCAGGTCGTCAGCGGCCTCATTTCCAGTATCGCCGCTGCGTCCTTTAACCAACTGAACATCTACTCTGCTGCCCTGCTGCACCTACGCCTCGTAAATCACGGCCCACCAGTCGACATATGCTGCTCTCAACCGCCGTCGTGGAGTGGCTGTATGTCGATTCTTGACTAACGCCGCAAACTGTTGGACCACTACTCTATTGTCGATATGAATAATGGCGTTGCGATCCTGGGGACAGCACAGAATTGTCGCGAGCAGACCCACCAGTTCTGCCTTGGTGGATGATGCGTAATTCGTCGTTGTCCCACAGATAGCCGTTTGGAACAAGCCGTCGACGCATCTATAGACACTACCAAACGATTGGCTGACCGTTGCCGAGCTAGGGTTCTTCACTGACCCATCCGAATAAAAGAAAATTACATCCAACCCAGGTGGGATTCTCCATCGCGTCTTACGGATCGTTTGCCATATCTCCTGGTCAATATCAACCCATGGAAAATCGATCATTTGCGCTGGCGGAGCCAAGGACGCGAGCGCTACCGCACCCTGAATGGTGGTCGGCTGCGAATCCATTTCATGTACCTTCTGGTCCTCATCCATGCCATTATATTTTTCACGTCGCTGTCGCTGTCTATATCCCTTGAGTCGGACAGCGGTATTGTACGCATGCAAAGCATCATCAGCAGTACGCCTCGCTTGCCTGCCCTCAGTATCTGTGAGGGGTCCTATCGAATGGCGCTGCGATACAGAATCTTGGGGATCAGGACGCTGTTGACGATAGTGACGATAGCGGTGGCAATGCGATCGGTGATGGCCTTACGGCTCATAATGTTGCAGGGCCGGGCGACCTCCGTTTCCAGAATGCGAGTTGTGGGCGTTGTTGAACGAGCTGAGTTAACCCATACGCCCAACACACGCGCTGCCTCCTTGGGTAGGCGTCCTGCGGATAGGAGTGCTGACATCGCCGTGACTAGCGCACAGATCTTGGGACGGCCAAGGTTCTCGCTGCTTTCAGAGCACGATCTTGATGGCATCAAGTGCACCATCATGGACGAGGTAGGCACAATTCTGGCGTTAGGCAGCCGCCTTGATCCAGTTCAATTTGGAGGAGCTAAAAAGCCCATGATCGACCAATAGGCGCGCCATGCTGCCATAAAGACCTATACAAATATCATTCATGGATTTTGGGGTGGATAAAAACGAAGCGGAGGATGTGGATCTTGAGGACGTGACAGCACATGGAAAGGTCTGCGGCCGGTCATGTCGATATTATTTCCACACTCCTTTGTCCTGGGCGTAGGTGCAAACCGGAGACAGCGATTTCTATCGTCAGCGGCATCATCCCCTTTCTCTGTTTTTTCTGAAGGTCGCCATCTAAAACAAGGTTTGAGTTCAGATTTAGGAGGGAGATGGACTGCGCCCATTTTTTACCACGACTGCAGATTTCTCGTGTGGTGGTTATACTAATATGGACTAATATGGACTAATATGGAAGAAATGAAGTGCTGCAGAGTATGCGCATAAACATGGACAATCCTTGGAGAGGGACGCGTGTGTCGTTGGTGACAGCCCTTTCTGCCACTCCCAGTGCTGCTGTCCGCAGCCACGACGTGTGCCCACTTGGTGGTGTTATCTGTAGCAGGCTGATTTTCTTAAGGAGTGGATGCAGCACAGCCGTATGTGAGCACTTGATGAAATAAGAAAAAAGCTGGAGAGGATGAAGCCAGCAGTGGCTATGTTGGAATAGACAATTTGGTCCGAGTCCAACATATTCACGGTATACTGTCTTTAGGAACCATTATCTGCGCGCGTACTGCTGCAAGAGGATAGTATTGCTGTATGTGACCCATATGATCATCGTCGCTGTAGCCGCTTTTTCCTTGTTTCACTCGTTCTTTTTCCTTGCTGCTTGTTCCTGTGTCTTTATCCCTCCCACACTCCCAGGTACATCATTACATCATTGGCTGCTTTGATAGACGTCCTGACTGAGACACTCTTATGGTGGCACTACTTTTGCCATGTCTTTTCTGTCTATTGCTTTCTTTCTATTCCATGCTTGCATGCTCATCAAAGGAGACCTCTCATCCTCTCATCCTCTCATCCTCTCATCCTCACATCCTTCCATCCTCTCATCCTCACTCCCTCTCTTCGCTCCTTTGCTGCCAAGACCAGGCTATCTTACCACCAAAGTATATTTCATATCCCAATAGGTCACCGGTCAGATATATTTTGCCACCATTTTCTCCTTGCTTGTTTCTGTCCACTGTCTCCGTGCTGTCTATCGACACTATCTCTTTTTCTTTCATGTGAAAGGCCCGAAAAGACTATGCCGATAAGAGGCACTCTCTTCGCTGCAGATAGCAGCGATGACGTGTACCGTCTGTCGAGGAGGGAGTGTCTACCGAGGACCGAATATAAAGCCCTCCTCTTTTTCACTCTCTTCTCTCTCCTTTCTTCTCTCTTTCTTCCTCATCTTCTCCCCGGTCTTCTTCCTGGTCTCCAAGGTAAGCTCTTCTTTCTCCTTCTCCTCTTCCACCTTTACCCCTGCTCCAGCTACTCCCACTTTCACTCTCAGTCCTTCACTCCTGCTGTCTCTTGCCCTTCTTCCTCACTGCTCTCTCCCACTGCTCTCTCCCACACTTGTCCACCTCAGTCTCGTTCATCTGCACTTCTTGTATCTCTCTCATCCACTCACTCACCCAGCGCTCCCTTGTCTCTATTGCTTCTAGCTCTCTCTCTCTCCTTCCTTCTCCTCCTTTGTTTACCTTTGCTTTTGCGTTTGCTTTTGCTTTTGCTTGGACTTTTGCATCTATCACTGCTCCGACTCTGGCATTTACCTAAGCTTCCGCTTTTGCTCTTGCTTGCGCTCTGGCTTTTGTTTTCGCTTTTGCTTTTGTTTGGACTTTTGCTTTTGCTTCTGCTCCGGCGTTGCTTTTGCTTTGGCTTCGACATCTGCTTTTGCTTCTCCATCTGTCTTTGCTATTGCTTTTGCTTTTGCTTGGACTTGCGCATCTATCACTGCTCTGACTCTGGCATTTGCTTAGGCCTCGGCTTCTGTTCTTGCTTCTGCTCTTGCTTTATTACACCTCTCTAAAAAAAAGAAAAAAGGAAAAAAAGAAAAAAAAATAGAAAAGAAAAAAAGAAAAGAAAAAAAGAAAAAAGAACAAGAACAAGAAAAATACAATTCCCCACCCCCAAAAAAATAAGAAGGTCAAAAGCCGAACTTTTTTTCCCTTGTGGTTTTTTCTGGGGTACCATGGCTTGCAACCTGCCCGCGGTGTACCCTGCACAGTCTTTACTTTCCCAAGTAAGACTGACTGATGGCAAGCCAATCCACTTTCCTTTGTATGTATCGCTTCGAACCCCACACCTTAGTCACCTTAGAATCAGCAAACGTCAACGTGAAAATGAAATAAAGTGTGAGGATTGAACCAAACGATGAAAAGATGAAAATGTGCAATAGCAAGAAAAGCCTTTGTCAGCAATATAATGAATGGGTTTGCACTTGGTGCTCGCACTGCATTGAAGGGACATTGTGATCGACGCGTATATCTGGTCTGGGCGGCGCACAGCCTCGATGGCATCACATAGATCTTAGCCTCCAGAGCGCATGTGCAACATTCGCATCTACCCGCATTGAAGGAACTCCTTGCAAGACCACGAGTGGACTGTTTTTTTCTGGGAAACCTTTCCTTTCGCCGCGACTCATTGACTACGAGGAGTGCGTCAGATAGCCGGTTTCGTCGTTGCTGTTGTTGTGGCAAAGGCAGGTCCATTGACTGAGCCAGACGCGCTTTTTCACGTATTTTTTTGTATCCGATCTTGACCGCGAACCAGCCCTGAGGGCTTTTTGTCTTCGGTAGGGTGTGTCCTCGCCAAACATTATTGTGGTGGTTTTCATGTGTCAGGCCGTCTCGATGTATTTGATGAAACGGGTCTCTTCACGAAAGAATGATGGTAACAAGGTTTTGGCTCTGCATGGGCGTCAAGAACTGCTATACCAGTCCTCCGAACACATATGCAGACACAATGATGGATTGGCGGGTCGGATTTTTTTTGGTACATTTCTACAAATGTGGACGAACAATAATGGAGAGGTGCCCAGTTCTGGTGCTAGAATTGGAAGATCCTTGTTCTCTCCCTCTCTCTTCGCGCTCTTTGTAAGAGGGTCAGCATCGAACAAGCAGGGCGTCCTGTGGATAGGAGGGGGTTTTTTTTATATTTTTTTATTGACGCTAGACTAGATCCCCCCAGGCGTCTGTTGCCTACTTTTAGTTTTCATCACATGATATTACCCCGCACTGCTACCGAAAAGGATGCCAAAGTGAACACCCTCTGCAAAAAAGTGCAAACCCCATTAGAACCACCCTTTCATAAAACACATCACCAAGACCTATCCTCATTCGCCCATAATCATCCCTCAGGAGCCCTTTGCCGATTCATTGTTTCTTTGCATCCCTTGCATTCCTTTTTGACCGGACAAATGTCGCAAGTGGACCCTAGCCAATGGACGAGGTGGTTTTGGCTGCTGCGCCCACGGCCAATTGAGAGCACTGCTGAGTTTCGCACAACTCAGTCTCTGCAAGATGTACACATCGATCCTGCCGCATCTACGCGCGCAGAGGAGTGCTCAGAAAAGCAGCCACTACTAGATGACCAGGACGAAGAGCACTTCAGCCAGCCTCATGGTAAGTCTCGCACTTACAGACTAGTTGACAGTGTGCAAACCGATATGAGGACGGCGCACGAATATAACGAGAAAGGAACTGGAAAGGCTCTGGAAGCTGATTCTTCCCATTACATTTGCTTGTTGCAGAATACTTGCGTGATGGGTCGCAACTCTATTGTCATCCACTCCAGCTACCCACATCTCATGAGAGCAAGGAACAAGTCGATACTGGCCTTCTTGACACAACACCTTATACCTACCATTCAAGGCATCATAACAAGGGTCTATTTCGACTTCTGGGGCTGGTCAATGTTCTGGTTTTGATGCTCATTCTCCTCTTTTGCGTCGCTGTCTTGAATCTGCTCTCTTGGTCCACTTGGCCTTCGATGACAACCAAGGATATACAAGGTAACAGGCTATTTCTTTATTGGTACAAATTCGATTTGATTAGCACAATGCTCAGCAACTTTATCTCGGTCTTAATTGTTTATTACTCTACCAAAGCTTCATCTGCGGACTCGGCGCCGACGACCGGTTCTTCCAGATCCACATCATCCAACGGGAGGCCCTCTGTCGATCAGTCCTCCTCTCCCGAATCTGAATCGCCCTTCACAGCACTAATCAACAACCACCGCAAACCCGGGCATCGCGACCAACCCAAACTTCCACTCCCCGCCAAACGTATCCCTCGACCACTCACCCTCCACAACGAAACACTCATCGACAACTATCGATGGATGCATTACATCGATCAGGACCCCGACGTAGAGACGTATATCAAGGCCGAAACCGAGTACACGAACGCATGGGTTGAGCAGTCTGGCACCAAGGCTCTGCAGAAGCAACTGGAGCATGAAATGGCGCAGATCAGGAGCGCTATGGCAAGACAGCCTATCCTGACGGGTCCGTCGTCACCAAGACCACCACCGGTTGATTCGGTCAAGGTTTCTGAACACATGAAACCGCATGAGAAACAGCGCCTGGAGGGGACACAGTTCTGGGATTTAGATTCTTGGCGGTATTGGCTGGATGACTCGGTGGGCGATTATGGCGTTTACAAGCGAAGGCCCATATCGAGAAACACGCACGGTATCGCGCCGCCAACTCTTGCGAATTCGCTCCAATCTCAGACAGCCCTTAGCGGTACATCCTTTAAAAAGAAGGCGGATGGTAACGAGGATCGATCATCGTTCGACGCGAAAGGGTGCTCTTCAGACCCAGTGTCTTCTGCGGAGGTCCAGTTGGTCCTGGATGTGAATCGGCTTGCCAAGAAGCAGATCCGTAAGAAGCACGGGAAGCAGCTCACGATAGGGTCTGTCGAGATCCAGCCCAAGGAAACCATTTTGGGACGCGATGGCGCTTTTATGGAAGGATTAGGATATCACAGAATGGCAAAGTCAGAAGACAAGGATATCTATATGGCCTATACATATGGTGTCTCTGGTGGAGAACGATATTATATTCAGATTGCGACTTTATCTGCCGACACTGATGCCAAAACTGCAAAGGAGGCTGAGGCGATGGATAAGGGACACTTATTGATGATCAAGAATGCTGCCATAAAGGATGCTGGTTCATTCGTGCGGTGGGTCAAGTTGGACGAATCTCTTTATTTGTACTTTACGAGACTGGACAAGAAGGGTTTGCCGCGCGAGGTCTGGAGGGTCAAGGTCGACGGTCCCAAGGAGGATGACAGCCAGCTTGACACACAAGCAGGAAAGGACAAGCCAAAGTACGAACCCGAGATGGTGATGCAGGAAAAAAACGGGAGGAACATACTGTCGGTCTCGTACACTAGCGACCAACGGTTTCTTCTCATCGAGGTAAGCAACCGACGTTATATTCAGTATGTCAATGACTCTAGATACTACCATAAAAAACAGACCCTAACTTGAGGTTGCCTTTTTGATGATCTGAATGATAGAGCTCGGGACAGACAAACAGCCACACCTACTTCCTCAGCATCGACAGCCCAGAGAAAGGGTGGAGTCTCGTCCACAAGGCCATGGAAAATGTCATCTACAAGGTCGAGCACCATTCCGGATACTTTTACCTGCACACCAACCACGACGGCGCTACCAATTTCAAAGTGATTCGGATCCCTGTGAATTACTATTCCCTGGGCTCTAATCGATTTCAATCGGCCGAAAACGCTGGACCCTCGTTTTTATGTACAGGGGAATATGAAGTCGTAATCCCCCACGACCCGAACGAATTCCTAGAACGGCTCGAAGTCTTTGTGGAGCACTTCGTCGCGTGGGTCTGGCGCGGTGGTTTACAGGAGATCCGGATCTTTTTGGCCCCGCGGCCTGGTCGCAGGAAGCCAAAGATCCCACTCTCGGAGGCGCAGAGGATTCGACCGTACCATAGGGATTCCAAGATCGCGACGGTCATGCCGGAGAACGTTCGGAATAAGGGGCAGAGACTGTATATTGATTACTATTCGACAAAGTTGCGGTACTCGAATAGTTCGTTTATTCGACCGTGGGCGGTTTATGAGTTCGATATGCATTCGGTATCACATTTACCGACAGTTGGTGGAGACGATGACGGTAGGGTGAGGAACGCGACGCGGCTGGTTTGTCAGGAGCCCTTCCCGCTAGGTGTGCGATATGGCCAGAGCTCTCACCTGGAACAGGAGTCGATTACAGAAATGGATCCTCTCAGTTCTCGTCTAGAATCGCCTGTTATGGATCCACGAGAGAAGCAGGAAAAGGAAATGGCAAAGTTCAAGGAGGAACGGATCATGGTTCCCTCAAGACACAGATCCAAGAGGAACAGGACTTGCCAAGCTGACGACTGCAACAATGGTGATCAGGAGAAGGAGACCTTGATCCCAGTCTCATTGGTCTACCGTGCGTTTCCGGACGGGCGACAGTTTCCAAGACGAGCTGCATTTGTGGAAGCGTATGGCGCGTACGGTAAAATGACGACGCCAGCGTTCGATCCGCTGGTGGTCTTGCCACTACTTCATCGCGGACTATTGTTTGTTCAGATTCATCCTCGAGGCGACGGTATTATGGGGCCTGAGTGGTACGCGGACGGCAAGGCCGAGCACAAGCTGAACACGTTTTATGATGTCGAGGATGTCCTCCTGTACTTGCGGGACTCGGGCATGGTAGAGAAAGGAGGTGTTGTAATGGAGGGAAGAAGTGCAGGAGGTCTCGTATCTGGATGGATCGCCAATCGGTGGGGTGAGGTTGCTTCTCTATCCCCTGGCGAAAAGATTGGTGATGTTCCGGAGTCAGGATCGAAGAATATCGTCCGCGAGATGGTCAATGTGGTGCTCGCCCAGGTACCGTTCATGGATGTCATTGCCGACATGGCGGACCCTGATATTCCCTGGGTGGAGTACGAGTGGGACGAATGGGGCTCGCCACTGCAGAGCCGAGAGGTCTTTGAGGTGATGAAGGCATATTCGCCATATGATCGTATCCGAAACCAGCCTTATCCACCTATGATGATCATGGGTGGTCTCGCGGATGGACGGGTGAGTTATGCGGAACCGTTGAAGTACGTTGCTAAGCTGAGGAGCATCGACGGCAAAACCAATGATTGTCAGCCGTTTGATAACAAAGACGAAGAGGAACTGGAGGACTCGCGTTGGGATGTCAGCTCAGAGAGCGAAGAGGAAGAGAGGGATAGGATGTGTGCGGGTAAGAAGGATACGCCTCTACTGCTCCAGATGGAGGACGGGGGTCGCTTCAGTGGAAACAGTTCACTCTGGATGGCGTTCTCGTTGTACCATCTCGGAGCAGAGAAAGTCATGCCATTTTCGGCGGTAGCGGACTAGACTACTCTCTAGACTAGAACAAGGAAAAATCTTCGCAACAATGCATTCTACATTGCTTCCGATATGCGACGATATGAAACGTTCTGATAATCGCTCGATTTTAATAAAATGATTTACAATGTTTTTATGACAAGACGGTTCCCATGCGGATACCCATCATGATACGCTCTGCCAGATTACGGTCCTTGCGTCCCACAAGACTTGTTGCCCGTCCACCACGACCCCCGCGTGCTGTGCGACCTACACGATGCAGATAATCGACGATCGTCACCGGAAAGTCGTACAAGACCACATGGTTCACAGCCGTGGTATCCACACCCCTGGATGCAATATCAGTCGAGATCAAAACCTTTCCTCCAGCCGGACCGCCGGGTGGCACATAGGCATTATCTGTAAACTGCTCCAGGATTTCATCTCGATTGAGGGCGTCACCATGCAGGACGCCCAGAAGCCCCGGAACTTTGTTCTTCTTAAGATGATCGTACAGGATCTCGCACGAGTGCTTCGTGTTGCAAAAGATCAACGTGTTCTCCTTTCGCTTGCTTCCTGCGACTTGCTGTTGCTTCCCCAAGATATCTAGAATGGCCTTGGGGCGGTTTCCAAAATAGGGCTTCAAGTCCAAGAACGTTTGATGCAGACCAGGTAGGGATTTGTGAAGCGATGGTGTGGTGATCTTGAGCATCCCTGGTAATGTGCTGTCCAGTGTATCCGAAACCTTTTTAGGTAACGTTGCGGAGACGACCATGACCTTTGCCGGACCCTCTGTGCTCGAGATGACAGCCTTGGCTTGTTTGACAATTTTGGTCACCTCGTCTCCAAAACCGTGATCGAACATTGTATCGGCCTCGTCGATAACCAGGTGTGTTAGTGAAGATAGTGAAAGTCGGTTCTCGTCAAACAATCCTGCATTGCCTCGGATCTTCCGCTCCTCGTCATCGTGCTGCTTAGGATCGCGGCCTCCATGTTGGATCTCCTTGGGCAAAAAGTCCAGCAGGCTTGTTGGTGTGGCAACAATGATATCGACGGGTCCTGCAGCCAATCTTTGCGCGATACTCTTGGGCGGCAAGGCATGCGAAATCGCCAGCGTCCGCAATTTGACCGTGTGCGAGAGTTCCTTCAAGATCCCAGACACCTGCGCAACGAGCTCGCGTGAAGGCAAGAGGACAATCGCTCGAGGTTGATTGAACTGACGGATCGTGTTCAGGGCCCGAATCTTGCTTCCTTCTTGGTCAACACCTCCTTCTCTCTGGTACTGCTCCACAGCCTTGTCCTCCTGTGTCTTCAGCTGATGGAGGACAGGAACCAGATATGCGAGGGTTTTGCCCGATCCAGTCTCGGCGGCACAAAGTGTATAGGGCGACTTTTTCCTAGTGTCAATGGCGGCAGGGATTGTCAGTGCCTGAATTTCTGTCGGTTTGATTCCTGCAAACGAATCGTCCGCTGAAATTGTTGATGTTGCTGCTAACGAGGGCGTCTTGACCGCTGCTCCCGAATTTGACAAGAGCTCTGTAACGCCCTTCGCTACATCCGGATGAAGCCCCATGTTCTCAAACCGACTGCTCGCCACCCTATCCATCATCTCCTTCACACTCTCTTGGGCCTTTGCAAAGACGGTTTCATCTCCAGCAGCCGATCCGTTGGCCGTCTCTCCGGATTGTGCGTACTTCTTGTATTTCGACATGGGTATTTTCCTGTTCGAGACCAGGTTCATATTGACGTCCGAGGCAATGGACTTCAACGCAAAGCGCACAGGCACAAATCCACGAACTTTGGGTCCCGATTTCCTTTTGGCACCAGCCTCCATTAGTGTCCGTTCCGCCGCCGCCGCCTTATCACGTCCTGCGTTTCCGGTCTTGAGTGGCAGTCCAGTGCGAGCTGTCCGTGTCCTGTAGGCTGAAGCAAACCCCGGGGCAAACGAGTGTTCGAACTGAGGGTTCCTTGATCCCTTTTCAAGAGACGTAACTGAGACCGAAGTCGAGGCGATCCGTTTGCGCTGTGGTGGTGCTGAGGAGGCTGATTTTGAAGAGAACGCGGTCTGGCCATCGGCGATTTTCCATTGCCGAGTTTTGGATTTGAGAACCTGTTCCTGTGTTGGTGACTTGCCACTGAACTTGGCATTATGTGCAGTCTCCTTTGACGTCGGTGTACTCCGGACGGCGCGCAGCTTCTGTTCCTTGACCACTCGTTGCTTTGGCCGAGGGGTTCTCTTGGCGTACGCTGCTACTGTCCAGCTAGTTGAAAAGCTCTGCCTGGATGTCAACTGCGAGAATACGGAGGCAGTCGAAAGGTGTGGTCTAGGTTGGAGGAGGAGTGTGTGGTTCCATGTAAGGAGTCGTCCTGGAGGCAATATTGAGGATGAAGTCAAGGAGGCTTTCCTGAGCAGCGACTGTAGTGCTATTCTCAAAAAAAAAAAAAAAAAAAAAAAAAAAGTACCGAAGATATCAGCATTAGTGGGCCGATAAAGTCCAAACCAAGGAATTCTATGGTAAAGGGGCAGAAAACAACAGGCAGTTTGCATACCTGACATGATGGGAAGGCGAAGGTGAAGGAGCAAACAGGGGGGAAGAGGGAAGAGGGAGGGGGGAGAGGGCAGGCTCAAAAAAGAAAAAATGAGGCAACATCAACATCAACAAGGCGTAAAACAGTCACCGCCAGGAATGGCCAAAATCAAGGTAACCTGGTCCATAAGCTATCTGGAGCCATCATCACTACCTGACGCTACGACCCTGCTCCACCCTTCCTCTTCGCAGTGATTCAACGTTATTGCGGTGTTGTCGATAGTCTTGCCAGCCAAATATTCCAGCACATCGTTTGTCGCACCTTTATTTCTTCAAGTAAAATCCAACGAACTCTTTGGCTGCTTACGACCCATGTGCAAGGCACCCTCCGGCGACTCGCGTACAAAAAAAAAGGGGGGGGAAGGATTTGGAGCGAACGCGACAATTGCCCCCTTTGCCGCCAATATGCTGGCATAGATACTTGCGTTAAAAAAAGGCACGACCTGCTTTGCTACTAATACGATCATTTTGTCTGTCATCTTCCTCCATGGTTTCAGCTCGTCTTCGGTTCTTAAAAAAAAAAAAGTAAGAGAGAGAGGGAAACAAGTCTCTATCGCAAATATCACAATTACGACAAGACAGCTCTGAAGAGGCGCCAGTTTGAAGATGGCATGGGGGGCAAGGAGACTGACATCCGGCCACGGCCGCCATCCTCCCTTCAATGAGTGCTATCCTTTCTTTCCTGTGGCGAGTGCCATATCCAACTTTTGATTCTTATTAATTGTTTTTGTCCAGAACGCTTGCCACAGGAAACTCATTCGTTCGTTGATAAGTGCTCGCTCATGCAAAGTGCAGACTTGGAACACCTGAAAACACTGGTTTTAACAACCAAGTAGGACGGGTTGACAGCTTGTTAATACGAATGTGCGTACTGTCGGTAGGGCGAAGATCCTGTAACTTCTTGATTCGAGCCCGTAACACCTTTGCTAGGAGGCAATAGGAACAGTATTTAACCTGTAACGTTTTTTCTTTCAGTATCCGTCGCCTGTTGATGTGGCGGGTGCCTTGGCCACTTGAAGCAAATAATCATCTTCACCCGCACCAGCTGTTCCTTTGTCTCTATGCCAATGTATAAGCCCACCGCCCATTGTCTGATGGTTACACAAAACCTGTCGTTGTCCGTAAAGTTTCTGAAGACCCATTTTATATAGTTTTTTTTTTAATAGTCGTCGAAGCTGTCTTTCACAGTATCCAAAGCTTCGATGAGGAATGGTTTTTGAGAAAACGCTCGCGGTTAGTGTAAGCAAACTGGTGCTGAAGAAAACAATAGCGTGCTCTGATGTGCAAAAAGTTGATTCAACAGCGAGGTCCAGGTGCGAAGAAGAAGAAATGACAAAATTTTGTAGCGATGTAGAACCTTTAAAATAAACGATGGAAACGCGCTGTAAAGCCCTACCATCTGGACTCAATGGAATCCTCAGTGACGTTGTAGAGCCGGGGAGATAAATCGCGTACAATCTAACTTATCGCTAGTAGTAGGTAAATTACACAGCTGATCGGCTGTAGTTTATCAATTTCAGACTGATGTATAGACGTGCTCCTGAATTACAATGGTATAGCTCACTTCACGTAACGCGCGAGACCGCTTTAAGAAAAGTCTATAGCACATGGCAGTGCACACGCATACACAGAAACACCAAGTCCAAGAGATTTGGAAAACAGCTAGTACATTGGTTGCGATTTTGGCGTCATACTAGTACGCCTATATATTTTGCGCGAGGATACTTGTGCACGAGGCCTGGCCACTGCACCAAAAATGCGTCGCACAGAGGGTACAGCAACTTGCCCGCAAGACTCAATGTGTTGACACGCGCAAAGCTTTCGACAAAGACCAAATCCGGGGTCTGTTCGTCGGGGACGCCCAGCATCCTCGCTCCAATGACTGCCAGCGCCAGCGCAAAGCATGTCCCAGGCCCATTCATCAACATGACACTCTTCCGTGGAGCCACTACTGGCTGTGGAGGCGATGATGATGACGACGACATTGAAAGGTATTGTATTCGGTCGATGTCCGCTTTGGTCAAACATGTGAGGCGCTTGATCAACGGCATCGCGACCAGGAGTGACTTTGCAAGTGTATAGGGCGTGGTGAGCATGGATTGATGAACGTAACGGCTCCTGGGAATCCGATGAATGGTGTATCCGTCCTGCTCTCCCTTCTCGCCTGCAGGCCATTGCGGCGTGGTCAAGTCGGCTTGTAAGGTGGCCGTGATATCGCGTTGATGACGAGTGGATTCTAGTCGATGGACCTTTTCAACGCTCGCGTCATCATCCCATCCTACGACATAATGCCGGGGGGTATATCGAGCCGTATCAAGTCCAGACACGAGCGAGAGCATCTCAGCAGTATGTCCTCCTGATCCCAAAAAAATAGTTGCTGTGCATTTCGGAGTGAGTGTCGAATCGGAAAGTGACGATCGTTCTATCCTCTCATCGGCTGGGCGCGATCTTGATGAACCTGATGTGGTTGCATCCTGTTTCGATTGAAGCGCGGTCCTCGCCTTGTTGCTGAGACGGTGTTGCGGCAGTGCTGCGTATAGACGAAAGGCAGCAAAGAACACGAGCGGAAGAGCAATGAGAACAATGGTGATGACCGAGGCCAGGGCCAGGTTGCGGATATCGCGCTTATCCATTTGCTTGACGACTTGAGTGTAGGTGCACCATGGTCACGTCCCTTGCAGACCAGACAGAACAGAATAATCTGTGTCTGCGCCCTATTAAATCACGTGCAAGCAACGGCGCGCGACCCACCCAATGGCGAGCATCACCTGCCAGGGGTACATAGTCTATTTAGGTTCACAACTGGAATCCGCAGCGGCGGTCGAAAAAAAAGAAAATAGAGCACCAGTGGCATCTTTGTGTCTGTGTTTACGCTTTTGCACTGCCTCTCAGACCCTCAGACAGAACCGCACTTTCAGGATGCATTAGCGCGCTTTGAAGTGGTGCTAAGTTCAAATAGGCTCACGGGTAGGAGAGCTACTCTGGCAGTTGTCAGTCATTTTAGGTCAGCGCATCACGGATGTAGTTCTTGGGAATGCATGTACAAGATTCTGTATCGGCAACAGCCCATTAAAGAAAAATAGAAGGATGAAGGCCAACAAAAAGAGCGTGCACCCGGCAACAGAAAAAAAAAATGCGAGGACTTTTAGAAAAAAGAAAAAGCGGAAGCAAACAAACAAACAAAGCGGCCCATGGTAATGAGCCCTTTCAATTACATCGCATAAAATACACTCTCGATTCCTGTGTGCACTCTTATCAGAGTTGATAGAAAAGATTTTGCTGCGTTCAGAAGAATGTGCGCAACTTCGAGCGCAGTCGAGGTGGTTTCTTTTTATTGTAGACAAATATTAAAGGCGGCGAGTCTAGTGAACTAGGCGATACTAATAACTAATGGGCTAATGGTTGGTAACGAGATGGGATAGATACACAGAGACTAATTGTCCGATAGTCCGACTCCTGCTCTCCTGCTTTCCTGTATTACTTCGGGGGATTGTACGATGAAGCCTCGCCGTGGGGAACCGGGTAAGGGACAGGACCAGCATGGTTAGGGTCCTGTGGCAGGCCGGCAGGCGGTGGATAGAGAGAACCCTGTGGTTGGCCAACAGGTGGAGGATAGGGGGAACCAGAGTATGCGGGTGCAGGGACGTCTGGTGCGGGGTAGTTTGTGGAAGCAGGAGGAGCCGCAGAGTACGCACCCGAAGATGGTGGGTAAGCAGAGTAGGCAGCAGGTGGGGTCTCCAGAGGCTTCTCGCCATAGGGAGCCGAGGCAGGAGGAGGATAAGTGCCGGCGGGATAGGGGCTGCCGGGATAGGGGCCACTGGGATAGGGACCGGCGGAAGGAGGGTAGGGAGCGGGTGTCTGGTAGGCCAGGTTGGGGTCGCCGGCAGGTGGAGCGTAGATCTGCGGCGGAACGCTGTAGTGTGGGTCTGAGGTAACGACCGTCTGTGGAGCAGCCATGGCAGCTCTAGCGCGCCGGCGCCTGACGCAGCATAGGATAATGGCGAGGAGAAGCAGAACTCCAAAGACGGCCGTCCAGGCGTAGTTGGTGTTCTTCTTGCAGTACACAGCAGAAATGCAGTGGTAGCCGTCCGGGCAATAAGTGCTGGAAGAGCATTGATCGCGGCGCTTCTCGATGCGCATCAGGCCACGCTTCTCGAGGGGCGAGACTGGCATGGTGAGGGCGAGGACCTCCTCGGCGCCTCCTAAGAGATAATTGCGAACAGTGTCCAGGGCGCTGCTCATGGTGGGTGGTGCTGAAAAGGGAGAGATGGGATGAGTGATGAAGAGAAGAGAGGAGAAAGAGAGCTTCGACTCTTGGCGAGAGTCGGTACCAAAAAGCATTCGTCATAGCTTAACCTTGTCGCCTGCGACTAAAAACAGTACAATTGGTCCCGTCCCCTGGCGGCTGCGTCTTTTCATGCTGCATACGTTCTGATTGCTCTGTGGAAGTAAAGGGACTCTTGGCCATTGCTTTGTAACTAGACTATCGTACCAGGGATAGCCATCCGCTGCAGATGTTTTGTGCATTAAAGGGCACCTATCGCAGACATTACTTTCTTCATCACTGTCTATTCCACTTGGGCAGCGTACCATGACGGTTTGTCGCCCGAGATATCACATCTTCAATCTACAAATGCACCTTGCAAAGATGAATCGAACATGGGCGGGAGACCGAGAAGACGCCGCAAAGGAAGGATTGATGGGTATGAGGTGCGAGAACAGAACAACGAAGATGCGAAGGAAATCGTGTTCCATACACGCAGAAAATAAAATAGAACGGGGTAGAGACACCAGACGCTGTCGCAAATACCATAATTAAGAGAACACGGCTCTGCGGAAGACTCCAGCTACTAAAAAAAACTCGGCGTTTCTCGAGTGTCAGAATGAAAGCCGAGGAGAGGGAACAGAAAATGGTTAAACGTGCCAAATGTCATTATGATCAGTATTCTTTTATTTTTACTTTTATTTTTTATTTTAAGGTGCCGCAGAAGTAACTGTGACACTAAGAGGTCTCTGTCTTGACGTTCCGCAAGGAATTGTTGGACGAGACCAAGTCCAGGTAGTCGTTAACTGTTGTTGTGCATTCGAGATCGTCCACATGGCTGGCAAACATGCGGTCGTAGATGATATCGGCCTCCAGTGTCTAATACGTATCAGGATAAAGAGGGTTTAGCCCAAGTGGAACATTACTTCCTTGTAGCAAACAGTTTTACAGGCAAAGAAAGTGGGGAACGTACGTCTGCATCAAAATAGTCCAGCTTGGTCCAGTTTTCATCGTCGGCAAGTCGAGCCTTGTTTGGTCCGTTCGCTTTCCTTGCGTCAGAATCTGCAGCACTTCGCACTTGAACCTATTATCATCCAAAACAAGAAAAATATCGTTGAATTCTAGTAAACAGGAGCGATTTGATGATAATGAAGGCTAATACCTTGAGAGCAAAGGGGTACCTGTAATGCCTTGGCCTTTTGTTCTTGCTCAGCCTTTTGCTTGGCCAACATCTCCTTGTTTTCTTCGTCGCTGACTTTTTTGTTGGCCTGTTTGTGTTTTTCATCAATCTTGTCAAGGTATTTAAAGCTCGGTCGAAGCTGGACTGCGCCATGAAATGGCGTCAAATGCATTTCATCTACATGCAGAAATAAAAACCATGTTGTCAGCTAAAGGAACCATTGGGCACTATGCTTGTCGTACTGCCTCGGCCCAGACGATCGGTCACCTTACCATTTCTCAAAACGCCAGCGAGGTAGTTTGTAGCATTAGGGATCAATGAAGAGACCAAGATTTGCTTATCGAGAAGTTCCTTATTCTCATCGTCGTCGAGCTCGCCATCCAGTGCTGTCCGCAGCGCCTTGTCGTTCATTCCTATTGCCAATTCCTCTCCACGCTCTCGGTTGTACTGACTGGCGCTGGTATCTATTGGCAGCTCGAGCTCGACCAGCTGCGAGATCGGCTTGATCCTGGCTTTGCTGGGTCCTGACGCTTGAGTGTATGGAAGAGCAGCCGCCCGAACTGGGTACTGGAACAGATACAGATACTTGGCGAGTCTCTGCGAAAGATACACCGGGATTTCCTTGACCAGCTCATCTCCTTCGTCTGCATAATCCGGCAGTTTCTCGCCTTCGGGCTCCATAGATGCTTCGAGATCCTGCTCGCCGCTGTATCGATCCATGTCAACGTCGTTTCCATAATCAGAAGGTGAAGACCTGTCCTGGAGGGAGAGTTCGTCCATTCTGGTCTGCTCGATTTCCGCACCCTCTATTTCATCCTGAACCTCCTCCTCCTTGTCCTTGCCGTTAGACTGTAATTCAGAGCTGACGCTACCAACTGCGGCACTTACTACTTCGGTACGACTGTCCTTGGTAGCATATCGCTCTTTGCTCAAACGTTCCTCCTCCATGCGCTCCTGTGTCTGTAATTCATCCTCGAAAGCGTCGCCTTCGTCCGCTGCAACATCCTCATGCATCTCGGTATCATTATCGGACCCCTCATCCTGTACAACAACAGCCCTTTTACGGGATCGCGCGTTTGCTGTGAAGTTGGGCTTGAAGCTCGGTTTAGGCGGCATGGTGAATTATGATGCCAATGCAGCGACGTCGTGAAAAGTGATGGGAAGCTTCTCTTGGTCGTTTAAGCACCACTTGTAGCTGAACTCGGCGATTGTCGGGCGGGACTGATGCGTTGTTCCAAGGACTTGCGGGCGTTAAGGTCAATGGTCTCTTTTTTCTTTTTTTTTGAAGCTGTCAAAAGAGGACAGAAAGCCACATTTCAAAATAGACGCTCTCTGCCAGCAAACTGAGCGAGCGCGCCTCTACATTCAGTCTTGACCCTATGCCTGCAACCCCAGGAGAATGGATCCTTACAACGGTCAGTAGACGAGCTTCCCATACCGGCCATACTGGCAACACTGCCGAGTGGATTGTTTTTTTTTTTTTGTTGTGAAGGGATTAAACTAAACGTCGCCCGTGCTACTCACGCTTTTAGACAGCGACCCCGCGTATGAGGCCACTCCGCTTGAGTCGCCCACTGCCATTCCAACTTCCCATAATTGCCCACGCGTCCGCTTCGCGCCTCCAGGAGGCAACCGGGCAGCATCCCAGCATGGCCACGGAGGATATGGAAACAATGCTCAAAGACCACCATTTCAGTTTGGTGCGCACCAGCAGGGACCTCTCCGCTACGACCCTCAACACGGCCTTCAACCGCAGGGCTATCCATCACATGGACGCGGCCACCCAGCTCATAATCCGTACCAGCCATATCCGCAGCAGCACCCGTCACATCCTCAGCAGCCGCAGTTGATGAGGCCACTTGTGCCCGCAGTCGAATTTATTGATCAGCATCTGGACGTCTTTCAGGCAGCATCGTACGAACTTCCAGAGGGCTGTTTTAAAATCGAATCCGGCCCATCGGAAGAAGTGGACATGAACCTATTCTGCGTGCCAGGCATCGTAAATAACTTGGTAGAGAGCAAGGTACGTTTCCTTTTGACAATCGTTTTAATGATTCTTTATTAAGTACACCCTCCAACGTGTCACGCATCGCGTCCCGATGTTCCGTTGATCTGATAGAAAAAGCTGCGCGCTGTTCCCCAGGAGATCTTCGGCCGCGCACGTCAGCGCTGCAATCCATACGAACTAGTGGGCTCGTCCATTTTTATGAATCGTGCATCGGTAAAGTTGGCAAGTATTGACTCCCAGCTTGCATTGACTGCCACTAAGGAAGATCCAACAGCAGGCCTGGGCTCGGAAGAGGATGTAAAGACATTTCGATTCGTAGACCTGTGTTCGGGTCCTGGCGGGTTCTCGGAGTATCTCCTTTGGCGCAAACATACATGGGGCGAGCGTGCGCGGGGATGGGCTATGACCCTCAAAGGCGAGCTGGACTTTCAATTGGAGCGATTCCACAAGGACGCGGCAGTCCAGGAGACACTAAGGGTATTTTATGGCAAAGATGGAACGGGAGACATTCTTAAACAGGAGAACATTGACGCCTTTGCCGACATGGTAGAACAGGACACAGGGGGGCTGGGCGTGGGACTCGTCTCTGCAGATGGAGGTATTTCTGTTGATGGCGATGAAGCTGTACAGGAGACCTTGCTGCAGCGGTTAATCCTCTGCCAGATATTGACTATGTTTATGACACTTCAGAAAGGTAACACTCATAATGTCGTTAACCTAATAAGCCGCGCTTTACGCCGCGGCGGGCCGTTAATCATGTTTTTGTATTTACTGATGTCTTTAGGAGGCGATTATGTGGTCAAGATCTTTGACATCTTCACTCCTGTCACTGCCACGCTTGTCTGGATCCTATCCCGGCACTTTGAAAAGATATGTGTGGTGAAGCCATTGACCAGTCGACCCATGAACTCCGAGCGCTATGTTGTTTGCCGTCACCTCTTGGAGCGTCAGCCGGCCAAGACGATTGAACACCTTAGGAACGTCAATGCAAGATATCAGGACATTGAGGAGAGAGCAAGATCATCGACTACGGCGGACTCTGAAGGAAATGGTGCCAAGAAGGAGGATATCAATCATATCATGGATCTGAAAGTTTTGACCAACGATATCCAATTCATGGAATACATCAAGCGCAACAATATGAAGACAGCCATTCGGCAGACAGAGGCTCTGGATGTGTTTTTGAAGTATGTCAATGAAGGGCTTCGACCTGCGTTTGACCAGGAGGCGATCAAGCAGCTGTGTCTACAGGAATGGCATATCCCACCTCGGCCCCAGCCTTATCATTCTCAGCACCAACAACAGCAACAGCAACAGCAGCGGCAGCAGCAACAGAGACACCCGAATATGAATCATCTGCCGCAGCATCATGGTCAATCACACTCACGATACCCACAACATCCCCATCAGCAGCAGTATCCACAGCATTCAAACGCTCCCTCAAGACATCATCCTTATCAATTGTCAAGGCCACATCAGAACCCATCACATTCCTCACAGCAGGGTGGCGTGAGTTCAGGAGGGCAGCCGCACCCCAATTCTCAGTCCTACAGCCAGGGACAACCAGGGGCAAGACAATCATCTGGGGGGAACAGAGGGCAACCTGGCCTATTGGATTCCCTGCTGAGCAACATGCAGCAACCTCCCTCAGATCAAAGATGAAATACACCCAATAAAGCGAGTTTATTTCAAGCCACTTGGTAGAACAAATCGTGGTGCCGTTTGGTGTATGTTCCCTGTCCAAGAACGAACGCGACCAGGGAACAAGGATGGCGACACAACACTCTGATAAACGCATCAAACTCTTTCTTGAGAGGAGTATAGAGCGCCTGCCCTTCGACATCACTCAGAAAGCCGAGGAGATCTACCTTCCGTAACGTGTTGCATCACTTTAGTCTTCACATGGTCTGCTGGCCCTCGATTAACACATACACTCGTCTGGCCTGTTGTGAATTGACCTTAGAGATGGTGATCCTTCTGAAAAGCTGAAGCGCAAGGTCAAGGCCATTGTAGAGATTGCTGGAGACAACTATGACCAGTTTACAGAGAATATAGCATCAGCAGACCTGAAGCAACAGGACGACAAATCAGCAGCACTAGCGACAGAAAAAGACGATGCAGCCGATGGCGAAAAGGATGCGGAACCAGCACCAGCAATAGTACCGGCAACAACAGCGGTAGCTGGGCCTGCTTCGGCTGCGAACACACGCGTCAATCCACCACAGGCGATCTATGCAAAGCTATGGTATGCTGTCCTTACCATGCCATGCATTTGACCCGTTGTTTATATGATCCGTGAAAAGCAAGCACTCCACTGACAGTTCTGTATTGTCGCTTCTCGATAATCTAGGCATGCACAGAGTGAAATTGGGCTGGCGCTGGATGTTCTGAACATTATCATTTCGTCGTACCAAACTACTTCGGGAACCGTCGGAGGAGCAGGAAGCGGACCTATCTCAACTCTACCCAATGCACCCCTGACAGCGCTCCCACCAGGATCACTCAAATGCGAATATGTTCCCAAAGCGCCACTACCGCTTTCGGCACTCATCTCAAATGAAAAGATGGCGCTCGGAGGCAAGAAACACCAGTTGCGCAATGCGGCTGATATTCTGATGCAGGGTGCTCAAAAGCTGAAAAAGGTTATGGTGGATGAGGGACAGTTCTGGGAGGGTGCTCTTCGGCTGAGAAAGAACAATTGGTGTATCGTCTCGGCTAAAACTGGATCAGGGCAGCAACCACACCTTTACCATGGCAATCGACTGGCGAGTGGAACACAGCTATTTGTCCACTATGGATTCCGTGATGGTATGATATCTTCGACTGGATATGACGTTGTGGATCACACTGTGGCTACCGAGCGAGATTTAACTCTATCTGCTTTTTCACAATTCAGTCGGATCCCTTTATAGTGAGCGTGCATATGCGGAGCTCGTTCGTGATCAGTCTTCTTCAGAAACGGCATCAGGAAAAGCAGGAAGCATCAAATTGCACATCCCCAACAAGACTAGGAAGATGGTTGTTATGAGTCTTGTCCAGCAAGGAGAGCCGCATACCCAGGGTACATTCATGCCCATTAAAAAGCGATCAACTTCCATCGATTTGACCCGTTATGGCCGTACTGATAAACACTTTATTTTACATGACATAGGTTCAAGAGCGTCTCAGCCTAAAAACAGGGATACGCTACATACCCAGCTTTTGAGCGCCCAGAACGCTCTCTTCGATAATGAACTTTTTCAGGAGGTAAAGCTGCCACGTCGCTTTTCATTCCAGCTGCCACGTTGCTTTTCATTCCAGCTGCCACGTTGCTTTTCATTTTAGCTGCCACGTTGCTTTTCATTCCAGCTGCTAAGTGTAAAAAAATGATGGGTATCGCTGATAGTAGATTTTAACACCCCATTCACTACCTAATAGCTGATTAACGAGGCACGGACAATGAATAACAGCGTCTCTATTGTGGACAATGAGTTGTTTCTACCCATCAACGACGAACTGGAACTCAAAATTGCACACAGAACACCGACTTCTGAAGACCAGACAACATCGTTATCTTCAATATCACCATCATCATCGCAGTCAAGCGCTCATGATATCTGTCAAAGCGGCTACAAGGACAATTTTGCCATGAATTTGAAAGGCACTGCGGAGATCCTTCGATGCACGATGCAGCTAATGCAACACCGAAGGTATCGCCAAAACATCAAAGAGCGATCAGATAGCTTTTTCAAGAGCTCTCGTCCTGGCGGTGGGCGCACCGCTGGCTCGTTTGGACAGCTTCAGCAGACGCTCCAGCAGCGTCCGACGGCCATGCTCAGTACGACTCTCCAGGTATTGCAGTATTACTCGTTCTCCAAGAGGATTCGTGAGGCACTTGGCAAAGTAACCCGTAACCTGAGGCAGAATTGGTGGGAACCGATCAATGTACACTCTGTCGACATTAAGTCTCCACCGCAAAGCACCGCTTCAGCAGCGGCGGAATGTAGCACATCAACGGCACTCTCGGGATCAACTTCTCGATCTGGATCGAACTTTGGAATGGGCTCTGCAGTCTCAATCCAACTCGGAAGTCAGGCTCCTGCGGTCCGGTTCGTCATGCGATCACATCCGGCACCATGTGTTATACTTCAGCTATCCAATCGTCCTTCAGCACCGATCATGCATGTGGCAGAGTTTGAGCGGGTATTGGAACAAGAGCTGGCAGCACGGGCCATAGGACGGATCTGCGAAGTTATCAACTCAATCGAGACCTGGAGTGATTCTATGCCGACACTACAGAGTCCCAGGTTCGTGATTGACATTGACAAGCGGTGCGTTGGAGTCTTTCAGATCCCACAGCGGAATGGTACAGCCAGTGTCAAAACAATCAGCGTGTAGGTCATGGCTAAACAACTGTCTTTATGACTTGGTCTTTGCTACCTTTGCCATAATTGACATTTTACTTATCATTGGGCCTTTTCAATTACCATGTAATGTGCATTAGACTGTTGCAATTGGATATGAAGGCAGAGCGGGCGATCAGTATTTCCCTTACTTGCAAGCAGGGCAACAACACCGGGCAGAAGCAGATCTTCCTGGAGGATCAGCAGTTTCAAAACGCGCATGGTCGCGACGCATCCGGAAGCACCATTCATCCTTACGACCAGTCAAACTCTACCGCGCCAAGTTTGCGCATAATGGAGATGACTATGGAGAGATTCAGGACATGGCTGAAGCAGAGTATCCAGGCGGAATTAGGTCTTTAATCAAGGCTGCTGCCCCTTTATGCGCATAATAAAACCCCATAGAGAGTCATTTTCTTCTTGTATTTGGTTATTAGAAAGGAATTGTGTTATGGGGTGTTTAGTGATAAGGAGTGTCTAATACGGTCATTCATCTACGGGATAGGAGCAAAGGGTGACCTTGCTCGATCTCCTCGAGATTGTGCTGGCGAAGAGGCGTATCCGCAAATAGGGCACACAAAAGATTGGAAAGCTCGCGCTCTCGGAACATGTGCAGCTGTCCAGCTCTGAACCGCGTCATGATCTCTGCAAATGATAGCTCAAGAATATCTGTCAACAGCTGGAACTTTTCCCAGGATGGCACAAAGTAGTGAATCGGGTCCTAGATGTCAAGCGGTGCAATAAAGACGTCAATAAAGCAGATCTCTCTCTTTCAACATAATAATGCATTTTTTTCAATGAAAGACAGAGCTTACTTCATGATGAAATGCGTCCCCTTTTGTTTGCTCCACCAGCGGTCCTGCTGAATCGAACTGATCTTCACACTCAAACACAATGCCACACAGAGCTGCCAGTTTATGCGACTCCTTTTCAGAAATATCCGTCAATGCCTCCAGCTCCTTAATGATCCTAATGATAGCGTCGTCCAGTAGCTTCCCGAGAACCCTGTAAAAGGTCATTGGCGATAGTGTCGACTAGAGCACAAAAAGAAAGGTAGCAAAAGACACCTGTGAGTGCCACGGCGAGACTTTCAAACGTGCAATATCAACGTTCGATATATACCTTCCACGCCTTGCCCAGATGCTTGAAAACGAGGACAACCTGCTTCATCGCTCGCTGACAAGCAGCGAAATTACCCTCTTGGCTGCTATCCTGGAATCCTCCTGCCCCATCTATGCTCTGCATCAACTCTTCTCGTTGTTTTTGCTAAAAGGACCACGTTAATGGCCTGCTGTAAGTCTTTTGTGGTAAAGAAATAAAACATACATGCATACATGCATACATACATACACACATACACACACACACACACATGTAGGTATAGACAAGGACAGTATTGCACAGAATATGAGGACGTACCATTTGAATATCCAGCCATTTCTTGGCGAGCTCTTTCAGCGCAGGAATGACATCGTCGTATTGAACCTCATCCATCCCAGGAATCCCATCCTCCAACCGAGCAGGCACTTGTTCCAACTCCCAGGCAATATACATACAATCGGTATAGAACAATATTGCTAGTGCAGGAACGTTCGTCAGGGTTCGAGCATGGTGAACCGGCATCAAGGCGCGATAGAGATCGATGAGTGAACGCGTAGCCTGGTACAAATGTGGAGCCCTAAATTTTTCACAAGAGTAGGGTAAGTAAACGGAGTGGCGAACTCTTTCATGTGTTTATTGAGCAGCATTCAAACCATGGACATAACTTACGCCGCCTCACTCAAAGAATGAGCATCATGGAGAGTGTTCAATACCATATCCATCAGTTGGCTTGATTTTATCGAAACAGACGACTCCTTCAGATCCAGGTCAGGATCGTGAATTCGACCCCAGTCGCCTCCGTCGCTTTCAGGGCCACCTAATTGATGTAGATAATCAAACCCAGGGTTTCAGTAACTACGCCTATAGTACATCAAGTGCTAGTGACATTTGCTTGCTCCGCACCTTCTCTGCCCAGGTCCCGTACTGGTATGGACTTGAAGTCATCACTCATGATCACGGCCCGTCCGATTTTCAGTAATGTATCTCTCTTGAGGTTGGTATAGTGGATGTCAATATGTTCGACAAAGTCCCTTAGCTCCCGATCCGCCTCCGTTAGAAACCCTGTATCAATAGGAAGATGGAGGGCAATGAAGTGCAAAAGATCCATTAGCACCAAAGACGCGAATAGACGGTCCACGCAAGATAAAATAAAAATAAAAATGCCATTTCAACAGCCATACCCATTGCAATTAGCTCGTCCTCGAATTGAGTGGCAATGGAGGCGATGGATCCAAAGTTGTTCAGCCCTTCGACATCGGTAGGCACTATCTTTGAAAGGTAGTGCTTTGATATCAAAGCGCATGTTTCCTTGGCGATATTCCGTCCAATGAAGTATGTGAGGATTTCTGTGTCGGACGAAAACTCCTCCGCGTTGAATTCTGGACTCGAGTAGCCGCCCAGGAATATATCCTGGTGGATGTACCGAAATACCCGCTGAACCTGGCCGAAAAGATCGTCTGCTGCAAAGTTAGCGATCCATATATCCAAGGTCCTTCGCGCTACTGTGAAAGGTATTTGACATCCAATTACCTCCGCCTTGTCCCTGCTCATAGTAAAGTGATATGGACGATCCTTCTGCAGAGGCATAGTTTCCTGAACTGTTGACCTGAAGACGGACCTGATGGTGGTGCTGAACAAGAGGCTGTATTAAATGGCGAATGAGTGCCTTTTGAAGTGGCCTCAGTTTTTCTGTCGCGACATCCAGTAGTCTCAATGCGCGAACGAGCTCGTGCCACCTGATAGTTCCTGGTGTAGATGCGGAACTGGAGCGTGTCAATGAAAGTGGTGGGACCTTGACGTTGTATGAAAGCACAAGGCCGAACTTTTGCACTGCATCGTTATCGCTTGAATGTTCTACGCGTATAGCTCCTGCTATGAGCTCGTCCAGCATCTGGTCGGTTGCCTCCGTCATCCTGGTGCATTGCTCCTGGTTGATTGGATTAGAGATCGGCGTTACTTCAAACCGCACTTCCATCAATATCCAAAATCGATAGCGCGTCGCTTTACCAACGTACTGTGAGAGACTTTGTGATTTGTGATGCAGCCACGCCTGCGTTTGGAGGCTGTGCAAGAGTCTTGGTCTAGATCATCAGAAGTTTGTTAGAGGCGAACCGAATGACTCTGTCAAGGTCCAGAGACGTGTAGAATGTATAAACTTACAGCCTGCTGAATACAATGCCCAGCCTGAAGAATCTTTCCTGCATCCATGTAGTCCTCGTACTGAGAAAGAATATCCTCGACCTTAGTGTGCAAAATGAAGCGTTAGATTTTTCGATGCGTCCTTAACGATGGAGACGCGTATATCCAAGAAGGCGGTGCGTACCCGCGAGAAATGCTTCAGGCCCTCCACGATGCCATTGTTCTCTTGCACTTTGTACAATATCTCATGGTGATTCACCAGTGCCGACATCACCGATTGTCTTAAGCCAGTCTATCGCATGAAGGCATGATGGCGGGTTAGCATGAAAGCAGACCCTGTAACATTGTAGACAATCTTCACATGCGAAAGCTGCTGTCCGGTTTGGCCTTACCTCTGGGTGAATAGTCTGAGATGTCATATCTTCGGCCTGCCGCAAGAGTCCATTGATCTTGTCCTTGAGCTCCAACGAGTATTCAAACGATTCCGAGAACGCGCTGTAATTAGCGAGCAGCTTTTTATATACCTGGGCCTAGTTTACCATAGCGAGATCCGAGATTGAGTATAAGGATGGAAGTGATACGTTTATCGCCAGTTCATTAAGGATACCGATCCTGATGGGGCTTACTTTGATGGTCTGCATCTCTGTGTCCAAGCTCGCGGCTGCCTGCATGAGTTCATCCATTGTCACTGCTTCCACCGTCTCCTCATCGCGCGACTGGTCCTGTGAGAGCTCATGGGTGTTCTGTGGCGAGAATGAGCTCGCCGGTTCGCCCAGCTGCGACGTGACAAAGCGCGCAAAGTTATGGCTGGATATGGTCGAGGTTGCCATGTTCGTTGTCCCTGTATGTCCTATGATTGTCCTGGTCGATAAAGGAAAGCAAGCTGTTGAATTGAAAGAGAGTTCTTTCAAAAGCGCAATGGTGACTGTTAGTGTATCAAGCTTTACCATCTCTTCCATGTCTTTCATGAACGAAGGATCTCACTTTCGCCATCGACACCCGGACACTCTCAAAAGCCAATAGCCCGCAACAAAGCCAATAAACCACGCGTGAATACTGCACTGAGCTAGAAAGTAGAGCATGTATGACCTTACTTACCCCGCCATATACTCCACGCACTGGAGCACCTTTCTAGGAACACACGATATACCCACTCTATCCTTTCAGTGCCTCACTCTTTCCCGCCTCGCTCCCTTCCTTATGCGCTCGTAACTGGCCTTACCAGTCAAACTGAACACATCCACAACAGCTGCAATTGACCCTCTCTCGGATATAGGCGTTCAGTAGATAATGACAGGATGATATTCCTACCCCATGGATATCAATGTGCCTGCCTGTCTGGCTGCCCAGGAGCCCCAATGGTCATTGTTGCGTCCCTTTCCCCTTACCAACCCGCAGTGCATTTGCAATTGGCCTGATATTGTACCAGTGCATTTTTTTGCGCATACGCTGCGCAATTGCGCTGCAGATAAAGTACGGAAGCGCGCTAGAAGTGACTGTGAGCACCTCAGTGATGGCCAAAGCACTCGCTTCCCTCAACTTTGCGTTCTTTCACTCCTCCTCCACAGATCGCACCACTATAACCATGTCGACATCCATAATTCCACAGTCCGCTTGGGCTCTGCTTCAGGAAGTATTTGCTCATCGGTGCTCGCGATGCAAGATGGATCAGTCGCCGCAGGAGGTTCGTAGGATTAGGAAAATTTCGCACCTCGACGACTCACACGAACCATCACCCAAAAGACGACTTCTGGAAGACGACGTCGTAACCGTTGGAGGTGACAGTAGACAGGGGCCAAGCATAGAGCACAATGGGACTACCAGCCGGGAGCGAAATATGGATGATTGGATCCTAGCACGACAATGGCATGAACCCCTAGGAGCAGTTTCCTTGCAATTGCCCTGCGGACATCCATTCGTTCCAGATTCACTACCAAAACTCTCGGTCATATACCAAGAGGGCGCCATCATGGCGATGCTGAAAGGCGATATCCTCGCGATGAGGCAGGACGATCAAGAGGATCTATCTTGGGGCGACCATGGCATTCGCAACGGATTCCGCAGTCGAACCCTTTTCGCTGCCCTGCATGCCTTAAAGTATACCAAGCAGATCGAAATCGACGCAACAGTCTCATGGATCGAATCCTCCTCAACTCTCCAGATCAACTTCAGTATCTTTTTACATATAAGTCTACTGTCGAAATCGCTGTCCTGTAAGGGTGCATTCAACTCAGGAATGCAAGATCTGATCCGCTTTCTGTTTCCTCCGTCCCTCGATTCTCGCCATTTCACGAATAACGCTATCAAGGATCTCTACACTCATCTTAAACCAGCTGCAACTACGGAGCCTCCTTCAGGAATCCAGCCGGCATCGCTCCTGCCTCAGCTGCTATTATTCCAAAGGCGATCGGTTGCTTGGTGTCTCAAGCGTGAATGCGGCATTGTTAATGTTTCAGGAGAGGTGGAATACGAGGAGCCAGCTCTGATCGATAAATTGCCGCTTTCTTGGGAGCAGATTTCGACACCTGGAGAAGTGGACCTATTTATCAACCGCCCTTGCGGTCTACTGTGCCTGGCGGATCCGGACTTGCTGATTTCTGAGCCAGAGCCTAGGGGTGGCATCTTAGCGGAGGAAATGGGTTTGGGAAAGACAGTGGAGATGCTCGCCCTCATCGTGCTGAACCGGCGGAAACTGGATCTGCCTCAAGTGTCTGTAGGCGCTTCAGAGACACAGGTACTGGAGCAGCAATTATCGGAGGCACACTTGGACGACCCGACTCGAGCGGAGACAGCTGCGAACAGGAGAAGTGGCAATAATTCAAAATCATCCACTGCAGAGACGCCACTAATCAAGAGTGCGGCGACCCTCATCATCACTCCACTCTCTATCATGCACCAGTGGGCGGGTGAAATTGAAAACCACGCGCCATCCTTGCGGGTGTTTATCTACGAGGAATCAGCGCACGAACGCATAACAGCGGAGGAACTCGCCCAATATGATATTGTTCTCACTACATATCCGGTACTATCCAAGGAGGTTAACTATACAACTCATTATGACCGACCCCGTCGATACGAACGCCTATACGTCCCTCGAAGGAGCCCTTTTGTTCAAATCGACTGGTGGCGAGTATGCCTTGACGAGGTATGGCACTGCCTTGTCTCATTTGATGATTTTTTTTTTTTTTTTTTTTGGAAAATCAAGGCACGATGTTGGAGGCGCTGACCGAGCACTTGACACGATCCTCGTCATAGGCCCAGATGATCGAGGGAGTAACAGTGTCGCAAGCGGCTGCGATGACTCTTTTGATTCCTAGAGTGATGTCTTGGGCTATCAGTGGAACACCCATTCGAAGGAATGTCGAGGACCTCCATTCTCTTCTCGCATTCTTGAATCAGGAGCCCATCGCATCCAACAAGCGTTTGTGGAAACTTCTCACGTCATTTAGCTTCCGTTCTACGTTTGTCTCGAGCTATCAAAGGATCATGCATCGATATGCCAAGAGAGATGTCGTTCAGGAGCTTGCACTTCCTCCTCAGCTCAGGCTCACTTACGGCATTCATTTCACGGAGATTGAGCGCGCCAACTATACGGAGAAATGGGAGCAGTGCCTCGCGGAGTGCGATGTTAACATCGCGAACGATAACAGCGAGGAGGCTGAGAAACTTCAGTCATGGTTCATGCGTCTTCGGCAAACTTGGTATGTGAATCAAGGCGGTTGCTTTGTTTTGACATCGAACTGGACCAAGGCTATCATCTAATCCTTTATATTTCAGCTGTCACCCGCAGATTGGATCTCGGAACAAAGAGGCGCTCGGTAGGACGAACCTGAGGACGATTGATGAAGTCCTGGATGCTATGGTTCAGCAAAATAACACACAACTCTTTACTAAGGAGAGAACTCAGTTTGGCATCAAGCTAAAGCGCGCCGTCCTCAATTCGCGGATACACAAAGACGCCTCAGAGCTACGACTGTTCCTGATTCTTGAGAACGAAGCCGCACAGCAAGTGAGTAAATGGGATGCAAAGTTCCAGGAGCAGCGTGGTAAACGCGCCGAAGAGCGCGAACTGCGACGTGCAGATGCCATTGATAAAGGAAAGGGAGTCGCACAGGAAACGTCGAGGCAAGAGGAAGATGGTATGGCAGATGATATCGACATCTTGGGCAAGTCAAAGCTGAATGCTGATGACGCTTACGAACAGGCCATGCTTCGTCACCGAGATTGGCTGGAGCAGCACCATAGAATTGTGTTCTTTACTGCTGGATTCCATCATGACCTGGGGATGGAGCCGGAAGAAACAGAGTATTACAAGCGGGCAGAGGACATTCGACAGCAGATTTTGGGTCTGGCAGAGCAAAAGTTTAACAAGGTGCTGTCATTCGTGCAGGAGGTTGTACAGCGCGTAGCACTTGATGGTAAATACATCATCCCGGCCTCAAAGTTCGCAGGAGGCATTGAGCTGCGCCGACATCTAGAGCAACTGGAGTTTGTTAGGAGCCTGCTGAACGAACAGCTGGAAATTGTGGCTCAATGGAGGCGTGATCTTGTTGAAAAGCTAACCCAGCCGCTGATGCAGGATGGAGAGGATGGCGAACAATACCAGTATTCGATTGATCTTCAGCACACGCTCGAATCATATCTGCACTTTTACGGACGCATGCTACTGCTTCGAAAGGACATCATCTCTGGATCAGACGAAGCTATCGCCAATCATGTCGCCAGTGTCGAGAAGCAAAAGGAGCACGCAGATATGGTCCGACGACGCGAGAACAGGATTCGGACGTTCAAGAGAAAGGCAGGCGAGGAGGAGATATCCAAGAAAGAGGAAGACCTTGACACGCGACTGGAGAGGGAGATGAACGATTTGATCAAACCAGAACTGGCTTCAAGTATGCGAAGCATACGCGCTGCCATGAAACCTCTTGCAAATGACGCAGCTGGGCCCAATCCAGAGAGACAGATGGCTGAGTTGGAGGATTTGCGCTTAAAGGACGAACAGAGCCGTCAAACGAAAGTGGTCCTTGAGTTGGAGAGGTAAGAGGCTCTTTTGCGATCGTATGCATGGCAATTGACTCTGTGTCCATGACGCTGATGCTAACGGGTGTTTATTGCGAACTCTCTTTGCATAGAGAAATATCCTATTTCCGTACATTAACCGCAGCACGCACAGTTTACTACCGTCAGCTGCAGGTGATATCCGATACTGTCCGCGATATCGAGTCGAATGATCCTGAGGAGGACATTGGCGACTGCTTGCAGGAAGAGAACAAGCTGCAATTGGAAATCACGCGCCTGATAGCGAAGCAGCGGTACCTGGAGCACCTCGCTGAAGATAGTGGCCAAGGGAGCCAGACTGACGAGGAGAAAATTTGCTTGATCTGTCGTACTCCATACGAGCTGGGATTGATGACTGAATGCGGACATGTATTTTGCGAGCACTGCCTTCTGGAATGGACCAAGATTCACTCGAAATGCCCTTCCTGTAACAGTGTGATATCGAGGAGGAGATTGACCCGGGTAACTATGACTGGTCTTGGGGTTACTACCTCTGAGGCTGAACCCAATGCTGCATCGGCAGAACCCGGGCCATCATCGTCATCTCCTTCAACTGCGGTCAAGGAACCACAGCATGGAGCTAACTTGCGTCTGGTTCCGGAAGTTATACGACGAGTGACTGTCCAGGATGGATACGGCAGCAAGATCGACAGCATTGTTCGTCATATCGCCTTCCTGGTTCGAGAGGATCCTAATACGAAGTGCCTGGTGTTCTCGCAATGGGCCAACCTGTTGAAGTTGTTGGGTAATAGTTTGAGGGATAATCAGATTGGATTTGTCAAGTTGGATGGGGCCTCAGTCAAAGCTGCAGTGAAGCAGTTCAAGGAGAGCCGGGATAAGCACGTCTTTATGCTGCATGCCAAATCGCAATCCGCGTAAGTTGATCTTCTGCGCATGCTACTCTTTTCATTTATATTTACGCGTACGCTAATCCACCCCTCTTAATTTTCCTACAGCGGACTGACCCTATTATCGGCGACACACATTTTTATCTGCGAGCCACTTGTAAACCCAGTGCTGCAGGCCCAAGCTGTGAGTCGTGTTCACCGTATTGGGCAAACCAAGGAGGTACTTACAACTGAAGTAACAAAACTATGACAGTTGATATTCAGGCGGAAATATGCCTTGATTACTGACAACCACACTTTTCTTGCTTTAGACATTTGTGCACTACTATTTGATTCAGAATACTGTAGAGATCCCTTGCTTCGACCTGTTTGAACGTAGGCAGGCTGCAGCCGCAGGTGCCACGAACGACCATGATTCTAATGACGACAAACAAGGTAGTGGAACATCGACACTCACATCGATGAGCCATGATGCGACAAGCGAGAAGAGTGCTGCCGGATTTGACGCCGATATTGCCATGACGGCCTCTGAGGTCGCGAGGGCACAGAACAGAAACGGGGAGCTAGTGAAGCTGGAAGATTTGAAGTACTGCTTCAGAGTCCAAAAGCAGATGAATTTGACAGCTGCCATGCAGTAAACTGGGCCCTGACGCTTCTTCTGAGTAACTCTCGTCTCGAACGACACATGAACGGAGTTACGAATGCATGTGATCCGACGGCTGTAATAGTCAGCCATGTATGTACCAGTGTCGGCAATTAGGCCATAAAGTCAAACTAAAATATCTTTGCCACAAGAGCGCATGCCTGTCTCATATTCGATGAATAATCTCTTCAAGAAAGTGCCTTTAGCCATTCTCTTCGATCTTCCGGCCATGTTTGTGTAGTAAACTTCCATTCTTCAAATGCTCCAACGGTGGAATGCGCGCTGTCATTGAGATTGTGAGGAAAAGCAGCAGCAATCGTGCCCAGCTACTTTATCATCTATTAGTAAATATCGAGAACAGCAATATGATGACAGATAGGCAAGAGAAAAGGGAAAGGACGGATTACAGGTAGATGGGCGGGAACCCTTGTAGGCACGAGTTGAATAAAAGCAAGCGCGTTGCTGTGAGTGACTAGGCTGATGAATTCTTTACTTCTCTGCTACTTTTATCCGTGTCTGAATATGACAATCGATCAGTGCTTTCATAGTTCCTTTGGAGCCCCAAGAGGATCCGAGAAGCGGTGCTTTTTTGTGGCAGAAACGCGTCCTGAGCCATATTCAACGACCCTATACGGCGCGATATACGAATGTATTCGTTACTGTTGGCTAGAGAAGTGTTGTATACTCTGCCGTATATTCAACGAGCCTCTACGAGTATACAACAGAGCGGTTTTCATCCATTTTGCTGCTTGAATAAATATTTTCACATAAAGAAAAAAAAAATTCACGTCCTCCCAACTGCTTCCTCACTCACCACACATACCCCCACCATCCCTATTATTTTCCCATGTCCAAGAAGAGGCACCATCTCAGCGAGCGCCAGCTCCTCATACAGGAGTACGAGCGCGGCTTCCTTCAAGCCTACCAAGGCTACATCCAGGGACTCGAGCTCCGTTCCGAATCGCTACCATACATACCCTGGGCATATGGGTCAGTCCTTCCGCAGCTCTATCAGACGCGTCGACGTTGTTTTTGTTATGACTAGTCATCTTGTTGGTGGAGGTGAAGGAAAAGAACCCAAGTGCGTAGATATTTAAAGCGGTAATTTCCTGGATTCTTTAACGGGAATCTTCCTCTACACTACCTCTCCACCTTTCAACCTGCTCCATTCCTTGAACATGAGCTATCATATCCAACAGTGCACAAGTCAGCTGCCCCCCCCCCCCCACCTTCTGAAAGTTCATGCGCTCTATCCCCTAACATGAATGCTACTCCTTCTCCATTTCCACCTTTCCAATCAACACTCGACGAGGCACCTCGACCTGTTATTGTACCTTTCTTTCAGAGCGCGTCTTTGCAGGCAATCATTTATGCTGCGACGCATCCAGGAACTTGAACAAGAAAAGCAGGAACTTAGACGCGAGATGCGAGTCCTCAAGGACCAACTGAGCGCGAGCGAAAGAGCGGCGATTAAGCTGCAGCTGGGTCATTGCAACGAGAAGGAAGAGGTGCGGAACAAATTTGCCCAAGAAAAAGAAGAGATGTGGAACAAATTTGCCAACGAAAAAGAAGTGCTTGTGCGTATGAGTACAATACAACACCAGATTGTTATGTGCGAGCTGGCGGCTACAAAGAAGGAGCTCGAACTGAGGGTTGCGCTTCTAATGAAAGAGTCCAAGTAGATACTAATAAATATCCGATCGATTTATTAAACCTTTTAATTCCTGCGTCGATGTCTGCTAGTACGGTTCTTATTTCTCAACACATATGCCTTCAGTCCCTCCCTCTTCCTCCTAGCCTCATTTCTATCCTCATGCTCTGCTTCAACCTGCCGCACATCATTCTCCACCAAATCATCATTATCACCATCTTCAGCAGCGGTGTTACCGACGTCTTGGAGCACCTCGTCATCCAGAATCTCCTCTGTTGCATCTTCACGAACGAAATTGTGCAAGACAACACATGCACAAATCCACTTGGATGCCCTTTCGATATCTTGAACGCACTTAATCACGACTAGCAAGTTTTAAAGAGACACAAACTTCACCTTGAGCATACCAAAAACATGCTCAATTTTGACCCGGGCCGCGCCATGAAGGGTATTAAAGCGTGCTTGATCTGCGTCAGCATTCCTGAATCTCGGAATAACAGTGGCTGTCAAGGCGTACGCTACATCGGCAAGTATATACTCCTGACCACTGGAGTACTCGTTTTTACGGGTATACAGGGGTGTCCTCTTGTAAGCCAACGCGTCATGAGTGGATCCGACGTAGCCGGTTGCAAAGTACGTAAATCGTCCCAAATGGTCGCAAACAGCAGTGGCTCCCATGGCGTAGTCGCACTTTCTTGTTATCCACGCGTTAGTCTCCCACGACGGACTCACGGCAAGAGGGAAAGAGACACCATCGACAGCACCAATGCACTCAGCAAAGCCGTGCTCCCGTTTATACATGTACCAGTCCTTGATTACAGCCTTGCGCGCATTGTCTGGCCACACGACATAGCGCTGAAATAGCTCGTCCAGTGCATTGATGCATCTCCATGTATACGCTGTAACTGAGCCGACACTGATACCTGTAACCCATGCTGTCATCAGAGCGGAGATCCCTTCTGAACCAAGGCGGAGGAGCGCAACCTTCAACTTAATAATGATGTCCTCCAAGGGTACATGTTCGTCTCCACGTCTGAAGTGATCGCTTCTGCTGAGCATCAATGCGATCCTCTGGAACTGGTCTTTGGTGAGACGCATGATGCCCTTGAATCTGACATCATTGCATGCGCTGAGGACGCGATCCCTTAAGTCCGTAGATGACGGTGCCTGAGTTCTAGGGATATCTTTAATGGCGTAAGAATCATTGTCTTCCATCATCACACACGCATTATAATCGAGAAAGTAGCTTGTGTTCTTACCTATTCCCATAAAGGAACTCCAAAATCTCGACAGTTGCTTCCAGCATTTGTAATCGAACAAGCCTCCTCTCCTTCGGGGTCTGCACGATAGTGATAGCAGCATCGGCAAACTCTCTCTCGTGCTTGTTAATGAGGTGTTGTTTATCAATGTAATTTGGCATCGTGCGAGGTGTGAAGAATGGTGGGTAGGTGAGAAAAAAGAAAGTTTTTTTTTTTTCTAGTGATGGATGCATGCATACTGCAGTAGAGATATCATCGGATTGATTTTTTTGGTGAGGGCTTATCAATTACAGGAGTTTTGCTTAACAAAATATTCATAATTGACAATGTGTGACTAAAAAAATCAATCCGCTTTGCATAGTGCGGCGTGCATGGTCAAAGTCGGTAACATTAGAGAGTTTTGACGGCAGGGAGTTCAACTACACCACTGGACATGGTAACTCATTTAAGTGCGCATAGACCTCATGAATATTTATTTCGTACATGGATCGCCTCATACGAGAGTCGCCAAAAATGGATGTGCGGAAAAAACCCCCGTTGGGGAGGTTTTTATTGAAAGAAAATCATCATCGTTTCATTAAAGAATATATATCGAACCAGTCGAGTGATTAAAGTGCCTTGTAGGACATGAAAAACTTGACATGAATGTCATCACCCAAGGTGGCCACAACTTCGGTACCTCGTTCTCCATATGGTACCACAGCATGGAAAGGAACCTGTGCACTACCTAGGAGCACTGTGAGCCCCAGCAACAAATAAACACACAAACACGTTCCTGAATGTTAGTCCCTGCGCTTTACTAAACCTCTTTAGTACAATTGACGACCAAAAAAAAAAATTACCATCAGGAGAGAACGGACTGCTGGACATGACTTTGACATTCAAGACCTGGATGAGATCCGTCATCGCGAAAATAACACTCTCCCGCCAAAGGATCGAGAACGTTCCTAAGAACGCGTGCTCCGTTGAAACCGCCCGGGTCGTGAAGAGCTGCTCGCCCAGCGAGATCGTGCACAGAAAAGATTTCGATTTCGCTAAGTTTTTTTAAAGCGCGTCAACAACGTTACACAAACCAGGTCAATGAGTCTGCACAGAACCGCGAGATTTCAAACATTGCTTGCCGCCTTACCAAATTCACGACTCGAAATAATCCCCTCGTTCACCCTAATAGTCATTGTGCCAATAGTCTCCGCCAACGGCGGACGAATCGAAGTTCTCATGCCATACCCCCTCGGTGCCTTCGCCAGCGCCTCAATCGCCTTCTCCATCGACGTCACCCAACCCCTCCGTTCCTTTGCCGAGCTCGCCTTCACATGCACAAGCGCTTGCAAGAACCCCTGGCTCTGTTGCAGCTGCTGCGAGGACTGCAGGTGTGCTGGTACACTACTATACTGCGCAGCGGCTGCTGGAGAGACAGGTGTAGTAATAACGATCGTAAATTTCAAATCATCTCCCTGGTCCGGTCGGACTTTGACCCTTTCCAGCGGAATCGGTGCTTGGTAGAGCGACCAGCCATGACTGTTATTGTTTTGTCCCCAATCCGAGTGGGATTGCGAAGATCCTTGGGAGTGTGAGCTATGAGGGTGCACGATCGAAGTGTAGGAGGGCGTTCTGGTGAGGGTGGAGTGGGCTCGTCCTGGGATGAAGAGGAGGAGGAGGTCATTGAAGAGATAGGCGTAGAGCTTTCGGCCGGACTTGGCCTTTCGAAGGTTTCCTTCGTACAGGATCTGTCGTCGACCGAGATATTTCGTCTCCGAAGTCAGCACCAATCCCTACATTATACACGTATAGAACCAAAGATAAAACGATGAGTGTTACACTGCCTGAGGACACCATACAGAAATTTAAGCCACAAAATAGAACATACCTCAGACATCTCACCCGCGGGCAGCTTGCGTTGAATATCTTCCAGCTGTTGCTTGGTTTCGCTGCTACGGATCGATTCGTTGATGCGATCCAAGAACTGCTCCGCTGAAGTAAGCGCTTCCGACAAGAGGAGGTGATCGATGTGATCCTCTTCCGTGTATTGGAGAATCTATTGAGATGCAGAGCAAACGGGGCTTTAGTCGCCAGAACTAACCGTGCTATCCAACATGGTTGTGCCTTGCAAACACCAACGTCTCAGGAATGCACCTTCTTGATCAAAAGAGGATATCGGGTGATGCGTTGAAGCGGTTGCAGCAAGAAACTAGAAATATCAAGCCCTCGGCAAGACGGCTTCGATTTCGCTTGCTATAAGAAAAGAAAAGGGGAGTGGAAAAGCAGCTGTCAGTTTTTTTCTACCGAAAACAATTCAACATAACGCGCGCGTCCTTTGACCACGAAATCTTACATTCAAAAAGTCCTGCAAAAGCCTGCTCTCGGCCATTCTCCTCGTCAGCAGGTTACTGGCATCGCGGTGGTTTGCGCAATAGCGCATAAAACAGTCTGCCCGCTCCACAATATGGCTGTTAATCACATCGCCGACTGCCAGCACCACTCCATTATCACTCCTTTGCCGCTCCACCAGCTCATCGACAATGCTTTGCGACAGTTCCAGCAGACTAGACCACTCCATAAAAATGGCCTGGCTCTCTGCTGGAGTGATGAGCCCTTGATCCAGCAGGGGCCGTTGAAATTCATCTCGAAGTAGATACAAATACGACAGGTACACTTGCTCCGTCGTGATCAGTTCGTGAATTGCCTCCTGTCTCTTCTTTTCTTTCTCGGTCAGCGTCTGAGAGATTTCCATTCTAACCGAAGAACTCCAGGAAGGAGAGCCGAGCATTGGGCTGGGGGACCGACTGAAAGACCCACGAGAATACGACGTACCGTTCGATGGGTTTTCAGACGCAAATCTGGGGTGAGGAGGATGGGTTTTGGTCATCACGTCGGAATGGCTGCCAGAACGCTGACGCGTCAATACTGTGGACTCTGTAGGGACAGCCAGGCGCGACGGCAATGCGCTCTCTGAATGCTTTCTCAGAAGCATGCCAGGTACTGAGGGGGCACTCATGGAAAGCGTGGAAGTGGTGAGATGATTTGATTTCGGATACGCTCCTGTAGGTCTGGGTGGTGGAGCTCGGTGCTTCGGCGCACGCGCAATTGCGATGGCAGGCGTGGTGCTCACGACGGAAGCAGCTAGCTTGGAGACAGGCGTATCATCTTTGTTACCGCCGTCCTCACTATCATCATCTTCATCATCGTCATCGTCATCATCAGACGACTCTGAGTCCGTATCAGAGTCATCAGATTCCGCGGTGGTCATTTCCTCTGCGGACTCGTATTCTGAAGAATCGCTGTCTGCATCCCTCACGGCTATTGAGCGTAAATGGCACAGCCAAAATAAAAGGTAGAAAAGAGAAACGATACATTCAGTTCTTGTTATTTCACGCTTGTTTTTTTTCTTGTTTTTTACTCCAACAATTGTATATCTTTAATAAATCTCAAAGTTCAGAGGTGCAAGGAAAGGGCAGACTACTCGACGCGACACCGCCTCATGCACAAACAGAGGGAGGGACTGCAACGATGAGAGTCTTCATCCCCGAGCTCCACATGGACGATACGCGCCAGAAAGAAATGAACGAACGGATAGCAATACAATGCACTAACCAATAGTGGATTGCCCGTCAATTTCTTCTAAATACGTGGCGGGAAGCATTCCAGTAACTCCCTGGGCATTCTTGGCGCGCCACCACAATGGGTCGGGTTTCTCCATGATCTCGACCTCATCACCAGCGTCCACTGAAAGCTCCTCCGCGCTCTGTCCTGCATAAGCGTAAAGGGCTTTAGCCTTTCCAATAGGAAGTTCTATTACAAAGCGTATCCAGCACGTTATCAGCAACATGTTCGCGCCTTACTAAGTTCAGTTGCACTGATGAAAAGACCGCAGTCTACTTACCGATAGCTGGGGCCTGGCCCTCGATATACTCTTCAAGATATGTGGCTGGAAGCATACCGACAACGCCCGAGGAACTCTGGGCTTTCCACCACTGAGGATCGGGTTTTTCAAGTACCTCAACAATGTCGCCTCGCTCGACTGCGAGCTCACCCTCGTTCTGGGCAGCGTAAGTGAAAAGCGCTTTGGCCTTGAATTTTTCTATTAGGCATATCCATTTGATGCATGTCAACAATCTTTCTGATCCATTAACAGTCAATTCAGTTAGCCTCGCATCTTTCCTGCTCTTACCAGCAACCTCCTGAATGTACGCTTTGGGGAGCCAGCCCTTGACCTTGTCGTCCTTTTCCGCGACACCATAGACCCAATCCACATTGTCGGCTTCCTTGGAAGGATAGATAAGCAGGTAGTCGTTGGCATCCAAGTTGATCTGGTCAGGGGCCATGGCGCTGTAATTCCAAAGGGCCTTAGCACGGCGGCCGCTCGAAAAGTCGACCTTGTTCTCAATGGAATCGTCAGCCTTGGCCGCTGGCTGCTGTGACGCTACAACAGCAGCTGCGGGCTGGGCCATTTCCTGGGCTGCTGGAGACTGAGCCACCGCTGCCAAAGGTAATGCTTCAGGCTCAGATGTTTGAGGCTCAGATGTTTGAGGCTCAGATGCTTCAGCAGGAGGATGACTAGCCAAGCGACCGAACCAGTCAGTACTCTCTCGTCTACTATCGTGATCCTCGGCCGGAGTATCCGCTCGTCCAGTCGCGATGCCCACCAACTTTTTAAGTGTAGGCATTCCACCGGCAAACAAACCTCCAAGGCTAGGCATACCCATAGGCCTATGATCCGAGTTGGATTCTATATGATCTGCCTCTTTATCCGTGGAGCTAGCTGATGCTGCGTTTTCTTCGCTCAAAACTCGCCCTAATAATATTCAACAGCATGATGAGTAATGGAACAGTTGCAGTGCCCTTGAAAGAAACATTCTCCGTTTAAATATCAACTCACCAACTCCTTTAGCTGTGCTCTTGTCTGTAGTGACAGCCTTCCTCAACCGGGCACCAGCTTGGATCTGGCTCAAAAGAGCTCCACGAGCGCCCTCGGCCTTGGGGAGAGAAGACGACCCAGATGCTGATGGAGCAGGTGGGGGAACTGGTATACCAGCCTGTGGGGCTGGAGGAGCAACTGGGATACCGGCTGGCGGAGCTGGAGGAGGAACAGGGATTCCAGCTGGAGGTGGTGGTGGTGGCGCCGGAGCTGAAGACGATGGCTTCAAGACATCGGTTGGTGGCATTGGGGGAGGAATAGGGATGGTACTGGTAGGTTGAGGAGGTGGCAACGGAATGGACGAGCCGGCGCTTGGCATGGGTGGTGGAGGAGGAGCGTTTGCCGATGGAGTCAAGATGTCCGAGGGAGGGACGACATCGGTTTTTACAACACTCGCAGACGTGGAGAACAGCTTCTGCGAGAGTTGGTCGACAAAGTTTACGTCCTTCTCTACGACATCCCAGCCATCTGAGGTGTCTTTCGAGTGCGAGGCATTCGTTGCTTGAGGCGTGCTGCCAGAGGACATCATGAGGAAGAAGGGATTGTTCGAGTTCGAGATAGCACTCGAGCTTCTAGAAGTAGCAGCCGGTGCAACAGGAAGAGTGGAGCTGACAGGGCTCGCCGTGTCCCAGTCGTCGTCAGATGAGGAGATCGACTTGCGGTGCTTTGCAAATGGGTTGTTATCGAGCGTGATGCGGATTCCCTGGATCTTGGGGGGCTCAGGAGCAGGAGTAGGGGCAGGGGCAGGGGCAGGGACAGGGACAGGGGGGGGAGTAGGGGCAGGGGGAGGAGCAGGAGCCGACTGTTGCTGCTGCTGCTGCTTGGCGGCCGCAGTTGATTGTGCGAATCGCTCTTTCCTCTCGCGTTCCTCCTGCTCTTCGCGCTCTCTCTCGAGCCGCTGAAGTTCCTGCTGCTCCCTCAGTCTACGCTCCGCTGCCTCTCGCTGCTCCTGTGCCTCTTTTTGAGCCTGACGTTCTGCATCCAAACGCTCCCGATCTCTTTGCTCCTGCTCAGCCCGGGTGTTACTCTCTTGGTTTGCCTTCAAATCCCTCTCTGCCTGTCGCTCCTGTTCCGCCTGACGACGTTTTGATTCTGCGTTGGCAAGCAACTTCTCTCTGGCCTGACGCTCAGCCTCCTCAAACTTGGCACTAGTATACGCGTCCACCTCAGACACAGCAGATGCTGGGGAAGGAGAACTGGTCTCTGCACGGCTGATATGGGCCTTTGCAAGGAGTTCGTTTTGGCGATCGCGCAAACGCTTCTCCGCTTGAGCTCGAATAATGGCACGGCGCTCCTCCGGGGTCTTGCCGGCGAGACTAACACTCGATAACGAGGGGGATGAGACGACTGAGGACGATGACGAGACTGGAAGCGAACACAAGACTGGGGTGGATGCATTCAGCCTGCTCTGCGAAGTCACCGAGGAATAAGCATGCGTAGTAGACGATGACGAGGATTGGTAAGAGGGAACAGAAGGCGGCTGAGGGTTGGCAGCAGGTTTGATCTCTTGAATAAAACGGCGTGCAATCTCGGACTGCACACCGGCTCCCTCCTCCCACCTTCGACGATCGTTATCGGAGCGACTGTCTCCAAATGGACGCGCATGAACGTCAAGATCTCGCTCAAGTTGGCGCATGATATCCTCAAGCCGACGAACGGCTGTCTCAACTTCAACGACGTTTTGTTCGCTGACATCCCTTTCAGCTCTGATACGAGCAGCCTGATCAGGGTCAATTCCTGCTTGGGCGGCGGAGGGAACAGGTTTTCCAGTGAGAGCGGCCATACGTTGGGCCTTCATAAGCGCAATTCTAGCCTTCATCCTGTCCTCTGCAGTAACAGCCCCTCCTGGTCCTGTTCCGGCAACGTTGGCATCTCCACCTGACGAATTTCCGGCCTTGAGTTTAGCGACCTCCAGACGGGACTCCTCCAAATTCTTATCGGCTTCACGCACCTTGCTCGCGAGTGCCGCGACGGATCTGAGCAATGCCGAAACTTCCTGGTCCATATTCCTGCGTTCCTCCCGAAGACGAGCAAGATCTTCGGATCCACTGGCGATTCGTCGGTGGATGCTTTCGTTTGATGAAACCATGAGTCTTGACTGTGCGTTCCTGATCTGCGCCTTCAAGTCCGCGATCTCCCTGTCCTCGCTTGAATCGGATTGGCCTGAGTTTTGAGAAAGTGTCGCCTCAAGGATCAATCGCTGTTCATTGATCTGCTTCTGCAGTCGTCCAACAGAGTTCTCTGAGGAACCATAGCTGCGACCTGATAATGCTGGGCTGCCGGAGGTATTTCCTCTACGGGCAGAAGACACGTATCCTACGTCGTCTGGGGCTCGGACGCTGAGACGTTTGGATACGGACGTGGAGGAGTTGGAGCCATAGGAACCCCAGTTAGTGGAACCGGTTTTGGAGGGGATATCGGTCATGAGCGATCTTTTCACAAAGTCGAGAGTCTCTGAGATGTCGCGTGAGGAAGGCGGGACAAGGTCGTCGGGCAAGACTGCGGGGATGTCGCCTCCATTCAGCTTTCGATAGACCAGATGCATGGCGACAGCGAATTCGTCCTTGTTGAGCTTTCCTTGATTATTAGGATCCGCGAGAGCCCTTTTTTAATTTTGGCGGCCAGACGTAAGTATAGACAATGAAGTGTTAATGGAACTGTATCTCAACAGCATTCCTACGAAAAGATTAGGATCATAATCAAAAGAAAACGTACCAGATGTGACCCAGGTCTGTCTGTGGGAGACCACTCAATCCAAAGATCTCACGCGCGCGTTCACCTACAAGAAAGAAGCCATTGACAAGAATCATGCACATATCAGCATACTATAATGGTGTTTTTTTTGTCTTTTTTTCAACTGGTCGTGTTATTCATATTGATTGCAAGAGATAAGTTTACCGCTGATGTAGCCGGAATGGTCGGGATCCCATTCCGAAAAGATCTGGTCATACTGGGCCTTTTCTTCGCGGGACACGGCCCAGCCAGGACGGGCGGGCTGGTACTGTTGCTGGTGCTGTATCATGCCATACTGCTGCTGCTGTTGGAACAGGGGTTGACCGAAGCCGGCATTGTATTGGAAGTTGTTGCCGACAGCAGAGTGGTAGAACTGTTGCTGCTGTTGTTGCTGAAGCTGCTGTTGCTGCTGTTGTTGCTGAAGCTGCTGTTGCTGCTGTTGTTGCTGAAGCTGCTGCTGCTGCTGCTGAAGTTGCTGCTGGTACTGGAACTGCTGGTACTGCTGCTGCTGCTGCTGTTGCTGCTGTTGCTGCTGCTGGTTGCTGAGGTTATTGTACATTGCAGGGTGGTCCCAACTCTGAAGCTGCGCCGAGAGACGGAGTGGCAAGGAGAGCGAGAGTATGAGGGGGAAAGAGAGATAGAGAGAGAGAGAGAGTGAGAGAGTAAGTGAGCGATTGATGAAGAAGGATGATGGGGGGAATGAATAGAAAAAAAAGAGAGGGATGAGGAATGTGTGTATGAGAGCAATACGGCGCCCGCCCATTTCCTGTGACGTGAACTTGCCCGTTGCCAGCGATCGACCTCCCGCGCGTTTCGTTGATGAGATGGCCCTTGCTGCTGTGTGGGCTGATTCAATCAAGGCGATCCCTTCCCCCCCTCCCCCTCCAGCCTGGCATCCCTCTCCCCTTGTCCCTGTCCCTGACACCCCTTTCCCCCCTTCCCCTGTCCCCTTTTTCTCTTTTCCTCTTTTCCTCTCCCTTTTTCTTTCGTTTCTCGCTGCTGTCTGTTTTTGTTTGTTTTTTGTTATCCCGTGTCCCTCTCATCCTCTCCTTCCCTCTTTCCCAGCCCAGTCCTCCCATCCTTCCCATCCACCCTTCATCGCCATCTGTAATCCTTCCTTTGCTCGGTCGCCGTCACCACATCACCACATACGCGACTTTGTTTTCATTCCACAGTCCAGTCCATAAAACACAATCCCCGGCCTGCTTCCTGATTTGCTCTTCTATCCTCTTTAACCTTTTTAATCCCTCGCTCTCTTCTTTCCTTCCCGTCCTTACTATCTTCCTTTTCTCTCTCTTTCTCTTTCTTTCTCTCTCTCTCCCCCTCTCTCTCGCACGTTGGTCCATACACATTAACCTGCTCTTCGTCTTCGAAAACGCAACCGACTGCCTCTATTGACAAACCCTGTGCTGTGTAGCCGCTATGCAGAACCAGCAGCAACTCCAGCAGCAGATGCAGCAGCAGTTGCAACAGCAGCAGCAACAGCTTCAGCAGCAACAGCTTCAACAGCAACAGTTACAGCAACAGCAACTTCAGCAGCAACAGCTCCAGCAAAAGCAGCTTCAGCAGCAGCAGCAGCAACAGCTCCAACAGCAGGCCCTACAACAGCAACAACAACAGGCTCAACAGTTGGACTGGCGCTCAAAATTGCCCACAGAAGAGCGTCTTGTCCTAATCAAGAGATTGTAAGTGGCGAAGGCGGGGTGCCTGCATACTGTATCAGTGTATGCCAAAAACCACATTGCCTAATCACACCTCTTTTTCTCCTATTCTGCCTTCGCCTTTACCATCATCATCTAGATCCGATGCCCTCAAGGCATTGTCGCCGACGATTGCAGACCAAAAGATCCTTGAACTCGCAAAGACATTTGAAAATGTCACTTTCACACGCTCTCAAACCAAGGTACGCGAGCGAAGGCACAGCTTCTTTTGGTTCATTTGCACCAAAATATCAATATTTTTTTTTGGCTCTGCGGTAAAAACCTAACTCCTCTGCATCCAAATAGACCGAGTATCTCAAGGCATACTCGAGAAAGCTGCAGCAGATTCGGACCCAGATCTCAGAGGGACAGCAAGCAGCTGGTGGATCGCCCATTGTTGGATCACCTCAGTCTCAGGTGCCCATGGCTACTACGCCGACGTTGATCCAGCAAATGATGCCGTCAAATGCGACGCAGCAGCAGAATCAGGCTATACAACAGATGATACAGCAGCAACGTTTGTATCAACAGCAGCAGCAGCAGCAGCAGCAGCAACAGCAGCAGCAGGCACAACAACAGGTACCGCAACCACAGCAGCAGCAATCGCCGTTCCAGCAACAACAGCAACAGACTCATCAGGTACCAATACAGCAACCCATGTTCAGACCACAGGCTAGTCCTTTTCAGCAACAACAGACAGTTCCTCAGGTTCAACAGCAACAGCAGCAGCAGCAACAACAGCAGTTGCAGCACCTTCAACAACAGCAGCTACTCAATCATCAGGCTCAGTTGCTTCAGCAGCAGCAGCTGCAGCAACAGCTGCAACAATCCCCTCAATCCCAAGGCCTTGCCGCCTCTGTTCTCCCTCAAATCAATGGACAGATGCAGCTAAATCAAATCGGTCAGCAACAGCAGCGAGGATTGCAGGGCAATGTTTCCATGCCAGGAATTTCAAACGCAGATCAGCTGTTGCTCATACACCAACACAGCCAGAAGGTCCAGCAAGAACGGCAGGCGCAAGCACAGGCGCAGCTTACATTACTTCAACAGCAGCAGCAGCAAGCGCAACAGCAACAGCAGCAACAGCAACAACAGCAGCAGCAGCAGGTACCGCAGCTGACGCAACAGCAGCAACAACACCAGCAGCAACAGCAACAATTGCTGCAGGCCCAACAACTGCTCCAACAACAACAGCAGCAACAACTGCAGCAACAGCAACATCTGCAGCATCAAATATCTCAGCCTCAGCAGCAGCAACATACCCCGCAGATGTTCCAATCACAACTCCAGCAGCCACAGCAGCAAACTCTGCAGCAAACCCCACAGGCGCAGCAATCACAGGTCAACACAGCGATCTTGAATCAAATGAACCCTGGAAGCGCCATGTCCAGTGCCATTCATGTCCCCACAACTGCAGTAGTGTCAAATCAGGATCCTGCGCACCCTAATGGTCATGTGGCAGTTGTTTCTCAGCCGGGCTTCCCTCAAGTCAATGCTGTTAATCCGGGTGTCCCAGGGCAGGGTCCTGTCAGGAATCCAATCACAAATGCATCACGACAAGTTGCAGCTGCGGCTGTCCAGTCCATGGTTGAGAAAATCCAATCCAACAAAGGTATGCTTATACTCCTGTAGTGTTGCATTCTATATGCCTCTTATAACTGATACATAACACACTGGCTTTCTTTTTCTTTTTCTTTTCAATGATGTAAATAGTTACTCCAAGTGTATTGAATGACCTAACTCCGGAACAAAAGCAGTCGGTCAAAGATCAGATGGGGCAAATGATGGCAATGTACTTGAAGCTGGACCAACTCATGCCCGTCTTCTTTGCTTTGACCAACAATCGGGATGCCATTGTCCGTCTGATCCTTATGGTAAGTCTGAGAAAGGTGGCGTCGTCCTTGGTCTTTTTGCATTCAGTCTCTCGAAGCATTTAGACTAACCAATTAGTGATATCGTGCTTACGTATGTATAGAAATTCATGTTTGAAGATCAGTTGGAGGCACTGAAGCAAGAGCAATATACCATCACGCCGGAGAATTTGACCAAGTTGAAGGAGCGACTCCAGCACTACTTTTTGTGGGTCAAATCAGAAATGTCGAATCCTGCAGCAGTGGCTCCAGGCGGGGCTCCTATGGCTGGAGGCATCACCAACATGAGTCAGATGAACGCTGCAGGTGTGGCACAGGTCCCGGGCGCAAATCCGAACATTGGCCCTGGCATGGTCCCGACTGCTGTGCAGGGAGGGAACATGAATAATGGTTTCAACGGCGCGGTCAATACAGAGATGAACCCAATTGTAGGCCAACCAGCCCCCGTGCTCAACAACTCGGCCCCAGCACCAGTACCAGCAACAGCAGCGACGCCTGCAACGACAACGCAGCAGACAACAGGCGCTTCTGCGACGCCTGGTATGGTAGTCAAGCTTGGCCTCACGCCAGCAGATCTGAAGTTACCCCCTCCTAAGAAAACCAACAATTCGCCCCCAAGCACGTCCTTCCCGGTATCACCAAGAGCCGATGCAGCTGCCACTGCTGCTAATGCTGCTGCTGCTGCACGAAATGGCGCAGCTGGAAATAATGCGACGGCAGGTCGACAGGGGACGCCAAAGCAGGCCAACGCGACTCTTGCTGCAACATCAAGCGGAGCACCTGATATAGTACCAACGTCAGCAGCGATGGCTCAAGGCGGCACATCACCTATACCGGCGATTAACAAAGTTCCAGATGGGACAAACCTTACATCGTCCCAGTTCTTGATGGCCCAGCGAGCACGGCAAGTGCAGCAGCAACAGGCGCAACTACAACAGCAACAGCAGCTCCAACAACAGCAGCTCCAACAACACGTGGTGCCTCAATCGCTGCCTCTGCCATTACTTCAGCAGCAGCAACAAATGGTATCTCAGGTTCCACAGCAGATGCAACAACCATCGCCTACTCAACAACCCGGGACTGTTGGGCCAGCAGGGCTTGTGGCGAAACCACCTGTGAACACATTGGAGACCATGTCCAAGGATGATTTGATTCAGCAGTTCCAGATGTTGCAGCGAGCACTGGCGGGCAAGACACTTCCAGCGAACCAGGTGGTTATGGTCAAAATGCAGTTACAAAAGATTCAGGTGGAGCTTGCGAAGCCGAAACGACAGGAGCAAGCACCAAGATTTGGCGCTATGGCCTCCCCTGTGAACCGGGCCATGACGGCCTCACCTGGAATGACAACCGCTCAGCTGTCGACTGTCGCTGTTGCCGGCACTCCTGTCGCATCCTCACAGCCGCAACCACAGCTCCCACAACCTCTACCGCCACAGCCGGTACAACAGCCTGTGCTAATCACAACAACGGCTGCCCCAGTGCCTACAGATATAATACCGCAGATCAGGGAGTTGCAGCAGATACAAGAGAATAAGACGATGGCGGCTGTACAGAACCTGGATCCGGTCGAGTCGTTGACATCGACGTACATGACTGTTGTTGGGATCGATAATACAGGGTTCATCCAAGACGAGGTGGTGACACGCGAAGGGATATTTATGCAGCACAACACGTTCGAAGGCTTTGTGGGCAAGCGCATCGGCAATGGACCCGGCAAGGACATGTACGATGAGGAACCTCGAAAGCGAACGAGACGCGAATTGAAGGATGATGCTGTTGCGGAGCATTTATTGCTGAACGAAGATGGACATCCGGATGCGTTTATGACAAGTTATGTGGATTGGACGCAAGGGATTCAAATAACCTAGCGAAAGAATGAAAAACATGCTCCAAAAAAATCATTCAGTTTTCCATGCCGTTCTGTGTATATTAGCTTTTTCTTTTTTCTTTTTTTTTGTTTTAGTCTATTTTATTTATTTTTATTTCTTACTCTTGCAGCATTTTAAACAGCTATGGCGCTACTTTCCTATCCTCGGCGCGTTTTACATTTTGCATAGCGATCATTGCCGCGCGAAGGGTCGAAACTGGGGATTGAACAAACGAGGTTCATGTAATAAAGGTGAAACCAACAAGCTATAACCAATCAGACAGGCCTTTCATTCATGCGCAGCATGGCGCAGCACAGCACAGCAATTGATCATTCCACAATATGCAATGGAGGACGCGGTCGAGATAAGGACGCGATTGCTTACCCCATATAAACGATCTAATTTCAAATGGCCAACAGGCGACAGTTGCAACCCACAACAGCATTGCCTCCTTCCTAGACGTGGTCCCAGTACTTGAATGCATTGGTATCGCATTTTGTCTCATAATCGAGAATTCTCTGCAGCAAAAAATAGCTGCCTGCGCTCGCAGTTTGTTCAGATCGTTTGTTTTTTCCTGCTTGCAAGAAGAGGCGGGGTCTAGTTACCGACTTCGATACAATTAATTCAGTCCGCCAATGCTTCTTCAGAAAAAAAAACCCCCCCTTAGAGCCTTTGCACTTTTAGATCTTTCTTACCTACAGAGAAAGCTGACAAATACTTGTCTTCCAAACTCATAGACGAGCATCTGCGCTCATTCTCTAATGAAGTAGCCCTGTCTTTCGATTTGCAAGAGACTGCCAAGGTAGACCCGCAGGCAAATCGTGCAACGTACTCGAGCAGTAGGTCAGCTTGGCCCTCTTTTTTTTTATTATCATTATGAATATAAATATAATTAAAAATACATCAAAAAAAGAGTCTCAGAGTCCGCCCGAGAGTTCTTCCCGCACTGGGAATTGCTCTTGAGTCTCCTGCCAAACATCTCGCGCCTGTTCCAAGAGCCCCACGAGCTCCGAGATTTCGGCCTTTAGCATCTCTGTCTGTATCTGAATCGGAATCAATGTCGCCTGGGTCTGCAACTGTCTTATTGCCAACATTCCTCCAAACCGCGAGCCCAGTGCTTCGCCTTCGACATTGCTGTTACCGTTGCTGCTGAGGAAGCGGCTATGGTCCTGATTCATGCTGACGACATGGAGCATCGACGACGTCACATTGAAGAGACGCCAGACATTCACGAGGAAGACGGTCATTCCCAACGCAAGCATCACCAGGACCATTCGTGGAAGTATACGGCCTCGAACGTGTGTTTTCTCGGCGGACAATTTAGAAGGTTGTGCTGTAAGATCCCGAGCATCTTCAGCGGAGGGAGAGAGCGCAGCAGAATCCTGGGCCAACTTATCATCCTCATCCGCCACACCGGCTTCCCCCGACTGATCGACCGACGAATCCCCTGCCGGCTTCGAGACCGATTCCTGTGTGGCATTATCTGGCCCTGCAGCGCCCGTCTTGACTGCATTGGAATCCTGATTCGAGTCGACGGACAGCTTTGCAAAGATTACGATGCTCTTCCTTACAAGCTGGTCCCATAGTGCAACCGCCGCTGCCGCTGTGATCGCCGCCGCCGGCTTACTTGGCTTCACTGTCGCTGCGGTGGTGATATTCAGATCCCCAGACACTGTCACTGTGTCCAAGGTTACAGTCTTCGACAACAGCACCGAATCCGAATGCGGCCTCACATAATCCATAGACGGTCTTGTCCGTCGGGTACCCACCAAGAGGGTCTTTGAATACTGCTGCGAAAGCAATTCATGCGCAGGGCTCATTCCCGGTAATCCATCCTGCTTAGCACTCATCACACTTCTCGAACTTGGACTCGTACTCAGCTCTGGCTGAGTGACATTCATGTTGGCCATGCCACTCTTCGCTCCCTCTCCATCCTCCGGGAGAAGGACCTCCGTGGGCACCTCGATGAGGCGTCGAATAAATTCTTTGAGGAACCCATCCGCGCTCTCGACGGACGCGGCCTCGATCTTATTGCCCCACAGGATCGTCTTCCGGAACAGAACCTCCACAAAACATTTGATCCGCGTGTTCCCTGTCATTGATGGATCCCGTAGGAGGCAGATCTGACAAAGGGTTGAGAACTGTTCGCCAAAGGGAATATACGGCAGTCGAGACTCGGTCTGCACACGGATCACTCGGTCATCGTATTGTAATATCTCTTGTGTTTCGACGCAGGATGCTGTTGCTCTGGCCACTACACAATAATAATAATAAAAGGCAATATACAATAAGGTGTGTTAGAAAGATGTATGAAAAAAAAAAAAAAAAAAAGATAACATTGCTGCATAGAAATCATGAAGGGATTCAAGGACATACACATGGGAACCTTGAACGGAATCGAGTATTCCAACCGCCGATTGGCACCCTCCCACGTATCCTGACTCGCGATACAACACTCCCTATCATTTTTCATCCAAGGTGTAGTCTTCACATCCGTAGATCCATCAATCGCCCGCTTCGTCTCGACCATAAGTTCATTCCCTAGTCCGGCACCCTGACCCGAGAACAGCAACTCAAAACACTTCTCCAACGGTATTGGTACCACTGTCGATAGGATCGCATGCTTGTAATGCCTCTCACAACCACAGGACGCCACCGCAACGATCATATCCGGGGATCCAGTAGTATTCGGAAGGTCCGTTATCGTCGACACGAACGAACGCTGTGAAGCACCTGAGCTGAACACAGTCGACGTCTGCTTCGCCTGAACTTCCGTCGTCATATCCTCCTCGTCGAAATTTTTCTCCCCACTCTCCTTCCGTACATGAACGACCATCCCCGCCGAACCTCCTTGTCTGGGTGTGACCCCATGCACCGTCGAAGAAGAATGCGACACTTTTGTCGTTGTCAACGAAGGCGACAGCAATGACGGCGGCGGCGTCGGCGACTTGAACAATTTCGGCCTCTGAATAGACCCTGATCCTGTTCCTGCTCCGGCTCCTGTCGAATTCTGAATTGGAATAGGTGCTGCTGCGGTGGTCAGATCCTGGACCGAAGAGCGTTCATGCCCCTCATCACTACTGTTCACACTCCGGATCGAACGACTCGCGAGTTTGCATCCTGGGCGGATCGAGGTATCATCCGAGCTGCTCGATTCACCGTGCTCCTGCTGTCTCTGCTTCATCCCGATGACCGCGGTGATCGCGCGGCTACTCAAAGTGGAGTGACTGCCTCGTCTCGTTCCCGATCCCGGAACAGTTGAATCCCGATTGTAATGGTCATGTTTGTCCAGAATCGCATGTAGAGCGGCGTTTGTCTGTGCAGACGTTGCCTGTGGCCTCCAAATCGTGCTTCCAACTCCTCCTTCATTCCACTCTGTAGCAGCAGGAGCAACGCGGCAATCACTCGGTGCGGGCCTGCTAATGCCTTCTGGGCTAGAGTATGTACTATTCGATGCCACAGAGTAGGCCCTCGTCACCCGCCGCCTCGCTCGAAGGTTTCCCGACTGCATCGGCGATTGACTCCCTGTTCCCTTAGGTTCTAAAGGCTGCCGTTGTTGACTCGTCGCATGGTTCAAAGATGATGGGTCTGTATTCTCCTGAGCAATAGAGTGGTGGTGGTGGTGGTGGCGGTGGTGGTTGCCGAGATACTGCACCACCTGTCGATATACAATCCAGTTACGTTCCATCTCTCCAAGCGCCTGCTCCCAGTTCATAAAACTCGTCAGCAAATATTCCTTCTGAGGCGTCGGTTCTTGTGATGCGGATGTGGATGTGATAGAGATGTTGGCCCTTAACCTGATCTCGTTCCGGAAGAGCCCTACTTTACGCTCAGTTTCAATGGCAACCAGATCCCTGTAATCAACAACGAAACGAACAACTTGACCATTGTTCTTCCCCCAGAAACAAACATGGGTCGCCATGACATACAGTGTCCCCTGCCACGGCGTCTCCGGCTCGTCGTGCAGGGCACACATGAATTCGTTCAAATGGCCCGGACAGCTTCTTGATCCATGTTCTGACGCAGATACTGAAGTCGAAGACGAGGAGGAGGAGGTGCTGGAATGATCGCTCATTGAAAGAGATTGGAGGGTTCTCGAAGGAGACATGGATTCTGGAGGGGTTTGTGGGGGTGTGGCCAGGCAGGGTGCACACAGCCCCATGGGTACGTCCATCAAATCCGCCAGTTCTGGGAATGCATTCACAAACCGTCTTTGAGCCGTTGTCATTGATGTTGCTGTCGTCACCGCTGTCGTTGATGTCGCTGCTGATGGTTTGGGGAAGGAACTCGAGGTGGGTGAATGGGGGCTAAGGGGTGGTTGACCAACGGAGCCGTGGCTGTGGAACTCGTAATGTGAAGAGGGTCTCCAGGGAAGTGCCAAAGAAAAGGTCGACCGTCGTGTCTTTGCCGGGGTTGTTGTCATGAGCGTCGCGGAAGAGGAAGATCTTGTTGTTGCGGTTTCTGACTGCGATGTATCTTCTACGAAGACCATGTCTTCATGATCTGCGCTATCTGCTAAGCATACACATAACAGGTTAGGCTTATATCCATCTTGAGAACTAAAAAAAAAAAAAAGGGCGCACAATAACTTGTCTCGGGTTTGTTGAGTTCCCCGCATACCATTGTTCTCCCAGGTGTGGTGGTTGATGATAGTGGTGGCAGCAAAGGAAGAATTCCATTCTTGACTATGGCGACGCATAAGTTCCTTCTCGGCCTTACTGCTGCGGATCGGATTTTCTTTTTTTTGGTGTAAAAGCCTTGGCAAAGTAATCTCGTTTCCTACGAAGTCGAAACCGCCGGAGTAACAGAGGATTAATATCACTGTGATGGCGGACGATATGAAGGAGACGGAAAGGGAGTGTAAGGAGAGAGAGGCATAGTAGAGGAGAGGATGGAGGATGTGGATGTGGGATATGTTGTGTGTAGGGTGTGTTCGAGTTTGACACTAAGACTTCACACTGCGCAGGAAATGCGCCGAAGAATGTGAGTCCACTGATACAGTAGTGTAAAGTACACAATCCTTAATAATCCTTTGATTATTGATCGTAGAGAGTGAGAGAGAGAGAGGAAAGACGGAATAAGTCTCGATAGTGGTAATGGTACTGGTTCTGGTGTTGGTGCCGGTGCCGGGGCTGGTGCTGGTGCCGGTGCCGGGGCTGGTGCTGGTGCTGGTGCTGGTGCCGGTGCCGGGGCTGGTGCTGGTGCCGGTGCCGGGGCTGGTGCTGGTGCTAGTGTTGGTGCTGGTGGTACTGGCGGTGGCAAGGGTTGATGAAGGATAAAACGGGACGTTCATCGATTGAACGACCTGAAGATTTGATTTTCGTGCTTGACATACAAACAAAGCAGTTATCGAGTCTCTGCGAGAGTGATGCGTTCAATTGGTCGTTGTTTCTTGAGAGAGGGCGTTGCGGAGGAAATTATTTTAGAAAGAGAAGGGTGGGGGGGGATGGGATGAGGAAGGTGGATGGCGAAGAAGGGGTGAATGGAGGAAGGATGAGGATGGCAAAAGGAAAGGTGTGCGCTATAAGAAAGGGGGGAAACAGAGACGATCACATCGCATGGGCTAGGTTTATACAGCGTCCACATAAGCGACCGTAGATTGTAATGAATAATGAATAAAGTAACAAAAGAGGAGAGAGAAAGAAACATCAGGCCACTCAATCTTCTCTGCATTCGCCTAAACCTTAATTTGTCCTCGATATTTGATTGAGCGCTACATGCAATCCGATGCACCGACAGTTGCTCAGCCGACCTGCAGTGTGGTGTGGTGTGGTGGCAAGCAACGGGCTGGCAGTGGGGGAGTTTATCTGCCCACATCACCCGACAATACAACATGCACTCCTCCTTTTCTTTTTTTCCTTGCCTGTCCATGTAGGACAAGGAACACTGCATCGTCTGACTCGCCTGACTTTTGCAGTCGACTAGAAACTGCATGCTTTTTCATAGCAAGCAAGTAAGCAAGCAAGCAAGCAAGGGCCACATTTGTAGGGGCAGTATAACGCACATTGACCTACGCATTCCAGTAATCCAGGAATGCTGACGATAGATAGATGGCATAAATGTCAATGCATGAGCGAGCATGCTTGCATACTCCTGCAACTCCTTCTTACAATAAAAAATTATATTAATTATATCAAAGGGCCCAAACTCCTTCTAAATTTTCTCCCTATGCTGAATCTCTGTTGCACTATATCATTGCAAGAAGGAAGCTCTACAAAAATTCTAGAAAGGTTAGAGAGTTCTTCAGTGGCCGCTCGGTGTTCTTGATAGCGCGTAAACTTTTCTTTTTTGCTATACTTCCATTAGTCCTATTGATGGGGCTGCTTGAGCCATAGGTCAAGCACCCATGCGGTTCATAAATAATAGCGGTTTGCATCTTGCTTGCTTGAGCCCAGAGTAAAAAGTACAAGACATGGTGTGGGGGGGGGAGGGAAGGGGGATGTGGAGGAATGATGTTCTTCGTGCGTGTTACCATGTGGCCTCGGCTTCAACCAAACGCATTGACTCCCGTTTCAAAAAAAGGAGGAGGCGACGGCGGCGGCGAAAATTGTAATTATAAGAAGGCGGTTCCCCACCCCCCTTCTGTTTTGGTGTCAATTGACCGAGTCCAAATGCCCCAGTAACGTTATTATCCCCGTGCCTTTTCGATCCACATGCTCTTTTATTTTTGAAAGTGAAAGACGTGTCTGTGCTGCTGCTGTTAACATGCAAAAATATACTGTTGCTGAAGTAGACAGCTATAGCACACATAACCAGCAAGTGTCAGTATAGACAATGACATATGGTTCAGAGAGAAAAGGGAGACGCACGTTTCCGTCCATGGCATGACGAGTGTTGACGGCTGTGGGAAGAAGAAGAGCAATTGCGAAAAGAAAGAATAGAAGAGTAACAGGATAACAGGAAGTGGATAAACCCCCAGTGAGCAATCGCGTTCCCCACCAAAAATCAAATCGAATCTCATATCCCACTCTCGGTGACACACAAACAGTCCGTCCGACGACTCCTGCTGCCACGAGGGATAGGCGAGCCAGGCCAGGGCAGAGCTTGTCTGTCTTATTTATAACGCCGATCCAGACACATTCTCACACACGGACACGACATAAGGCAAAGAAGGATTCCTCTTCTTCTTCCCTCTCTCTCGCTCCATCCCTCTCTCGCTCCTTCCCTCTCTCCCTCTCTCCCTCTCTCCCTCTCTCCCTCTCTCCCTCTCTCACTCCTTCCTTCTCCCGCCCGCCTTTCTTCACATATCGCCATCGTCCTCTTCTTTGTCTCGTCTTCGTCTTCTCCCGCTCCCAGCCACTTCCTCTCTACGCCCGTGCCACCCACCTTCTTTTTCTTTGTCATCTTGTCCCTGTGCCTCCCTCTCACTTTTCTCCAAGCTCGTTGTGTTTCTTACATGGCCACCCACGCCCCTCTCTAGCTTCATCTTGTCCCTCTCCATTGACCAGATCCGACCTCCCTTCTCGTCATTAACCCCACCTGCAACTTCATTCCGCTTTCTTCATTCAGCACACGCACCGCACTCTCACACTCACACGTCCCTTACTTGGTTTACCCATAACTATACCATAGTCCTGGTTCAGGCACAACCCCTTTGTTCCATAGTTCTCTATACTCTCTTTATAACTTTCCTCTCCCACCTCACTTGTCACACCTTTTTTTTGTTTTGTTTTGTTTCTTGTCGATTCAATGGATGAACAGGATCCCGTCTGTTTAGGATGTCATCGCGCCATCGAGGAAGGAAGCGTTGTTGCCTTTGGAGAGGGCCTCTGGCACGTCCAATGGCAAGTATCTCTTATCGACTCCACATGTGGGGGAAAGCAATGAGTCCGACTTGAATTCTATCCTCATACCCATACCAACTGCACACACTACACATACGGGGCTGGTTCTGCTGGCGTTGGACTGGTTGACTGGCTGCTTGTTCGCCTCTTTTCTTTACATCCCAGGGCGTACCAACTATAGCCATTTTGCTTTAAAAAAAAAATGTAAACCCTGGGCTATTTTTGCTTGTACCTGAATCCTATTTCATTGACACAAATCCTTCAATAGCAATCTCTATTGGCAATTGCTATTGGTATTGCTATTACTGTTACTGTTGCTACTACATTCCTATTGCAATAATAATAATAATTACCACTGCTATTGCTATTGCTATTGCGATTGCTATTGGTATTACCAGTACCTACTCATGAGGTACCTGATCGACCCGATTAAACGCCAATTATCCGTTTTACCAATATACCAACTTCAATGGGGCTCCCCTGTTTCCCCTGGTGCCCCTGCTGATGTTGTACGCCTGTACTTCGGATGATCTTTATTGCCAACGCAGATGATGACTATTGGCCATACATTGTGTCCCGTGCTTTGTTGCCCACGCTAACTGGTTTTAGTAGAAAGAGCACCGCAGCCCTACTTCGCCCTCCCTTTCTCCTTCTCTTTCACTCTCTTTCAATACGACCACTGGCTGATTGACTAATGAGGACCCTGAACTGACCAACGGCTTATCCGGCTGGTGTTTATCTTTTTTCCAGTTTCCGTTGTGCGAAATGTAAAAATAGGGTAGAGTGCGATAGCAATTTGCTGTTGCTGTCGGACGGGAGCCCCATCTGTGAACAATGTTCCTACAACTGCAACATTTGCCGAAGACCCATCCTGGATGAGGCTATCATGACAGGTAATAAAAAAAAACCAGAGGGCGTTCTCTGTTGCGAGCCGCGACGAGGACGTGGAAATGAGCATGAAACCATCGTTTGTTTCTTGACGGGGAAGCCTTGCAGCTTGTCTTATTACCATGAGTCTTAACCCATCCCGCCTCTTTACGTCTTTACTTTTTCATTGTTACACCTTGTGGCTGTATACCTTCTTTGCTACCTCTAGGCGATGAGGCATATCATGCAGATTGCTTCCGGTGCATACAATGCGACACCAAGATTGACGATCTGGTTTTTGCAAAGACCTCCCAGGGCATCTACTGCATGCTGTGTCATCAAGCACGAAAGGAGACCAAGCGACTGCGAGAGGAGCGTGACCGGATGGAGCGCGCAGAGCGGTCGATGGAGAAGCTGCTGCCATCAATACCAGGAGGACAGGTAATCATATCGTTGTTGTCACATAGCCCTCTCGGCTTCCACACCTCCATGGCAGCTGATGCTAGGACCTCTCCGGGGGCCTGCGTGCAGTTAATCAGGCGTCATGTCTATGGGTTTTTTGGCGCGCCGGTCTCAGTTCAGGCTGGACTTTGATGACGGTGGGATCCTGTGGCGTCCTCCGGTCACTGGTTGGCTGTGTTCTTGCTATTTTTTTCCTCACCAAACCCCTTTCTTTGATTTTCCTTCTTTCTTCATTTATTCACGACAGAAACGACCCCCAGAACCCAGCCGATCACAGCCTGGCCATCCGCTCCCCAGCACCTCACAGCGCACCATTGCCAGCACTAATACCGCACACAGCAACACCAGCAACACCAGCAACAACTACATTACTGGCTACTCTAACGGCGGTCATATTAACGGCGCCTATACCAACGGCAACGATTCCAACTACACCAACGGCAGTCCGCGTCTTCCCTCTGCAGACAATAGCTTTTCCCCGAGCCAGCAAAGTCCAGAGATGTTAAAGGTGCCAGGTCCTAAGGGTCTGAGGCATGACCATAATAGCATAACAAAATCCAGCAAGGTCACGCCATTGTCGTCTAGGGCTGGAACGGATAAGCGACTACCTGACTCGAAAGGAGAGTTACCCACAGTTAATGCTGGCCCTCCATTTTTACCGCCGCTGGTCTTTGGACTCGATGATGTCTCGACAAGCAGCTTTGATCTCAGCGACATCCTGAGCACCCCAGATAAAAAGAACACAAAGGAAACATTGTCAACTCCTCCGACACCTCCTACAAAATACGCCGATATTATCAAGTTGGAAGTGAACTCTGCGCTCTCTTCGGATAGCTCTCGTCCCTCAACAGAGAGTGCAAACACAACCTTCTCAAAAAAGAGCAGGAGTACCATTGATCGTGTTGTCGACCCAACATCCCCTTCTTCCGAGGTAATATACATGTATTCATGATGAGGCAGTCGGCTGTTACTGGGAAACTTTAACATACTGATGAAGGGGTTCGTTTGCGCTTTGTCCTCTTATTAGCATGATACCACGAGTTTAGCGTTAGCAGAGGCTGAGGCGATGGTCAGAGAGCTGCGTATGGAGCTCGCAAAGCACAACCCAATGAGTCCCTTGCTCCATGGGACGCCGCAGCAGGAATATGGGCAGCTACTGGATAAAGTAAAGGCGCTGAATCAGGAACAGGCACAGCTGGAAAAGTCGATCCGTGATATGTGCATTGAAAAGGACATGCTTGCAATGGACCTAGACGCCATGAACGAGGAGCTAAAGTAAGTCGTCCAGTCTGGATATATGTGCATATTCGAAAGATAGACTATGCCGAAATTAATCACGCCGGTACCTACAATTGCTTTTGAAACAGGGCTATGGAGGAAGCGTTAGCGAATGGCAACAACTCTCTCCGACCAGTCTCGGTTCAGAACCCTAGGATGAGCACCAACCACGAGTTTATGAAGCAAGCATACTTGGTTGAGGTGAAAGCACTCCAACAACAAAAAGAAAAGCTGCAGAAGGAGATCCAGACCTTTGTGGAGCAGCGGGACGGCGTCTTGAACGAGATGCAGATTCTGAGTGTCCGTAACGCAGAACTTTCGACCATTAACAACGACATGATGAGGGAAATGCAAGAACGAACGGATCCCAGATCAGGAGCTGGGCACTCGTCCTCCTACAATAGCATGCTCCAATCCTTCACAGACAAGATCAAACGTCAACGCCAGGCGAGCGGAGGAAACCAGAACGACTTGAGGGCTGGGCGTATTTTGGGAAGCAACGAATCGACACATTCCTTCAACTCGGTCTTGTCAGACGAAAATGGCCGTAGTCGACACGTCGGCGATGCACACTCTATACATAAGGCTAGGCGAGAGAGCCGAGGCGACAATGTCTATGGCGATGAGATCATGGCGCCCAAGAAATTCAACTGGAAGAAGGGCACAACGAATGCAGTGAAGAGCGTCGGAGCGATGTTTGGCAAGTTACAGACGGAGAACTCGAGCTCACACCTCGAGGTCCCGAACAGTAAACATGGACACGTTCTGTCGGATTCCAGTAGTGCAGATGGGCTGATCTTGCCATCTACGCGGACTTATACCCACAACAGCGAGACGCGATCCCTGAGCGGAAAATCGACAGAACAGCACTTTTTCATCCAGCAGAATTTTGTCCGCCCTACCCGATGCGAGTATTGTGAGGAGAAGCTTTGGGGACGCGAATATAAGTGTCGCAGTAAGTGATTTACCACCTTTTTTATCTGTTCAATGTGGATGATGCCAAGCAAGGACTAAAGATATTTCTTCATGTTTATAATAGGCTGCGGATACCAAGTCCATGGAAAATGCACGCATGATGTCCTTCCAAATTGCTCAGGACCATACAAGGATTCTGATTCTTCCAGCCTACGAGGCATAGCCTCCAGTGGCGCCAGCAACACTGACGCCCCGCCTGCACCCCCAAGCAAGCAGATCATGTTCGGAGCCGACTTGATGGAGCAGTTGGAGCTCGAGCAAAGGATTGTCCCGTTGGTGGTGGAAAAGTGCATCGAAGCAGTAGATGAGCGAGGACTGGATGTAGAGGGTATCTATCGGCGCTCGGGAATGGCCGCGGAAGCGAGACAGATGGTTCAGGCATATGACATTGGACTCCAGCCGGACCTCATGGACACGACTACATACCAGGACATCTGTTCGATCACCTCTGTTCTGAAGCAATACCTCCGGAGTCTGCCCGAGCCTCTCGTCCCGTATGGCTTATATGCCGAATTTATAGAGGCAGTCAGTCTCCCCCAGAACGAGTCCAAGCTCGCAGCATTCAGGACGCTTTTGGGACGGATGCCTCTGGCGCACTATGAAACGTTGAAGGTGCTCTTGGAACATCTGAATCGAGTGAAAGCTCAGGATAACATCAATCTGATGAACGCCAAAAACTTGTCGGTGGTGTTTGGACCAACACTGATGCGCAACCCCGACCCGAACAAGGAGATCACGGACATGACCTACAAGAACATGACGATCGAGTTCTTGATCAATTACACTGGAGAACTCTTTTTGCGCAACGAACAGCGAGTGTCGACGAACAGTAACAGCAGTAACACGACCATGGAGAGGATCTCAACAAGCAGTGCACAGGAGCGACCGTCGACCAGCAGTGCGAACACGGGTGTCAGTTTCGGCTCCAATGCATCTCCCTCATCTTCGTCGTCATCGCCGTCGTCGGCGCCTCGTCAGGCTGCGAATGGCAGTGCAGGACAGATGAGTCCTCCTCCGCGGCGTACACCTGCCAGCATCGCTAATGCAGGTTCACCACCGATAAATGGAGCTTCTGCAACGTTACCATCACTACTGCCGCGTACTTCCTCGGGAGATTCTGTGTCTTCGGTGGCATCCCTGTCATCGAACGGACCATCGCAACAGCAACAACAACAACAACAACAACAACAACAACAAGCGCAGGCGCAGTTGCAGCCACTGCAACCACCTCCCCCGCAAATGATTTATCAGCCCGTCTCACAGTACAAACCTCAGCCGAACCAGACATTGCTGCAGCTTCATCAAAAGCAACAGCAACAGCAAGCATTGCCGCAGTCCCCTTCTTCAGGCACACAAGCGCTGGTGACTTCTCAGACAACGGCGACGACGACTACCTCACCGCCAATGGGCCCCAGTCCTTATCTTTACAAGCATCATTACCCAGTGACACCACAACAGCAACAGGCGAATCCGGAGGTCGACATGTCCAACTTTCCCTGAGCCAGAGCGGACCTCTCCTTCTTTCTTTAACCTCTCAGTGAACCGCCACGTTGTTCAACGTATATATATATATATTAGATTCGTTACTTTTCTCACTCTTTTCCACAATTGCCACATAGCCTTCATCCTTCGTCCTTCACTGATCATTGAATATCCATCATCATCGTCGTAAAAGAACGATATCTCGCATTCACCAACGTCGACTGTCTCGTGTGCGTTTACCTGTGACCTGAAACTTGTAGGTTGCATCTATGAAAATGGCGTTGCCTAGGCCGTCTGGGCACCGCCTGGTTCTCGTTTTGAATGGAAATATGTTTTAGGTTGAGCATTCACGGTCTATTAATAGACACGAGAAGCCAAAACCAGAGAGCGATGAAAAAAAAAAAAAAAAAAAAAAAAAAAAAAAGGCGGGATACCAGTAGCCCTCACTGCGCTGTTAAGCTTGTTGTTTTTGTCCGCGGATGTTATCGAGATAACGTGAAGGTTCTGGACACGAAGGAGAAGAAGAGCGCGTTGGGTGCGTAATTCAAGCCTATCGAAGAACGAAATGGGGCGGAAAGAGGTTCTTATCGTTCGATGGCATCCGCGGGTGGGTCTGGGGCCTCTGTTTGTGAGATGCGCTTTCGGTTGGCGGTGCCATCTGCTGAACCTTGTTTTAATAGGTATCCAAATTGGGCACAAATGGAACATCTCCCATCTCCCTTCTCTCTTTCTTTTTCGTCCTTAAACCCCCTCAGCTCCTCCTCCTTTACCTCCCTCACCTTTCTCCCTCACCTTTACATCCTCCACAATGTCCCACCCCAAGCAGACCATCCTCGTTACCGGCGGCTGCGGCTACATCGGCTCACACACGGTCCTTCGACTGCTCGAGTCCGGCTACAAGGTCGTCGTCGTCGACAACCTCTCCAACTCCTCCTACGAGGCCCTCCGCCGGGTCCACACCCTCTACGGCCAAACCGCCGCTGCTTCGCCCTCCCCAGTCTTCGAAGACGCCTCCCTCCCGCTCGAGAGCTTGATCCCATTCTACAAAGTCGATATCCTCGACCGCACCGGCCTCAAGGAGGTTTTCGCCTCCCACCCCGACATCTCATCCGTCATCCATTTCGCCGGTCGCAAGGCTGTGGGCGAATCCGGTCGCATTCCTCTGGACTACTACAATGTCAACATCTCTGGCACGGTGAATCTGCTCCAAGTCATGGAAGAACATGACGTCCGCAAGATCGTCTTCTCCTCATCCGCAACCGTCTATGGCAACCCACCCCATATTCCCATCCCAGAGGAATCGCCCATCGTCGCGTCCATGAGCCCCTACGGTCGGACAAAGGTCTTTTTGGAGCATATCATCAAGGACCTCTGTGTGGCCTCGCTACTGAAGCAGGAGCAGCATCTGGCGGAATTGAAGCACAGTGGAGAGGACTCTGATCAGGCCAAGGACACGCAAAAGAACTACCAATGGAGCGCTGTCCTGCTGAGGTACTTTAACCCCGCGGGCGCACATCCAAGCGGGATCATGGGCGAAGATCCTCAGGGGATCCCCAATAACCTGATGCCGTTCCTCGCCCAGGTCGCGGTCGGAAACCTCGACAAGTTATCTGTCTTTGGAAACGATTACCCTACAGTTGACGGTACCTGCATTCGGTAAGACTTTAACATTTATCTCTCAGCATTCATTTAATTGCGAACTAAAACCTAACCAACCTTTTTCTTTTTTTTTTTCCTCCTCCTCCTCCTCTCCCTCCCTTCATCTCAATGACAATAGCGATTACCTCCACGTGGTCGACTTGGCACAGGGACACGTCGCTGCACTCGAGAAGATGCAGAGCTCTGGATCGCAATTCGGCTGCCAGGCCTACAACGTGGGCACGGGTACTGGCTACTCTGTCTTTGATATGATCAAGGCTTTCAACAAGGCCGTTGGCAGGGAACTGCCCTTTGTGGTCACGGTACGTCGTCCAGGTGATGTCCCTAACTTGACAGCGGATCCAAAACTCGCGAACAAGGAATTGAACTGGAAGGCCGAGAAGACTCTGGACGAGATGTGTGCGGATCTGTGGAGGTGGCAGCGTAATAACCCTAAGGGGTATAACACTGTAGTACCTAGCACGGTTTAAGAAGAAGAAGAAAAAAAAATGGTGTACAGGATCATCTTGTTGAACGATCGTTTGAGGAGGGGGCGATTCGCTTGGGCGGAACAAACACGAAAGAGAAGACCTCGTAGAAAGCAGGATCGATCGATATACATATATACATAGAGAATAAAAGAATGACAACTGCACAGCGTAAAAAAAAATAAACTCCTCGCTTTGTCCGTCTGCTTGCGAAAAAAAAAAAAAAAAAAAAAAAAAAACACCCATCGTCTTTTTATTACTGGTCACCGCGCGGCTATGATACACCTAGACCGGTCCGCCAGATCCTTCCACACCTGAACTCTCCTGAACCCTGCCTCCCGAGCAGCCTTACTCACAGACTCGACCTGATGATCGCCTCCGATCTCAAACACCAGTTCCGGAACCTTGACCTCGTCCAGGTCAGGTCCGTTCCGCCATTGCCGTTCTGATACAGAGTTATTATGTTCATCAGAAGAATGGTGGGCGTGGGTGTTACTGTGGAGTAGCGACATGGCCATATGAGCAATCCGTGGGTAGAAGATTAAGCCTTCTTGGTCTGCAAGGAGTGCGTTTGGATCCTCCCATTGTGCGACTTCTGGTTCGAGGGTCGAGAATTCTGAATGAGAGATGTAGGGTGGATTCGAAATTATGAGATTGTATCCTGTAGCCCGAGGAATCCTTGTCGTCGTCGTCGCTGCGCTGCTATTGTTATGATACTGCTCCTGCTCTTGTTCCTGTCTCTGTGAAGGTGATGAGAACCTTAAGAAGGTGTCAACAGCGTCGGGGGCCATGAGATCCCCCCGCTGGAAGTTTACACGATTCCCACGCAGCAGCGCTCGGTTATGGGTTTCATTCTCTGTAGCGAGCTGGATAGCCTTTTCGTGAATGTCGATGCCAATGAGGTGGGAGGATTTTGGAGGCAGAGCGGAAGCGAGGCCGAGAGGGATGCACCCGGAGCCGGTACAGATGTCGAGAATTCGAAAGCGGGAGGACGACGGAGAAGAGGACGAGGAGGTGGAAGGAGGGGAGGAGGACTGGAGTGAATGATGGATAGGTTGGTGAAGTGTTTGATGGGAGAAATACGGTGTGGAAGTGAGGACGGTTGCGAGCCGTGCTGTCCATTCTTCGGTTTCCCATCTAGAAAGAATGAGAAAAAGTGTATGAGCAGAAGGTCAAGAGCCATTGAAGGCGAGATAATTTTGATCCGCATGGTCCTTACCTCGGTATCAGTGTCGGCGGTCGAGTCAAGATCTCCAGATCCATGAAAGGTTGTGTCCCTGCACCGGCCATTCACAAAAAAAAAAAAGAGCCATTGTCAGCCCCCAATCCCGATCCTCCCCCCTATATCGCAAAACTGTCAGATCGCATGCGGACAAAACATTATTACCAAGGATATACTGCAATGGTTTGCGTGTCTTGACTCTCTGGTCGACATAGCTCTCCATCAACCGAACCTCCTGCTCCGATAAACTCTCTCCACGACTTAACCGGCTTCTGCTGACATCGTTTGTGGAATGAGCTGCATTCTGATCTGTTTGTCCTCGTTGCTGATCCCGAAGAGATCGCCGCTGTTGCTCTTGAGCGTGTTGTAGTAACCACTTCAGTTCCTGGGCAGCATGACTCCTGCTGTGGTTGCAGACGGGTACGAGCGCCTCAGTCCAGATCCGGATCAGTTCAGTTGTCGCGGCTCTCATCGTGGAATGACCTTACTCTCGTTTTTTTTTTTTTTTTTGCGATCGCACAATTGAGTCTGTGGAAACTTTTTTTTTTTTTTTGTGACACTCACCGATGTTTAAAAGTTGGTGGCAAAAGAATCAGTTATATTGTGGATGCATTTTTTTAATGAAAGCTGTTGAAGAAAAGATGAAGAAGGACCTAGAAGTCCTCGCCATCGGACTCATCCTGTTCTACGGCTATCTTCCTGCTCTGTTCACCCCTCGCCTTCTCGCGAAGCATCTTGATCTATAACAAAGTCCAAAGGGAACCCCCCCATTTCAAGCATGTTAATACTTCAACGAGCAACGTGTGTTCATTGACCGATTCGTCCTCCTATCTCGATCCCCCTCAACATCCTGGGGACAAGGGTGCGTTTACCTTCTTGCGCAGCTCGAGTTCCTTCTTCGACACCCGATTCGTAGCTTTGTAATAGTTCAAGTTCTTCTCGACAATTGCCTGCTCCTTTTCCATCTGCGACTTCAATTTATCTGTAAAAAAAAAAAAGAAGACCAAAGCAATTGTACATCAGCGTTATTGATTGACGTTTCCTTTCGTTCATGACTTCCAACATGTCCTTTCCATCAAAAGCGCCAATGGCGCATAAAATAAAATAAAGGGTGTGTACATACCCAATGGGTTCTCTTTGGCCTCCTTCTCTTCCTGTGATCTCTTGACGGAATGTCCGTATCTCAATTCATGCTTAATCTTCTTCAATCCTGTCTTGGTCGCCGGCAAACCATCGTTTTTGTTCTTCTTCGATTTTCGGGTTTTCTTGATACCACCCTCCGCCACTGCTGAAGAACTCCGTTTTGAAAGGGTGCTATTGGGCTGACTATTGAGTAGGGCATCGAGTGCCTGTGCTGCAAGTTTCTTGGACATGGTTTGGTGTATTTCTTTGAACGTGCCTTGCTGATGTTGCTGTGTTGTAGCGGTGGCGGTGGTGACGGGCGGTTGATGGTGTAGGCGATGAGAGTTGGTCAGGTTGATGCTGGCTTCCTTGCCATGGGTCACCGCACACAAAAAAAAAAAAAAAAAAAAAAAAAAAAAAAAAAGTGGCTTTGGCGTTTATTATTCAACAGAACACCCCCTGAGTAGCCTGAGACCAGCCTGAAACTGGGTCGGGCGCAGCACAACCAGCATGCATGGAAATTCATGCACATCACCACCATCACACCCTTCTTATTCATCCTAATCATTTACGATTACGGGGTCACAGGTCGAGAAACAGATCCTGAACCCGTCCCGACTCCAAGTAAACCTGCCGGACCCATCTCCAGGCCATGTCCTTATCCACTAAAAGAAGATCCAGCCAAAACACTCGGCACCGCTAGTGTAGCCCCCGTCTCACCGGTTTCGGCGCTCGCACTCGCATTCGCAGTATTCGCGGCATTGATGGCCTGCGCCGTCATGATCGCGTTCGTGGCCGCCATCATCATCGGACTCGCGTTCACTGCCTGCACCGCCGCCGCAATCGTAATCGCTGCCTGGTTCGGGAACGGTCCAAAGACAAGTGGATAAATTCCAGACTGATGGGCCCTCAATGCAGCCGTCAAGTTCGGATGCGAATGCTCAATATGATACTTTAGTCCGTTCAGGTTCTTGTATCGCTTGCCACACTCGAGAAACGTGCACAGGTAGGGTCTAGACTCGGGTGGGTCGAGCTCAGACACTCCCCCGACAGAACAGTGACCGTGGAGATTGTGATATTTCAGGCCGTTCGGGTTCTTGTAGGACTTGTCGCAGCCGGGGATGGTGCAGCGGTAAGGTTTGTCGCCCGAGCTGAGACTGGAGGAGGTGCGGGTGATGTCTTCCATGAGCGAGAAGACTTCTTCGCGTTGGCGCATCAAGTCAACGGCGGCGTTGATGTACGGAGAAGTCGGTGGGTGCTCGGTTAATAGCGGGCGAGGAATACTGTGGTACGGCGTAGAGTTTCGTAAAGTCTCATATGTGAATTTTGAAGGATTTCTTGTGAAGTCAGGTCGATTTACGTCCGAGAAGACGGACGGCTGAAAAGATCGCTGACACGACTCGGTCGCATGTCGTTTTGCAAGAGGATTCGTTGGCTCCAGTTCCGAGAGCGACCCACTCTGAAACTTTGTGTAGCTGCCACCGTGGTCTGCAGCATAGATATCCGCCAATGAAATTGCCGCCTTCCGCTTCGTCGCAGCATTCAATCCATCATACCCGTCGATGACGGTTTCCGCGTCGCTTGACGACGAACTACTAAGACTCGGATGTCGGTACAACGGGTGCATCTTGTGAATAGCAATACCCTGATGCATCATCCCCTTCTCCTGTGCTGCTGAGAAATGCACGTTACAATAATGGGCCTGCAAAGTATTGTTGTACAGCGGATTCCCATTCATCGTTGCCGCAGCCAATCCCAACCCCAACCCCGCTCCCGCCTGCACTCCAGCACACATGCTCAATCCAGAAACCGCTGTGGACGAAGGACTTGAGGGTCCCGAATCTTCATCACTCCAGCTATCCTCCTCCAATTCGTCAGACTCATTCCCAGCCATTTCATCGTCACTGTCATCCTCACTCCCCTCATTCTTCTCGTCCTCGAACCGGACATGACACTCTTCATAATGCTGGAGTAAATCGTGTAGGTCGTATAACCTGAGCCCGCAGCAATAAAAGTCCCGACAGAAGGCACTCTCGAAATCGCGCGCGTGTGTGCTGTTGTCGAACGACATTGAGTCGCCTTCGTCGAATTGGCTGTCGAATCTATAGGAGGGCGAATAGGAAAATTCCATGGGGTGCCATGAAGATGAGAGGGAGAAGGAGGGAAGGGTATCAGCTATGGTGTTAGAGAGACCTGCTATAGCTGCGGCTTCCGCTGCGGTAGTTGTAGTTGTAACTGGAGGGGAGACAGTAGTGGTAGGGAGGAGGGTCTTCATGTCCTTTTCAGAGGGCTGTTTGGCAGCATCGGTAGTGCTGGCGGTGTTTTTGATAAGGATGGGTAAACTGGGGCTATGAGGGAATTGCGGGGCTGTCATGTTTGAAAAAAGATACACAGTGGTGTGAAGTGTAACCGCGGGGCCGGGTAAGTCTGAGAGAAGGAAGAGCCAATAAAAGAGAGGGAGCCAATAAAAGAGAAGGAGCCAGGCGGGCAAAAGGACACGAAGGGAGGAGTTTTTGAAGGCGAAAAATGAATGAAGGGATGAGGCAAAAGGCTGTTGCTGCTGCTGCTGCTGCTGCTGCTGCTGATGCTGATGCTGATGCTGCTGTTACTTCCGCCGCTGCTGAAATGCATCCTCGAGCAAGTGAACGGCGGCTACTTCTCCATGACGATCCTTGACAATCCCTATTAATACCCCTACTGTCTGCTGCTGGAGTGCATCTCGAAGTTTTGTCGATGCGCACAGACCCTTTTGTCTCCCACCCCGCATCTTGCGGTCGTCTCATGTCTGTGCATCTATCTTTTGCGAGTAGCCCTCCTTTTTTTTACTCTCTGCGGCCGTCGTTCCTTGGTGCGTGGTAATACCACGCTCTCACCGTACGACGCCGCATGACATGAACTGGAGTGGACGTTCCAAAGAAACTGAGGGAAAAGAACTGCCGTTCTTGTGCCATGCACTGATATGCTAAGACAGGCATGGCACGTAGAAAGCGTCCGGTTTGTGGAGAAATAAGGAAACTCGGAATACTTTTAGATCATGTCAGATATGAATTGACCCCTATCACTCAACCAAAGCCAAGCGACTGCAGGTGCAACAGCACTTATGCCCCCGAACATCGTTCATATCGAACATGCTTGTCTGTGCCCTTGTATAAGACAGAAAGGAATGCCGGGGATGTAGAAAGCAGTAATAAACTGAAATATAAAGACGCGTGAAAAGTTAACAAGACTTACTCGGAAGCAGAAGCCAGATATGGATATTGTGGGGTCAGCGGTGTGACATTGATCGAATGGGTCGCGTGCGTAGGGAACGTAGATTGGATCCCAATCGTGGCTGGCATCATGCTATAGGATAGTTTGGTATGGAATACGTAGACGTGCTGTGTAAGCATTGATGGAAGCATGGCAACATGCGAGGGTTCATCTTATTGTTATTTACCAAAGGCGTAGTGAAAGAAGTAGGCGATGGGGGGTAAAGGATGAGGAAGTTGATAGTGGTTGGTGTAAGAGTGGGGAAAGAGTAGTAGAAATCAATTGAGAGAAAGGGAGAGAAGATGAGGAAGCAAGACCCAAGCGATGGTTCCGCTCCCTGGTACGCTCTCTCTCCCACACGTAAAAAATAACGATAGAAAAGCGCGGGAAAAGAAATACAAAGAACAAGCTGGGGTGTGCGTGTTCACTGTCCAAGGCCGCTTGCTCTCTCTTTTTCTCTTTCTCTCTCTCTCTCTCTCTCTCTCTCTTTGGCAGCCTTCTGGACAAACAGAAATTGTCGTATGTCATCTTATTACTTAAAGGTTTAAAAGGTTTAAGGCGAGCGTGAGACCAGAAGAGGATTAGCTGATTCTGTATCATACTGAAAACAAGGCGCCTACATCCACGACTACTTTTTACTCGCTCTTCCATAAATAATTATTGTCAGCAACGAACAATGCTACAAAGCAGCTACAGCGAGAATGGAGAATGGCCTGAACGAATATCGGAGACATGGATGGGCCACCTTCTTGGTTCTTCTTTTCATTGCTGTTTATGCGTATGCGAACGAGAAATGCCACGAGGCAATGAAGACGCGTTTTGGTGTCGCACCTAAAATGCAAACCATGTTCATGCGGCCAGTGAACGAAGTCGCTTCTTTACCGCAGTGGATATACATACAACTGCCATGTTGTCATTTCACACTAAGCAAAGTCAACGGCGAAGATGGCCCCAATTGGGTCCTTAAAAAAACGTGGTCATTGACATTGTCTGCGTCTGGCTCCCCGATCGATTGGTACGCGCGCGGCCTGAAACAGGCATCTTGTTCTCGGCACAATACGTCAGAGATGACCTTAGAGGATCTTCCTCCCAAATATAGGAGGCTAGTCCAAGCTTCTCTCCTGCATTCGAATGTATCTTTGAGGAAAGACTATGATCGGCGATTGATAGTCTCCTCTCCTCCCCGCAATCTCCGTCCCTCCTCTAATGTTGTTGCTGCTCCCCCGCTCTTGCACAACCTCTCTTTTATGACAGTCATCTCCGCCAGAAAAGCACGAGCGACGATTGCTCACCTTAGAGATCTAGCCTATCAGAATACAGACTGCGATCCCAGCGATGGTGCTTATCTCGAGACTCTTCATATGAAAGCACCACGCAGAAAACAATCAGATGCGATGACAATGGGCTAATAACGATAAGGAAACATTCTTCTTCCCCTTGCTTTTGCTGACTCTTTCTTCGCTTCTTTCCATCTTTCTTCCCCGCATCTCTTCTTTCTTCTCCCTTTTGCAAGCCTTGGTAACCAACAACCACTCAAGAACACTTCGACAAACCACAGTTGAAAAGCTCGGACAACCAACTCTCCACAGCCAACAGCAATGCGACACTCGCTTATGACAGAAAACCTCACGCCGCTGATGCCTTCGGACCAATTTACGATAATGCACCACTCTCAGCAGCCCAGTTCCTCTGCCGCTGCTGCCGCTGCAGTCACTGCGTCCCTCGGGTTCACCTCCGAGCTCATTCACGCTTCCATCGTCGCCGCAACACAATCGTCCCAGTCTCAGTCCCAGAATCGGTCTCATTCCACCAGTGCATCAACCCATCAGGAACCTATGAGTAACAACAGCAGCAACAGCAACAGCTGTGGAATCGACTCCAATAGCAGTAGCAATGGCAACCACACAGCATATCAGCAACCACCCAAGAAGCCTCGCAGCACCACTTGTGTTTCTGCCCCGAGAATGTCCCGGTCCTCACTTGCGACACTAGAGTACTCCGTCCATGCTTCGCCACGAAGAATGACCCGGGATCTGGGAACAGTCTTCCCCAACAAGGACCTTTCGAACTTGCTGGTCGTGCCAACATTTCAAAGGTGTCAATACGAAATGGTCGCATGGGATGCTGAGATTGCCAAGGAAAAGGACGACCGTCTGGACGATGTAAGTTCAGTGGCTCTACCCAGCCTTTACAGCTGACAGTCCATTGCTTTTTCAAACCACACTACTGCGGGACTCACCTGCTCAATACACAGATTGAAATGGGAAATGTGACCCAGGGGTTGTTACAGCGGGGCAATGGGCCTCAACGCAATTTGCTGGAGATGAGTCGACCTTCAGATACGTCGGATGTTTCTCTAGGTCTGTTTATTGACCACTCTTTCTTCCATTGCGGCCTCCAGTTTATTAGATGGTCAACAGCACTCCATGATCGTCTCGAGAAATTGGGCTACTGGTCTGACATGACAGATCCAGCATCCGGCTTTCCTGTAAGTTGCACCGTTCGTCAGGCTAAACACACAGTGTTAAAAACAATAGGTGATCGCTCGTAACTCACAAGCAATTCTTCTGTCTCTCTTCATGGTAGTCCTTCAGTGAACGCGGAAGAGACGTGTATCCGGATGTGGAGGGATGTCAACTGCTGCTCAGATATGATTTCCAGAACGCAGGATGCTGCAAGGTCTTGTTGCACCCAAACTGGGGTAGCAAGATCTATCCTGCCACGTTCTTCACTACCTCACCTCTTGACATCCTCCTGCAGGTTGTGGAGCAGGTTGAGCAAGAGTATCGCGCAACGGAGCTGGATACGGCACATCTTTAATTTGTCCACCATGATGGCCACCCGTAGACACTCCAAACATACCATAGACATCTTGTTAACTCCTATTGCTGACGCTTTTTCCATTTGTACTCTTATTCACTTTACTCTCTGCTCTGTACTTTAATCCTTTGCAATAAACCAATGCCTTTGCACGCTTATGGATATGATTACTCTTTCGTGCATGTTCAAAGTACTTGGAGCCTTCGCTTCACATTTCTCACTCCTCGCGCCCTTGAGTCTCCTTTCTATTTTACTTTCATTCCCCTTCTTTATTCCGCCTCTACTTCTACCTTTGCCTCTGCTTCCTCTTCTTCGGATACACTGCTACCCTCGAAGACACAATTGACATTACACTGGAGGACTCCGGTCAGAAGCATTCACAAGCCTGTCGGCTCGAGTCCCCCTAAGAACTCATCGACTCCCTCAAAAATCATTACCATCTCAGCACGATTCGACTTTCAGGTTGGAGAGCATATCATCCTATAGGGGGCATCGTTTTATTTCAAGAACGCCCAATATATTATGAACGTCCAGAACATAATCCTGCTTATGTTTGACGACAATCTAATAACCTATAGTACAGTATTGCCAGGACACTGCTCGACCACGGCGACCAGTGCTCATTATCCTCTCAGCCTGATTCCCATGGCAACCCCACACTGCCCAGGGGTTATGCTCGATGTGGTGGTCGACGACGGACCTCGCCATCGAGAAGGCGCGCCAGTTCCCACTCCATCCTCCCTTGCAGATGCGCAAGTTCATATGGTCATAAGCACTGCAAGGTAAATTCCGTCGTCTTTTATGGTTACTGCAGTTATCGATTCATTGGCGGATGTCCATAGTAGGGTCGAAGCCGTCCTGACTCAAATCTACGAGCTCTACAAGCTCTCTATCCCACGGCTACTTACCGTTTCATCGTGCTCCCAAAGAGGCGATTCGCCGACGCGACCGTCAAGGATGAGATGTCTATCTACCATGAATTTTCCCAAGGTCCTTCAGAACTGTTCCAATCTAACAGAGCTATCGCTACGCACAGCAGACCCAATCCCGGTCTATAAGATGGTTATGGATAATATCAACGATTCGCTAAAGCTTGGGACACTGGAGCTCGGTCCTATAGACGAGGTAACGATTGTCAAGCTCGGGAGAGGCGATATCCAGACAACGGAAGTCTTGATGCGCAGCGTCCAGTATCTACATCTACCCTATCTGACCCTCATCCAAACAGGACACTTTACTCGATTGTCGACGACGTCTCCTCCTTCCGAGGAAGATGTGCCTCTGCTAGTTAGCCTCAAGGATGGAAATTATAATTTGGAACACTACAACGCGTTTAGTCAGTTAGTGTTCGTCCCATATAGCAGCCAATAACACTACTACTATTACTACTATTACTACTATTACTACTATTACTACTATTACTACTATTACTACTATTACTACTATTACTACTATTACTACTATTACTGCAGTTCGTGATCACTTACATATTCTTCTATTGCGGTGCATTGCTTGGAATCCGCATTGGTCCAGAAAACGCGCTAACCAGATGAGTGACGCCACTGATTGGCTGTAGCTTATCGGTTTCACCAGGGCGCCACGTTTGTTTGCGTTGCAGTGGCAATGCCATCCTGTTTTATAGGAGAGAGCAACCTTTTGCACCCAGTAATAATACATCAGCCCGTAAAGATTGTTCGTTCCCACGCATCCAAGGACATGCACACGGCGCGCAGAACAAAAGTCTATCCATGACCGCTATCATCACCCACACACCTCCTACTTTCAGGCAGTTTGGAGTAGTCAGATGGATTTGGCCGCGACTATCAAGGCAGAGATGGACAAGAGTAGGTGCCTTCAGAAAGAGACCCTTCAATTACAGCAACAAATTCTCCGAATGCAGCAACAGATGGACGATAAGCAGGCACAAATACTTCAGATAAAACATCAGGCCCTTGATCGCTTGGCCCTTGTCCAAAACAGAGTCTGAGCTATCCTCACCCAAAAGTACGAGCTCCATGAGCTCCCTACCTCACGATTGTTTATCGTGCTCCCAAAGGCTTTGCGGCAACGCGACAAGCTGCTCAAGCCCTTTTCGGATCAGCTTCGTTTCTACTTCCTATGTGAATGCGGCGCTCACACCGTGGCGAAAGGAACCAAGGTTCCGTATAAGACCCATCTCGCCAAACACGGAGGATACGATCTGGGCAATCCTAAGAGGCTCTTTGAGAAGTACGGGCCTTATGTGCTCACCTTGATGTAAATGGTCAAGTACGGATCTGCAGTGGCGGGACTTGTAGCACAGTTCAAGGTCTTCGAGGGGATCCAGGGAGCCGAGACCCATCTCAAATTTGTGGAGCGGGACATTGGGCCGCTCGTGGACGACACCATCACGTTTATTCAGGGCCAGCAATAAAACGCCAATAATGGATTCTATGTGGCAGAAGAATTGATGGACATGGAAAAATTCGAGGCACTCGAAGGAGCAGACCTCCGGCAGCTGGAGTCGTATCTGAAGTTCCATGATCAAGGCCGTACTCTTGGCAACCTGTACCGGACTGTCACGGCAGAGGGTCATGTCAAGTGGGTATGCATTGACCATTATCGTGAAAACTATCAAGAGTCGGCGGTTCAGCAGTTAAGAGACGTTATTCTAGAGAATAGCGAGGCCTTTGTCGAGCAGCAAGGCAAAATCGAGATTACTCTTACGTCTCCAATTCTGGCGAAACAGCTTTACGATGGTTTAGTCAAGGCGCGAGGCGTCCATGAGCTGGAAATCACACTGAACTGGGACGCGCCACTGGACGATCTCCGGAAGTTCATTGCTGCTGTAACGAAGGCGAACATAGTTCATCTGGCCATGTGGGATCAAAGCTTCAAAGGACCAACACGGGATTATATCAACCGCAACCGACGTTTCAATCTAATTGTTTAACTCATATCGAACGGGTGGATCCAGTCCATACGGTTCGAGATACTCGACGGCATCCTTCAACGCATCAACCTATTCTCCATCAGGACGGCTTCTCAACTCCGGGCTATTTTGATAGATTTGATCTCTCCTGAAAATAGTGTGTCTATGACAGCGTTCACCAAAATACTCAGAAATTCATCTAACCTACCAGAGCTGGTGCCAGGAACAAATGACCCAGGTTCGATCTTCGACCTCGTTGTGAACAATATGAGTGCTTTAGAAAAGCTCGAGATGCTCAAGTTGCATTACTGGCGCCACTGGGAGTTGTAAGGGAATATCACCAGTCTCTTTAAAGCCAGTATCCAGACCATGAGCGCCGCTATCCGCAACATTACCGACCTATACCCGCCGTATCTGGTGTAATTCTACGCAGGTACCCAAACCTCTTGGAACTCGAGCTCAAATTCTATAGCGAACGACTCCTTGCGATCATCGACCTTATCGTTTCGACAAATGAAAAACAAAGATCCGGAGGACACAGCTTTATCATGCGACAACTCGATATACAGGTATACTTTGGACATTCCAGTGATGGCGGTATCTCATCAGCTGTTCGTCTCTCAGAGGAAGCGGGCATGTCCGACATGGATACCGACTTTGGATTGTATACCAAATCGAGACCAGAATTTTTGTCCGCGCTATCCCTTCGATACAGAGGGTCGCTAAGGTCGTTAACTACGCCAAAAGGCGCGCTCCACGATGACTTTACCTTGTAATGGGACATTTCAACGGGTCCAGACCTAAAACTCTGATACTAAGCCCAGATCGTCTGTCCTCCGCAGGTCTAGAGGGCGTGGTTTGAGCTGTCAGTCGTTTATCCAACTTTCAGGACTTCCGACTTGAACTCGACGACTCTGTAGTGGAGGGTTCGGCGGGGGCGTGGCAGCTCCATAACTTCTGGCAGAAGCTGACTAGTTTAGTTGCAAAGTTCAGTCCGCGGGGTTCAGACATCACTAGCCTTGCAAATACATTCCCGACGAGACACACTCTGCCAAAGCTAAGATCCCTTCAGGTCAGCAATAAGGGTTCCCTGGTCAGGTCAGCGTCTCTAGGGCAACATACCTCGTGGATTACTGCAATGGTCTCTGAACCGAACAAAATGTCCGTCTGTATATCAACCTTACTGCCAAGACCGGCAAACCTCTTTACTTCACCATCTCTCAAGCCCATGGATGTTGACTACGATGCTTGGGAACCGTTGAAGGACTTTCAGCTGTACTCTTTTATACTTCAACCTGAAAAGTGGAAGACTGTGGTCAAGACAATTGAATTTTCGGCACTGGATACGCTAGGCCTCTGGAACACCAATTTTTCGGCAGAAGAGCTCAAAATATTAGTAGATTATATCCTAGAAGGCGTTTCCGGTGCACCATTGAAACGGCCAGACCTTAAGGAGACACCTCTTTCTCGACATTACACTTTAACTGAACTGAATTTGTATGCGCTACACTAAAAGAAAAAGCGTTTTTTGTTGAGATTGAGGGATTTGAAATGTGAGGCGAATAAAGATATTTGATATTTTCAGCGGTCATAGTCGCTCTAGCGCGCGTATGAGTATGTAATCAACCAACCAACCAACCCTACTTTCTCCCCTCCGGATAGAAATTACCGTATTACTGTTTCATTTTATTCTCCATGTCGCCGATCGACAAGACAAACGTTACCCGCCTCCCAGGTAAAAATATGAATTTTCCAATGTCGCACAAGCACGCATAATCCACCTCAGTTCAAGTATCCGCCATCCTCGCCACCCCCGTTCTCTTCTCGTACCTTTGTCACTGGAATCGCCAACGACGTGGTAATTGAAGCGAAGATTATCACAACCCCTATTCGGCTCGACTCAAGGACGGGAAAGCATATTGTTCTATGGAATGATATCCAGCAAGTTTCCACAGGCACCGTGGCTGTAGTGAACGTCGGGCATACAGTTTTATTCTTGATCAACGAGCACTATATGTACCCCATTCCGAGGCCGCTCATCGTGCTCTCCCAAAGGTGTTCAAGCGTCGTGGCAAGATGCTCGAGTCTTTCTCGGTCTGTACTTCCTCTGTGAATGCGGTGCTCACCCCCATGTCCGAGCGGAACTTGATTTCAAACAGAACTCACCTAGTCAAGCACGAAGAATATTACCTGGATCGTCTGAACGAGTTCTTTGGAAAGTACGGCCCTTATCCCCTAGCGTTGATGCAGATGATTGAGTGCGGGATCACTGTAGACGACCTCATCGTACCCCCGTTGGCACATCTCAAGGCTGTCGAGAGTCAGAATGACACGTTCCCACACTATAACGATTCGTGATTCTGTCAGGTCCCTCACCCCAGCAACAGGAACCGTTTGGAATCTACAGCACCTTCAGCACATCTTTCTGAAGATTCTGATGTACCAGATGTATAAACGTGCTTTGAGTTACGCTCCGCTTCGGGAACCAAGAAGGACTATTTGTCCTCATTGCTCCTTCCAAATGAGTGATCTATCTTGGATGCAGAACTTGAGGCATCCAACGGCAAATTGGCTCAACTACTGGACACATCTACCAAAGAGAAAGAATCTAAATATGAAGGTCCTAGCTTGGATCAACTCATCAGTCATTATCTCGTGAACTGAGTGTGTTAGTCGAGTCATTAATCACGCGAACGATCTGCAAGGGTCTGAACTCAACTTCCGTAGCCAGTTGATTGAGGGCTCGCCAGGAAGGCGGCTGGTTTGTCATCACAAGGAGAAATTGCCTATGTTGACTGTGGATTCTGCACTGGGGTCGTATATGTTTTGGCTTAGGAGGCCCTTTCTCACACGACACGCTTTTCCAAGACTTGCATATAGTGCGGATTATCAGCGATCGCTAGTTTTCAAGGCGCGTTCGCTCCATGGCTTGCCGCGATGGTCTCTTCTCCGAATAGCCCACTCAGTCATGCGCCAATCCCGCCACCTAGTTCAGGGTCAGAGGACGCTCCTGCTGCGTAACGTTCTCCATCAGAAGCCCGAGCATATGTAGCATAAGGATCACTGAAGAAGCTCCGCTTGCGTAATTTTACGCTGGACCCAAAAGAGTAGAAGCTGGTGATCGATGCGCCGGATTTCTAGGAAAAGAGCTTCTCAATCGTTAGGCTCGAGGCACTGCTTAGCCCTATCCCTAGATGATAGTTCTGGGGTGCCGTTACGACCTCTAGACCTTCCAGGAACAAACCTTTCGAAATACTGCAATGACTCTGAGGTGCACTTGCTATTCAAGGCGTGAAGAGAAAAGGCGCCGCGTACCGAGACCAGGGATTTTTTTAGAGTTGAGATCGAATGAACACAATGAACACGATCAGTATAATGGAGAGCTTTTTTTGCTTGTGTATCAGTTTTTATCGTGCGGAATGTAATGCTTCCTTTTTTCTTTTTTTCTTTTTGTACGCGTGTGTGCGTATGCTGAATTAACCTTGTTCGCATCCTGTTTCAGTTTCATCAATCAGTACGTGCTGCTTTTCGCGTTCCTTGCGGTGTCCCCTGTCGCGCTCCTTTTCACATTTCTTGTCGCGTCCCTTGTCACGTTCGTTCCGTTTTTCCCTTTTATGCCCCCCTGGAGAAACCTGCAAGAAATATGATACCATGCCACCGACTTGCTTACCATTTAACTTTGTCAAAGTTGAGATGATGACAGAAGCGCGTTTTTTTAATGTTATTGTCGTGAACGATGATGGTTTTTTGGTTTTTTGGTTGCAAATCCTCCGAGACCGGCCCTCTGGTTCGATGGGTTGGGTTTGTGCCCGCTCGCGTTGTCCCGAGAAGCAGCTCTTGCATGTGTAGCGTATACCGCTGGCGGTGTTTTCCCTACCCGTTTTTGTGTTTGTGCGTCCTTCTGCCCTGGAGATGATGGCTTGTGCCTGGGAGTTAGGTTGGGAGCAGAAGGAGTTTGAGAGCGCGGGAAAAATGAAGGAGAAGTGCTCAACTCAATCATAGCCAAAAACAATAACAACAACCACCACGATCTACTTCATTTTTCCATTCCTGTATTCATTCCGTGGATGGCGGGTGGCGCTCTCAATCCAGTTCATATCTCGCTTGCCTTGTTGCCTCAGCTCAATCGAACCAACTACACTAACGAAGAGAGTCAATTTGTTCATAATAATTATAGCGACGCGCTCAGCAACGCTCATTTACGCGCGCGTGCAATGGATCTCTTTAGCAGCACTGCACCACAGTAATCGGATGGCATTGGATGGCATGGATTGTAGTGTACAGTGTGGTGGGCCGTTCATTGGCTTCCTTAACTATGGCGAAAGGGGATTGCACACTCCATCCCCAACCTCATTCTCATTCTCATTCTCGTTCTCATTCTCACTTTCCCTTCTCCTTCGCCTCAAAGAGTCCATTTCGAGGTCCATCATCCCATTCATTCCCATACCACCTCCCGCCATTTTTCCCTGCTGCACCTCCTCAACCCTTCCCGCCCTTCCCTCTCCCTTCCCTCCACTCGCCTCGACCCATGTAGTCGGAAACAAAGTTATCCCCCGGACTCTTGTTCGTTTTCCTTTCCCAACCGTCTGTCGTCTTCTCTTTTTATTTCTTCTTTCTCAATCTGTTCCCTCTCCCCCGCTATCGCCGCACCCTCTCTGGTACCACTCCCATTGCCATTGGCGGTTCCCTCTTAATCCATACCCCTTCTCGAGCCCCGTTCCTGGAGTCCACGCTCTTCCCGTCTCCTCTCTGAATCATGGACTATGAGTACCAACACCAGCCATACCAGGCAACTGTCTCCTCCTTCGCATCGGCACCCAATTCTGCATCCGAGTCAGCATATTCCAAGCGAAAGTCAGCCTATCTCCCCTCCACATCCCCACCTCCGGTGCCCTACTACCAACAGTCCCATCAATTGGATCCATACCAGCAACAGCAACATCAGTCGATGTACTTGCCTCAACATCAATACCACGGACAACATAATCATCAAGATCCCTACCAGGAACAGCACAACCAATTTCAGTCGCTTCAACAGGAACAGCTACACCAATATGAATATCAGCAACAGCAGAGCCATCGTGATAGCCAATATCAGGAAGATATCAACATGGATCTGGACACAGCCACGGGCACTCCCCTGAATCTTGCATCCTCCTCCAAACTGAAGCCATCATCCCTCCGCACTCTCGGCAAGCGAGAGTTCAACTCAATCTCCCCTCCACCTATCATGACCACACCCCTCTATGGTTCTCAAAAGTTCGCATCCTCCACACAATCCCCCCCACCATATTACGCTGGTCTCCCTGGACAGGACACCACGGCAGAGATGAACACCTTTAATTTCAATCATACCGATGTGAACCAACGGCAGTACCAGTTTCTGTCGTACCAACCGTCAGATTCACAAGGACATGAGCGACAGCAACAAAAGCAGCGGTACTTTCAGCATTACAACACAGCACCCAACACCCGACACAATTCATTCAGTCACCATCAGACGGCATCCCAGTACTATCAGGATCTTCCCGTTGACTCTGTGCTGCCGCAAACAGGTACGCGTGCACAGCGGCCCAAAAGTCTTGCGGCACATGATTTCGCGATCGACCACGGAGCATCAACAGGAACAGGAGTGTTTGTTACTGCAGGGGAAGGCGGAGGAGGAGAGATCTACCCTCGTAAGTGAGCTATCTGGGTGTTTTCTTTCGGCGATTACTTAATATTTTTATCCCCCCCTCTTTTGCTCTGTGCCCGACCAGGCACGCCAGCTGGCTGAAAAGCACAGCAGATTACATATAATTATCAGGGGGAAAGATGGACGGGGCAGAGTAAACAAGAGATGTTGCGTTTGCTGACATGTCCATCACGATGCGGAAGAGGACGATGTGCACTGCTAATTTGATCCACACGAGGGAACAGCAGCGAGATTGTGCTTCATCCCCTGATTTCAGCACGGTTCCCTTTCGAGCCACTTTTTTACATTTTACCATCGGCCGTTTGTATCTTCCAGTTCATTGGTGGTAGCGGCAAATGGCACTGCAGTACCGCAGTGTATTTTATTATGTTCGTCATTTTTCCTTGTCAGGCATATTAGCAAGACACATGAGGCATGGTCCTGGATCCGCAGAGTCAGCAAACAAGGAGCACGCCAAAAAAAAAAGGGGGGGGGGGAGAGGGAGCGGTTTACAGACGACGGTGTGTTTTCCTACAGTGTGCAGTTGCTGGTGGGAGAAAAGGAAAGGAAGGGACCGAGAAGGCTTTATACGACTGACATTCTGCTCGCCATCGCACTCTGTGTGCACCATGGCTCGGGGGAGGTTCTGTTGTAAATATATCTTTCTTCGAGTACGAAGTCTAAGGCGGGATGAACAAGATGATACAATCAAAGGGAAAAATAAGAAGAAAAAGAGGGGAAGGGAAAGGGTGGAGGTGTGGAGAGCAGACAAAGAAACAACGAATCCCGTCGGGTGTGTTCCAGAAAGTAGCGAAGTGACCCTAGGCTGGCTGGCCTGGCTGTTGTTGTTGGCTGCGGTTGGCACCTCCACTCGACTCCACTCCACTCTCCCCTCCTCCCCCATCCTCCTTGCCCTTTCCCATCTGCTCCCTCTCGCTCTCTTTCTCTCCGAAAACATTACCGCTTCGTCTTATTTATATATATACATATACTGCATCTTGTATTCATCCTATCCTCGACGGGATATCTGGACCAAGCGACCACAACGGGAGACAAGAACACGCCCTTTTTTTTAACAGAGTCGCAATCAGTTTGGAAACTGTCCGTCGTCCACTCATTCTTCATTCAGCCCTGAAGCTGCTCATTGGGTGTGTGGGTGTGTGTATGTATGGAGTGAATGAGTTTTCAAAGGGCTGGAGCGTGTTTATGTGGTTCATACTTTCTCAAGCTGTGTCTGTCGGTATTATTTTCCCCGTCTCAAGGGACGCAAAGAGGGACATGAAGTCGTGCTGAACAACATGAAGAGCCCGCAAGCCAGTCGCACTCCCATCCGTTCTCTAATGCATGTCGTCGTCGTTTCTACCAACATAGAGTTCGTCTCGGATACCAGTAGCCGGCAAGCCTTCTTGTCTGCAAAACCTCGGCAGTCCATTAGTGCCGTCATCCCTCAGGCACCTCACACCTGGGTCGAGCCGCAGCAGCAGCAGCAGCAGCAGGAACAATTCCCCCAGCAACAGCATCTGCTGCAACAGCAATTGCACTCGCAGCAACTGTCCCAGAAGAAGCCATTGACATCCCGACAAAGTTTCCACGAACTGCACTACCACCAGCGGCAACCATTCCCGTACGAACAGCAACCGATTGTCAATTCAGAAACATACCAGCAGCAGGCACAATACCTACAGCAACAGCAGTTCCTTGCACAGCAAGACCAACAGCAGCAGCAACAACAACAGCAACATCATCAACGTCAACTGCAAAACCGTGCCTCAATGGATATTGCGCAATACAGGACGCCCATGCAAGGACCAGCCTCTCCGCACCATCGAGGGCAGACCATAGGGTAAGAGCACGATCTGTGTGTAATTAACGTCGTTTCGATCCAAGAGTGGTAATATCCACATGCTCATGTGGGCGCAACAACTCTTTTTCGTTTTCAACAACCCCCCTCCCCCTTCTCTTATTACTCACCCTCACGCCCTCCTTGTGCAACTACACGAATATCTGTCCTCCCGTGGATAATGAAAGGCATTTACTGTTGTCATGGGTCACGCTGGCGAGGAGGATTAGGGTTGATTGTGTAAGGCGGCATGAGGGGTGGGTTCACAAGGGGTACACATGCACCCTCTTTCAATAGAGAGGCAAAGGGATAGAAGCCACGCCAATCGTGCACCCAAATTTTACCTTTGTCACAGGCCACTAAACTAAGTCTTTACTACTTGCTCACACTCTTTTGAATGCTCAGATTGGATATACCCATGTCACCCAACCCGCCTATGACACCCTCCATCACATCGAACTCCAATGGATCGACATTAACAGCCCTGAATAGCCCGCAAAACTCGGAGAGGGGCGGACCAGGAGCCCATCTTCAGAAGTCGATCCATGTCCTGCCTTCATCCCCTCCAGCCTCGAGTCATTACCGCAAAAAGTCCTTCAACTCTGGCCTTATACCCCACACTTTATCCTCGGAGCGATCGCCAATGCCATCGCAGGCTGGATCACCGATTTCCACACCCTACGGATCGCCTCCAAAGGTCGCCTCTAATTACATGAATATGCTCGCAGCCCGCAAGAACAGCTTGTCAGAGAACCCTTCATTTAATCCTCGGGACCTCTATCGACGCTCAGAGTCATACAGTGCCCTTCAAGCACGCGCCATCATGAACCACAGCAACGCCTCAGCGGATCTCAATGGAACGATTTTGTCATCCTCTCAAACAAGCTCCAGAGACCATACTATGCGGCCCCATGAATCACTTGAATACGATGAGTACAACCTAGATGCTCAGATGGCAGGGAATCACGTCGAAATCAGGAATGAGGTATGGCGCGAGCAGGATCAGCAACCCCCACAATCACACTACCATCGTAATCGTAGCAATCGAGAGAAACATAAGCGAGAGAGTTTTTATGCAGCTCTGCAGAGCAGCGACCAGGGCGCTGGCAGTAACCACTACGATGAGTCCAGGAAGCCCTCCAAAGGCTCATCAAGAATTTCCTCACCTTATAATAGTAGCGGGGCCCCACAGACGAGCACACGAACCAAAGGCAGCATCCCCACGACACCTACTGCGGAGCATAAGACTCGACCGACACCTCCGCCTCGATCTCGATCACGAACACCTGCTGGCAATACTGGCGGTAACGGCAGTCAGACTTCGCTGAATGCTCCACAGCAACCGCAAATGCCTCGACAATATTCCGGAGAGATTCAGCCTATTAGTCGAAAGTCAGGCATGATGGTGGACGATGCGATGGTTAGTTTTGTGCAGCGCCCGGATACCCAGTATTCGTCGTCTTCGTCCACCCCAAGCAACCAATCGGTAGAGTATCAGCCGCGAGCAGGGGATGGAGTTCCGGTTCCTGTAGCTGACATCACAAAGCACTTGAGTGTACTCGAGTTCAAGGAGCAGAACGCGATGGCTGCCGTACCACCGTCAGATATCTCAACACCAAACGTTCATGTGAGGAAGCCAGCGTCGAGTGGTATGGTTGGTCCGCACCGCAGAAGCATCGTGTTTGACGGCGTGGGCTCATCTGGTCGTTCAAATGGTACGGACGGTGGTCATCGTCTTAAGGATGGATTGAAGGAGAGGAACTCGATGATTGCTGGGATGTCCCTCGGATCTAGTCGCAAGCGTGGAAAGGTTAGCAGAGGACGATAATTACCGCCCTGCGGGGGGGGTTGTTATTATTATTTCTAGAGTGTATTGATATCTTATTGACATGTATTTCTTATTCAATGTCATTGCAGACGCTCTCAGCTATGGACCCTCCGAAGGCGAAGCCAGCACCCGCTATTCTGCCGCCCATGTACATGTCGACGACCTCCAGAACAAATGTCCCCTCGCCCATGGCTACAAGGATGGCAGGATCGAAAATCCCCAGCCCTTATGGTGGCAGGAAAGGTACCGCTACGCCAAGGGATGCTGCATCCGCGTCAAACTCGCGTTTACTGGCAGTGGATGCGACATCAGGAGTAGTGACACAGGATGTCAAGACCATCCGAGGTGGTGGCGAGCCAGAAACTGCATCATCCAGAATCATCAGCTCAGCTCTTTCCAGCATACCAGGAACAGAGTCGTCCAATTTCGCCTCATCTGGCAGCGGAGGCATGCCCAAAGTAAAGCCCAACAGGAGCCTTTCAAGCGGCATTTTAGGAGGCTTAAGTCGTAGACGATCCGCAGCGATGGAGCACCAGATGACAACCGAACCTGTCCCTGCAATGAATGAATTCGTAATGCAGAAGCAGATATCCTCTGCCAAATCATCCCAGACACCACCATCTACACGACTGCCCAACAACACGAGTCATCTTCTGGGACCATCGGAACCAAAAAAGACGACCGCGACCGGATTGCGAACGCCAACGGCAGTGAAGGAGCTAAGGACCTCGCCTTCAAAGCCTCAGCCCAAGAACCCTGCTGTAATGTCCAACCCGATCAACATCTACGCTTCGAACCAGCCTATGCCGCTTTATGGTCAGGGACAGGCGTCCTCGGTTCCCCAGGCTACTCATCCAGGCATGGAACCCAGGGCTTCAGGGTCCACATCTGGGGTTAGCCCTTACCCGCCCCTGTCGCCGTATGCTGCGCTGAAGATGTACGCTCCCTATCTTAGTTTATATGAGCGGGCTGAGATCGGAGAGTACCCTCAGATCTACTATGTCGGACAGAACTGCCGCCACAAGAGAGCAGCCAGCATGGAGGCTAGCAACAGCAATTTTGGTAAGTCTTAATCTCTGCTCAGCGCCTAGAAACTTCCTATTATGAAGCAACTCTAACTGGTATGTTGGTGTGTTCTGGCTATCATTTTCACTGTGTATCTATTCATCAGGGTTCGATGATGAGCGCGGAGACTATCTCATTATCAACCATGACCATCTCATGTTCCGGTACGAGGTTCTGGATATGCTTGGCAAGGGATCATTTGGCCAAGTTGCCAAATGTTACGATCATAAGACGGGTGAATATGTCGCTATCAAGATCATCAGAAACAAGAAACGCTTCCACTGCCAGGCTTTGGTTGAAGTCAAGATCCTTAGCAACTTGACCAAATGGGTAAGCACCACATCCCATTTGCCTTATTTCGATTTGTATTGGCTTCAAGTTTTAATCCCTCTCGTTCTTTACTGATTCAAAAATGATAGGACCCAGAAGATAAGCACAACTTGATTCGAATGACGGACAATTTTTACTTCCGCAACCATCTCTGCATCGCAACGGAGCTGTTGTCGATCAATCTGTACGAGTTCATCAAAAGCAACTCTTTCCAGGGCGTCAGTCTTGGTCTCATCAAGAGGTAATGTTTAATAACGCCTCTTTATCTTTGCAGCTCTTAATTTTATTGGGACGCGACACTGACCTTGATATTTATCGTAAATCACTGCAGGTTTTGCACGCAGCTGCTTCAATCGCTTGAACTATTGAACAGACACAATGTCGTCCATTGTGACCTGAAGCCGGAGGTAAGTAGATTGAGAACCAAGGACCTTTATCACTGTCTTTGTTACAAAAGGAATATCATCTAATCGCCGCTGTTTTTTTTTTTTTTTTTTTTTTTTCTTTGCTCCATTAGAATGTGCTGCTTAAGCACCCGACAAAGTCTAGCATCAAAGTGATTGATTTTGGCAGCAGTTGTCTTGAGAATGAGAAGGTGTACACGTATATCCAGTCTCGGTTCTATCGCTCGCCCGAGGTGATCTTGGGCATGTCGTACAATATGGCGATCGACATGTGGTCGCTGGGCTGTATTCTTGCAGAGCTCTATACAGGATACCCGCTGTTTCCCGGCGAGAATGAGCAGGAGCAGTTGAATTGCATCATGGAGGTTCAGGGAGTTCCAGATCGGTATATCATCGAACGGTGTTCTCGTCGCAAAGTGTTCTTTGGTAAGCAACAGCCTCGGAAGATGTTTGCGCACAGCTTGGATAGGTCATAGAGCCGGCTGTATAATGCTGGATGAGTGAAGAAATACCGACCCTAATGCTCTACTTCTTCTTCGTTTTTCAATATCAGACTCGAATGGGAACCCGAAACTGGTTGTCAACTCCAAGGGCAAGAAGAGGAGGCCTGGATCAAAGACATTGGGCCAGATGTTGAAGTGCACAGATCTTCTATTCCTGGACTTTATCTCCAAATGCCTGATCTGGGACCCTGAGCAGCGCATGACACCCCATGAGGGACTGCAGCATGAATGGGTCTCAGACAAGGGATCGAACAAGGCTGCGTTTAGTCCCGTACCTTCGGACAGTTCTGGATCACGACGCAAGAGCTCAATGTAAGGATGACTGCCTTTTTTTTTGTTTCTATCTTAATGAATATGATTGCACCTTACTCTGCGCAAGCCTAAACCCACGGTACTGATCTCTCCTTATTCCTCCAAAAATTATCACAGGCACTCATCGCACTCGTCCCGGAAGGCCAAGAGTGAGCTGGAGAGCAAGTTGGGGCTGATGAACAGCAGCCAGACCTCGCTCAAGTCGACCAGGACAACAGCGAGCAATAGCAACAATGGGTCGTTTACGTATTACAGTGGATCAGTCCCAAGTTTCGGGAATGGCAGCAATGGTACTGGCAGCAACACCAATAATGTTGTCAAGATCTATGGTGGACAGCAACAATACCAGCACCAACCGCAGTTTCAACAACCGCAGCCATATATGGGTATTTATGGCTCGTCAGTAACATCGTTAAACTCGTCAACATCGACGCTCTCTTCGGCTGCATCGAGACGGATGACCGCGGGGGATCTGGGGCCGCCGGCTTATCAGCATGGGTCACGCAAGAACGCGACGAGCATGTATTTGGCGGGGCCCGGAGGCGGAGGAGTGGGAAGCCATGGGATGGACTAGAAGGCGTAATGATACCTATACAGCTGATACGAAGTTAAGGCCTGAAAAAGGGCCGATAGATAGACCTGGCATTCATATATACAACACTGCACGGAAGTCTCCGAGCAGCAGAAGCAGTGGGGAAGTCTCTCTCTCACACCGCGCGCTTGGAATTGATGGCTTCTTTATGCGAAAGTACGGGCGTGTAAAGTGGTGCCCAATTGAATTTCGTGGAGCAAATGGAGGGTGCGCCACCGATTCCACCGTGCCAACTTTTAAAAAAAAACTTTGATTTGTGCGCCCGAAAGAGAGTTTTTTAGCATTTCCGTGTCTCCCTTTTCTTTCCCCTTTCCTTCTTCCTCCTCTTCTTCTTTACTCTTCGCTCCTTTAACTCTCCCCACTCTTCGCTCTTCTCCCACTTCCACATCCTACCACCCACCCCAAGAAGAACACGATGTCTCTCTCTGCCTTCTCCGCCAGACTCTTCCCCACCATGCGCTCCCAGGCCATGACTCGTTTCGCCGCTCCCTCGACCACCTTTGCCCGTTTCTATGCTAGTACGTGAGAAAAGAAGCAATTGCCGCGAATAGCGGTTTGAGCGCAGAGACGACAAATGACTAGGGACTCAGGAGCTACTCATGTTGCAACGCCAGTTGGTGAAGAAAGAAACCATGGGATGCGCGACTCCTTTTGGATAGAGGTTCATTCGACTCCCAACGTTTTCCCCGCACCTTTCGACCGACCGGAATCTCTTGGGCAATAGATAGCACGACAATAATTTAGTGGTTTTTTTTTTTTTTTTTTTTTTTTTTTTTCCTCAGCACACTCACTTCTCCTTCTCTCGCTTCTATATACCGGGACAATGAAGACCCTGGACATTTGGACGCGTTGACTTGATCCGGGAACATGTGTGAACAATAATGCATACTCTGTACAAAACGTTCTGATTCGTCGTTTCCTTTGATCACATTCATAATTATAGCCAGGAAGTTCACTGAGGAGCACGAGTGGATCGAGGTCGAGAACGGTGTCGCGACTGTCGGTATCACCAACCACGCCCAGGAGGCTCTCGGAGAGATCGTCTACGTCGAGCCTGCTCAGCTCGCGGATGTCGCCAAGGGCGGTACGTCTTTCAGTCTCTTCCCTCGATTTATTTTTTGATTCACTTCTCACGATACCTTTTTTTTTTCTTTTTCTCTCTCTTTGTGTTGGATGTAGACACCATTGGATCCGTCGAATCCGTCAAGGCTGCTTCGGACATCTACGCACCCGTCTCTGGAACTGTCATCGAGGTCAACGAGCTTTTGCAATCCGAGCCCGGTTTGTTGAACTCCAATGCCGAGGATGACGGTACGTCTCCGCCAAAGACCCTCCAGCCCAGTCTTAAACCTGTGAACTTCCCAATTTAACCCTTTTGTTTCGCTTTTTTTTTTTTTTTTTAGGCTGGCTCTGCAAGATCAAGGTCTCGTCCGAGGATGAGATCAACAATCTCCTCAGCAAGGAGGACTACATCAACTTTTGCGAGGAGTCCCATTAAACGGAACAAACAACCCTCATTAATCTCATTTGCTACCAACATTACATGAATAAACACGCTTCATAAATCATCTCTTCCACCAGAAAGATATATCATTCTTCCTTGCACGCGATCATGGCTCGCTGTTAATCGCTGTTTATTATATATTTTATTATATGCCACTGTTGTTGTATGGCGCGCTATGGTGTAATGTTACATGAGGACACATTCCAGTCGATCGCGTTCGACGATCCGCTGAATACTCTTCCAATCCGATCGCATCTCCGCAAACTCAAACACATCCTCGACTCGCAAGATCCCCCCGAACCGCTCCATGTCGTGGATGAGCTGCTTTAGATCCGAAGGCGACTGGATAATAAACAGGTTACCGAGCTCCTTCAGCGCCAAGAAGTTGGGCGTCAATACCGGCTGTTTGAGGCCAGCGATAAAGTTGTAGTAATGGTTCAGATCGCAGATCAGTACGAACCCACCCTGGGAGGACACGATGTTTGAGCGCAGATGTTTCGTCAAACAGCTATAGGTTAAAGAGAAATAATAATAAAAAAAAATCCGCCCGACCGAAGTAGAAAGAAACCGATGGTTAGTTATGTTGGCCACTGAAGCAGAAGGACATCGATTCAAAAGGGCAGCATGATATAACCCCCTCCCAGCAAAGTAAACATAAATTGTCGTACTTGAAGAGACGGAGTCCAAGTTCTTGAAAGAATACGTCCAGGGTATGTTTGTCCGTGCATCCGTTCAGTATCTTTGTGTGCGTCGTCAAACATGTTACCGCCTCTCGACAAGCCTAGCATAGGAAAAAAAAAAGTCAATGTTCTGTCCATCTACAAATTGAAAAGCAGCCATTATTACTACATAATGCGGCTGCGTAACATTTCTAATTCCTTACATGCGTAGGCTGGAGCTCGATATCCGTGTTCTCATCAGGGTTATAATCCGTCGGCAGCTGCATGGTCGTCAAGATGTACTCAACCTGTCCAATAAGTACCTCGATACTCTTGTCCAGTCCAGCCGCAACACCGTCGTCGATCATGCGCTCAAATGCCTTCTTTTCCTTATTGGCCTCGTTCAAGAAATCCATCTTGTCAATATGTTTGCACATCTCCTCAGCATAGTACACTTGTACCATTTGAAGGATCAGATCCGCAACGTGCACCAGCTCAAAAAAATCCATGAGTGGAGTAACACCGCCTCCGTGTGTCGTCGTCGGCTTGTATCGTCCAAGTTGCTGGATCGCACTAATTTAACATAAAACCAGAATGGATAGCATTTGCTGTCAGCACATGCTGACCAAAACTCATGCAAAAAATTAAGAAAGAAAAAAGAAAAGAACCTGACAAAGACATGCCATCCTTACGCTGCAAATCCAGGCTTGATATGCTGTTGACCCATCGACCGCAACAGCGCAATAAACACTAACTCGATCGTCTTTTGCACTCGCCCTCCAAGGACACCTCCCAGTCCTGCAAACGCACTCAACCGCTGCAGCGCATCTTTGTCCAGATGGATCAAATGTAGAGCCAGCTCAACGCTCAGAAGTGAATTCATCTCCTCCTCGACCTCCTGTACCGTCACTGCCTGCTGTTGCTCAACTCCTACAGGCGCACTCCTCACACTGTCTGTATCACTTGCCAGAGAGATCGATTTCCGCTCGGGCATGAATGAAGTCGACGACACTGTCGTTGGTGTATCCGGTGCAGAGGTCGTTGATCCCGATGGTGCCGTAGAATTACTGGAGCCTGTCGAGGAAGAAATAGATCGAATCGAAAACCGATTGTTGCCCTTTGCTGGGGCTGTGGTGGTGGCGATGGTGGGGTTGATGGCGGTGGCGGTGGTGGATGCTACTGTGGTTGTCGTTGGGCTGGATGCAGATAAGGCTGATGACATTGTTGGTGCTGGAGTCGAGGACGAACTAGGAGCCGGCGACGAAGCAGTGGATGAAGTCGATGCCGTGACACCCGCAACGATCGAGGACGAGATCTTGTATGGCAGTGTTATGACATTCCTGAACCCCCTCAAGAAGTTCCGCTTAAACACTTCTCGGTTCCTAGGATTCATGCGCTTCGTTTCTTTGTTCCCATTGTCCTTCTATAATGAATATCATTTTGCCCGCTGTCAGTATTTTTCTATCTTTTTTTTTTTTTTTTGTTTTTTTGTTTTTTTGTTTTTTTGTTTTTTTGTTTTTTTGTTTTTTTGTTTTTTTTCCGCACGTCCATCTCCTGAGTGACATTCCATTCTTCAACAATAAGTGCTCCTGCTTACCTGCCGCTCGTATTTATCGATTTGGTCCTTGCATGACTTTTGGACCCAATCCAACTCGTTCTTTAGATATTGCTCCAGCCATGGTGCAAACACTCTGGCAAGCAGTTTCTCAATTCGATACCGCGGCACATGGATCGGCTCCATGTTGATTAATACATTCTCTAGGTGCTCCAGATACCGATACGCGCTCGGGACCGATTTCAGGTAGAGCAATTTGTCCCGCATGCTGCATAGATCAAATAGCTGGGAACAGTATTCTGAAATCACATCCTCAAAGACGCGCTCCGTGAAACTGAAAAGGACGTCCGCTTCTTCCGGGAACACCTCGTGGATGATGACAGCTTGCTTTTTGAACTCCATTTCTGTGAACTCCATGAACAGTCGCATCGGTGTGAACTCGGGGAAGGCGCTGTTCTCACGCACGACGATCGGTTGTAAGAACCATACCTCGTATTGCCTAAATGATGAAATGAGGAGAATCAAATAGGGTCATTTAGCAATGACAGTAGGGTTGTATGGTATACCAACATCAATTTTGGCGGCGGAGGTAATTCGTTCCTGCGATAATATGTAAACATACTTGAGATTCTCGCCTGCTTCATAATTGTTATCGAAAAAGATGCCGTTCTTCTGGATAAAGATCTGGATGCAAGCCTGAGCGCCGTTAAGATCCAGCAGTACTCCGGCGTATTTCTAGATGAACCCCAGACAGGTTAAATTGGGCAAATTTCGATATGAGTACAATGACAAGTTGGCACGGACACATCGATGACAAAGTGATACTGAGTCCATAGCCTTACCGCCATCTCGGACGTGTCCCTCGAATCATATGCAACTTCGAAAAGGTGCAGACATCGGTTCTCAAAGTACTCGCATGTCCCTTGAAGGTTCTCGTTGATCTAAAAAAAAAAATAATAATAATAATAATAATAATAATCGTCCACCACAGTGTCGCAATGTTGGTTAGCCCTACAGCCTGCATTTACTGTATCTGACTGTGATGCTCTCGCTGCTCAACTGCGGCATAGAGACGAAGATGAACATACATTATCTGAATCCTCGGCCAGATGCGCCTTTGAAAATGCCAAGAGTCGTGCCAACATCCTTGCGACGTCCAAGACCGACTTCCCAAACTCCTGGATCACTTTGCTGTCCTTGTTGGCCTGTCGAAAGTCCACGTAGTAGGGCCATAGTTCACAGTAAATCTGCTTGAACTGCTCCCTCGCCCCATGGTTGACCCTGCGGCCCTGGATCATTGAATATGGATCTCCTGGTAACCCTGGGATCTGCACGCGCGGTTTTATTGTGAAGGAGAATTCTGACTCGAGACTGGATCGAATCCCATCCTCCGAAAAGGCCGACAGACTGATCCTGTTGCCATTAATAGCTGCAGTCGAAACGGACGATCCCCTGATGGTCTCGTTAGCGTTGGCCGATATCCGCTTCCGGGTAATCTCTGAAATGTTGGATCCATGAACGGGGAACCGGGGTAAGGAGACGTTGGGTCCATCAATTAGGTTCTCGTTGTTGTTGCTGTTGCCGCTCCCCGACCCCTTGCCGCTTCCTGCTCCAAAACCAATGCCCATAGCCACCAACTTGGATTCCCAGAGCTCATCGCTGTAGACAATGACCTTGAGGCGACGGCAGGCCTGCGCGACAGCGGGTAGAGATGATACGGGGAGATACTGAAGGCATTTGAGGAGCAGGTCTGGTGGAAGGACGGGGATGGAGGTAGTTATCAGGTCGGTTGACCCCCGTCCCTCAAAGTCGTCCATATCAAAGACGAGCTCCATTATTTTTCTCGCACGCGCGCTGCCAACTAGACTTTACTGCCTTGAACGTCAGAGTGTGATGGAAAGTGTGATGTGAAGTATAAAAAACGATGCTCAGTCGCGGAGTAGCTCAAGGCGAGGCGAGACAAGGGGATGACTATACAGTATGTGTTTTGTTGGGCAATGAGGACGAGAAGACTGGATGAGGCCGTCTGTTTGGGCCCCTTGGGTTCGTAGATGGAAAGTGTGGGATGGAGGCAAGGCAAGGCAAGGCAGGACAACCAAAGGCACTCTCAAGAGCGTATGGCAAACCTTACCGTCAGTGTCCTCAGTATCTTTGTTCGATCTTCAAATAATAATATCTCTGTTCTGGCGCCCCTGGGTAATATCATGCGCGTTCATCTCGCTCCGCCAATTTTTCCTTGAGATATAGAGACTGGGATCATTGGTGGTCCTAGGGGTGTCTGTTCGTGCGTTATTCACTGTTTATGCGTCGCATCAATGAACGTCGGGGTAATGGCCTCAGGTTATCATTAGGCCATGACACAGACGCAGGTGAAAACACCGTTCATTGAACATAAAGATGCACTTGCTGGGGAAGTAACGACTGCTGCAAGCTTGGATTCATTTTTAGTGATGGAAAGAATCAGCATTCCCTATTTTTTGATAGGTGGTCCTGCTTACGAGGACATCCTAAGTGCGCTCGATTAAACAACAGTAGAAACTTTTAACAAATAAAGCGCGGACCGATCGACTTCTTGCCTTTGCTTCTTTCGCCTTTGCATTACCTGTAATGGTGCCTATAGCAATGTTTAAGACCTCTGTCGCAATCCTTACACCCTTCAGTGGAGCACTTTTAATGTGCGGAAGTCCTGTCTGCAATTTTGATTATATTCAACGCGATGTTTTGGTCCTGAATAGAGAACTGAGCACGTCTTCTACGCCCATATAAACTAGCTGAGATGATGTTAGGCATCGTAAAGGATCAGCTGCCATGCCTTCTTCACCTCAGAATATCCTTTCGCTGCAATAAAGTATGTTTTCACTTCCGTGTCCAAGCACACTGTATGCAAGAGAAATCGGTATAAAGCTCTGACTTGTATGTCTGGAGCTCGACGTCGCCGGCCGATAAACGTAGCCAACATGTTAACCCTTGATCAGTCAACGATCCCAACTCTTCCTCCATGGTCTCTTACATATACCTATAAACAGAAATTAGACAGTGTACCAGTATTAAGAAACTGCGATCTGGACCTGAACGCCCGTTCGGCACAGGTGCCTAAACCTTTATCTAGGATGATGAAGATAGCCACCCAGGAGTGCCAGGAAGAAATCTCCTTTTTCTGTGCCCATCCATGGTAACTATAACTGCTGTTGTCGCTACAGTTTGAGGTGTTGCTAACGCGAAAAGGCTTGAAATCGCTGGACTTTCTGTTTCTTTGTCGACAATGATGAGGAAAATGGAGACTCTGGAGAGAAGAGCGAAGCAGAGGGCAGAGTACGTTTTCCCGATATGGACTGACAGATGAGTATACAAGGCTCAGGTATGCGGTTCTCAGCATACTGTTGAAATATCTGACAGAATATGGCGTATTTGCGTTAACCATCTCATTCATATTTGAAGTCGATCTGCCTGATGATAGCCGAGAGCTCACGGATGCTCGACCATACGTGGTACTTGGTAAAGGTCCTCCTCGTCCTTGAGCTTGACCGGACTACTGCGAACGCAGGCTTCTTGGCCCCATCTTTCTACTCAAACCAGATAACGTTTAACAACCACGAGTGATTGGTCCTTTTCCTGCGTCAAATCCATGCAGACTGCGAGCTTCTATGAGGGTCGCGAATGATGTATCGGCCGGTGGAGCGAAAGAAAGGTGCTGCGTACCCGCCCTTCACTCGCAATAAAACCAATTTTTCATAATGTCCCCAATCTTGGTATCTCGCGCTGTTCGCCATCCATCCCGCGCGATCCTCAAAAGTACCTTTCTCGATGACAATGAAAAGAACCCTCCGTCAACAAAAAAAAAAAATCTGTTATGCGCATCTGCGAGCAGCAAAAATTAGACCGTGCCGAGGGTCGAACTCGGGTTACAGGATTCAAAGTCCTGGGTACTGGACCACTATACTACACAGTCCGCAACTATTTCCGTCTTAGCTTTCTAGGTATAATATATGTCCATATATTTTATAATTGTCACGTGCATCACGTGAGCACTACGGTGCCCTGAAAAATGGTGGCAAATTTTTTTAAAAAAAAAATTGCAGCAATTATGGTGAAGTTCGTGGATGCGGCGGAGGACGTTGGGAGGACAAAAGTCTAGAATGTGAGATGTGATGCTACTGTCAAATGGAAGAAGACCTTAGGCATAGCTGCGGTGGACAAACGTGTTAAGGGAGATGCCAGGCGTGGGACCCCCGGTGTAGCAGGCGGCACATGTAGTCGCGGGGTTGCCTCTGGACAATCTCAACGGTAGGGATTAGTATTGAGCACGCAACAGCAATCAAGGACGGCGGACGAACGCTTGCTGAGTTAGTACCAGGGTCGTTTGAGGTTAAACGTGATGGAGAGAATGGGAAGGCTGACATTTCTAAAAGCGCAGGGATCAGACTAAAAGATGCCACAGGCGCAATAGGTCGCGTAGCGAGCAAGACACGTGTAGTACTTGCTCATGCGGTCAGCGATTATGAAACCAGGATATCTGTGTCGGTGTAGGCCGGGATGGATATAGCTATGCTGCTTGTAGAAGACGTTATGGGGCACAGCCTCTGTGGACTACAAATCCCATGTCATTGAGGATCCTTGTTAATAATAAAAAAACCCCCTTCTGGGGTCGGAAGGACATTTTATTCGGTCTACTCAGTTGCCTATCATTCACAGCAATATTCAGGGGGATATGAGCAAATACAGGGCTTTTTATTCCTGTGATTCATCTACGATCTCTTAACCCAGGGGGAGGGGTTCGCTTGTTATCAAAAAAAAAAAGTCTGGGTGTGGTTGAAAGTGTTTATTACATTAGAACGTCGAAAAGCAGTATTACTGCAAATTTGTAGATAGACTAACTGCTGTGTGGATTACCTGTCTTACGATGAAGCAATAAAGTAAAAGGCCTTTCTACAGCCGATTAGAAGAGAGTGCGAGCAGCTTCAAAAGTCTGGACTCCGGTCCAAAGGGGCCAGTGGTAATGCAGCTCGATTATGCCATCACTCACTCGTTTGACAAAGTACAGTTCCTGGTTGCAGCAAGCTTCACGGTCGGGATCCGGAAAGAAGATTTCTCTTTGGTAATCTAGTTCTCAAAGCTCTAGACGGCCACTCAATGAGGATATTTGCTCATTACATTAATGTGAACGTAAGGCATGCATGTCAATGACACAACTAGAAATTAGGGAAAAAAATACATGAAGCACGGTTGAACTAAGGGCCATAAAAAATACGACGGTTGCGTGTTCACGATGGTAATGTGGAGTGAATAAAGGAATAATAGGGTTCAGGAGTGTATGGGAAATGAACCAAACAATGGAGGAGCAAGGAAAAAAAGAGGGTTTGTGCTTGCCTATACTCCGCGTGTTCATTCTTATCCTTTTTTTGCCGCCCAAAAAAAGATCCAACTGTCGCCGGAGTGTCCCGCCACTACAGAAAGGACAGAAAGGATAGACAGGACAGACAGGAGAGACGGGCAAACTGGATACTAACGTAGGCCAGGAATAGAAGAGGAATTGGTCTAGCATGAGCCAAATCTCCCCCTACTCTTCCTCATGCACATCGAATAGTGTCCTGTGTTGTATTGCGTTGGCCACCTGCTTCGCCAAGCGGATCGCATTCTGCATTCCACTCCCATGAGTGCTGTCTTTGACTTTTCTTGTCTTCTCTGCAGGCGGGAATACCAATTGGATTGTGCCCAGTTTAGCTGTTTGCATTCTGAATCCTTTGTCTAGCTCTCTTTTCATTCCCCATTCCATTGGTTTAGTCTCCGGACTTTGGGAGTTGTGTTGACGCAGGGTGGAAGGCTTGGTCGCACAAAGTGCACTTGCTCATCCCTGAGGACACAGCCCTCGCATACAACTATATGGAGCATACATGACTGATATCATCAATCCTTTCAATTGAGGACGTCCTTGACGATTTCCTGGGTCGTCCATTGAGGTGGAACACCATGAGGTGAAACACCATGAGGGCGGAGATACAAGGATGGGTAAGAAAAAAAAAGAAGAGAATAATCCGTTGAAAATGAAACAGAGTAAATACGATGTAAAGACGAGCGGCAACCTCAAAATGAAGAGGAGGGTGGGCGCATTGAGGCAAACTGAATGGACCATGCAGTGAGGGGGGCTACAAAGACGAGCATTTGAATGCAAGGGAGAAAATGCGTAGAAGGGCCCTTGCCTCTTGTCTTTGCTTATTTTGTTCTCTTTTGCCTCTTGCTCTTTGCCTTCCTTATCATCCTCTGTTGACAGCTTGAATCTGTTTTTTTTCTGTTTTTGTACAAAAGTCTTTGATTAATATTTTACTCAACCACCAGTGAATCTTCTCTTTCCTCCCTTCCACTCTCACCTTGCCCTCAAGGCATTATTCTGTTTTGCTCGCTTCTGCTTACTTTTATTTTTGCATTCAACCGCACAATCCTTACCGTTCCCATCTCTGCTGCTCCTTCTTTACTCTTGCCTTGTCTTGTCTTTTTTTTTTTTTTTTTTTTTTTTTTTTTTCGTGTGTGTATCTTTGAACATCTTTTAGTTGATTTCCGTACTCAGAAATGTGCTTTAACTGATCTCGGAATTATCAAAAATGAATCCATATTACAATCCATCACACCACAACAAGGTTGAATGGAGAGAGGAGAACCAAGTGAGAACCTATCCCAGGCCGGTGTATGACCAGGGTGTAATACAACCACCGCACCCCCAAACTCTCTCTCCAGGACAGCAGTCGATCCCAGATCAACGGCCACATCATGCACAGCACTTACAGGCTTCGTTGACTTACTCTTCCTCCGCACCGCAGTATCACTCTTCTCCTTATGAACACCACCCTCAGAACCTTTCCCAGCAGCATCATCAATACCTTGTACATCATAGCACCCATCTGATGTTACAACAACAACAACAACAACAACAACAACAACAACAACAACAACGACAGCAGCAACAACAGCAGCAGCAGCAGGAGCAGCAACAAAATAATAATCACTACGAGCGTCCCAGCAGCCCCCACCATCATAGTCCACGCCTGCAACAGATTCAGAGCGAACATGGTCATTATCTGCGTCAAGGAGCACAGCTTTCGGATGCATACAGCCACCTTAGTCTCAGCCAGGAGAACCATCGCCGCGCTCATACTGATTGGCTGCAGGACAGTCAGTTGCCTCGACATTCTGTGCAAGAACATTCGCGCCAGGGCCACAGCAGGATGCGCTCAAATGAACGCGCTCACCAGAGATCCATGCAGTGTCGCAGAGAGCTACATCCACAGGAGGAGCAGATGCAGGGCCAAGGACAGGAACAACAGCAACAGCATCAGTATCACCACCAGAATCAGCAATACTTGAGCTCATCAAGTGCACTAGAAGATTACAGCAGGCAAAGGGGTCGTCCGTTCAATGCCCCTAGCCATACTCATAACGTCAATCCGTCCTTTGCCCGCCGACACGAAATGATATCGCAAGCATCCGTACCACCAACCTTACCCACATTATCTTCACTTGCACTTCCACAATCCTCCCCAGCCCTACCACCCTCATTCTTCTCACAACCCACATCGACCCTCCAATCTCCTTCGGGGCAGTCTTTGGCGTTTCGACGGCATCGTGCGAAAACCCTCTCCTCAGTGTCCACATCCGCTTTTTCTGCCACTTCTTCTCCTTTCCCCCCTCCTCCGCTTCCTCGCCCAATTACTGTCGTCCCTTCTGAAGGCGATGTACGCTCATCCATATGCTATCCCCACCAGAGTCCGGACCTTGATTCCATCCCAAGAAGAAAGAGGGGTCGAGCGAGCCATATTACTGGGTTTGGGAGCGGTCGCAGTAGCAGTAGTCATGATCTTGGAAGATCGACTCTGCCTGTACCCCAGAGACACGCTTACGATCAATCCATGCCCGCTTTGCCGCCGTTTGCTTACACAAGATTGCCGCCATCTGACGTTAGTATGGATGAAGATGGTGGTGGCAACCAATTTCACCCCCGAACCCAAATTCAGACCTTCACTGGACATGCGCAACAACGTCTCAATCAGCTCCAGCCGCCGTTGTCTCAGGACTCGAACCTTCGTCATGACAGCTTCTCTTCTGGAGCATTCGAGCCTTCTGCTCCGAGACACGACAATCTGCCATCCATAACAGGGGTTAAGACATCTGGTGCAAACAAGAGACCGTTTATATTGTCGCCCCCGCCAAATATGACTTTTCTCAGTGCAGACATTCATCATTTGGAGCAGCAACAACATGACGTGTCATTGCAATTGCAGGGAGCAAGCCTCGAGGGACAGCGACAGTATCAACAGCAACAACAACAAGCACACCAGCAAAGACATGGCCGCCATGCTCAAGAGTGCTTGTCAGACACTGCGCACGTGCCAACTCCCATATCAAAAAGTTACTCCTTCCCTGCTCGCTCCAGAATAACACACTCAATTCCTATGCCTCACTTTCGAGCTCAATCCATACAGCAACGTACGGGCGACAGCTCATACATACGCCGTTTCTATTCTCCCGTGTCAGGATTGTCATCTTCTTCCTCGAATACCCTTCCCAATTCCTCTTCCTCGGATCCATCTTCCCCCCCGCTTTCCCACGGTGCACGTAGACCAGCAGTTGCCAAGCGGCGGGACTCAAACGAGTTCCCGATCAAAGAGGGGACCAGCCGTACTGGGCCAAATACGAGCCAAGACGCAGCGGGAACTATTGGCATTCAGCTGGGGCGACTGTTGATCTCAACAAAGCTGCACGTCAGAAAGCTACTCGATTCGTTTATTCATTCCAGAAAAGGTACAATGCATAATGCCACAAAAGATTATTTAATAATGCATGAATGTACCGTTTTTGTTGTCCAAACTAACAATACTTTATACCTTTTTTTGGATATCAAAGGGGGCGATCCTAATCTCGAGCGCGTGCTTCTGGAGCTACTTAACGGGATGCTGATGTCACACAGTGCTCTTGCCACGCGAGATAATTCATCTCAACAACAGCCAATGACCTTTCGGCCGACCTTTCTTCAGTCGTTGGCGCATCTCCGGGAACTCATGTCCATAGCGGCGCCAGTAGCAGGCACAGCTCCGTTGTCAGCAATGAAGGAAGTGGAAGTAACAGCCAGATCAGATAGGTTGAACCTGAATACAAATCGACAGCGATCATCACCTCTTCCTCCTTCACAGCTCTCCAAATCAATGGCTTATCCTGGCAACGCGGACACAGAGAGTACTCTGGATACCGAAGCGATGCGATTCGCAGCCACCAGCACTGCTACAGGAGCATTGGCCGCGGAACAGGACGCAGCGGCGGAGATATATCAATCAACGGTCGAGTTCCTTGCACTGATGACGGCCTTTGTGAGTGTCGTGTGTTGGCTCATGCAGACGCTACTCAAGCCCAACGCGCTTGAACCTCAACATCAGGACGAAAAACTATGCCGTGGGTTGGAGCAGGGTTTGGATACTGGCATGGACATGGTCGACGACGCCCGTCGAAGCAAAGGCCCGGGCAGTGATCTTTTGGGGGAGTTTTTGGCGCTGTTTGATGATATGGATAATTTTCTCAAGCCGATTGGCGAGGCATTAGCAGGGGAGTTCCAGCACAGCCGATACAATGAAGAGACAAAGATGGAGCCGATGAAGCAGGTCGGCTTGTTCGCATGGCATTTTCATCTATTCGCCTCTGATCCAGGCGGGCCACTATTCAGGGAAGGAGGGGCCATTTCAGTCCAGCAATTGGGCACAACCCATTTCGATGTCCTCCTGAACGAACTCTACACAACGCACGTTCTCTCCATCATGGTCAAGGAGCACCAGAAAGACCACGGACAGTTCTATACCCCGCCTGGAGTAGTTGAATTTATGTGGAAGAGGACGGTTAAGGGACTAGGAAGCTTGTTGAACAGATTTGTGGAATTTATCAGCCTGAATCATACAGACGTTATTGCAGAGAGGCACGACATCTACACAGGGTTCAGAGGCCTCCACAAACAGGAGCCATCGATACCCTTGATCCCTACAGCACTCGATCCGTGTTTAGGTGTGTCAACGTTTCTTTCGTGTTATGTCCGCATGCTGATTCAGGAGGCGCAATACGGTCATGGCGGAATCATATGGAACTCAAAAGTTGCCTCAAGGTTGTTGCTTCGCCAAATATGTGAGCACGTATGGGGGATCGAACTGGATGGTTTCGCGTTCTGGATGGCACGTTGTGGTATCCTCGCTGCTCTTATACCCCTTGTTCAGCGCGTTCAGGAGTTATCACAGGCGAACAAGCGAGTTGCACTACAGGATGGTGCGGGACTGAGCATTGAGTCTAGACAAACGCAGGAAATCAAGCTCCCTCGACTTCATCTCTTCAGGAACGATACCCTTCAGTTGACGATCCCGAATGGAGATGATCCGGAGACGGTATGGGAGCGTAACTGCATTCTGCAACTCAGAAATGCGGAGCAGCTTCAGTTCGACTTTATCGTCACCAATCCACCCTACATAATTCGTAAGACCGGTACCTTCAGTGCACCAGATCCGGAGGTATATGACTGGAGCATTTTGGGTTCGAGTTTCGGAGGCACAGTTGCCACTGCTACTAATGTTGGGTTGTCTAAGCTGCAGAAGACGACATTGATCAGCAAAGGAAGCGTCGATAACCCAGGTACATTCGCTGAAGAAGGAGGCCTACCAACGATGGAAACAGGAAATGATGAAGGTGCGAACGAATCAGAATTGGAGGTGGCTACACCCGGATCAAGTACCAGTACTGGTTCTTTTGCATCCTTGGTGACAGAAAAATCATCGATCCAATTGAGATCCGGCGCCAAAGGAATGATGCAAGTGTATGGGTACTTTATCTGGTTTGCTGCTCAGAGGGTGAAGCCCTATACAGGAGTTTCTTGCATGATCACAGGTAAGCCGTTGCGAACGCTATCATTCTCACCGATTGTGCGTGGTCAACAGCAAAAGCGCTGAGATGCCCTCCTTCTCTCTCTTCTTCTTTTTCTCTATACAAGCGAGTCAATGGCTTACATTGGAGTTTGCAGCCAAATTGCGGTAGGACACCGTTGGACTATGCGGATTCATCTTTCTGAAAGCGTGCACAACCACTATGAATGATCACTAATCTTTTCGTACAGTGCCTGGCTCTTCGAGAGCTGTCTGATGGATGAGTTCTTCCAGTTCGAACCCTTCAAAGTTTTTTCAAAGGTCCAGACGGATTCACTTGTCTTCAAGATCCGCGCACTTGGACCTTCTCACTCCGATCCTTCTAGAAGAGGAAGGGTTCTTCAAGAGCATTGCACAGCATTTCTACGGCATACTGACCATCACAGACCGTTGGCAGGCATCTTGCAGGATTACATGGACTTTAACCTAGAGAGTCACCTTGGGTCTGGAAATGATCTCAGCATCATGGCGTCGCTCAAGAGTCGCCAAGAGCTAAGTGCCTCCATTACCGCCCCCCTTTCGACATCTCCGGCGGCTGGAGTAGGCGTAAGCAGCTCAATAGCAACGACAACTGCCTCAACACGCACATATTCCTTCGCACCCATGATGCCATCCTCAGGGCTGACGGCCTATCTGCTGGCGCTCACTCAAGATCTGGGTGGCATTTGCTCCGCTGGCACAAAGAAGATAAATCGCTTGAGCGCTCCGGAACCCCTTTTGTGGCACCGAGGTCCCAACACCAACCCTGTATACGGCCTCGTGGCTCGAATGGAGTATGCACGTGTGAACTTCGGAAGTGCTATGGTTGATCGATGGTTCCGACCAGCGATGTACTGGAATGGCAAGAATTCTCCAGAAGAAAGCGCTCTTGGCGCCTCCAGCAAGGTCATACATAAGGAGGGACTATTCTGGCAGAGTCGGGATCGTCTGAGACTGAGCAAGAAGGAGGGGTCACCAGCAGAGTCCTACATCGTCCCGAAACCAGACCCCCGACGACTATATGCGCTTTGCATGGTGGACAGAGAGTCAGTCAAGGTACTGAAGCAGCAGGTGGAGCAGGGCGTTGAGGGCTCGCTGGCACTGTGGAGCTATTTGAAGGATGTGAGGAGTCATTTTCAACCAGGACTTGCGTCGAAGAAGAAGAAGGTGACTCCGACCGGCAAGCAGCAGAATGCCGACGATGAAGGCGTTGCTTACTGTTCTACCAATCAATGCGGGTAAGTTATCAGGAAGGTCTCTTTTTTTTTTTTTTTACCTTGAGCTCGAATTCATTTTGCCTCTGTACATTGCATGCCATTGCACAGGTCTGATGTCCCAGAAAAGATCATCCATCCTATCAACTACGGCTACTTTTCAAAGACACAGCCACGTCAACGTTTTTTTCTCGACAACAACTCTTTGGCAGTGACGAACCAGTGCATTTATCTGACGATGAATGTGCTTTCGCACCATTACGATGCCAAGCAGAGCCCGCCGTTGATGTACTTTCTTACTCTGCTCAATTCGAGTACGCTCCAGTTCTTTGTTCTACATCACTGCCAGTACGACCAGCAAGGCAGAATGCGGCTTTTCCGAGAATCCATGGCCAAGATACCCTTTCAGGATCGTGATGTGAAGAGCAATGCAGCCAGGACTAAGTATGCCTCAAGGCTTGGAGAGTTAATGGTCGAACTGAAGGATCTTCTCTACCAGGCGGTGATGTGCTGGCAGCTCACTGGATGTCACCACAGCCATGCCGGGGTTGGCAAACGAGGATTCGCTACAACAGGCAGAGGCGGCAGGTTGGGGGAGCAGTTAATGGCGGGCAGTATGACGACTGCAGGCGGCAATCACGGTCTGTTGGATTGGATTCGAAAGGGTGGGGATGCCCCGGCAGGAGTGTTGGCAAAAACCAAGGAGCAGGTGCGGAGGATGTTGTTAAACTCTGGGAGAGCATTCAGCTACACGCCATCGATTTCTCAATCCTCTTCCATGTCATCGTTTTCGCGGGGCCCACGATCTGGCTTACTCTTCACCGACACGGACACAGATACCAATACAGCGACGGACACGGACACGGATACGGACGACAATATTGAACGGAGGGTCCCTTCGTCACGCGAGCAATACCTCGATACTCGACTAAACTACGCAAACCAAGTCGGCATCTTGGCTGCTACTCCTGCAGAACAGAGCTTAGTTGGGCAGGATGATGCGCAGAACTCTCATGCAAATCTCGGGTTCACAGCAGCCAATATCGGTATTAGAGTCGCACATAATGAAGCTACACCAGCGTCAGAAGGCTCTTCATCAGTATCAGCAGCTTTTGCATCTATATCGCCACCTCCACTCAGCAGCAACACAGAGCTCTCCAACGAATGCGACAGGATCCTGCAGGCAATAGAACGTGCTGTCGCGATAATTGAAATGTTGCAGTGGGCTGTGGACCAATACGGGTACATGCTCTACGGGATAGGACCTAAATTCCAGAAACTGCTGGAACTGGAGCTCAAACTTGTCTACGGATCTGCTGTTCAGTCGCTAACGGTGCCAAACTCGCCTCCTAGCGCCGCAGGCCCAGGTCGGATGCCTGGTTTTGAGCCCTTGCTGTCATCTCAAGGCTTGTCGAGACAGCCATCGATAGAGCGGATGGAAGGACTTGCACAGTTGCCAGAGACAGCAGCTTCAAGACTGGGAATTACTGTCGTAGGCCTATATCGATGGGATGGAAGCGACAGCGACGACGAGGGTAATGCTGAGGGTGATAAGCAACAAACGACGGCGTCTGCAACAATGCAGTCGATGGAGACTGACACTCCCGAGTCCGCGGGACTGAGGCGTTCCAAGACACCTTCTTATGCGCCATCAGTATTAGAGAACGCACAGGCGGCGGCACAGCTTTTAAGGGACTTACTTAATCGATACACAAGCTAGTTCGCATACGGCATGTAGACGAAGAAATAAAGTTGTGTTTTGTTACAATATGCTTTTGGATGCCATGAACCATCATCTAAAAGCGACGACGCGGCCAAGCGCGTTGGGGTTTTTTTATGCCTCCCGGCGCTCAAATAGGATCCTCTCTCGAGTCGACTGGTCCTACGAGTCTATCAGACCTAACTAGCAATGATCTACTACAGTCGTCCTTTCCACCAAAGTAGAGCCGATCCACAGTCTCCAAAAGACAGGTCACATTCCCCGGACCTGCTCCTAGGGCCTGTGCAAAATATTGCCACACCTCATCAGTGTGTTAAAAAGCTGAAAACTCCTTGTTACAAAAAGGGTATCTTTCCCATCCCCTCCATGGTTTTCAGCCGCCTCCTCTCTTGCAGGCAGTCCAGCAGCGTCCGATCCGCTGCGTCTGGGTCGAGTACGGGGCCAGGGCAGCTCCCGTTTGCATGGTCGGCGAGCAACGCACCACACGGACAGCGATCAGCGTCGCAAATGTATCCATTGCCCCCACTCCAGTCTCCTCGAGAGCCCTTGTATGATGCGCGTTTCGTCTTGGCTGTGACTCCCCACTCTCTTTCCCGAGTAATGGTCGCGTTGCAGCGTGGTTTCCAGATCAGAACCGTAGCCTGCGTCTCAATAAAGCTGACAAACTTGTGGATGACCTGTCGCGCAATCAAAGGTGGCGAGGTGAATAGGCTACCCCACTCCTTGATTAGGCTGATGGGTGTGATCCCGCGGTACAATCGCTAATTCTCCAGGTTAAATCCGGAGAGCGGTCGATAAAGTCGTCACCTAGGAGCAGCAACTAAGTCCCACCGATGCAGGACAGTCCTTGGATATGGGTCGATGTCTTGGGACAAGTCTATACGATGGGTTTCGGTGCAGCGGCACGGGCCTTGTTACAAGCAATCTCGTGCTCATGCTGCTTCTTGCTTTTCTTGTTGTAAGCTGCCGTCTCAGCTCGGTCCCACTTGCCGATCTGCTGCAGACCATCATGCCAGATCTGTTTGCAGACATCACTATTGGCGCTGCAAGTCCACAGGTGGTCGTTGTCCTCGTCCTGGATGTTGCAGACGCAGCAGACACGGTCAGGGTAGATGTCAGGATGGCGAGCCTTCATGGTGTTCATAGTGAGCAGCATACCATGTAGCTTCTTGATGGGGTGCGTTCTCCGACGCGTGTCTGCGGCGTTGCTGTAAAATGTATGTACAGATCGCCTGTCATGAACAAGAGCGAAGGTCGATCGCCATTCGACGTCGTCGAGGTCTGAAATCGCTCTCTTGACACGATGCTGAGTTGTCCAGGCCTAGTGCCGTCGGATGGTTGTCTACTGCTTGAGTAGCTGGCGCAGATCATGTTCAATGATGTTGTCATGGCAGTATGCAAAAAGACTAATATCCTGCTGCTCACTCTTTTTTTTTTTTATTAACATAAATCCACATGAGCACGAGACGCATGGTCCGCAAAGGCCTTGAAGCCATAGATGCCTTCCATGCACGGCAGAGCCGCGCCCCCTACCAACTATGTTGGCTTGAGGCGTCAGATTCATAACCCATGTCGCATAGCTAGTCTAACCTAACTCCTGCGTGACCTGTTGTGCGATACACTTCCCCTAGTCCAGATCCAATGTTAATATAGTTGTTTTTAAACCGAATAAACCCTCCATTATGTACAACTTCCTTCGCCCCAAACAATGCTGCAGCACCCTATAATCCGCGGTCCGTTTACCTTCCTGGATCTCCGTTGCAAGTAACCGTCTCCCTTTCAAACCAGAGAAATCACCAACACTACGTTGGTGTCCCCGATCACCGTTGCGTCCTCCGGCGCGTTTGCTCATGAATGTGATTCTAACTGACTTTTCCCAGGCGACAGTGTTCTCGCATCGTTTGTTCCATATCTTGGTCCTGCCAAATTCTTCGATCCTGCTCACGAACTTTGTCACCATGATCGTCGCAATCCACTTGGTGGTGGTAAATAGCTGCTTCCAGGTCTCAATGAGTCTCGTTGGCACCAAACCTCGGTATAACTCCTTGACCTCCCAATCCGCATCACTCTTCGATGCCTCTCCTTCCGCAACGTGATATGTCTCTCGTCTTTCTGCCGTCCCCTGAATCCACTGCATTGACTCCCAGATAGCGTTCGGCCTCCTCTCTCTCCTGTTCCCATTTTCGCACTGCCTGTCTCCATGCACGATATCCATTCGACTCCACCTCCTCCACCACGTCCCTCCACTCCTGCCGCTGGTCGTATAAGGTGGCTGAACAACGCCAAAGATGATCGTTCGTCTCTGCTTCCCTTTCGCACCTACGACATATATCCGTTTGGTAGGTATCTGGATGTCGTTTCTTCATCGCCTGCAATGTCGGCAAATCTCCATGCAACTTCTTGATCCTGTGCGAACGTAAACGACAGTCTTCCAGGCTGGTGTATAAGCGCTTTGGCGGGTTGTTATCGTGTAAGATCCGTAGCGTGGGCGCCCATGCTACCGACCGCCAATCCTTGATGTAGGTCCTCGTTCGATGCTGCAATGTCCACTGATAATGGTGTCGCACCGCGGACTGCAGCTTCAGTATCCTTCTCAAGTCCAGGTCTGCACTGTGTGTTGCAAACTGTGCGTGGCATTTCAAATCATGGTGTTGCGTTGCGTCTAGCCTCCATAGTCCTGTATCGATCCCATGTGCTGCCTTGGCAACAGTGTCTGCAGCCTCGTTGCCACGGTGTCCAGCATATCCTCGTATCCAATGCACAGATATACCTTGTTCTTGTTGCAAGAAGGCATAATGTACCATCGCCCACCACTGTGCATCTGCAGATCTCAAATGCTGCCTTGCTGTTGCTGAATCCCGCTGCTGCACCAACTCCTTGAAATTGTTGACAACTGTGAGATTGTCGATGTAGATGTCGACGTTCTCTTCCCTTGGGCTGATAAGAATTGTTGCCAAGAGCCCACATATCTCTGCAATTGTTGACGACGCGTATCCCCCGACCCGTCCACTGAACGCCGTTGTGTAGGGACCACCATCCACAGAAACGACAACTCCAAATACTGCACTGACCTACTCTGTGCCGTTGTGAATCACTGACCCATCCGATCAGAAGTGAAGCCTTTGATGTGTTTGCAAACGTCTCCTAGCTGTCCGAATTTGCTGGATTGTTGGTACCTGGAGCGCTAATCCAAATAAATCTCGCTCTGATACTGCCGGCGATGGTTGGCGAACAGGTGTCGTCATATTGTCCACCACCTTGTGTGCATCCTCGTGCAAGTGGTATATACACGCCTCTGCATCCCCATTCATATATCTACGATATAAATGGCGTCGTCTTTGTCGTTCTTTGTGTCGATCCCGCCTCTCGATGTCCCGCAGGCGTCGTTGCTCCTCCTGCTGTCGCTCCTCTTCCAATTGTCGCTGTTCTCGCTTTTGCTGTTCTGCCTGTTGCACGGTCACATTCCCCGGGCCTGCCCCCTATAAGGTCGCCTTTTTTTTTTTATATAACAACTTGTCTCTCGAGTCAATTGACTCTGCGAATCTATCAGACTATCTAGCAAAGATCTACTATCGCTGTCCTCGCCACCAAAGCGGAACCGATCCACAGTCGCCAAAAGACAGGTCACATTCCCCGGGCCTGCCCCTAGGGCCTGCGCAACAATTGCCACACCTCATCAGTGTGTTAAAAGCTGAAAACACCTTGTTACAAGAAGGGTATCTTCCCCATCCCCTCCATGGTTGTCAACCGCCTCCTCCCTTGCAGGCAATCCAGCAGTGTCCGATCCGCTGCGTCTGGGTCAAGCAGGGGGCCAGGGCAGCTCCCGTTTACATGGTCAGCGAGTAATGCACCACACGGACATTGGTCATCGTCGCTAATGTATCCATACCCTTCACTCCAGTCCCCTCTCGGTCCCTTGTATGGAGTTCGTTTCATCTTGGCTGTGATCCCCCATTCTCGCTCTCGAGCAATGGTGGCCTTGCAGCGTGGTTTCCAGATCAGCTCCGTAGCTTTCTCCTCAATAAAGCCGACGAACTTGTGAATGACCTGGCGCGCAATCGACGATGGCGAGGTAAATAGACTGCCCCACTCCTTGATAAGGCTGACGGGTGTGATGCCACGGCATAAATCGCTGATGCTCCAGGTCAGATCCGGAGAGCGGTCATAATACTCGTCGCCTTTGAGCATTGATCGGGTCCCGGCGATACAGGATAGACCTCGGATGTGGGTCTCGTTGTTAGGACAAACCCATCGAATGGGTTTCGGTGCAGCAGCGGCGGCTCCAGCGCGGATCCTATCACGCTCTTGCTGCTTCTTGCTGTTCTTGTTGTATGCGGTCGTTGCAGCTCGTCCCCACTTATCAATCTGCTGTAGCCCTTCGCGCCAGATCGCCTTGTGGACATCTCTAGTAGCACTGCACGTCCACAGGTGATGGTTGTCTTCGTCCTGAACATCGCAGACGCAGCAGACACGGTCAGGATATAGACTCGGGTGGCGAGCCTTCATGGTATTCAGGGTAGGCAGCATACCATGCAGCTTCTTAATATGATGTGTCCTCTGGGACGTATCAGCAGCACTGCTGAAGAACGTGTGCACAGAGCGCTTGTCGTGGACATGGGCAAGGGTGGACCGCCACTCCACGTCGGCAAGATCTGGTATCGCTCTCTTGACACGACGTTGGGTTGTCCAGGCCTGATGACGCCTGATTGTCGTCTGCTGCTTGAGTAGCTGCCGCAGATCATGTTCCACAAGTTTTTTTTTTTTTTTTTTTTTTTTTTTTTTTTTTTTTTTTTTCCAATGGACAATCTTTGCCAGGGTTTATTGGTTATTTTATGGGGGTTACTATTTCTCGCTGGTCAGGATGTTCCTGTTTGTCCCGAACAATGGTAGGAGGCGCCATATAAATCCCGCGTATTTTCCCGCAAGCCTGCCTCGGTCGTCCTGTTCCTGCTAACTTGATATCTTGATCCTTTGGACTGGCTCTCTCCTGTGTGACTTGATTCGGCAAATATTCAACTTATGTTTCGATCCGGCATATATGTACGGCTTCCTTACGATGTTACTGCGGCCCTCGAGTGATTTCTGAAGTAAATTATTTAGTCTCCTCTCTCAATAGTCCCCCCCGTAACCTTAGTGCTGGAGAACGGCTCTGGCAAATCCGAGTGACAGTTCTGAAAAATCTCCTCGTAGCCCACGGTGGCGTGCGAACCTGAGCAGAATAGAACATTCTCTCAGGAGGGTGCCAATCCCCTGCTGCCCGCGATCCGAAAGGTAATTTATACACGGCCCCCCGTGCCGAAAAACAACCGCACCAAGCTGGATCCGAAACTAGGATCCACAGCACTGTTCTCTGGAAGCTTCGCGTGATACTACTGTACCACACAGGCTCGCCCGCCCGCAGATCATGTTCCACAAGATGGCAGCCTAGAAGGTCGCCAAAGGCCATGGGGCCCGGACAAGCCACCGAAACCACCAGGTCGGAAGTGAATACAAAATTATCCAAAGTCCTGGTTATTTCAGAACCAGCAACCGGTCTACTGGCCCAATGGAAAGGCGTCTGACTACGAATCAGGAGATTGCAGGTTCGACCCCTGCGTAGATCATTAGGGACTAGCTTCAGTATGTCACCTCTTTTGTCGGTTCCGGTTCCTTGATAACTCACGAGCATGGGAATAGCGCATGATTTATATGCATCCCAGCATGTCAGCCAAACTTTTCTAGGACGTCGCGAACTTTATTTTTAGTGGTTACACAAGCACTCCTGAATTTTTGTTTGTGAATCGACAGAGTGCCGGTCATGGACTACACAAGATCCTTTTGGGCGATCACTCAGTATGCATGGAGGCAATAAATGGCGGGCCCTTGGATAAGGGAGAGAATGACTCGGCGTTGTTTGGTCTCCATGGAATAGACCATGGGCCACTTAATAGCTGTAGGTCATACATCCAGAAAGGAGGGGATGGTACATAGCGTAAAGCTGAAACGCAAGAGCCATCTCGGACGAAGTCGTATCCAGGTACGGAAGCCAGGCAAAAGCCTGGATGGCTCTCGTGCGCTCCCTCTCCCTCCACGGCTACTTAATACTATTCTATAACTGACGCATGCTTCTTTATCCTTGGAACCCCGGCATTAGCACCACACACTGAAGAGACACTGCTCGAATATGGGCTGTACAAAGTGTGGAGCGACGAAAATAACACAGGCGATATGGTCCAAGCTGACATCGATCATGCAGTAGGTCAATGTACTTGCGCTACCACAATGGCTTCTTGGCGTCTGACTGCATAGTGTTATCCATACTCGTGATCATTTCATTCTGCTCATCATGCGAAATCGCTGGACAAGAGACATGAAGGCATGAAGGACGCTTTCTTGCCTCTCGCTCGTATTCATACTCTCCCTCGACCAGTAATCGCAATCTCTCATCACACCATTCGTTCATTCACATTCCTTCTCTCTTCATTCAGTCATTCAATTCTTCTCTGCATCCCTTCCTTCACACCCTCGGGCATTTTTTTTTTCTTGTGTACGACTCGACTGGACTAATCCTTGTCTGGACTGCACAGCACACTTTGTCCCACCCAGTGCTATGGCCCAATCACAGCCTTGGCCCGTCTACAGGACGTCTAGGAAATTATATACCACCACGGACGTGCCAACGGATCCTCAACTGGTCCCACAGCGTATCTCAACCCTCTCAGCAGCAAGAAGTTACGGCTTTCTCCTCCTATTCCTTATCTTCAACGCAACCCTCACATCACCCTCGCTCGCTGCAACATTCGAGGTCATGGTCTCCAAGCCCGTCATTCAGTCTGACCCATTTATCAACGCCGCGTCTAGGAGCGTATTAGGACAAGGAGGCAGCAAACTCTTTACCTCAAAGTACTTGGGAAACTCGGTCGTCACCAACGCCAAGAACCTGGGCTACTCCGGAACCATGATCCTAGGAGACCCGCCGCAATCCTTCGAAGTTATCTTTGACACGGGAAGCGATATGATTGTGATCACCTCGAACAAGTGTCAGGGGTTGCACTGCAGCGACATGGCCCATTACACCTGCATCTCCTGCGCAAAGACCCTTTACTCTTACAACATCTCGTACGGCGATGGTACCTGGGGCAGTGGACCTATCGTGACGGATAAGGTCACTATTGGTGGGCTTGATATCAAGAACCAGCAGATCTTAGACGTCACGCGGAGCGGACTCGATCTGTCGTCGTACGGACCAGGAATCTCTGGTCTGGTGGGTCTCATGCCTAGTTCGCCCGTCCTTAATGCGATTCCACCACTGGCGACCATCTATAAGAGCAAATTGCTGGATATGAACGTGTTCTCAGTCTATTTGACATCGACCCTCAAGAAGAATCAAGGTGGGTCCTTTCTTTTTGGCGGGATCGATCGCACAAAATTCACAGGATCACTCAATCAGGTACCAATCTCCACCACCCCGAGTGTCCGCGAGGGAATGTGGTATATCGATGCGGACAATGCTTTCGTGGGCGAGACGTCTGTAGTAGGCTATACAAAGTCGCCGTGGTTGTTCGACACTGGCACGTCGTTCATCGCGGTCCCAACATCGTTTGCACGGGCATTCCATGCCGAAATCCCTGGGTCAGCCTACTCTGCCACGGACCAAGTCTACACGCTTCCCTGCACGGGCAACATGACTTTTGGGATCTCTTTTAATGGAGTCAAGTACGAGGTTCCCTATCTGGACTACGTGGCCATTGCTGGTGGAGAGTCTCCGCTCTGTGTGTCGTTGGTGATGCCATTAGAGAATTACGAAATGTACATCCTCGGGGATCCATTCCTTCGACAAGTGTATGCCGTTTACGACTTCACGCCTGGAGCGAGCAGGATCGGTTTGGCCAAGATTAATGTGACGAATGCGTCGCTAGGCGACGAAGGACTCTCCGGAGAGCCTATGCCCGGTGGCATTGACATTATACCGGTGCAGCTTTCGATAGGTCTTGGCCGGTTTGAGACCTTGGCGATGTCTAGGACGACATCCAGCATGGCCACGGGCCTGAGTATCATCGCTATGATCATGGCTATGTTTACCTGAGATGAGAATCGCATTGCGTCTTCTCCGTCTGTCCACCTTCCGTTTGTGCAACATAGGGAGCCAGAAATCCAAGAATAAATAGGAGGTTGACGTTGGCTCAGGAGTTCGCGGGATAATACAGGTCAGGAACGAGATGCGCAGGAAACAAAAAAAAAACGGGGAAAAGGGGAAGCGATTTGTGTTGGTCTGATCCTTCAATGAGCACTATACTACGCTCATACACTTTCATGAATATTTTCTATCTCTTTGCAGCTATTACCGTCGTCTTTTGCATCCTTGCTATAAACTATACAGATTATAGTGACACATAACAAAGAACAAACGCTGCCTTTAAGAGTATCCGTCAAAATGCACACCAAGGTGAAGAGGAAGAATGGTGGTAGGAGATTGCGCAGCTGGGTACAAACCGTGCGTTAGTTGGGCTTAACCACCCGGAGTTGTTTAAGGAGAGAGCCACTGTCTCCGTTTTAAAATGCATCTCGGTGGGTAGGGTCTTTCTATTTTTGCGTTCCCAGACTCCAGGGGATTGGACCATTGGGCTAGATATTGTATGCAGACAATATAGTATGGCGGTGGGGTCATATGTCATGTAAAGGAATAGGGGCTCGAAGGACGTACAGCAGCCCCGGTGCGCACCTTGAAAATCTTCTTTGTACCTGTTTGCTTGCAGATATGAAAAGTGCCCCGGAGGTTGCATGGGATGTTAATTCCTCCATGTGGTTCGTTCGTCAATCTTGTAACAGCTGGGTTCGTCAGTAAAAAAGCGAGAAATAACAACTAGGAGCAGAGAGGGTAATACAGACCATTTTTCGAGCATAAGCATCTCTTCGAAACTAGAAAAAGAGCCGAGAGTGAGGAAATGAGCTCCGGATTTATACCAACAGAAAAGAAGGCTGCAACAGTGTCGATATTCAAATCCGTCTGTATTGCTGTCTTAGCACAGTGATGAAGAGAAGAGGTATAAAAGCAATGCCTTTCCCCACCATGTCCCATTCTTCACCTCTACTTTAACCCTTTCCTTGTACCTCAGTCTGCTTACGATCAATCCAGTTAACAGGAGCGAAAAGCAACGACGTACACTTCACTGATTCGGCAACGGCCCTTCTTTGGATAAGTATAACGGTATGTATTTCCTTCCAGGAACGCGTGAATATGTGAGTGTTACAAAGATGAATTCGTGGACATATCGAGGGTCCACAAAGGAATTGATAGTTCTTTTTTTTTTGAGCAATACGCTTCAATCATGCTGCGCCGATGATGAGCCTGATCTGAATCACACTTCGTTTAAATGCTTTCATTCTCCCACGGTCACCTCTTCGGTCCATCGTTTTTTTATGTTTTCTTTCGCGAGCTATAATAATAATAAGGGGCTACCGCGTCTTACTTCATTTTCAGCCCAAGATCTGGGTATCTCTCGGGGTCAAGAAACGTCTTTCAGATCGAGGGACTCTTCTATCTTGGCTTTGCTGTATCGTCCCGACATTTTTTAAGAATGGTTGATTGTACGAAACATAAGGTATACCTGTTACGAACAGCTGAGATGTATGCATGATGGAAATAATCGTAGGGCGGGATAACGACATTGGCAGCGATTATTCGCGTGTGTTTTATCCGTGGTGTTTTAATGCTCACCTGTGAGCTGCATTAAACGCCTGGTTACCCACATCCCACGTACGTCCTGGATCGACTGCACCCATACTTCATCTCCACACACCCTACCCCTCGCATTCTGTGCTGGCCCCGCCTCGCTGACATTTTTTCGCTCCGCATCTGTAGGTTCTATGTGTATCAATGTGCTTATTTGCAATGCTCAAGATTCAATACAAAGGTATACGATATTTTTGAGATTTCTAACTTTTTTGCCCAAATGTCCAAAGGGGGCAGTGCCGAGTCTTTTATGCTCCTGGACGTCAACTGGCGCTTGCTTGGTTTTATTTTAAAAGATTTTAGAGCTATTATTCCCATGCACTGTACATGAATCTGGAGCGATGGTTCAATTTGTTTGCTTTTATTTATGGCGTTGTGGGAATGGTCACGGTTTGTTATGCTACTGCATCGTTGTTTTTTGGCATGGCTCTGTTTCTATCAGGGATCTAGACGCGACACGTCTTTTCTATTTTGCTCGCTCCCTCTCTGGAGAACGATGGATTTTGGACAATGAGTAGAATATAAATGGTCAAAGGTGAAGACGTACTTTCTCTTTTTTATTAAGAAAACGTATGTAGAAACACTGCACGACTTTATAGCATATTTACGACATTTTTGCGCCACATCCCTGCCGTGTTCACATCCATTACAATCTGCATCTGTAATATCGCCTCTCTTGAGTCTACACTCATCTTTTAAATACGTTGTCTTCCCTCTCCGTGGTTTGTTCATCTCAATTTCTCACCCGATGCATGAATGAATATCTAACTACTTCAGCAATTGATACCAATCACTACCGCTGTGTTTACTCACTACAATCTTCACTTCGATAAATAATACAGCCCATATCTACAAGCCCCTTCGTCGAAGGGGAGAACCAAGGTAATATTCCACAACAGCTCAACAAATTCCCTCTCCACCCTTCCAAACGCATTAAAAAAAATCTAAGCGCCATGTAGGCGCCTATCATACCTATACTAGCGCCGGCACTAGCGGGCATCTGTATGCACACCAATCCGTCACTTCCTCATCACCATCCCCACTGCTACCATGATGGCGCATATTTACATACGCCTCCCATTCGAATTCTTCCTTTCACGCATTGCCACATGTGTTCAACAGAGATGTGTATTTTTTGCAATTAAGACAATTTAAAAGAGGAACAGAGCTAATAGGATAGGAAAACAAGGGTCCAGGGAGCTGGCACATGTACCTTTATGTTACAAATGATGACATGGACTGAACCCACAATCATGATGCAGGTAATCTCTTCAAGTCGCGTCCCCTGAACCCTCAAACCCCTAGCACCTCGTCTCTCGTTTTTATGCATGGCTGATGATCCTGGGCCACATGGATGTTACACCACAGCTGATTGCAGGGACCTTGTTTTCTTTAAACCGCCTCCTGGTTCTTGCACCAACGGGCACTTATGTTTTATATCATTGCTTCCTTTCATACACTTCGCGTCGTTTGCTCCTGTCTTTCTACTGCTCTTCTAACTGCCGGTACTAATTTGACGATGATTTTATAAAGGAAGATGACAGTAAGAGTGGTTGCACTCTCCAACTCATTATGCTCTCACGCCAATTTCACTCATACACACTCAAAGACGCATACAAGGGAACCGAAAACCAGTTACTACTTTTCCTCTCCTTTAGCGTATTTTCTCCGCCCTCCTTCCAAAGCATACAAATGCATGTGCATGTGCAACTTACTCCCTCTTGACCTCAGTTTATCATCATCACCGAACATATCCTACTTTCTTTTACCATTTCTCACCTTAAATTGTCACTGTATTCCTACGGTCCCTCAAGTCGACTAAGTACTAGCGCTTTCTGTGTGTTTTCTTCGCATTGGTCCGGTTATGGGCCATATTCAGCCACTCTTCTCTGCCTCATTTCGCTTTCTTTTATTCTAACAGCATTCGTTTTTGTCTAATCCAATCCAGCATCAACGATATACTATAAAACGGACAGCAAACATCACATTACCACGGAGCATGTCGTCCTTTCTCAAGCGTTTCTCTTCCATCAAGGGAAAGCGTTCTAGCTCCACCCATGCAAACAAAATTGATGCACAGCAGCAGCATAACCAACAGCCCCACGACAACAAAAGCGACATTGTGTATGAGTTGACACGAGAAATTGTCCAAAGGAGTAATGCCATGAGCAATGATAGCGATAGCTCGTCAAGCAGCTATTTCTCCATCACCTCTAATCTCGCATCGCCAACGCTGTCTTCTGATTCCTCAATATCCTTGTTCTTAACTGAACCCTTGGATACCACGCCATCCTCACGGCGACCGAGCACCGAGATACTGAGCTCCAAGACGCGTCACCAGAGCAACAATAAGCAGGAGCAGCCCTATCCCACGACTACTAAACAAGAGATCGAGGGCGCCAGCAGCTCATCAGAAGCACCGGTAGCTTCGAGCTTCCAGGTCTCAGATCATAGTCGCCAACAGTCACCTCACTCGTTTCGCTCTTTGGACGCGAAATCTTCGCAGGCAGAAACGCCTTCGGTTCCCGACCAAAGCCAAGAGCAGAGAGCGATGAAAGGGGACGCGGTTTCGAATCCCTTCGATCCTCGTTCCAAGTCCATCGCAATGCTCGAAAACATCTCCGACCCCCAACTCCCTGATACACATGGCAGAGAGTACCAATCGGCATTTCTGTCACCTGTTCCGACTTTATCCGCCCTCTCTTCCAGTAGGAATGCAAGTATGGATCACTTTTCGTTGCTACCGCCTCCATCGAACTTGAGTAATCTTTCCTCGCCCACCTCAGGGGGTAAGAAAAAACGCTTGAAGACTCTATCAAGCCTTCTGCTTCAACACGAGCAACAACTTGGTGGCCAACCTCCCTTGCCTTGCCAGTCCAAGAACACTCGATGGAATAGCAGGGGTGGAATTAGAGCTAGTGAGATGATGGTTGATCTCGAGACAACTGGGGTCTTTGGTAAGACGCCGCGGTTCATCTTTATCTTATTTATTTTTTGCGCTGTAATGCTGGTTGTTCTTGTATCTTAATCAAATATCCATGTACGACATGAACTGCCACTTTTGTCTTATAGTACCTTCAGGTGGTCAGCGCCTTCGTGCAGAATTTGTCTATAGGACAGTCATCCGATGTGCAGATGAGATCCGTCGCCGTGGTAAGTAGAATGAGTACTACTAGTTCTACGCGATGCACGTACTTTTTTTTTTTTTTTTTTTTTTTTGGTTACCCAAATCAATCAAACATTAAAGCATGCCTTTTGTGTCCATCTGCTGTCTACCATAGGGCTTGATCATCCTAGGATCTTTCACAACCTGTCTCCCAAGAAGGTCATCTCTTCGATGATTTCCCTCTTAACAGACCAGCATCGCTGCGATCTCTATTCGATCCAATGCCTCCGTATTGATACCGTTGCTGGCTTGATGCTGAATCTTCTGTCCCAGATGTCCAATCCTGTCATCCCCTATGCCGTCATGGGGCAGTACTTTAAGCGGGGTGGTCCTACACGCTCCCCAGCATTGTCAAATCCATCATCCCCTGCCCGTCAGCAATCTCCCACCCCAAACACGACCCCCCTGAAGCTTTCTCGAACACCCTCACCCATTAATTCGCTTTTACCAGCCATGCCTGCCTTGTCTCTTAGAGGAGGTTCGCAGACCACTATGGCGTGGGCTCGCGAGCATTTCGACCTTTCAGCGTTCCTGCAAATTTTGCCCGAAATGAACAGGGTCATCTTATTGGAGGTCTTACATCTTTGTCAGGAGGTCCTGGATCACCAGCTCTGGAACAAGGTGACACTTACGGGATTGGTGCAGCAAGTCGCCCCAGCGCTATTCTCAACAGTCTTTGACAAAAAGATTCTGCATTCCATGGCAGGAGGCGCAGGACGATACTCGGTCCATGGCGCTCACATCGGTCTTGAGGAAGGAACGCGCGCAGAGAACCATTTGTTCATGACTATCTTAGTTCGATTCCTACACATGACTACCCGTGGCAACACAAGTAACAGCGGCGCCATTCCAGTAGAGGCGAAGGATGTAAGGAGCCATTATACTCACCAGGCAGCTATGGCAGCTGCAAGTGCTCAGGCTGATCTAGTCAACAAAGGAATGTATAATCAGAATATAATTATCGAGTTCCGAAAGAGCCACGAGAAACTCCAGCAGCAGCAGCAGGAATACTACCGAAATATAGTACGATTCTACCAAGAGGTGGATATTCGACAACAACCTCCTCAGCGTTTTGGTGTTTACAGCGCTAGCCAAAAGCAACAGCTGCAACTTCAACAGCAGCAACAGAACCAGCATTACAGCACAATTACACCAGATCAGAGCCAGGACAGGATAGTCCCAGAACTCGCAATGTCAGCAAAGTCTGTCTATCCAGGATTTGGTATGAGTACTGTCGCAATAGAAGTGCCTATAGGAATGCTAGACCATCCAGGGGCTGCAATGAATAGGGCTCAGCAACACAGCCATCATTTGTACCGAATCCATGCACAGGCGATGGGGAAGGGCATTACAGCATAAAATGAGCCATAATATATATTTTTTCTAGACCACACTTTTTTCCCTAAAAACCCCTTGTGTCATAATGCGTCGTAGAAAAGCAAATAGATCGGCGTGCGCGAAAGTCTTACTCGCGTCACCTATGGGACGCACGGGCCAACAGCGCGTTTTGGTGACTGTCTGCTTGTGTTTGTTTACTTTTTTTTTTTTTTTTATGGCACAGGTCGTTACTTGCCGCCGCTCATCGCTCCATTGCTCCTCATTCAGCTTGTGCACACCAGCGTCTGTAGCGTTACTATCCTTCCCCTTCCCTACTTTTCTTCTGCAGCAAATCCTGAGCTTTCAGTGCATCCCTTTCTCCTGG